ATGTCCTGGCTTAGCGTAGAGTACTGTACGTAGTATCTATTGCTTTGTTGCCGAGAAGAAGGCTTTGTGGCCCTGATCCCTTTGGCTTTGATAAGATGCCATTGAGTTTCGATCACTTGGTTGATCATCCTCAGAATATGAGTTGATGGCCCTTGCTGTGTTCCGCCAATAGATGCTGTCATGGGTATGAAGATACAATTATTTGTATGTTGTACTCACAGCCTGAAAGGATAGGATGTGTTTAGGGTTCTTTTCTTCCATCTACGTGCCCGATGTAGGCGAAAGCAGGAAAACATGATGAGATTATTAGCCTCGTATCCCACCTCGAACGAGCATACTCATCCCTTCTGCGAGGAACCGTGCATCTCACTGTACCTAGCACGAGTCAGTGAGCCTGTAGAGTCTGCATAAATGCTTGCCACTGGACTAGGAGTGGATGCGTATCTAAATTTCCAGTGCCAGCGAGATACCAGTAGCACGTACAGTAGTCCCCTGTACATACAGAATCCTGAGCAGAAGGCAAAACACATCGAAAGCAGACATAGCTCGCCAAGAAAGAGGACCGATGGATCTGAGATGCACTCGAGTACACATCAGTATCTGACTGCATGACTCGGTCGCTATCCACCTTCTGGTTTTGATCTGCCCTACAGCGGGGGGCTCACTGTGGTATCGTACTTATTTCACTTCGTATCGGAAAGTGAGTTGCGTGGCGTGGTGAGCACGCCGATCCTTAGCGTGCGGTGTTTGAAGTTTCTAGGTACAGCTCAGAGGCGGATCCCAGTCACAGGCCCAGTGAGATCTCACAGTAGTGGATACGACGCATGAACAGGTACTTTTGCAACGCCTTGTTCGGGTTTGTAAACAAGGCCCACGTAGATATGCTCGAAGAGGTGGAGCTAATCGTCAACCCACAGCAGTGGAATAACAAGTGGATATCCTAGGAAAAGAGATCCGATATTCACTGAATCTCAAAAACTCGGAAGATATGGCATTATCAATATCGTGCAGAGCGAAATGTAGTAATAGTAGATCTTCACCTCCCTCGCCCTCCCCTCACCACTGCAACATACGGGACTGCGCCCGCCATGTCATCCCGACGGTTGAGACTTGACAGGTCGCAGGTGGGTCACCGTCAGCAGGCCAGACCACTACAGGCTACTATTGGGAATATAGTCAATCGATCGGTGTGAGGAGGCCTCCGGTCGAAGTCGATGATTGGCCCTGCAAGCTTCTCTCAATCATGGAGGCGATGCTAATACCCCTGGCCCGTGGAGGTGAAATCATCGCGAACAGGGCTGGTCCTTGCACCTGGAGCCGCACGGGTCACGATCCCCACCGCATGCTGTGCGAGGGGAAATACATTTGAAATCGGTCGATTCCAACTCAGGGGGAAAAAGGGGGAAGAAAGTACATAGGATCAACAAATAGGTATAGTGCTCCATATAGTGTATCAAGGGTCTAATAAAATGGAATTGTCCAATTGACCAGCACGCACTGCACTGCACGATGAAGATGTACCCATTTCCAGTCTATCCTGGGACTCGGGATCCCAAATACAACAAATAAGAAGCCAAAAAACGAATTAATTATATCTTCCAGACCTACCAACGCTCAGACTCCGATCACATTCCCAGGGATCAGCTTCGCAGGTCCTGATCTCTGATTTCTGATCTCGAAACTCAAGATAACCCCCAAAAGGCCGATGTGCCTGTCGGATTATCCGGAACGTATGTCCAGAAAGGAGGGGAGGCAGCCACTTACTTGCTGCACGTCACTCAAAATGGTAGGTTGGGAGTCACAACTGGAAGGCGATCGCTGGCTCTTAGGGCATCTCGATGGGTCCGGGTACGGAAGAAGGAGTAAAATGAGTTTCTGGTTAACTCTATATGAAGTAGGATGTACCGTGTACAAATGGTGACCATTGCGAATGGTTCGTGCCTGGTGATTTTGACTTCAGATCAGTTTTTATTTTCCCCTCGAGTTTGCTGCAGCAGGTTGTGGGTTGCGTGCGAGCTGCAAACTCGTCTTAGGCGCAGGCGCGGGGCCCCTAGGAGGTGAGCCGTATGCAAGAATCCCACATTGGGGTTTGAAGATGGTAATTGAGTGTCTCTGAGGCAAAGGAGATGTTTTGTGAGAAAGGAAAATGTCACCCAGAGTATAAAGAGGAGAGAGGACGATGATAATATGGTTATACTACGAAGTTGAGTACAATGGGGTTGTAATCTCTCAGCCTTAATTAAAGTCATGCTCGCAATTACCTGGCCAGCAATGAGTCTTCCATTAAATGAGCCCTTAGATTTCATTTAACACATTGTCAACAGGTCCAGTGAGAACGTGGGAATGAGCTGGTTAGTGCGCTTCCTTCGATGGGGCCTCAGCCGAGGCGGGAGGGCGAAATATGACAGCTCCGATCTCTTCTGCTCCAAAGGCCCACCCAGGTTTAGCGAACATAATTAATCAATAACATTCTGGACAAAAGGAATTGTAGTCAAGAGTGTGGCAAGGATAGTAATTATTATCTAGACAACCCCCAGTCATATCCTGTATCCTCTATTGTAATTCTCAAAAGGGTCCATCGACTGAACGTGCAACTATTTAGGGCTCGGCCCCCTCAGCCACAAGTACGGAGTCCATACTCCGCAGTCCCATCCCAGCACCATGACTCGTCCACATCTGCCAGACTAACGAACGCCAAACGTCCGTGTGCGACTATCTACTTCAATTCCAAATTACCCTGCCTCGTCTGATTCGACACCTGACAGGCATTGTATCCCGGTCGCTGGGTCCTTGGGCGTCCCAACTCGGTGGTTTTCCTCGAGCGATCATCTCGCTTCGGGATGTTCTTCCCAAGCAGGAGAGGAAGGATTCGTTGGCCCTTCAGTAGTACTGTGACAGAGCGCGGCATAGCATAGCATTTCCCCCGTTTACTAACGTTTTTCGGTCGTTGAATGATATGGTCATTATTACGCAGTGGTTGGGGGTGGACCTGGTTCGGGGGACGTCGTGTGTGAAGATAAGTCATCTATCCTTTTCTTTAATCAATTCAAGTTCGGAGTATTTGATTAGCCATGACAGTTACTGTGTGATGGGATTTGATTTGATTTGCCAGAACTTTGTAGATGATAATCTAGCGCAATGGTAGTGTCCTTCATCAAGATTCACTAAATGCTGTGGGCTCCCCGAGACCTCCTCGCTTCTATTCGTTTCACAGTGATACCTCCGAACGTCCTTGCTTCATTACGTTTGATTATAGGGAAAGTCAATGATCAATGATGTTGTCCTTCGAAGGACGAAGGAAGGTCAACGTTTGCCCCCTGTGATTGAATGAACCTTTTTGCCGTCGTGGCAGATTCTCCTGAATATCGATGCATGCGATCGAGAGCTTGTGCTCTCTCAGGAACCCGTTCGAGGAGAGCACGTATGCTGCAGTGGGTGTTTCAAGATGGTTCATGATGTATCGAGATCGGAGTAGCAGAATTATTCTTTTGTCTTTTTTTTGTTCTATTTTTTCTATTTTCAAGATTTATTTTGTTTTTCGATCTGGGAATATGCAAGTCAAAAATCGTGAAACCGCTTTTGGAATTCCTTTTTATTTTCTCTCAAAATAAAGAATATCAACACATTCTCTCAGAGAGTCAGAGCCTTATATGATGTGGATATTCTATGACGAACAAATGAATATATTCTTTTCCACTTTTGAGTGACTGGCGGGTCTAGAATGGGCAGACTCAGCAGATCTCCTTCACTAGTATACTAGAGCATTTGTCAAGAGTCACACCCCACATGGGACACCGGAAGATTTCCAAGAGGGGGGCTTGACAGTGCTCAAGCTAGTGATGCATGGGCGGCCGTAGAATAATATGATGAGAAGACCGTGTACATTAGAATGTTCTTATTGATGATGATGAGCCTTTGGAAATTTGTTCCGAAATGACTAGGCGGAGCATCGCCGTTCAAGGGTCCTGAATATTATTACTATGGGCGACTATTGATGCAAGGGCCAAGTACCCAGCCTCGACTTCCTCGAGTCCTTTTCCCCGCGACGATCGTGACACCAACTGGCCGGTGACAAATCAAGGGCCGTGGATCCTCGCCCCGAACCTTTCTCTCGGGTCCCACCGTCCGGGTCTGATTCGTCGATCTACCAGGTGGTGACGACCCCGTTCGTCCGTGCAGGATGTGACAGATACGCTCGAAAACAACCCAGTCTTCACTGATAGACCCCCCTGTCTCCAAGGACCCCCCAGTCCAGAAGGCTCCGGATGGTCGACTTCGCTTCCCCGTCGTGACCGTGGGTCTTTTACATCCCGCCATGCGCCATGCAACATGCAACATGCACCATGCACAGTATCTGTCTGTATGAAATCCCGGTCCTCCGCGCTTGATGATCGGCCCTGATCGCTCATGGTTCCCCTCTCCTGGATCCTGGGGACGATGAATCCCGAGGTTTTTTTATTTTATTTTTATTTTATTTTTTCTCCCTTTTTTGCTGTCATCTTTTTTCAATGGTGGCTTGATACATGATTTTTGATTGAGGAGATGCCAAAAGTACCACAATATTTACTCGATACCTCTGTTTCTCTCCCTTTTCCCCTCAGGGCTCCTCCTCGTCATCGACATATAAACATGCATCCCCAGCCCCGTGTCCCGGAAACCTGGATTGTCTCATCCATTATCTTCGCCTTCACGCTCGTGGATCTTGAATCCTAGCTTCGTATTGCTTTGTTCATACCTCCTGCCCCTCTCTTTGTGCATCTACACCTTTTCGTGCGTATACATTGCCATTGTTGATCTGTGACGACCTCCTGCAACACCTATCCAACGCATCCAACCATCTTGTCTTCGACTGTGAATCACCTCGAGAAGGACGACGACACACCCAGTTGGTCGTTATTCCTTTCGTACATAGACTCGTGTGGCTTTTTTGATCTCAATTGCACCAACCCCGACTCCCTGCACATATCTATACTTTCGCGCCTTTTGACGACTTATCCATGATGTATGAGGAAATGGGTTCTATGACTGATGATATTCCGCGACGCTGCTCGCTTCCGTAAGTTACATACAAGCTGCCTGGAAGATTAAGGCATCATTCTAACAGATCTATCCAGTTCTTTGAAATCAACAACTTCCGCTATGAACAATACCAATTTAGGCGAGGAGCGCCGCTTGCCTCCTCTTCCACGCATGGAGCCTTTGCCCCGTGGTCCCTTTAATCCTTTCCAGCCCAACGATGCTTTTGCTCCTAGTACTCCGGGAGCCCAAGAGTCAATTCAATTCAAGTCTCCATGGTCCGGCAGTGACCAGCTCGTTGCACCTCCCTCGCCAGCTAACTCTGCCGAAAGCTCCTGGCAAGAGTCTTTTGCAGCTCAAAAGGCTACCTCCCCCGAATGGCCTACCGATCTCTCCCAGACCGAGATCATGACACTGATCGCGCCCCAGAACATCAACCGCAAGGCGCCCCTTCAGCAGCTCTGTGGTCGTAAGCGCAAGGGAAGCATCATCTCGCCTGATCCAGATGACCAGCGAGAGAAGCACCGTATCGCCGAGGGCAACCGTCGCAAGAACCTCAGTCAGCTGCACCGCGAGCTGGACAGCCGTATCCACGACTTCTTCTTGGAGCGTGCTGGTTGGAACCCATCCAAGAGTCTTCCTCAGTCCAAGGAACACATTGTCCAGGGCGCAGTCTACTTGATCGACTTCATGCTGGCGATCATCGTCCACCTGATCCGCCAGGAACAAGTCTCCCCCCAACTCTCCGAAAAGCTGCAGCCCCAAGTCCGCTGCATGCAACTACAGCAACTAGTGACTTCCCTCCAACAACAAAACCAAACCGCACAACAGCAACTGCGCGCCGCCAAGGCTGAGAACGAGCAACTGGCCGACCGCAACCGCGCCCTCGAGTTCCAGCTCAAGTCATACGAGCAAATGTTCCGCTCTCCCAAGCCGGAAAGCACCACCCCTTCTCTAATCGAGATCCCCGAGCACAAGCGGCAGAAGAAAGCTTTGCCCGGGCTACGAGTCTTTTGCGATGAGATCGGCGCCAGCATGGCCCCGGAAACCAACTCTATGCAGTCATACCAGCACCACGACGCTCTACCCAGCGCCACGTCACAGTCGTTCGGTAGTTCGTACCTCAGTTCGACGTCACCCATCACGGGCCCTTCATCCCCTGCGTTTCCTCCATCGCAGAGTTCCTCATTTGCCTTTTCGGCTTCGCGTCGTCCGTCCCTGCTTGGCTCACCATAAACCAAGGACGTGGTGGTCCATGAACGTATGCGAAATGTCTTGATGCTGATGTGTTAATGACTTCCCCTTCTACTCGCCATCATCTCCCGTTCTATCTTCCTGTTTCACTTGTTCGAACCACACTCTCCACCCCCTTGCAGGTGGCGGTGTTGACTGTGCGCCCCCGCCTCAACTTTATTCCCCCCTGCATCATGGATTACCGAACATTGTGATGAACTTTGCTCGCCAGATGTTCGGTTCGAATCAAGAACCACTATATGTCTGCTTTGTACCTTGTGGTCCTCTCCCCCTTAGCGTCTTCATTGTAACACTATTTGAACTTTGTGCTTTGCCTATACAACCAACCACGCCATCCACCTTCAACCTCCCAGAAAAGACGCGAGTCTTTCCCCTTCCATCCCTGCTCGGTGTTCATTTGTCTTATTTTCGTTGGTGCTGAACATGTTTATTCTTTTTCCCCTTTTCTCTCTTTCTTAGCTGGATCTTATACGCTCCATCAAAATGGGTGGCCCGTTTCTTTATCTTTCTTCCTTGCTTTGTTTCTATTTTCCTATCCTTTTCTTTTGTTTATCTTGGCGCTGTGACGATATGGATATACGACGTGGTGGTCACGTCTTTTCTTTGTTAATTTTTCACATCTTTTTTTTTCCTTTGGGGGTTTCTTGTCTATAGTTGATTGCCAATTGGATATTGTGAAACGGAATTGTCCTGGTTTGCAAGTAGTCATCAGGAATGCGTAGTGACCTTTGCGCGTAGTTTCAACTGGTGCGCTGGTGCTTGACTTCGACTTAACCTTGACACGTACACGACTACTATTCTGTAGGAAATTTCTTTAAGGCTCTCTGACGGAGTTATGCAGAGTTCATGCAGTAATTTACTGCACTTTCTGTGGGGCCTCTGTAGTTCGTTTCATGTATAGATAGTACGTGTGACGCATCAACCTTTTACCCAAGCATGGCCGGGATTATAGCATGATTCTACTTATTTATTTCGGCTGCGACGTGATAGTCTGCGAATTAACCTACGCCAGGAATACTGGTATGCTTGACATAAGTCGGGATTGATTACTGTGATATTTAAACGTGATAGCTCTACAGGTGTGAACATGTTTCGTAATAGTGTGTATACTTCAGAGGCACTGACTAGATTGGATGTACAGCAATAAGATGTGTTTATGTTCTGTTAGTTTTGGCACTCAGTAGAAGAGGCTGTGAATTGAGTAAATAATATACACATACTTTTTCAATGTTAGGCTCTTGAGTTCACCATTTTGATACTAGTTGCTCGGTCAAGTTAAGTCATACTAAAGTCTATACCTCGAGTAACTGAGTAAAGCGTGCAAAATATGAACGAATATGTTAATCTCTCAGATGGGTTGATCTATAGGTCCGCACTAAGACAGCCTTCTCAGAAGCAGTCACTTCCTGTGTGTGATATCCGAATTGAAGCTATTCAGAGTTAACAAGCAACCCCATCCTTTGAGCAACACTGTAAACCAGAGAGATATCGATGAAACAAGAACAGGCCTTATCGTGTCTCAATCTCGTGATAATGACGCCAAAGTTGTTTGTCTCTATAATCATAAGGCGCGATCCCCTCGAACATGATCCTAATACGCGTCGAGGACGTCTATCTCTCACTTGATACCCATCATCATCATCTTTCTATTTCCTACTCACTCTACCTCCAGCAAACGATCCGTTTCGATTGCTCCTATCCCGCCGAGTCATCTTCTCTCGCTTCGTCATCGCCTTTCGCTGAGTCGTCATCTCTTCTTTCCTCTTTTTCTCTCGCTGAGTCGTCGCTTTTCTGCCTCTATCAAAAGAACTCCTTGCGTAACGTCTCCACAATGAAGACTAAGACCAAGGCGTTGCGCAGAGCCGAGATGTACGAGATTCTCGGCATCTCGGAAAGCACCGAGGACCAGCTCCAGACTCGAGAGCTCCTCGGAGAGATGATGATTTCTCTCAAAATCTCATCTTTCAGTACTATAGACTCGAGGGAGCAGTACAGGGACGAGCTGCTGAAAGAGCTCACTGCATCAGAGCCACGTTTCTGCAGCGCCGTCCTGACTGCCCACGCCAACGACGCTGACAAGTGTATCAAGACACTGTACAGCTTGGCGAGACTGGTCAAGAAAGCATGGGGCCGTGGCTCTGAGAACAAGGCTCCGTCTGCGTCTGCGTCTGCGTCTGCATCGGCTTCGGCATCGGGACCCGCTCAGTTTGATACTCCGACTCCCACCGACACCACTACATCCGCGACCACCTCTACCTCTACAATCAAGGCTGAGGATGCAGCAACCCAATTCCCAGAGCCATCCGACCCCCAAATCAATACTAAATCTGGTCTCGTCTCTCCATCTACAATCACAAATTCGGAGGCCACGCTTCAATGCCCATACCCCGATCCACCATCCACCCCCCAAACCAACACCAGATACTGGATTGCTGATACCCAGATCTACTTCCGCGACGCAGCCATCCACCCCACCATCATGACCTACTCTGTCCTCCTCAGCGACCTCCTCCAAGACGCCGCACAACAAACCGCACACATCCTGCACAGCACATGGGTCGATATCACCGGCCTGAAATACGGCCTCTTCACTGCTGCCCTGTCACAGGGCCTGGAAGTATCAGTGTACGACCTGACGAAGCGTGATATCTGGATGCGGGTCGAAGATACCGTCCACTCGTATGAGTATGAGCATACGATTCTCAGGGAGGAGGGTGTGATGGATAACCTTGAGGATGCGTTCTTGACTATTGTTGAAGAGGCGATGGAGCATGCTTTTGTTGGGGAGTTGCCGTTGGCCAGGTCGCTGGGGGAGTATGAGGCTATGTATTCTTTTTTTATGGGGCATTGAGGGGGTTTGATTGATAAGGTGGATGTGTCTTTGTTGGTCTGTGTTTGATTCCGCATGGGAAAGGCGTTGTGCTGGATGTTTGTGGGTGGAAATATTTCTCTTCATGTCTCTATGATATCTATGAATCTGTAATGTGAGATAGTCTACTTAGTGACTGTGTTTTTTTGTAATGGATAGGAAGGTCTAGATAATACGTAGATATCTTCCTGAAAGTACAAGGTATGGTCATTGGTTACTAGATATTCTTGCACAGAGGCTATCTACGGCTAGTGTGAGAACACTGACGTGCTTACTAACCTATCCATTGTCTTAGCAGGTATATACACTATTAGTTCAACAATCCATGTTAGTATTGTCGAGTAGGCTCGACTAAGCAGGGTACTTCTAACTCTGTCGGGTGGCTGTAGTCCGCGTCATGAACTTTTGATTCTTCAGCCTGATTGGCTCATGACATAATTTGATTGCTAGCATCTTCATAACCTACGATCTACTAGTAGTTTGTAATAGTCGTTGCTTTCAAATTCAATCTCGATCAGTGAAAAAGAATGTAAACCAAAACGCCACAGCCGGCCGAAATAAGCAGCTTGTGCGATGGGTCAGTGACACGCAATTACTAGGGGCAAATTAAAATCGATAGACACTGGAAAAGATACGCTTGCGTATTACGAGTGTCAGGGGTAGCAAGCATTGAGGTATACAATCCACATGTTTGAGTTGTATACAGAATGATGAGTAGAACCAGAGTTCTAAGTTTTTTCATAGATCGGTGTAATTCTGACATGCTAGAAATAAGTGTCGGGGTCTTTCCCTCGCTGTCTGAAATAGAGGCCGGGAGGCAGGATCGAAGGAAAGAAAAGTGACAAGCACTCGGGTGTTGTTGGACTACTGTAGGGGACTGGTGTATACAGTGTGTGGGTTCTATAGTGCGATAGAATGATGGCTTCTATCAAAAACATTGTGTCCATTGCTCTGTAGTTAAATCCGTCCTATTGTAGTCCGACGGGGTCTGGACTCTGGTCCAGTGTGCTGGTGCTGATTTTAGCCGTTGCCCGCTTGGCAGCCTCCAATTCCTGCCAATTGCCCCCCGGCGATCCCGTCCTCCTCTTTTCTCTCTCTCTCTCTCTCTCCCTCCCTCCCTATCTCCCTCTTTCGGCCTCTCACCCATCACCATCTTCAACGACTCTTTGCGCGTCCTCTGAGGCCTCATTCGTTCGGTCGGCAAGGGGCTTTCGACGGGCGTGCCTTCCCCCCCCGCAGTGTTCCCAGAATCCGCAACTCTCTCTCGGACCAACATTTTCCTTGGCTCCTGAAATTCGAACTCTCCTCCCCCAACAACGATCCTCCACTCCCGTTCTTCATTCGAATACCTCGCTTCGTCTTGAAATATGCTGCTGCCAAAGGGCGGAGTCAATTGGAAGTCCGCCAGGGCTGGTCTGCCGCCATGGAGGGCGATTCTCGTTCTCCTGACCCGGACTCGCTTTTTGGTCTCCGTGGCTGTGACCGGTCTGGTTATCCTGCTGTGGCGTGGCGTTAGCAGGTCTGCGTCTGAGATGCAAAAGTATGCTCTGCGGGATCCCGTTTCTCTCTACTGTTCTCTATGCTAATCATCGCCGCGATGGCTTCAGTTTCTACTGCTATGGCTCCGCCAAATCTCCAATGGAAATGTCCCTCAACGAGATGGTCGAGTGGAATGCACACGCCCAGACCCCCGTCCTTTTCAACCACCACGAGCCCTACGAAGTCAACAGCACCTCCATCTCCGAAGTCGATCTCAACCCCATCAAGTCTACCACCCAGGCCTTCCTCAACCGCGAGCGCGTCCTCATCCTGACCCCTCTCCGCGATGCCGCCCCCTACCTCCCCAAGTATTTCGAGCTCCTCTACGCGTTGACCTACCCCCACGACCTGATCGATCTGGCCTTCCTCGTCGGAGACTGCAAGGATGACACCCTGGCCAACCTGGCTTCCGAGCTCGATCGCATCCAGAACCACGCCGATGAAAAAGTCCGCTTCCGCAGCGCGACGGTCATCAGAAAGGACTTTGGTGCCGATACTGAGATGAGTGTGGAAGAGCGACACTCCTTTGCGGCCCAAGGTCCCCGTCGCAAGGCTATTGGTCGTGCCCGTAACTACCTGCTCTACTCGGCTCTCAAGCCTGATCACTCCTGGGTCTACTGGCGTGACGTGGACATCACCGACTGCCCCGAGCGCATCCTGGAGGACTTTATGGCCCACGATAAGGATATTCTTGTGCCGAGTATGTTGATTCTAGCGGGAAGATGCGTTTTAAGCATGGGTGGATTGCGCTAACTGTATCTGACAGACATTTGGTTCCACCGCTACCGCGACAACCGTGACGTTGAGGGTCGCTGTATGTCTCCTACCTATACCCCTTGCTGTGTACCGTTACTAACTTTGACCCTCTTCTAGTCGACTACAACTCGTGGATCGAATCCGACAAGGCCCGCCGCCTGCGCCAAACTCTGGACCCCGATACCATCCTGGCTGAAGGCTACAAGGAGTACGACACTGGTCGGACATACCTGGTCAGCATGGGTGACTGGAGAAAGAACAAGGACGAGGAGGTGGAGCTTGATGGAATTGGTGGTGTCAACATCCTCGTCAAGGCCGACGTTCACCGTTCCGGTACGTAATTACGGGTCTCGTCCGATGCTAGAGAGAACACATTCTAACCACAACCACCGGTATAGGTATCAATTTCCCCGCATACTCCTTCGAGAACCAGGCCGAAACCGAGGGCTTCGCCAAGATGGCCAAGCGTGCCGGCTACCAGGTCGTGGGTCTGCCCAACTACGTGGTCTGGCACATTGACACGGACGAGAAGCCCGGCAACCTGGGAGATCGCAAGGCCTTCTAAACGAAACATTTTGCATCTCACATAACCAGTGAGCCACGTCGCTCCGGGGGTTCCAAGTTGATCTTTGCTCCCCCGATCCGTTCTCCCCAATCATCCCCTCTCCTTCGATTCCCCTCAACGACCACCGGGGGCCACCGCGAGAGGCTCCGTTTTATACTCGGTCGTGATGTCCACAGACACGGGGGTTCTCTTTGTGGATTGCCCCCATTTTCCAACCGTGACTGTGACCCCCGCCTATCCACTTCATTTTCATCTATTCTCGGAGGGGATGCTTTCGCGCGACGGAAGCCTAATGATTTTCCATAATCCACCTATTTTCGTTGTCGCGTTCTTGGGAGTGTGTGTGTGTATGTGTTGTGTCTTTGTTACCTTGGCGCTACGGGGGAAAATGCTTGTTTGGCATGATTGCAGGGTCTATATATAGAGTTAGCCGGTTCTCTGGACCTTTGTTTTTTTTTTTTGATATGCTTGGATTTTGTTGTTACCCGGTGGTTGACCCGGCCTACTCTGTCAGGCTCTTGTCTTTGAGAATGTCCCTCCTTCTACTGGCGCAGCTCCTGGATGAGGGCTAGCTTGGGCTCGCTTGAGTCAACTCCCCATATCATCGTCATCTTTCTTCTTTGCAAACATTCCTCTAGGCTCTAGGGATCGAGAACCGGACCGTTTACTGTCATTGTCATGTCATTTGATTCCAATCATTTTCTTTATCTCCCTTGCCGCAATCCCTGCCCTTGAGAGTCTACACCATGGATCCGGCCAAACCGCGGAGTCCGTTTGCTTTGCTTTTCTTTTTTTTTTTTTTTTTGGTTGCCCTTGTTGAACTGGTATGCTTTGGCTGGTCATATCTATTGGAAATTGACGTGGAGGAATCCGGTGGGATGATCTAGTTGAAACTACTTGACGACTCTCGTCTGGCCCTCCCAACTGGTCCCCCTAATACTGTACTAGACTGCAAATGAACCAGACGGAGGCATTATATGCGCCTCCAGCGAAATTCTCGTCCTTGCTAGGCTTCTCCACGCAATTTTTCCGTGCTAAACCCTGCTAATCCTCTGCTCTCATCCGAGTATCAACTCTCAACCCCACATCTTCTCGGCCTTGGGCCGAGTGTCCGCTCCCAGCCCTGGAGAAAGTCCCGAGACTAAGCAGAAACAGACACCTCACCCTTCTGTCTCCTTCTCCCTTTTCCTTCTCTGTTTTGTTCCTCTTCACATACCATTGGTCTACTTCCAACCCACCCACTTCTACTCCTGTACTATTCTTGTACTACTACCCACTACGTGTCTTGTCCCACCTCCAATGCCTCCCAAATTCCCCCTCCCCGCTGTCCCCCACACTCGGCACTACTTCCTCCGCGCCCCGTCCAGAATAATTCCGTCTTCTCATCACTCCCACCACTCTTCCTCTACACTCCCTTCCTCTTCTTCTTCTCTTCTTTACAACCGCGTCAAGTCCTATTCCAGCTTTACTTCCAGCTCCCTCCTACGACCCAATCCCCACAACCGCCTCAATCTCCACATCCGCGCCATGTCGTCCGCCCCCGCTAAGAAGGAGTTCCTCTGCATTTTGCCGGATGTGCCCGGTGCCCAGGCTAAGAGGTTGGAAGTGAGACCGTGAGTATTGTATACCCAGATGGAGAAGTCGGAGGAGAATTGAAGCTGCGGCAGGCCTGGGAAGTAATATGGATCAAGCTGGGCTGACTGGAATGGATTGTCTGTGTAGTTCGCATCTGGAGGGTGTTAGGCCCCTCGTCGTGGCGGGGTCTGTTGTTGCGGGTGGTATGTTTTGATTTCCTGTTCCTGTTATCGTTCCTATTACTGTTCCTTTCCTGCTATTGTCACTATCACCGTGTCTATTTGCCTTTACTTCTACCTGGGTTCAGACGACCTCCGTACACCAGACAACAACCAACACCAACACCAACACATCCCCCTCCCTCCCTCCATCCCACCTCCCCTCCCCATCAAAACCCAAAGAACCCCAATTCCCCAATCCATGACCCCCAGCTATTCCCACATCTACAACCCAAAACCAACCATTAAAATTCCCCCAAACTAACACAATCTCTCCCTTCTACCCTCCACAGGCGCCATGCTCGAATCACACCCCGCCGAAGGCGAAACCCCGTCTTTCAAGGGCAGCATGATGCTCGTCATGGCCGAGAACGAGGCTGAAGTACGCGCACTCTTGGAAAATGATATCTATGCGCACAAGGGTGTGTGGGATTTGGCTAATGCGCAGATTATTCCGGTACGTTGCGCCCACGCTTACGCCTACGCTTACACCTAACATATCATGTTGTGATGCCATGTGGTGTGGTGTGATGTGATGTGATGTGTTACGGCCGTTAAAGCGGTTGGACTATTGTGCTAATTTGTGCCGTTGTGCTGGGGATATAGTTCAAGTCTGCTGTGCGGAAGGAGCTGTGAGGCGAGTCTATTTCTTGGAAGAGGGGTAGGAGTATGGATAGATAGATAGGGCCAGGAAGAAGGAGGGCGATTGGGATTGGGATTGGGATTGCATCTTTATTTCCAGTCTTGGAGATTGTATCTTTGTCGCGGGGACGGACACGTCGGGTAAGGTTCTCGGTTAGCGTCGGTTATCTCGTAGATGGAGATTACTTAGAGGAATTACTATTTGCAATTTGCATGGATGCTTCATGAAGATATATTGAAAGATGGTGGCTAATTTGTTAGTATTGTTATGAAGTTGACTAGACTTGACGTAGATCATGGTACTTCCTCCGTGTTGGAGATAGGTGATACTGGCAGCGAGGATCCAAGAATCATAGGATTCTTCCTGAAGAGGGAGGCTAAGGTCTAACATCAGACTACAGGCAGTAAGTTAACTAAACATTTAACATTTCGTTGCATTCATACTTCCCCACCGTGCTCTCGGCAATACTCCATTTCTCCGTCCCCGAGAACTGGATACACGGGTCATGCTTCCCACTGCTTTCTCTTTCTGTATCTCACTCGCACATGGATTTCTATTCTTCTTTTCTCGAGTGCTTTCTTCTTGGCACTACCATGCTCAATATGACTTGTAAAAACAATATGCATGTTTAGTCACGTGTATAACCCCGCCCGAGTCCTTGGTTTGCTTTGTTGTCTCTCAGTATCTTCGTTTTCGAATTCAGCAATCTTATATCACTGTGCGGGTTTGTTGTCAAGCAAGCCTGTCTTATAACCTGATAACTCCTGCGCCTAGAAACTGGCTTTCCTTCCATTTCCAGACTTTACGAGCAATCTCCATGTCTCGGAATCTCGACGATGTAATATGCCTTCTAGCGTCAATACCCGACGGACAACTAGATCGGAACCCTAAGACACGGACACAAGAGCCTAAAACAAGAGACATAGATATTGATTCAGAATCTGGCTCGAGCGACGAAGATTTAGATGATATAGAAGATCTGGCAGTGCTGGGCACCAATCCCAAAAGTGAACAGCACCTCGCTGAGCTGAAGAATCCATTCCTCGATCGACTTGCAGAGACACTAGCTCGTTTCAAATCCGATCCTCAAGATAGGAGGTCAAAAGATGCAAAAAATGTTTCTGCGACTATGATGATATGTCACGAGAAAGAGGAACGGGCGAAGATTTTTTGCACTAAGAATGAGGGACGTGATGATGAAGATCGTAAATTTCTCAATAAATGGAAGGCGCATAGGGAAAAAAATTGCCAGAGAAGGCGCGATTCAGTACAGTGGCTACAGTATGTTTCCCACTCGGACCCACTATCGGACGTCCTGGGCTGGGGTGACATTAGTATTTAACAAGCACGAATCTTTAGTGTGTCAGGTGGAGCAATAAAAGCAAATCCGTAGATAATGAGGCGGCCAACGTGACGCCGCCTCTTAACAGCCATTCAGCTGACTACATCCTGACCAATCAGTCTTCTTGACACATGGCTCTAGCTCTAAGTCACATGGGATTTAAGGCGCACCCCATTCTGATGGAAAGTTCAACTTGGACGGCAACTGGCACCGAAGTTCCCCAGCACCGTCACTTCTCCAAAAGAAGTCTTATTATTCATGGCTGACTTCTTCTACTTCAATCTTTGTCCAACACCCTGCCTCATTTCCTAAGGACTAATGAGATGGTTGAAAACAAGGTAAGCTCCTCGGACCCAAAGCCGTTCGAATCATTTACGGCGTTTTCCCATTGCGTTTGAATATGCAATTGTCTGATGCTGATGCCGTCTAGGACAAACTATTGAGACCTCCCTTTTCCTTGCGACTGCCAACACCGGAAAATCCCTCGGACCATGTCCGTCGAGATTCTACAACGAATGGGCCCCCGTCGACGCCAACGAATTCTGCTGGCTGTGTCCCTCAAGAGCCCATTCAAAATGGAGCTGTGACTCCTCCACTTGCGTATCCCACTGACAGCAATACAAATGACCACGAATCACCGCTCGCTGGTGATTTCCAGCCGCAGCTAAAAAGCACACCTAAAGCTGCATCCTCTTCTGCCCTGCTGGTGAACTTGCCGACTATCTCCCGGAACAAAGATCACCACGTCTTTTCGGTTGCAGATGATGTCGACGCATATCTCGAGCGTGACCTGGACCACTCCCGGCTCAATAGAATACACGGGCATCTTTGGATGGCCGGGAGACCCCTAAATGCCAGGCCGATACACCGACAGAAGATGATGGGGTTTGATATCATTCTCACCGAGCAAGCGGACCTCCACCTACTCAAATTCTCAAACAAGATCTTCGTCAAGCCGCTTCCTAATTACATGCTCGATTTTCTGTTCTGGGAGACGTATCTCTGCAAATCCGAGGATCTTCATAAATCCGCTTGTGGAATTTTGCTCTCCTATGTTTGGCTAATCTGCTCGCCGCTCGACTTGAAACTAGCTCATAAGCTAGACCTCCTACCGAGTGAGATAACATGGCTCTGGTGGAAGAGTTTTGTGGCAGAATTCATCTTACATAACGATCCAAACACGCTCGACAAGGTCAATAAACGCTACCACTTTGGCGAGCTACGGCTCGGAAGGATCAACTCGATATACAGGATCCGCTTTTTCTTCACGCACTTCATTCGCGGCTACTTGTACGGCTACAACCGCTATGTAGTTTTCTTCCAGAGAAATTTCGCCTGGATACTCATCGTATTGGTCTACTTCTCTCTCGTGCTCACGGCCATGCAGGTCGGCGCCACGATCCCGCCACTGAACACAAACACCGCCTTTCTGCAGGCTTCTTACGGCTTTTCCGTGTTCTCGATTATCACCGTGGCAGCAATCGTGGGTTCTTTGGGAGTTATGTTCGTTACGATATTCTTGATCAACATGTTCCTGGCGATTCGGCAGGAGCAGAAGCAAAGGAGGGACCGGGAACTTCTCGCCCAAAAAAAAGAGAAAGGTATAGCCAAGGCTTAGGCATGTCATATTAAAGAACCCTTCAGATTTAGAGTGTTCGCGTAGGCAGATTCCTTTAATCAAGTCATCTGATAATCTGCGATTCGGATTTGTGAAAGGAAAGAAAGAGGACTGCGATCTCTATAGCTGAGCTTCCACATTGTTTAGGTCTCGCCAAAACTCTGTCAGAACCCCCAGCTCCCGGTTAAAATGACAGCCGCCCGAGTTCAGCGCTCGACATTATCGCATAGTGGACGTTGACTGGAGTCTTTAAACTCCCTGATTTTGACGAAGAGTAACATCTGAAAGCTTGGTTAGTGATATGAGATCTAGTCAAACCCTCTCGTTGTTAATATAGGTTCCCGTTATACATATACACAACACCTAGCATGGATACGACAGACCCAGCTCAAAATTGTCTGAAGTGGATGACACATTAAAACTTGATTGGCGATTGACACACAGCTTGACATAAATAGAAACTGATGGCTGCGAGATGGTTATGAGCGAAACAAGAAGTTTTCAGCAGCCAAGCTCGCAAGGACGCAATAACACAAGTTCATCTTCTTCAAACTTTCCCAGATCATCTACTTAGTCCCTTGGTCCCTGGCTTGTCGTGCTTTCATTCGAAGATCTGCGCTCTGGAGGTGTCTGGTCCTTCCCCAGTCAAGCAGGCGGGAAGAAACTATCATTGTCTTCGAAGTAGAGATGGTGAATTCGGTCGGCCTTGGTAACATTCTGCTTGTGCGAGAGCAGGTAATTGCGGCACAATATCGCAAGGGTTGCTTTAGGTTTTTCTCCAGCAAGAACATTGATAAGGCAACATTGGGCAAAGAGGCGAGATGGAAGCGATATGACCGGCCTCGTTATCTCGAAAGCGATGAGGAAGACATGGCGGAGGTCTCTATGAAGGATGGGTTTTCACTCGAAGATTACGGTGACATGTTCGAAACAAAATCAGGAGAGATATTTGTCTCAACATAAAACGCCAATTTTAAAAGTGATGATGACCCTCTTTTTCATTTCTGTTCTGCTATGTTATCGCCTAAGCTTCTTCTAAACACTCACCCGCTGGAGTAGAGTGCTGAGCCATAAAGTAGTGACCAGCCCTCACACCTGTTACCACGGAGCCAACACCTGAAGAGGAAAGCGATACTCCGCCAGCGCAGCAACGACTGCTCCGGGCCGATACTGCGCCCTAGTCACTGCTGAACGAGTTCCAATAGTAGGAACGAGGATGATACTAGATTTCGATAAGCGAATGTTTTGAATGATGAGGCGAGGCAAGGTAGAAAGGTATCCGTATTATATACCCCCTATTAAGAACGGAATTCAACCAGGGTGTTAGGTGACAGGACATCGACACGTAGAAGCCTAACGATTCTGATAGAAGGATTGTCACCCACCGCCGTTTCAGACGAACAACTTTCCTAACAAGTCTTATTCTGTGTGTCCCTTCTAGAGGGCCGAGCCTTAAATATCTAGTCGTTATTGTCCAGCATTAGCTTAAGAGACCCAACACGTAGCGGTTGAAACCAAGGCTGCTCTCGTCACACGAGGACGGCCGCCGGGGCCAAGGGTGCTTAGACATCGCTAAACATTCGGATTTTGGCACTAGTCGAGGCGCCACGATAGTTATTGTTACGCTGCTAACCGAAGAGCCGGTAAGGCGACTAGAGGCGCAGGGTAGCAGGAAGGGTCGGTAAAGGCCGACTATCGAGCCGTCAATAACTAGTACTATACCTACTACGTGGACTCTGAATCGCTGATGGCTAGACAACAGGCAAGGCAACATTCAAGTCAGCCTCGCCGTTGATGTGGCTAATCCTAGGTAGGAAATTCGATATGTGCAGGTGCTAAGAGACCGTGGTTTCAGAAAGGTTTAGATGAGCTAATTGCGCTGTAGTTAATCTTAGCCAGGAGGGTCTGTACGGCGGCCGCGCGATGGATGGTGAGAATCACCCGCATTCAAGTAGCTTTTTATCCCGTCTATTGCGCACTTACCCTATCTTACCTGGTCGGGCGACCCTAAAGCGGCGCTCACCCATTTCTCACCCTGGAGGCAGCTACCCGACTATTTGCCGCACATAAACCACACGCCGGCCAGTTAGTAGTATGGTGGGTGACCATATGCGAATCCTGGCTGTTGTATGTCCGTGTTCACCCGTTTTTTGTCATTCGTTGGGACATTTCCTCTTGCCAGTTTACTCTTCAGCCTTTCAGGCCCCTTCACCTAAACACCCTGAAGCCGGCTCGGTAGTGTGTACGGCTCGCTTGTGAATCACATTATTTAGCGAAATGCCAACTATCGTATTTGGAGGTAGATCTTCGCTACCGTCGAACCAGACCTCCATAAGAGCCGGCCGCTTTTGAATATGAGTAGTGCATTCATTTGCCACATATCGGCAGCAATACACTCAAGCGTAGTAATATTTTCGCCTTGCTCAGTCTCAGCATGATGGGAAAATCTCTTGCTATTCTTCCTATCAACCATCTTCTGGTTTTTGCCCTCGCCTGGCAGGAAGCCGTCCTTATCAAAGTTACATACTAGCCGTGCAGGCACGCCTTCAAGCACGGTTTTAGCAGATCATACGATGGTGTAGTAGGCCTATATCTTCTGATTGGATTCGTTTCAATTCCTTTATACGCTCCTTCACTGGGCGTAGCTGTAGGTCTTGTGGGAGGCGCTCAGTATAATACATCTATGGATCTTGCTAATCTTTTGTCTAGGCGTACTAGCGCGCGCAAGAGAGTGGTTTGCCCACGCCTTGATCAGCTAGGCATTAGTGGCTTATTACAACCGTTCAATTGGCCTTTTCAGGGCATCCAAGCTTCGATTATGTATGGATTGCGAAGATCGAAATGCATCTGAGCTCTCTTATATGCCAATCTGCCTATTTACATAACGTTATGTTATGAGCCAATTGTGGAGGATCGTCGTATCGAAGGAGTTTAGAATGGACAATTCGAGCTATTTTATGCTTCATTTGAGCCATCTCAGAGATTCGAGCGAGATCCTTTCTGAGTGGGTAAACGACCTTCTCACCATAACGTTATGCGATACGAAGGGAATGCCTCAGCGCATGAGGTCGGCAGGGTGGAACCAAGCAGACGAGTTGATCAACGAAATAACGGTGGCTCCCATCTGTAATATTGACTGTTTTGATCAGTCTTGATCATTCTTACCTAAATGGATGTTGTGATTTTGACCGCATTCATATTCGAGCAGACCACATCTGACCCGGTGATTGATCTCCAGAGAGCTCAATGTTGAACATCATATTGCACTACTATTTCTACTACGATAGAAATGGTCGTCTAGACACCTTGTTAGTCGCGTGGTTTATAGTTGGCAACTCATATCAGTAAAGTCCGAATGGTATCACTTTGGCATTCGTTCCGACGCAATCGACAGGAAGGAGTTCCATACATGGTAGGAAGCTCAAGGACGTTATTGTCTCCATGTATCTGCTCCTTTCTATGCGAATCCGTCATTCTCTCATGTTGTCGTTGTCCATCAGCAACAGTGTTACCCACTACATTACTATTACGCTCGACACAGTTATTCAAAACGATTAAGCCAACTAGGAAAATATACACCATCTCACCAAGTAAACGCCTCCTCCACAAAATCCACCGCAATCCCCCGATCCACCTGCCGTCGAGCCGCCTCCCTCACATCATCCCCCAACGCTCCAGGCCCACAAACCGACACCACCGTCGCCCCAATCCTCCTCGGGATAATCTCCTCCAGCACCGTAGCCGGATTACACCGCCCCGCAAACGTCCGGATGACACTCCCCGGCGAGCGCATCTCGCCGGGACTCTTTGGCTTCGACACAAACAGCATGATCGTCAGGATTGACTCCGCGTTCGGCATCTGCAGGATTTCCTGGATATACTCCATTACCCAGCGCACGCTGTCCATGCCGCGTACGGCCCAGACCAGCGTGATGGACCGCGTGGCGGCCCGGCCGTCTGCTGCGCGGAGAAGCAGATCCCGGATGAAGAGGAGGTGGTGCGTTATGCCGACGCCGCCGGAGAATAGGACCGCTGTGCCGTAGCTGGCCATGCTGACCGCGTGGGAGGAGTACGGGCCCTCGAGGAAGCCGGTTGCCGTGAATGTGTCGTCCGGGGAGGCCATCGCGCGATCGTACAGCGCGCGTGTCATGCCCTGCCGTGCTGCGACGACTAGTGTCACTGCTGTGTGGCGGAGTGGAGAGGATTGACTTTCGAGGGTGAGGGCTTTGGTGTCGTTTGTCCACGATTGTATGCTCTTTCGGTTGGGGGCGCTGGCTGTGGTTTCTGACCAGGCGGCGGAGAAGGGGTGCGACATCCACCAGGAGATTTGAGGGATGTAGGCGTAGAAGTGGCTGCCCGGTGGGACGGGGTAGCGTTTGGGGAGAAAGAATGTTAGACGGCAGGCTTCGCCGGGAAGTGCTTCTACTCGTAGCTTGGTCATGCCGTGCCGGCGAGAGACATTCAGAAAAACAAGCCAGAGGAGACGGGTGCATCGTTCTGCACTCCAGATGAGAATGACCCATTGGATCCATGGCTTTTGCGGCAGGCTGTGCATGTCGAGGTGCAGGTATATGCCCAAGCTGATGAAGAAGGCGCCAACCTGATGGATGCCGAGAAAGGTTTCGTAGAATGCGTGCCGTACAGGCGAGAGTGAGTGAATAATAAAAAAGGCCATGATCGCAGTTGCAAGCATTCCCCAGGCGTAGGAGGGCGTTTCAGCAAGGTCCTGAGAAAGTGCTGCCGTGTTCCCCTCGCGGACAGTGTTGACAGCCCAAGCAGCCATGTGAATTATGCTCTCGACGGCAGCGATGCGGCCTAGCCATCGGTGGAAAAGATTATATGAGTCGAAACTGATCCGGAGGAGAGGGATCAAGGGGTTGTTGCGGGTTGCAAAGAGCACAAGAGGGATTATGTTCACCGTGGCCAATGTACCGGAACGTCCCCGAAGTTCTGCAATGATGGCGGGCGTTTCATTCTGATAATTGAGGTCACAGCAGTAGACAATCTGGCTAAAAATATATCCAAAGATAAGAAGTGACTGAAATCGAGAAGGGAGAGTGCCCATATTGATGGCCGACGAGAGCTGGATCTCTCGGTTGTGGCGCTTGCTGAACAATGGCGCGTAGACAAGACGGCTTTTGATTCGAACCCAGAGTGATGATTCGGTGATGCTCCAGACGGATTGTTGCTTTTCAGATATACTGGAACAGACGGTGTAGCGAAGATAGGTATGCCCGATTTGAGCCAGCCGCACGAGGAGGACCATCCCAGCGAAGGCCAACATGGACGAATAGATGATCTGGACAAAACGAACATCACGAGGAGTGTTGAGGCCAGCATGACCTGTGGAGTAATCCACCACTGACTGGGTAGTCATCTTGATGATGCAGATTAATAAACTGCAGAATGATCAACGAAGCAGCGTGCTCACTGCGTATATAAAGTTCCCCTATTACTCCAAGTATTCTTGATTCCATGATCAAACAAGCATACCAGCATGATGAACTTTATTTTGTCATTTTCCCCAATGGTTGCTTTTCTAGGCGTAACAGGCCATGGCATATCTTGATACAATGAACCGCGAGTGGGTTTGCGTCTGATTCCATGAACTTTGTCGGTTTTCAACCTGGATAGTTCGACCTATCTACGGAGATGTTGACAAATGAGAAGCTTCTGTCGTTCTCCATCGTTCGAGGGAAGACCATCGGGCCTAGCGTCATCTGTCAACTGACAAGTTCAGGGTCTTGGTGAAACCTACATAGGGGTCATCCATGGGCAAAAGCTGCTCCAGTTTGCCTCCTGTCATATGCAAGCGATATCTCTTGTTTTGGAAAGGAAGTCCGAGGGGTTTCGGACGAAGCTTCTCCTACCTTGACTCAGTTTGAGACGTTTTGGTGAAGAGGATGGGGATGGCCACGAACCATGCTGTGCAAGCTTCCTTCGATGCTGAAACATTCGTTGCTCCATCATGTTGTATTAGCTTTGCGGGGAAGCAGGAAGTTTGAGATATCGATCTGGATATGAGGTATTGGACGATCTGAAACTCGCGAGTTGCGAGGGAACCAATTCCTGCTGCTGAAAATCCTGGACAACTAGTGCGTCTGGTATGTAACTGTTCCCCACTGCGTCAGAGTTTCTAATTATAGTCCCAAAACTGGACATTCAGGGATATCTCTCGCTGGAGTCGTGGCCTCGCACGTATAAGTCCTGAAACCTAGATTAGACTTCAAACATATACCCTCACTCAGCTTGCTCGCTGCCGCTATCATATGGGAGTGTTTACATCGAGGTTTGGGGGAATTAGGGTACAGGTATTCGTCTTTAAGTATGGGAAAAAAAGTGGGGCTATAGCAGGGTGGAATTATATACACTTCGTACGATGCTCAAATTTAGGAAGTTCTAAGTTCATACAAGACGTCTCTATATTCTGAATTTTATTATTGTACGACCATTCTGGAGGGGGTGGTGAATTTTTGAAGTTCACCGAATTTTTTTGATGGGGTCAGACCAGAGACATATCTCCCATACAGTCCCACTCTAGTCAAAACGGGTACGGAGTAGAGTTAATATTTTTGCATTTTTTGGAAAATCTTTTTTTTTCTTGGTTGGCAACCTTCGACCGTCAACAAGTGGTCCAATATTATCCAATCTGTCACATAAGGATCAACGGATTGGATGATTATCTTGAAGCCAATACTAGAGTACCGTTGAAGGGGTCGTATGGCTCCGTAGTTTCGGTGTGTGACAGAAACAATACGAAATGGGACGCTATGGAGCCTCACGTCCCTATTAGTGCTAAACAGAGTCAACACTCGCTTATGTCCCTTTCCTATTCACAGTAAGACAATTTACCTTGATTGCTTATTATCAATCTCATTTAGATCAAAAAAAGAAAGATCGTTCTATTTGATAGACATAATAGAAAACAACACAGAAGAGCGCAGCGAAGTGAAAATAGGCCAGGCTGAGTGAAGAAGTGTGAAACCATCTCCTCAGGTGTATTTTAGTGTCTTGTTAATTTCTTTCCATGCTAAAATACCCGAATGCGACTTTTGGTGGCAGGTTTTGGCTCTTCAGGTGAAGGGCTGAATGGGACCTGAATAGGGTGGCGAGCCACCTTTGACAAAAAATCGTGGGCGCTAGGTGAACACCAACATACAGTAGCTGTTGTATGTTTTTTGTTTTTGGAAAAAGAGATCTCGTAAGTCTCATCGCGACTTATACGCGCAATCCTCCCATGGTCTTTCATCGACGGGGGCTATATGGCAGAGGAAGCCTGAATACCAGAATTCGTCTTTTCGGAACTTTGAGTATGTCAATCTGTTGTACTTCTCGCGATACGGCATTCTTATCTCTCGTAGGCGCATAGCGACGATGCCGACTGTTTTCGATAACGGCTTGCTCATCACACCAATACACGATAGGCCCGGATACGCTTCGGTTATGGGGACTGGAACTAATCATGAGTTGATGGAGGTGACACTCCAAGAAGCAGAACGCCTCAAAGATAAAGATATCCGTTCCATGTTCAATCTTGAGCCTTTGAATGCAATGCCTCCCATACGTGCTTTGCATGTCTACAAATGCGGATTTTGTCGTCAACCATGCGATACTCGCTGCTCAGCTTGTCGCATGGCCTACTGCTCCAGAAAGTGTCAATCGAAAGACTGGATTAGACATGTTTTTGTCTGCTGCGTCAAGAACTGGCCCAACAATGTGGACTACTTGAAGCTTCTCAGTAGACTATGGGTTGTTGCGGGGCGAGACAACATCAGCCGTACACAATATCTGACAGCTTTGTTCCGTGACGATCATTTTTGCAAAACCTTTGGTTTTGATCAATGCATGCAAGAAATGGAAGTCACTTACCTTTTCTGTATCTACCATAACGTGACCCGTGCATTTCAGAATAAGCGCCTTCGGCATTTCGCCGAGCAGAAGGCTTTGGATCAACTCATTGAACACTAGATACGTTACCGAATGTCACAGTCTCAGGATCACGAATCCGAGTGTCTTCTATGGTTCCTCGATGCGCGTCGGTCAGGGACCTTGAGTCTCACTAGTACTGACGGCTCATATCTCCATCAGCTCTGGGCCGAGCGGGAGGTGGAAACTAAATTCTGGATCAACCAAGATAGCGATCTGTCCACGTTAGAGTACATTGTTATCTTCCTCTATCGGATTCTGCTCCGAGACTTCAACAATATCCCCAATAATGGAGACGCAGAGTGGATCCGCTTTGGCTTTTGCTACTGCACAAGCAGATCTCAAAAACAACTCCTTACGCAGCATTACATTCAGCTTGCAGAACGCGCATCGCTCAGTCAGATTGCCGGAGCTTGGAAGGCAGATGATTTACACGAACTTATGGCGAGTGAAGAAATCGACACGTCATCTCTCACTTCTCATGGAATCTATCCTCGTCAACCATCACCAGAAACGATCGGAATCTACCGCCTCATGTCAGAAGTTTCACACACTCTGAGCGGGTGTGCAGTATGCCAGGCCAGAAACCTGTCATGCCAATTTCACTCAAAAGAAAATCCTTCGCTTTGCTCCGAGTCCGAAATTGACTATGGTTTCCACGCGACCAGTACCTGGGAGCGCTATCAATTGCTGAATTTTTATTCCCAATTGTTTGAACATCCTAAATTTAGTCCACACAAAATTCAGGAAGCAAGGCGAGATCCCGATACAAAAGCATTTGAGAAATACATCGAGGTTTTGGTCCCGAACTTTCGCAGGGCACTCGTCAACGAGCACTTAATGGATGGAATGTTTCCCAAGTTCGGATCCAGAATGCAACTTCGTGGAGCTTAATCCGTCTTGCGACTGTTCTATTCACAATGTGGTTGTATCTGAGGGGACTCATTCTGGTGCGCTTATGGGAATTTATTGTATTCGCCAGACATATGAGGAGCGAAAAAACAGAGAGCAGAAATTTGAATGACTGGTGAGATCGTTGGTGAGATCGTTGGTGAGATCGTTGGTGAGATTGTGGAAGAATGAGTTTGATATTTGGGTTTCCGCATTCGTTTATGGTTCTATGTTCTCGTGTACTTCCAGGGTATAATTTATGACGATGAAAGAGCCACTCAAATAATTGACACGAAAGCTCCACGAATCCTCCACATCCCGAAGATCCTCGGAATTTCCATCTGGGGTATGGATTTGTGGGGTAAAGTAAATTAAATGCCGTCGCCAAGGGCTGAAGGATCCACTCCGGACGGAGGTTCCAGGAAGTCTTGATCGCTGGCATTTAGCTCGGGACTCTGTAATTGCCGGATATTATTTCGGGGTTATAGTTTGGAGTTGGTATAAACCGTGCGCGAGGAGCTTGAACTTTCAATAGTATCAAGGATAGAGGGGGGATTGAGAGGGACTCTTTTGAGAAGAAAAGACACTGATAACGACGATGGAGTCGAGACGTATAGCTAATCTGAAAGGCATACAACGATTCGAAGGTTGTGCGTTCCAGGAAGTGTATATGAACCTGCCAATTCCACTTTTGCTTCGCCATAGATGCGATTGTCGAGGAAGAAGCCTAAGGGATGAGTGCCATCAGGCCTATTTCCTAGACGTGTCTGGTCTGTGACCTACGTCAGCCCGACTTGCAATAGATTCGTCAATCACAACATCACATCTGATCTCAGAGATGAACGCGATCAGATTAGCCAGGCATCTTGTCCATGCTCAGTATTCTGACGAGCCCTACAGCTTACTAGAATCTGGAAGTCCCCGATGTTCGAACGTAAATTAGCCGTTCGGCAAACGTGGTGAGGTTGGGATAGTTAGATGGGGGATACCCGAGGAAAGCTCCGCATTCACTCGGACATCCCGAAGACCCTTCCGTACGTCCACAAACTCCAAGGGAAGTTCCCCATGGGGAATAATCTGTGGGGAAAAGGAAAACAAGTTTCATATTTGAGGCTACAAAGCCTGAGAAGGACGGGTTTTCCGTGGAGACTAGATCGCATAGATAAAAAGCATGGCAGAGCCCTTGTTGACTGTTTCCTCGTACTCTGTATTGTATACCCATAATGCCGCGTTTGATAAAATCACTTTGTCTCGCGAGTCTGTTTCTGGCCAATGCTGGCGCCTCAGGTGCCCAGGGTGCTGTCCATGCCCCTGGACATACCCAAGAGCCTAAGCGGCCTAACTTTGTCTTTATCATGACAGATGATCAAGATTTGCATCTTAACTCGCTCGATTATATGCCCAAGTTGAAGCGAGTAATTGCAGATGAGGGGACTGTCTTTCGACGACATTTCTGTACCATTGCTGTTTGCTGCCCGTCGCGAGTCAGTTTGATGACTGGCAAGCTGGCACATAACACCAATGTCACTGATGTAGTTCCTCCATATGGTAGGAGAAACCACCGCTTGATGAGAAGCCCGCAGAAATGGCTAATATAATACAGGTGGATATCCCAAATTCGTGGCAGAAGGCCATAACGATAACTACTTGCCCGTCTGGCTACAAAATGCTGGCTACAACACATACTGTACTGGCAAATTCCTAAACTCACATTCCACTTCCAACTACAATAATCCTTACCCTAAAGGATGGAACGGGACAGATTGTACGTCACTCTGTTATTTATGGAAACCCCCGCTCTGGAATTGACCGTTGCTTGCAGTTCTCCTGGACCCCTCCACTTACAGCTACTGGAACTCCACTTTCCAGAGCAATCGTGCTGCCCCTGTCGTGTCGGGTGGCTACTCGACCGATTTGATCTCTAATTATGCGCGCGGATTCATCCAGGAAGCACATGGCTCCGACCGCCCGTTCTTCATTGGGATTGCTCCCATCGCACCACACGCGAAGACGGCTGCGGTGGAGGGCTCGTCAATCCCAGCATTCACCAATCCAGCTCCTGCGGAGCGACACGCGAATAAGTTTCCCGATGCAAAGGTTCCCCGTGGAGAGAACTTCAATCCCGACAAGGTATGAGTTTCCCTGTGATCTTAAAATGGTCTAATGTTGACCAACTCAGCCGAGTGGTGCTAGCTGGGTCTTGAATCTGCCGCGGCTGAACTCCACCGAGGTCACCTATATGGATGAGTATTATCGCAGGCGACTTCAATCTCTGTAAGCAGTTGATGAGCTGGTAGAGAGCGTAGTGGGCAAACTTGAAGATTACGGGCTGCTGGACAATACTTATATCTTCTACACGTCTGACAACGGATACCATGTTGGACAGCATCGCATGGTCCCCGGCAAGGGATGTCCTTATGAAGAAGATATAAATGTCCCAATGATGGTCCGTGGTCCTCGAGTACCCAAGGGCCGGACGATGGACGTCGTCACCTCGCATACCGACATCGCTGCTACTCTATTCGATCTGGCTGGTGTCCCCTTAAGAGAGGATTTTGATGGACTACCGATGCCCTTGACCAGTTCAGAGATGCAGGATGCTAAACACGATCCACGCCGCGAGCATGTCTCCGTTGAATACTGGGGTACGAACATCCAGGAGGGTGACATCGGGCGAACTTCAGCCACTGGTGCAGCTGTGATCTATGGCAACAACACCTACAAGGCTATGAGGGTCATTGGCGACTCATCTAACCTGTTCTACTCAGTCTGGTGTACCAACGAGCACGAACTATATGATTTGAAGGTTAGTAATTCTGCCCAAGAAAAAGTTGGTGTGACTTCCTTTGATCTCCAGCAGCTTACACTCGCTGCAGAATGATCCTTACCAAATGCGGAACCTTTTCAAAAGTTCCGAGAGCAAGCTACTTGGTCGGGATATCAAACAAGTGATCTCTCGACTGGACGCTCTCTTGCTTGTGCTCAAGAGCTGCAAGAGCTCAGAATGTACCCTTCCATGGGAGGTGCTTCATCCGGATAAGAGAGTCACTAGCCTTTCTGAAGCACTGAATCCCAAGTACGACGCTTTCTATGCAGCTCAGCCAGATATAAGCTTCTCAGCGTGTGAGTTGGGATACTTTCCGGAGTCGGAAGGACCGCAGGAGGGCTATGCATACCGACGCAATGGAGACTGGAGTAACTGGGCATAGAGATCAGGGCATTGATTCCTGAAGACATCTATCTACGTCACGCACAGGAAGGAAGGAAGAAGCAAGCGGAGGAAGCTGGTCTGGAGAGAAATCTGTCAATCTCTAGCGAGTCTAGGAGATCCGGCTCTACTGAAGGAGAAGAAAAAGAAGAAGCACAGCAAGCCAGGTAGGAAACCGAGGTCTAGATAGGCCGTCCAACGAAGCAGCAAACTGCAGAGAACTATCAGCAAGAAGCCTGAAAGGTCCTGCAAACACGATCGAAGATGAGGGAATCTCCATCTCGAACATCCGACCTATTAGTTCAAGAGAGTGCAACTTTATAGAGAGAAACTTGAAAAGAAAATAATGCGTATATCGATTCGCTCAGCGATACCAAAGCTACTCATGGCTAGGCATTGGACACGATTTACTGAGAAACAAAATCTTGATACCTAAAGCATCGATCGCTTGATTGGAAAGCTTTCTGCTCTGATACCGGTACGATTCCAAGTCTAATTGAGATAATAACCACAAGGATTCTGGAAAGGTCACAATATCTCTAGCCAAACAATACGCTCGTAGCAAAGTTAGCTAGGCCCATTGGCTGCGCTATAAAGTATATTTCGGAATGCACTGACCGAGGGTTTACACATGGAGCTGGCATTGTAGGCCGCTTATTCATGTTTTCCACGCCTATCTAACCAGCCATTACGGCAGCTGAATAAAAACATAGCAAGTGCCCTAAACGGGATCCCGGTTGTACAGAAAAGGCCCCGAAGTCTCGCACGATGTTTTGCTCGATAGCTTCACAAGTGGCGGGTTACGAAGGAATGTATAAGTAGAAGTATCGATATCCGGTTTACATACTAATAATCCACTATGATCTCTGCCAGGATTACAACGCGATGGAAATCCAGGTTTATATAGGCACTCACTATGGATTCTAGGGTCTTAACAGGAATATATAGCTGTCAATAATGGCTATGAATTCCAGTATGGCTGAATTGGGCCCTGGAGGAGTCTGCTGTTTAATGGATGTTACACGAAACTAGTGTTGATCTTTGGAGTGCGGCGTATATGTCGGCCACTGGTCGAAAACAAAATGCCAAAGGTTACTTATCTAGCTTCATACTTAATTTTGTTGAAAGTTCCGTCGTTCTTTCAACATTTGCAGTTTTTCGTGTACTTGCTCTGAGAATTATCAAAGGAAGCCTAGGAAGATACGAGATTGCTCAAACAATCGTTCCATCATATGAGGTATTGAGAAAGGTACCAGCTCATCCCCAGAATCCTCCCGACCACAGCGGCAGAGGCAATGCAAACCAATCAAACAGACCCTGGCCCAGCCTATCGTCGCAAACATCATGCTGACCAACTTGCAACTCGCCATCGCAAATCACTTAATCTAGCTCACCATGGCTCCCGAATCTACCCCCTCCAAAGGGGGAATGATGTCGCTATATGCAAACCTACTCGACCCATCGGCCGAGTCAACGCCGGGAACGATCTCCCGCGCCCCCGTCGTCTTCAAGCAGAGCTCCGAGACCGACGCGCAACCTGACGAATCTGCTGCGAAAAAGCAGCAGGTCAATGCTGGTACTTTGGAATTTCTTTAATAATTACACCGGAGACAAATGTGGCTCACCTTCTCTCCACCGGACAGCTTCACTTCGATTCCAGCCTACCAAAAGGCCTCAACTGAACCAGAAAACCAAACCCAAGCCGACACTGCCCAAGGCAGGGCTGCCGGCAAGTACGATACAAGCTGTGACTTCAGCGGCCGCGCCTGCGAAGAGCAAATTGGCCGACTGGGCTGCTACAGAAGAGGATGACTTTGATTACTATGTCGGCGAGAAGCGGCAACGAGGCGGGAGGAAGAAGCGCAAGAAGAACCGAGAGCCGCAAATGGTCATGCAGAATTGGGATGACATATACGACCCGTCTCGTCCGAATAACTATGAAGAATATCGACATAGTGACGAGAAGATCCTCGAGGTCCGCGAGTGGAAGGACCGCCTCTATGCGCACCGAATGAAGCGCTCGCCGACGCCGGACTCGGATAGCGATTACGATCGGCCTATGAATCGTATGCTCAGTCTATTTGCTCTGTGGAATTTGTCTGGCTAGATACTAACTGCGGCTTTAAAGGTCAATTTGCGCCTCCCGGGAGCTTCGCGCCACCACCAAACCTCAATGATATTCCACCTCCACCTCCAGCAGATATTCCTGATGATCCCTCCGGCGAAGATGCATTTGCACGCCGTCTACGCATGAGCCAGAACGTCAGCGATGGCACGGGCACATCCAACTATGCCGTTCCACCACCACCTCCTCCACCTGATGAACAACCCGCTCCTCCCGACGACGTCACTAGCGAAGACCCATATCTACACCGACTTGAGCAATCGCAGAACCAGCCGCCACCAGAACATACACCGGCTCCTCCTCCGCCACGCCCCCTGGATGCTTTCCAGCCCAGTTCCGCAACTATCTCCCGCGCCCCAGTCCGTTACACACTCCCACCACCACCCGAAGAAATCCCCGCGTCCGAAGCCGAATTGGAAGAAATGCTTGCACAAGAAGAAAAATCTGCTCCTGAAGACAACGAAGACGCCCCCCGATCACGACTTCCCGGTCAGAAGGGCTTTGCAGAACGACAACTCGCCAAATACGGCTGGACCAAAGGCTCCGGGCTCGGTGCTACAGGATCGGGTATCGTCAATCCTCTACAAGTAAAGGTTGAGAAGCGGAAAAAACGACCTGATTCCGAAGGCGGCGGTTTTGTTACACCTGGCGGACGAGGCAAGATCATTGGCGGGAAGAAGAAAAATGAGGACACAGGCAAGTTTGGGCCCATGAGTCCCGTTGTAATTCTTCGCGGTATGTTAGATGGTATGGATCTGGATGACGAATTGCATCGTGAGGGAGGCGGCTTGATGCAAGAGATTGGAGAAGAGTGTAATGAAAAGGTATGTTTTGGAGTACCCTGATGGTGGTCCATACTGATGATGCCTAGTATGGGAGAGTGGAGCGAGTGTATATCGCGCGAGACGTGGGCACGCCTATCCCAGTGTTCGTGAAATTTACGAATGAGCTATCCGCATTACGTGTGAGTCTCTTCCTCCATTTATCCGGATATTCGTAATTTTCATACTAATCTGAGACTTGTTAGGCTGTAAATGCACTTGAAGGGCGAATCTTCAACGGAAATGCAATCCTTGCCCGGTTCTTTGATCCCGAGAAATTTGAACAGGGAGTCTATGTTGAATAATGTATATAATGATATCCATTTTGGGTTCAACGCTTTCCTCCAGTCTATCAAGAGGAAACGCGGTCGAATAAACGATTTGGCTGACCCATACAATGGAATAATGAGTGATAACACCAGGGGATTCCTTCTAAAAATTCCTGCTCATCTGTCCACAAAGCCCATTGTGGTCTGGTGCTTGGAGACTGGTCCTGTATTCAGCGAGAGGAATAGACGAACGATGATTTTCCTACAGGCTTTGGCCTTTGTGTGAATTGTACACCGGTAGGTTGGACTGCCAGCTCCCTGACTCCGACGTGGGCCCTCTTTGAGACGCATTAGACAACTTTTGCTCAAGCAGCTCTTCATCAAGCGGGCCTATTCAATCGAAAGGCTAAATCTCCTGTGATGATTCCTGCTAAGCCTTCAATCTCAGAAGTCTAATCATAATCGCACGTAGACCCTGGGATATAACACTCATAGCCTGCCTCCTCGTCCATGAGTACTTCACCACCCTCGACGGCAGCTCGGAAACTCAAAAGCACAAGCCGGACATATCCCCGATAAGGTCAGGACAAGCAATTCCGAAAGTAGGCCACAATCACCGCCCATGGTATAACACTCCGGACATGGGATAAATGAGGGGTGTACTTCTCCCTCGTGTCCGCAGAGGATATAGGTCCAGCAGATTTTGGGGCACATACTTGAGTATTTGGGTCCTGGAAGATCTAATGAAACCAATTTCAAGGCTTTTTAGTAACATGATTCTAATATGACCTGTGAGTGTTCATGGAATGCTATTTGAATAGCAAATTGTGCATTAGATAGGGTGGATCATTGTCTCCCTTGGAAGGTCTCGCGTCTGTCATTGAAGGTCTCTAGCCTCTGATGTACGTTTTTGACGCATGAAAAGTAGCATAAACAGAGCCCTTACGAAACTCCTTTGTCTTTAAAGTACTTTTACAACAGAAGAGGAAGGGTTTTATCAAGATAAGGCCAAAGGTACTAGTTTGTGAACAAGCCAGGATCCTTAAAGTGGACTAATCGGTTCATGTCTCTTTAGATATGTTCTGGTTATACACCACACCTTCTTAGGGTGGTATAAGTATTGACGGTATCTACGTTAGCTAGAGCAATCACATCGTAACCTATGCAAATTGACTGCTTACACACAATGTCTCTTTCCTTTTGTGTGACTATGCATCTGGTAGTTTGAATCTGATTAGTGCTATCACGATTCACAATACGTGTATTTTCTCATTTTATCATTCTCTATACGCTAGCAAGCAATGGTGTGAAAAATAGAGCTATAGTTAGCAGTTCCTATCTGTGTATATTAGTCATGGCCATCTTAGCTTAGTTATGCATTCCTTAGAGGCGGTATCTGAAAGATCCACGATCAATGCAGACCGATTACCTAAGCGAATTGGCGGGGCTGCCTGTCGGAATCTCATCGATCGATGCGATTGACCTGTGCCAAGCAGTTGCGCTTTTTACGTTCTTTTACCACCTTCTCACTCTTTACCGCCCTTTCTCCTCCCCGTTTGTACTCCTCATCATCCCGCTTCTATATAATCTACTTTTCACCCGCCCTCATCTCCAATCCAGACTTCATCTCCACATCAACCGATCGCGCTCTTACCATCATGACTCTCTGCTTGAACCGTCTTCAGGAAGAGCGGTATGGCATACCTCCAAGCAATACCTCCAAGCAGGAGTCTATACTTCTGTCATGTCATTTCAGAATGTGCGCTAATCCTTGAGGGATCATATAGGAAGCAGTGGCGGCGTGACCACCCTTTTGGGTTCGTCGCAAAGCCTCAGCGCACCCCGCAGGCGACCCTGGACCTGAAGCGCTGGGAGTGCGCCATCCCTGGCAAGAAGGACACTCTGTGGGAGGGTTGTGTGTTGAAGTTGGAACTGATCTTTCCCGATGGTGAGTGGTATTGCACATTCCTCGCGATTGAGGATCCGCATGCTGATTGCTGACGATTCTTTGCGCTTCCAGAATACCCGACAAAACCCCCCAAGTGTACGTATTAGTACCATTGCCACTGAGAACTTCTCCCCAGTTCGTCATCTATGGGATTTCCAGCTATCTGACCGCGTGACATTGGCCGCGACAATAATCTCTCCAACATGTGAACCCCGGAGAACGAATACGGACTAACGTGATGGTTTCTTTTTGCAGGCAAATTCACTCCCCCGCTGTTCCACCCTAATGTCTACCCGTCCGGCACGGTCTGCCTTTCAATTTTGAACGAGGAGGAAGCGTGGCGACCCGCAATCACCATCAAGCAGATCCTTCTTGGCATCCAGGATTTGCTCAATGACCCAAACCCCGAGTCGCCCGCGCAGGCTGATGCCTACAACCTCTTCAAGAAGGATCGTCCGGCATATGAGCGGCGCGTCCGCCAGGTTGTGAGGGAGAACCCGCCGATGTAAGCGCGGCTGGCGACTCCCAAAAGCATGAACGATGACGGCGCCAGATTTCTTTTTATTAATTTGATTCTCTTTTTTTGTCATGAGCTTTCGGTGAGCGAGAGAAGAACTGGATTGCATGGTACTTGCCTCGGCGAAGGGAGCATCTCTTGCTTTTCTGAGCAACCGATCACGAGCGGCGGCGTTACTTGACCCCAATGGAAGGCGTTTTTTTTTTTTTTTAATCCAGAGCGAAGAGCTGACATTTGCGAACCACATACAAGCTCTATGCATAGACTGGGTATGATTGTAACAATTTCCATTTCTTTGTAAGCGCAGTAGCCACCGTAATTCTGGTCGTACATCACTCTATACCCTACAGTAAGTATATAATAAAGTCGACTACGAAGAATGCCGACTAATCAAGCGGATCTCCCCCCGATTAGAAAGTGCCAAGCATTATCTTATCGGTGACTCAAAGACTGGCCCGGAAAGCCGACATCGCCCCCCGGCCCCGCCAGAAAAAAAAAAGCCCTTTGCCCTTGACCCCCTCCCCCAGAACCCAGCGCTTGGTCGATCTTCCTTCTCCTTCTCCTTCATCCTCCTCAATTGATCCCGTTGCTCATTGTAGAGTACCCTCACGCCCATCATGTGTGGAATTTTCGCGTGTCACCAGTTCGTTGCACCCTGATCCTGGTCTCCCACCCCTGCCCCGCGATGTCGCTTGTTCCCCGGAACGCGGCACGTTGAGACGTGGGATGGTTGACTCAATGGCTAACCCGAGGACCCTGACAGTCACCCCGATGTGCAGAAGTTCAAGCCCACGGCTCTGCGCATGGCTAAGGCGTGAGTATTTCTCGATTTCCTGCGCAATCGCTGCTTGCTCGACTACGGAATTCCTGTCGCTAACTCTATACCCCTCGTGGAATAGCATTCGTCACCGTGGTCCCGATTGGAGTGAGTCACCACTTGAAGCGCAAGAGGCGATATGGTCAATTGGAAGCTAGGAGGTTAACAATAATACTTTGGAACAGGCGGAAACTTCATTGGCGGTTCGACTAGTGAGTTTGATCGAGTCTCCAGGCTGTCGTGTGTCGTTATCTTAACCCCTGTCGTCCTGCAGTTCTTGCCCACGAGCGTCTGAGTATCGTCGGTGTCGGTATGTTCTTCGCCTCAGTGAGAAGAAAATTGCGCCTCTATTACAGTCGCTAAACAATTGCTTCCCTTCTCAGACTCCGGTGCCCAGCCCCTCGTCAACGATGACGAGACCCTTGCCCTCGCCGTCAACGGCGAGATCTACAACCATCGTATTCTGCGGAAAGCCCTGAAGACCAAGTACAACTTCAAGACTCACTCTGATTGTGAGGTCATTATTCCTTTGGTATGTGATTATGCAAAATATTGGTGAAAACTTTCGGCAATACGCAGTTGCTGATTTCTCTCCCAATTTCAGTATATGGAGCACGGCCTCGATGCGCCCAAGCACCTGGACGGCATGTTCTCTTGGGTCCTCTGGGATAAGAAGCAGGACCGTGTTGTTGCTGCCCGTGACCCTATCGGCATCACCAGCTTCTACCTTGGTCGCTCCTCCGAGACCCCCGGCGCCGTCTACTTCGCCTCCGAGCTCAAGTCGCTGCACCCCGTCTGCGACGACATCATCGCCTTCCCTCCCGGCCACATCTACGACTCCAAGACCGATAAGCTGACCCGTTACTACGAGCCTAAGTGGTGGGATGCCGCCAAGGTTCCCTCCACCCCCCTTGACTACAAGCTGCTCCGTCACTCTTTGGAGAAGTCCGTTCGCAAGCGTCTGATGGCCGAGGTCCCCTACGGTGTTCTACTGTCTGGTGGCCTAGACTCCAGTCTGGTGGCTTCCATCGCTCAGCGCGAGACTCTGCGCATGCAGGACGCTGCCCTCGCCACTGCTAAGAACGGTGTTGATGGCTCCGAGCTGGTCGGTATCGACGAGGAGAACGATCTCTCTACCGTCACCACTTTCCAGCAGCTACACTCCTTCTCCATCGGTCTGCCCGGTGCTCCCGATACCGAGGCCGCCAAGGAGGTCGCCAAGTTCCTGGGCACCAAGCACCACGCTTTCACCTTCACCGTTGAGGACGGTCTGAACGCCCTCTCAGACGTCATCTACCACCTCGAGACCTACGATGTCACCACCATCCGTGCCTCGACCCCCATGTACCTGCTGTCCCGCAAGATTAAGGCCATGGGTGTGAAGATGGTTCTCAGTGGTGAGGGTAGCGACGAGATCTTCGGTGGTTACCTGTACTTCCACGCCGCTCCCAACAAGGAGGAGTTCCACAAGGAGACCGTTCGCCGTGTTAAGAACCTGCACCTGGCTGACTGCCTGCGTGCCAACAAGTCCACTTCTGCCTGGGGTCTCGAGGCCCGTGTGCCCTTCCTGGACAAGGAGTTCCTCGAGGTCTCCATGGCTGTGGACCCCCAGGAGAAGATGATCACCAAGGAGCGCATTGAGAAGTACATCATCCGCAAGGCCTTTGACACCACCGACGAGCCTGAGACCGCGCCTTACCTGCCCGAGAAGATTCTCTGGCGCCAGAAGGAGCAGTTCAGTGACGGCGTTGGCTACAGCTGGATTGATGGTCTGAAGGAGCACGCCGAGCAGCAGATTAGCGATGAGCAGATGAAGAACCCCAAGCCTGAATGGGGCTCCGATATTCCCGATACCAAGGAAGCGTATGTTTTATCCCGCAGCGCATTCAATTGGTGATCATGATACTGACTGAACCATTCGTTCTTTAGCTACTGGTACCGCTTGATGTTTGATGAGCACTTCCCTCCCACCTGTGCGGGTACTGTCGAGCGCTGGACCCCTACCTGGTCCAAGCAGTCCGATCCTAGTGGCCGGTAAGACATTCTTCCGTTTCGGTTGATGACTTGAACCAATGCTAATATCTTTTGTAGTGCCATTGCCATCCACAACGCCAAGTATGATTCCGCCTAAATCTACCTTGAGATGAAATATAAAAAAGGGAAGGGTGTTTTGTTCTTAGATCCGTTCTCGTTGGGCATAGATAGAACTCTGGAAGAATGCAAGCAGTGTATATACCCAGGGTGGGTTCTCTCTGTAAAGGTGAAGCATTAGTCTGTGCTGGTGTACTGTAGACATTCCTCGGGTAAACCCGAGTCCTCACCTGACTCCGCCGATTGGGGTGCTTACCTAATATCCTTTTACCGGCGGGCTTTCCCGGCAACCGAAAAACGACCAATCACGGGGCTCTGAGCCGCCCGTGGCTGGAGCCCCTTCCCACCTCTCCCCAACATCATCGCACTCCTTCTCCTTCTTTCTTCTTTCTCATCCATCGAGTCTCCCTGTCTCTACACACTCACCATGTCTGCTCCTGCTGCTTTCTCCGACATCGCCAAGGCGGCCAATGACGTATGTATAAGCTTCAAGATGCTGGATCCTACAGATTGCACCGCCGACTAGGAATTCTCGAAGCTGATGGCTCCCGACAGCTCCTGAACAAGGACTTCTACCACGCCAGCCCGGGTACGTCTAGCTAACCCCCTACTACCCCTAGAGCTTCTGCTAATTCCTCGGCAGCGTCCCTGGAGGTCAAGTCCAAGGCCCCCAACGGTGTTACCTTCACCGTCAAGGGCAAGTCCTCCCACGAGGGTTCCATTGCTGGCCAGGTGAGTTTTCTCGAGGGCTTCTCCCCCCTCCTCTCTTTCATCCCGTGTCGCGGGACAAGACAAACACCGTTTTGTACTGACTTGGAATCTTCCTCCGCCAGCTCGAGGCCAAGTACGTTGATGCGCCCACCGGTAAGGGCCCCATTCATCGCAAACCACCTGACCCCGGCGTGTCCAAGGTTCGGCCCATGACGTTTTTTCTGTCGTGTGGCCACCTCGCGTCGCGCCGGGTGACCCTTTTTGTATTCTCAAACACTACCACGCATACAATCAAGCTAATGCTTCGTCCCTGCCCAGGCCTTACCCTGACCCAGGCTTGGACCACCGCCAACGCCCTCGACACCAAGCTCGAGCTGGACAACAACATTGCCAAGGGCCTCAAGGCTGAGATCCTCACCCAGTACCAGCCCGCCAAGCAGTCCAAGGGCGCCAAGCTCAACCTGTACTTCAAGCAGCCCAACCTGCACGCCCGTGCCTTCTTCGACCTCCTGAACGGCCCCACTGCCAACCTCGACGCCGTCCTCGGCCACGAGGGCTTCCTGGTCGGTGCTGAGGGTGGCTACGACGTCAACAAGGCTGCTATCACCAAGTACTCCGCTGCCGTCGGTTACTCCGTTCCCCAGTACTCTGCTGCCATCACTGCCAGCAACAACCTGTCCCTCTTCTCCGCCTCTTACTACCACCGCGTCAACGCTCAGGTCGAGGCCGGTGCTAAGGCTTCCTGGGACTCCACCTCCGGTAACGCCGTCGGCCTTGAGGTCGCCAGCAAGTACCGCCTGGACCCCTCTTCCTTCGCCAAGGTAGGTTTACACAGTGGTCCAGGATTGATGATAGCCCGACTTCAGACATACTAACTCGATTCCCTTTTCTTCTCAACAGGCCAAGATCAACGACCGTGGTATTGCCGCTCTGGCTTACAACGTTCTCCTCCGCCCTGGTGTCACCCTCGGCCTGGGTGCCTCTTTCGATACCCAGAACCTGAACCAGGCCGCCCACAAGGTTGGCGCCAGCTTCACCTTCGAGTCTTAAGCGCCTTCCCGCTTGACCATCTTTTGGTAACTCGAGAGTCCTCGAGTGAGGACTTTTGGGGAAGCTTGTAATTCTTCGTTGCGGCGCCTATCCTCCCACTTGTCTTTGGACAGAATGGTGTTTTCAGTGAAGGTTTATCTACACTCCGTTCTCAGATAGTCTTGTGCGTGTCGTAGTTTTAGTACCGCGAGCGCGCTTTGTATATCAAATCTAAAGTTTTTCCTTTGTTTGGTAAAAAATTATTTTTCATTTGAAGTAGTAACAATGGTAATTGGTAACCCTTAGGGTTCCTTGCCAGCTACCGGAGCATGGCATGCATAGCAAAGAAAGGCATGAATATCGTACAAGACCGCAATGATCCATGATCCAAGCAATCGCCCTCTCATCTCACGAAGAAACAGACACCGAACCCCCATCCTTCCTCTTCTTCCCCGTCCTCCCATTTGCATCCTCACCACCCCCGGCAACAGGCCACTGGAACAACCCCGACATAGCACCCGCAGTAATCAATATCCCACAAACAACCACAAACCGAAACAATCCAACGTCCCCGCCCGCAATAAACGAATCCGCCGCCTCCCTCGCCGCCGTCCTAGCCTTCGACGCCCGTTCCCGCCGCCTCTCATCCTCGGCCTTTTGTGTGCGGAAGTGTCCACGTGCATTGAAATGACCGAGCGGGTTGCGGTCGATGAATCCCATCGGATCTTCGGGGTCGTAGTGCTTCCCAGTCGTGCTTGCATTTGAACTTGAACTTTCAGCTCCCGAAGACCTTCCAAACGAACTCGGGCCCGTCTTCCCGGCCGCATACCCATCCCCCCTCCTCCCCGTGTCCCCGTAACCCCCCTGCGCATAAAAGCTCGGCGGCGGGCCCCGAAATGTTCCCTTGCGGTTACTCAGTCCGCTCGCCGGCCTGGACCCCGCGTACCCCGCGCCGCCGGCTTTATGTACATTCACGGAGTGGCTGCTGTGCGAGCCGTGCGGGTAGGTGGGTGCGTGGTGGACATGGCTGTGGTGGAAGCCGTGGTCCCGGTCGTAGGTGCTGCGTTTTTGGGCGTTGGAGAGCACCGAGTACGCGGAGGAGATTTTTGCGAAGCGGTGGCTGGCGGTTGGGTCGGTGCGGTTGCGGTCTGGGTGGTGGCGGAGGGAGAGGTCGTAGAATTTTCTAGGGGATAAAGTTAACATGAGATGATCGGGACAGTGGAGGAGGGAGGGGGAAGACTGGGATTGAGAGCGGGTTGTGTGGGTGGGTGAGAGGCGTACTTCTTGATCTCGGCCGGGGTGGCCGTTATCGGGACGTCGAGGATTTCATAGTGACTTTGTTCCCGGCGTGCGGTTGTACTTGTTGAGAAGGACTTTGTGTGCGCGTGTAGCAGGGGTAGATATGTCGTATGTTGCGAGTGCTTGCGGTGGTACTGTGATCGTGTTGGTCGCGTGGCCGTGCCGTGATAACGGGTGAGAATGTGGTAGCGATTGCCATGGATAGTGCGTGGAGAACAGGACAGACTCGGCGTGTGAGGTAATTGGAGGAGAGAGAGTGTTGTGCGAGGTGGAGGCATTGCCTGGACGTGTGAATGGGGTTCGTCGCATGAAGAGAGTGTGGAGGAAGAGCTGTGAGGAGTGGAGTTGGGGCAAGATTGGAGGTTTGGGCGATCGATCGGAGTGTGGCGTCATCGGCAGGTTAGCGGAGCGGAGGGTTAGCACAAAGCCCGTCAGGGGGCGGGGATTCGGGGGATTATGAAATTTGTTAAGGATTTTGGATGTTATTGTTTACTGGAAACTCATATTTTAAAGTCGTCTTGTAGTTTTTGGTAGTTTTGGCTTTGGTAATGTTCTAGACGTGCTGGAGAACGAGGTGCTGGAGAACGAGGTGCTGATGATCAGATTAGATAACGTCCACTGGATTGCGCCACGGTTTATTGATTCCTGAGGCGCCTTCTACCTAGGACTTGAGATAAAGCTTTATGGGAAATGAAATTAAGATGTTAATGACTACGCCTTTATAACATCTCCATGTACGTACTTCTTAGACAGTTTCTAAAGCTGTCATTCTTACTACGATTGCTGTATATCTCCAGATCCAGCCTTCAGAATGGACAGGGCCTAAAGATCTCCCGTTGTCACTTACCATGGATTCAGTGTCCCACCTAGATATAGGTAAAATTTTTAAGATTCATCGCAGCATAGAAATTCCAAGCACTACTGCATTTAATATAGACGGGGTATCTCGAGCTAGCTGCTCTGATACTCATCCCTCGCAGTATCAAAATGCAAGCGCACCTGGAAAACAACTAGATCGATGATATCAAGAGATACCCAACGCTGTTGACTATGACATGCCTACTAAGGCCTGCCGCACTAAATGTCGGGATTTAATATGACAGAACTACGCGGTGAAAGCGAAGTCCTTCGATTTCGTGGAAGACCTACACGGTCGTACCTCTTTGGAAGCCCGCATTTGGTTGAAAGCTCTTAGACATTACCTATTTCTGCTGTCCAGATCAAGATTTAGGATAAACTGACTGGGCCACAACAAGAAATTCATGGCCTAAATATCGTTCATTTTTGAATGTACACCTGTGGTTTTTTTACTCAAAACGTAATGCTCCTGTAACACTAAAGTCATGACTGGAAACAAAATATTTTGCTTACGCTCGCTGTATGTGGGGGCTTGGAAACGGTGGAATTGGTGCATGATCATCCATGCTGTGCGTTCATGAACCCGAAGAACTCTTTACACCAAGAAGCAATGTTCGAGGCCGTCGAAACGAATCTCAAGATCCTGTCGTATTTTATGGACGCAGGATTTGACGCAAATACCGTCGATCCACGACGAGGAGATGGTCGCATGAACCTCCCGACAAGGGTTTTAATCGCAGGCTTCCACGTACCGTCACATGCAGCAGCTAAGTTCCTCTTGGAAAGAGGAGCCGATATCGATGTGCGAAATCCATTAACTGACGTGACACCGCTCTTGTTCATGGCAAGGAGAACATGGAGTCCTCGTGGGACTCGCCTCCGCGAGGCGGCTGCTGACTGCCTCTTGCAGCAGGGAGCCAACATGTTCTTTACGAGCAACCGGGTTCAGAAACCGTTGGTCAAGGCTGCTATGAAAGGAAGTGCTGGCATTGTCAGAATATTTCTGGAATGGTAGGACAAAAATAGTATATCCCTGGATGATATCAAGCCTCTCATTATGGAGGCCCCATGAAGACCGAGCACCGCGAGTCTGCTAAAGTCCTGTCTCGGTGGTACTGGCGGAGGATATACCCTTGCCCATCCTAGGAGAGATGGAAAAATGATAGAATTCAAGATGGACAATGCTAGTCAAAGCCCAGAGAAGGAAGGATATAGCTGCAGATATAATAATCCACCTATTGGTCTACAGATCTACGTGCACCCGTCATATCTCATAGTTGAGAGGGGAGCAGTGAAAGTGAAGCTATTGATGAAGAGCTACATTAAAGGCTAGACTTGGATCACACAGGTACTGTCAAACTTGTGGCAGGTTATACATGTCCACTTTTTATAAAGGATCCATTGGGCATACTTCTATGCAGGTTCATGTCTCCGTACTACTGCCCCCATTCTGAAGGCCTAATTGATAGCAAACATGCATTTGAAGCTGTGGCGTGGGTCTCACAACATATTTGCAGAAACATAAAGTCCCAAGCATCATCATAGTATTGCATTAGAACTTAAAAAAATATCCTGCGACCTGAAAAGATGGAGTAGATACGGCGGAGACGCTCCGTCATTAAGCGGCGGGCCGCATCTTATCGCCTGCGAAAATCTTTCCCTGACATCCGAGTTGCCTCCCCTCTTCTTCTCCACTCCACCACAAGTCCTCCATACAACACAATGGCAGCCCAGGCGACTGAGAAGTTGGAGCAGCTGGACCGTGAGTCTAAACACAAATTCTTTCAGCCTTCGCCCGTCACTTACCAAGCTTTGCAGTGAGCGGCCAGAACGGCACCAAAGCCGACGCCCCCGCTGCTGGCCAGGCGGTCCCCGGCGAGGCAGAGGACGATTCTGACGACGACCAAGAAGACGGAGAGGGCGCACCTGAGGCTGGTGCAGCTGGAGGTACGTGCCTTTATTTTTTTCTAACTCATTTAATACCCCACTTTTCAACCCCGCACCACATGGTCTCCGGAATGAGGCTTACGAGAGTGTCGCACGACAGCCGCCAAAAAGAAGAAGAAGCGCAAGTCCAAGAAGAAGAAGAAGGGCGGCGCCAAGGTCCAGAGCTCCCCGCCACGAGTCCCTGTATCAAACCTTTTCCCCAACAACGTCTACCCCGAGGGCGAGATCGTCGAGTACAAGAACGACAACGCCTACCGCACAACCAACGAGGAGAAGCGCTACCTCGATCGCATGAACAATGATTTCCTGCAGGAGTATCGTCAGGGTGCCGAGGTCCACCGTCAAGTCCGCCAGTATGCACAGAAGAATATCAGGCCCGGTCAGACTCTGACGGAGATCGCGGAGGGTATTGAGGACTCTGTGCGTGCCCTGACGGGTCACTCGGGTCTGGAGGAGGGCGATAACCTCAAGGGCGGTATGGGTTTCCCTTGCGGTCTGAGCATTAACCACTGTGCCGCACACTACACCCCCAACGCCGGCAACAAGATGGTGTTGAACCAAGGGGATGTTATGAAGGTTGATTTCGGTGCGCAGATCAACGGTCGCATTGTGGACAGTGCCTTTACCATGAGCTTCGACCCTGTTTATGATCCGCTTCTGGAAGCGGTCAAGGATGCCACGAACACTGGTATTCGGGTATGTCTACCCTGGAGAGAACTATCTTTCAGGTTGGTCTAACTTGTTTCTAGGAAGCTGGAATTGACGTCCGTATGAGTGACATAGGTGCCGCTATCCAGGAAGCCATGGAGAGCTACGAGGTTGAGCTCAACGGCACCATGTACCCCGTCAAGTGTATCCGCAACCTGAACGGCCACAATATTGAGCAGCACGTTATCCACGGTGGCAAGAGCGTGCCCATCGTCAAGGGCTCTGACCAAACGAAGATGGAGGAAGGCGAAGTCTTTGCTATTGAAACCTTCGGCAGTACCGGCAAGGGTTACGTCCGGGAAGATGTCAGTCCCCCAGCTGTTCGATATGATCGATAAAGTACTGACCTGTCATTAGATGGAATGCTCTCACTACGCTCTTGCCGCAGACGCACCCAACGTGCCCCTCCGTCTCTCGTCCGCTAAGAACCTTTTGAACGTGATCCACAAGAACTTTGGCACTTTACCTTTCTGCCGACGCTACCTTGACCGATTGGGCCAGGAGAAGTACCTTCTTGGTGTATGTAAATCTTAGCCAATTCCCTCGAAGAGTATGAACTAATTCCAGTATAGTTGAACAACCTGGTCTCCTCCGGTATTGTGCAGGATTACCCGCCTCTCTGCGATATCAAGGGCTCCTACACTGCTCAATATGAACATGTATGTCGCTTACATTCTCCATCCGCTGACTCGATAGTTGATTTGTGACTAACTCAACCTCCAGACCATTCTCCTCCGTCCCAACGTAAAGGAAGTCATCAGTCGCGGAGACGACTACTAAGCCGTTGAATGATTTATGAACTAGTTTAGGTAACAAAAACAACATTTCTCCAGGAAGCCCGAGCTCTGATTTTTCATTCGTTGATCTCGTATGTTGTAAAAAGAATCGTAGATCTCCGCCGGTGCGATTCTCGTTTTAATCCCATCCCAAGCCAAAGATAGCTATCCACCTGTGGCTACAGTAAGAGATCGACCTTCCACCACGATGTGACACCAGGTCTAACTCAATATGTGGTCTATTGTTCGATCATGCAAGAGAAATATCGTCAAGACAAGACATGGAAGATATCGATTCAATCTCAATCTTTCTTCCTCAAACCCCATCGAAAACCAAAAGACTTCGAACGCTCACAGAACCAAACCCACATTCGCGTAACAATCGCCGACCACGATGAACAGGGAACTCAGCCACGACCAAGACGCTGATATCATTCTTTCTGATGCCAGATTCCTGCAATAACTCTAGCGCAGCGCACAGGGTCTTTCCCGTCGCAAGGACATCATCCACCACGACCACAGAAGAACCTTGAGGGATCAAATACATCTTCATTTCAAGACTGCTTTCCTTTGCATGACCGGATGTCGAAGATGAAATATGTGAAGTCGGCTTGGAGACAGCAATAGTTGGTGGTGGAAGCTTACCAGCTTCCCGAATCAGTGCTAGAAGTATGTCGAATTGCTCTGCCAACGGCGAGGCGAAGATGAAGCCACCGGTCTCAGGGCACACTATAGCACCAACACGAGTCCAGTCACCGACGTAAAATTTTCCCAGTAGGCGTGTGCACAGCTTTAGCCCACCTGGTTGCTGCGCGATGTCGAGCACATGTTGGAAGGTGATACCCTGGCGTGGAAAGTCGGGTGCAGGGCGCACCATGTTAGCCAGGCGCTGAATATCCTCATCGAACAAGGGCAGCAGGGAATCCATAGCAAACTTGTGCACCGCATCTGTTCCGGCATTTTCATTGTTGAAGATGAGACTTGGACAGTCATCGCATACCGTTACCTCGTCACCATCAGCATCAGCATCATCATCGGGAAACCTCCGACGCGCCTGTCGGGTGTGCTTGGTCGCTTGGACGCGAACTTCGAGCAATCTACATTCTGGCACCAAGTGCCAATAAGCTGCCAGCAGGTTTGATTCTCTCATCCCCGTGATGAACAGCACATCCACATTCATGGCATGGTATGCCACGTCCAGAAAATGCTCTTCCAGTAATCCAGGTCGACGCCTCAGCTGGTCATTGAAAAAAGCCGTCAACGCTGACCTGTGCCTTTCTTTATAAGCACGGTCATTAAGTAAGCGTGCGAGATCGACGCCAGGAGTTGCTGCAGCGTATTCTCTCTTTGTCAAGTCGCTGATGCTAACTGTGCGCGCATCCAGGTTGCTGTCCGTATTTGCGTTGAAATTGGCTGACCAGATCTCCGCGCAATAGTCCTTACCGGCACCACTTTCGCCCGTCACGAGGACTATAAGCCTCTGTCGGATAGGGAATCTGCGAATGGGACAAGCATAAGCGAGCACATCATGCGGATCCAAGATATGTTTGAGACGAGCTAAATGCGGCCGGTTCGGGCCGAAAGCCTTAGCCGCTAGAGTAGCGTCTCTCGGATCAGGCCCGAGGTCTGCACTGTAAATTCCTCGGCTCAAGGGTAGCAACTCTGTGGCGAGATTGTATACCCAGTCCACGACGGAGCGAGCGAGCTCGGTTTCATCTTGGTCGCGATGCCAAACTCCTGTGATCACGCAAGCAAAATCCCAGTCTCGATAGCCAAAGGCAGTCGCATGAGCTGCTATGCTGCGCATCGCTCTGCCACCTTGGAGGAGATGGAGGTAGCTGAGTGGCGTGGGGCGAGTCTTCATGGCTTTGATCAGCTTGTTGACGATTCTCGGATCTCCAATATCTTTCAAGAAGATGCATCTCTTGAACGAGGATGTCTTGTTTCCGCCGTGCCCGCCATGCATCTCGGCGATGAACATGTCAGCCCCAAACAAACCCACGCCGTCTACAGTCTTCGAACTGTTTTCCGGCCCTAAAGTTCTGCCTATGAAAGCGGCGATTGAGGTGGACTGGGCTGTCGGATTCTCGAACAAGGCAACGCCCAAATGTAGCTTGCCCTTGTCGAAGTACATGTACAGATCTAGCGAGCAATCCTCACTGAGCTTCTGGGCGACGAAGTGGTCAAGATAGTTGAATTTGGGTCCTGCTTCATTCTTATCACTCAGTGGGATAACCCAGTTGCGCACGGATTTTGTCAAAGCTGGGTATGCTTTGAACACGACGCTGACGACAATGCCAAAGTTGGTTCCAGCGCCCCTTATGGCCCACAGCAGTTCAGTTTCATTCGTAGGGCATATGGCACTTGCTGGGTGATGATGAACTGGAACGTGGCCAATGCACAGGATCTGGCCATTTTCAACGCTGATGATGACGGCACCAACAATGGCATCGCAGGAGAGCCCGTACAGTCGTGCCAGATGCCCGATGCCGCCTTGTAGCCATAGGCCTGCACCAACGCTGGGACGGGACCCCAGGGGAACTGTCAAGCCCACCTCCATGGCTTCGTGGATAATATCACCAGTCGTGCAGCCGGCTTCGGCGATGATCAGGGGACCAGAATCAGAGCCAGATCCTTCTCCACAGTGTCCGGCAGTGAGAATGTGGACTTCAGCAAAGGCACTCATGTCGACGGCGACAACGTTGGGCCATCTGCAGTGGCCGCTGTGGCCTCCACCGGTGATGGTCAGACCAACCCGGTGTCTCAGTGCCCATTGAACGCAATCCTGAATGTGTCGAATCTCCTTCGGCCTCACAATAAAGGCAGGGTGGTGAGATACAGCCTCTCGGTTCTTGACAACCCTGGCTCCTTCCAGTAACGGCATTTGTATCATTAGCTCTGGCAGTCCAGTAGCATGCCTGGTAAAGGTTGTCATAATATCGGGCGAGCTAAAGAAGAGTTGCCCGGGATAGGACTTATCACGTCGACCCAAGGCACGGCAGACCTTTTGCCATGCGATCCGAAGAGCCCTGTACTTTTTGATATCCTCTAAGGTGAAACCCGCCACGAAGGAGGTGAAACGATCCAGTTCTTGATTGTCATCTGCCACGGAGACAGCTCCTGTTGGGAAAGAAGCTGTTCGATGGCACACTAGGCCCTCAAAGTGTAGTGAGCCGTCCCGATGGAAAACGACGACTATTCCGTGTTTGGGCTGGTCAACTAGCATTTCCAGTGCCCTTTGCATGATCGTGACTTTGGGATTCATGCCATACATGCTGTGGCAGAAGAGAATGACGTCGAATTTGTCAATTCCAGTAACAGTCTCAGAAAGACTGAATGGCATTCGATGAATCGTAGCCCGACGTTCGAGACAGGGCAGCGGAGACTCTGTTCCAGACGTTGGGTAAAGCCATTCCTCCATTCGTATGGCAAAGAGCTCATTCGGTTCAAATGCTGTGTATCTTCTGATTATGTCTCTCAGGACTCTGGGAAGCTGACCAAGCACGCTCTTTGGACCAGGTCCGATTTCTAGGACCGAGATGCTAGTCTGCGATTCCAGAAAGGGGGTAAGCACTTGAGTTAGCTGGGGGATGATGAAGTCTCGATATGTTATCCATGCTGATTCACGCATCAAAATTTCGAAGCCAATACTGTATTGGGCATTTGTTAGGGGCTGTCTTGGCGATGAAAATGCACTGGCCTCCTGCCTGAGAGCCAGCTTGAGAGTGTTGAGAGTGGCCATGTTGCTTTGGTATCTTGTTTGGATTGTGAGAAATGACGCTGGATGAGGAAGTTATCCAGCGAAAGGTGTTTCAGAAAATTGTGTCATTCAAAAGACGGTTTGAAACCCCTTTATAGGTAAGATGTGCCGGAAGTTTCCAGGTGTGGAAGATCCCACAAGTACGAGTGTGGATTGAAATAACGCAGAACTGGTCATTGAACCAATCGACCGCATAAAGAAACTGGAGATATCTGCCACGCATATATCAAAAGCGCACTAACGAACTGGACATGATTCATTCAGTTTTGCAGGCAGATCCAACCCCAATTTTATCTTTGTCTGCATCATGTATATCAAACACTCCCTTCTTTCAATTCCCTTCTCTTTAATTGTGATAAATTCAATGGTCAGATACAAAACTGACTGGCTCTCTTCTACTTAGCTGAACCCACTATAGCTTCTTCGTTTATTGGCTTTCCATTTTCCAAAATCCTGAAAATCTTCCGGTCTACTTCGAGTGAACCGGCCACCGCGGTGGAGCCTGCTAGCCTCCCCATGCCTTCTTCTAGCCAAACTGGACCGATTAATAGTGGCAGTCTCTTCTGGCCTGGTAAGCCCATACATCACCGCATTTTTCCCCCGAAACAGCGTCTAATACTGCATCTCAACCACCAGGGTCTGGCACACTTAAGCGGCTAGAATCGACCCCAAAAGAACATGCAGAGCGAATGCAAAAGCTGGAAGGAGCTGCGCGGACAATTCTTGAATGCATTGGCGAGGATCCAGATCGAGAAGGCCTCCTTAACACTCCAAAGCGATATGCTGAAGCAATGCTTTTTCTCTCCGAGGGCTACGGAGCGAATGTACCAGACATTCTCACTGGGGCTACTTTCAAAGAGAAGTATGACAATTTGGTCATTGTGAAAGACATTGATATCTTCTCACTTTGTGAACATCATATGCTTCCCTTCACAGGAAAGGTATGGCCTCTTGCACACATTCCTGCAAAATATTAACCCGTCGAGGAAGGTACATATTGGCTATATTCCTCGAGAACATGTGATTGGTCTTTCCAAACTTACTCGACTGGCCGAAGTGTTCTCGCGCAGACTGCAGATTCAAGAGCGCTTGACCAGCCAAATTGCCACGGCCATCTCGGATTTGCTCGGAGCGTACGGCGTTGGTGTTGTTATGGAGTGTTCGCATCTCTGTATGGAGATGCGTGGAGTACAGAAGGTTGGCAGCGTCACGACTACTATCTGTATGCTTGGAAGTATGAGATCCGATGCAGCGAGAGAAGAATTTTTGACGCTTTTGAACCGGAGATAAACCAATCTCTCTGGTTTTGCCATAGTTGGCACTGGGTTTCAGCCTTGCAATTTGAGTTCTTGTGGTGACTATATCCCAGTGACCTTTGCCCTTGGCCATTTGTTTTCCTTCATGCACTCAAATGTGGAAAGACTAGAGGTGATATCCAGGTAGAAAGATTCTCAAGGAGACTATGATGTCTAGATTGGTGTTTTCTCAAGCATTTGCTACTCTATGTCATTCCTTCGTAACTGCTTCATGATTTATCGCTATTTTGTGACCCTAGATGATGTTCATTATATAGAAAACGATGGAATTGAAATAAGTCATCTGTTCCATACTGAAGAATAATCTCTAATGAAGAAAAACATGGAGACAACACTGTGGTATGTATAGCGCCCCAACGCGAACTGGCATACATACGTTATCGATAAGACTGGGTCTGCTATTTACGTAGCAGCTACACTGGTCCGTTTATTTTACAATATTGCGGCGGCTAACGGGCCATTATTAAACCGTTTCAAAGTCTATTAGCAATGAAAATGCAATTGTGTCAATTGTCTAAAGGAGTATATGTTCTCTGTCCGATTTCCAAGCTGTCTCTCAATGGAAAAGTGACCCTTATCCTCCGCCCCTATGATAGCCAAGCCAAGCCCGTCGGACCACCCAACTCTCCCGTGTCGCCCCACGTGGAATGTCTCCCGCCTTTTCCAGGCCGCGCATTTCCTCCATGTCGACACTCCTCGTCCAGCATCACTCTCGTTAACAATCGTCAACCTTCGTTAACCATGCCTTCGGTCGTTGAAACCGCCTCACCACACTTCCGGGTGTCGGCAGCCAAGGCATCGTCCACTGCGGCCACCGAGACCCCCTCCACCAGAATCCCGCCGCCGGAGACCTCCTCGGTCGAGGATCACTTCTTTTGGACTTATACAGAGGAGCCACATCGTTCGAGACGTCAGGCAATTATCAAGGCCCATCCAGAGGTACGTCGGTATCTACCAGGACCGTGTGAGCATCTTTCGCACCTGGCTCGGGAGTCATCCAGCCAGCGGATGCGGAGGTAGTAACATGGTTCCCTGGTACCTTCCCACCGTTCCTGAACCGCAATGCTAACTTCTGTTTTGACTTCAGGTCACCAAGCTCTGCGGACCTGAGCCCCTGACGAAATGGGTTGTTCTCCTCGTTGTCTCTATTCAATTGACTTGCGCGTACCTCCTTCGCAATACTTCGATCCTGGACTGGCGATTCCTGGCTACGGCATACGTGGTTGGAGCTACAGCGAACCAGAATCTGTTCCTCGCTATTCATGAGATCTCGCACAATCTGGCCTTCCGGTCTCCCTTGGCCAACCGTGTGCTGGCCATCTTTGCAAACCTCCCTATCGGACTGCCATACAGTGCTGCCTTCCGGGTGAGTCGGCTCAGCCGAGAGGATTCCCCGTACGACGGGCAATTATGATGAACATAAGATACTAACACACCTCTCTACAACAGCCGTATCACCTCACCCACCACAAGTCCCTCGGCGTAACCGGCCTAGACACCGACCTCCCCACCGCACTAGAAGCCTTCTTCCTCAACTCCCTCCTTGGAAAGACATTCTTCTGCACCTTCCAAATCCTCTTCTACGCCGTCCGACCCATGTTCATCTACAGCCCACCCTTCACCTCAATCCACCTCCTAAACCTAATTGTCCAACTATCCTTCGACTACGCCCTCACCCGTTTCACGGGCTCCCTCCAACCATTCTACTACTTCATCGCCAGCTCCTTCCTAGCCGGCTCCCTCCACCCGTGCGCCGGCCACTTCATCGCCGAGCACTACTTCTTCTCGAACGTGAAAACCGGCGGCACAGAGTCCCTCGCCCACCTCAAGCAAAAGCCCGGTGCTAGACTCGATGCTTCGCACCCGCTTAGCGCCCTCGCTCCGCCGGAGACATACTCGTACTACGGCCCGCTAAACATATTGACCTACAATGTCGGTCTGCACAACGAGCACCATGATTTCCCTGCTATCCCCTGGACGAAGTTGCATAAGTTGCATGAGATTGCGCGGGAGTTTTATGAGCCGTTGCCTTGTCATCGGAGCTGGGTTTGGGTGCTTTGGACTTTTATCTTGGATAAGGATGTTGGGCCGTGGTGTCGGGTGAAGCGTGCGCAGGGTGGACGTGTTGTTGGCGGTGGAGGTTCTGGGAAGACGTCGAATGGGCGTGGTGGTGAGGGTATTTCGGCTGAGTCGGCGGGTCCGGCTGGTGAGGAGGGTGATGGGTGGAAGGAGAGCGAGATTCAGTGTTAGAGGTATGTCCTGGGTACTCCTGGTCGGGTATTGTGACTGTAGACTCAAATCAAAATTGTTATATTATTTCTGAAAGTATGTGCTGCAAGACTGTCAAGGCCTTATGGATTCCGTAGCGGGTCATCTTGTGGAACACAGATGATGTCTGAGTGGACGCCTTGCATTGCCATGTACTTGGTTTCACGTGACTGGTCTAGAATCGGACATCTTGAACTCCTAGATTTCTCGTCCCGATCGATCTGGAAATCTTCGTATACCGCGGGACCTAACGTACTAGCATACGAGTTGTGAGCAAGGGTATGGATTATCTTCCAAGGTTCGATTATCATTTATGACACAAGAGAGAATCGAAGCACTTAGTCCGTTCATCATAAGATATTAGACAAGACAGGAAATGTAAGGAAAAGACCAACAGGGGAGCAGAACAGAATGGGACCAAGGAAGCTTCGAACTCATCGAGAGCCGCACACAAGACCGGGTAAGATGGGAAAAGGAAATATGGATACCAGGAGGGAAAGAAGGAAAAGGAGAATAAGTAGGAGACACACGACAAGAAGGCTGATGCTGAAATCAAAACGGCAGGCTCTTCAAGAGACACAGGAAACGAGATGAGGCTCGGAGTATTGGGAAGCGGGAGAGAGGGCGTTGAGACGTGATCGGGTTCGTAAACACAATGGAAACCACACAGTGCGGTATGATCCATCCACGCAACGAGTCTAGAAGAAGAAGTAGGCGATCAAGAAGCTGAGTAGGCACAGCCCGGCAACGACTTGAACAGAGACTCCAGACTCGGTCTGTGCATGTGACTGCTGCATCGTCGCGGGGGCAGCCGGCGCCTCGCCGCCAGTCTTCCGCTGCCGCAAGCCCTGATCCGCGAGTCGGTCCTTGAGCCGTTGGATATGTGCGTTGGCATCGGCAAGTTGGGACTTCAGTTCGTCGCTGGAGGGGAAGGCACTAGTCACGGCAGCCTTGGCATTTGCAAAGGAGGTGCTGGACTCGGTGGGCTGGGAGAACTCGGGGCTGATGGACTTCTCGGAGAAATCGGGGGCGGGGATTGGAGACGTTTGGTCGACGGGGCTCTTTTTCGCAAGACCAACGGCGGGGGTCTCGTAGTTACCACCGGGGGACGTGTATGCAGGGGGTTCTTCCTCCAATACCTATGTGATGATGTTTAGAGGGAGCAGCGAGAGATATGCTGGTAAGCGGAGCAACTTACCGAGTCGTTGGCCTGGGACTGTTGCGAGGACACACCCGAATCAGCTGGCAACCAGTTGACACGAATCTTGCGCTCAATGACTGAAGACTTGGATGTCTTCTCAAACTGTTGTTTGCCAAACGGTTAGTCAAATCCCTGCATTTCCCGGTGCCGAAGATTACGTACGATGGAGGTAACATTCGAAAATTCCATATCACCGCCGGTGACCGCAACGGACTGGACCAGGAACTTGTCCTTGCACTTCTGGTCAACGGTCGGCTCCTCCTTCATGGCCTGCAGCAAGACTATTCATTCCATCAAGTCAGTTTCGCAGCTCTTGGTGCTTATCAAAGGCGGATCGCGAACCTTGGACATCCACTTGCTTGCCGGGCTCGATACGGCCAGAGTTGGGGCGGACGCAGTAGCTGGCGCATGTCAGTAATCGGAACGCTCGAGGATATGTTCATGGGAGGGATCGAGAAGGCACATACTGCTTCGGGGCAGTGGTCTTGACCTGTCGCACAACAAAAGAGATCCATGTTAGCCGCGGTTCGTGCCTGACGAATACTCCGCAAGAAACTCTCGAGACGTACCTTGAAGACCAGGGGGTCCTGGGTGGGATTCCGCAGGTGGAGGATCTGGCATACTTCCTGGTTGAAAGGCCCTAGTATCTCAGAAGACCCAGTCAGTGTCTTGCGCCGGGCTAGGTTGCCAAGTTCCGGAACTCACGCTGGAAGCCAAGCTCGGGGGGTCGAGTTCGATAGACATGGCGATCGTAAGGGCGTAGAAAGGGAGAAAATAAACTCGAAATAGGTTTTACACGGGACCTGAGGCTACCGCGACGAGGTTGCGATTGCGGTCAAGAAAAGGGAGGGGAGGCTATCGTGTCAAGGGAGTCTGGGCCTCAGGAGTTGATTATTGTCCGTTTGGGGATATCGCTGACTCAGCAGTCAGGTGATGTCACCGTCTCGCAACAAAGATGACGTTTCTACATAGTCTGGATCCCTTCCTAGTTGGGAAATGTAATTGTTCGCTGTTTTCTGGCATATGTCGTACTGCCTCGGTGTGCAACACTCTCCATCCTCGGGTTGCAAAGCCAAACCTCTATGATAACTGCATGTGATGTTGTCCCGTTGTGGGGTCTCTCCCGATTAACAATCACTATGTTCGTAGAATAGAGAGTACTACTATAGTTCCCACAGGACGGGTCTGAAACTATACAATATTAGCAGTATTGAATACCTTTCCTCAAGCATTGACCACCGTTTAAATTAAGACTTAACATTCAAGGAATGCACCCAGTACGCCCGGAGCTCCCAATCTACATTGTCCTTTCTGCAAGGGCCAAGATTAGTAGTACTTGGCACATGCCGCTGACAGAGACTCACTGTCGGCATGGATAAAGTAACCCGCTGGGTTCTGGCACCAGTAGATTCAACGTGAACTAAGAGCCCTAGCTATGCACTTCCTTGCCTGAACGGATCAAGTATCGACGCATAAATCGTGGACCACACTGCCACTGGAAGCACTCGAGAAATATATTCCTGGGAAGATAGCGTACTCTAAAAATGGAAACAGAGTCAGGAGACGCTGGTATTTACAAGCGTCTACTTTCAAGGTATGCAAATTGCGATACATACCTACATTATAGCAGGGCTGTATGCAACAGCTTTCTATATATCGTGAATTGGCTCAGAAAGCCCAGGAGCGCATGAATGCGGAGCAGGCCCGCACCACTTATCGCTCGCCGCCTTTGCGATACGTCACCCAGAAGCTCCAGCTCTTACACTTCCCACCCCACCGCCTCACATCCACCATTGTCAACTTGGTACACCACTCTTTCTTTCCTTCGATAGTAAAAGGCATCGTTCATCTTCGTATATCGCAGCATTGTTGCCACACCTCAGGCTTCAGTACCATCACTCCTCGAAATCACATCATCCTCCCCCACCTCGTTGTCATCAGCGCCACGAACCATGGCTTCCGATCTAGACCAGCTCATCGAGATGGGCTTTGACAAGGAGAGGGCAGAATTGGCAGTTAAAAAGACCGGTGGCTGTAGGTCACGATATCCCAGGTTATTCCCCCGCTTCGTTCTCTCTGACGACATGTATAGTGCAAGGGGCGCTTGAATGGCTGGAGGAGAATCAAGACAAGTCCCTGGAAGAGATCCAAACGTCTCAGCCAGCTGAAGATGAGGAACCACCGGCTCTCAAACCTGGTGAAGAAGCCCGCAGCTTGGTCTGCAACGAGTGTGGCAAGAAGTTCCGGAGCCAGGCGCAAGCAGAGTTCCACGCCTCCAAGACCGAGCACACCGACTTCTCCGAATCGACCGAAGAACTCGCGCCTTTGACGGAGGAACAGAAGAAGGAAAGACTGGAAGAGTTGAGGCAGAAGCTCGCCGCTAAGCGCGGTGCGCAGGCCGAGCAGGACAAGGCCGAGCAGATAAAGAATGAGGTAGGTGTTACGTTGGAGAATGACTAGAAATCCGCTGACATTCTCGGTAGAACATCCGTCGGAAAAACACACAGGAGAACCAGGACATTAAGGACGCGTTGGAAAAGAAGCAGAGACAGAAGGAAGAAGCGAAGAAGAGACAGGAGAAGTTGGATGACAGGGCACACCTTTTGCGCGTCAAAGCACAGATTGAAGCCGACAAGGAAGAGCGTCGTCGCAAGGCTGAGCGCGAACGTGCTGAGCGTGCTGGCGTAGCAGTTCCTCAAGCGCCACCTGCGGCCCCTGCCCCTGCCGCTGGTCCTGTTGCATCCAAGCCTGCCTCTGCTTATACTGAGACTCGGCTGCGCTTCCAGACTCCCAAGGGTAATATCATGAAGACATTGCCCGTCAATACGACTCTGTTCGAGGTTGCCGAGGCCCTTAAGCAAGATGACGGCCTTGAGGTCCAAAGCTTCACTCAGACATTCCCCAAGAAAGTCTTTGATGCTGAATTCTTCGGAGAGACATTGAAGGATCTTGGTCTCGTGCCTAGTGCTAGTCTCATCGCTCAATAGTTTTGTGTGGTCGCAGTCATGCGGAACCCCCCGGGCATACACCGCGGTTAGGAAACAGTCATGAGATAGCTGAGCGAATTGAACATTTGAGACAAAGTGGAAGCGAGCCTGGTCTTACTAGACAAACTGCATTCCCTAATAGATTCCAAACCAATTGAAATTTCCGAACTCTTGTAAATCCAATACAAGCTAAATGAGGCTCTGTTGCTGGGCTCGCTGCCTACCTTATCAGTGGCTATCAGCACGTGATATCGCGATCGCTCGCGCGACGAGTAAGACGCGCTCGACACGCTTTCATCACCACCAGACAACACACAACAACACCAACACAATATGCCAGCGTGAGAACCGAAACACCCTATTGATGAAATCTGCGATTCCCATGGACTCACCAACTGATCGCGTATCTCCCAGTGTCGGCGATCAACATCGCGGCGGACCCACCTCCATAAACATGCCCAATGGACCAGGTCCCGTCATTACGAACCCCTTCGAGGAACCCGAACGCCGGATGAGCGAGTACACTGCTATGCAGATTGCAACTTTGCAAGCACGTCTGGATAGGAAACTTGGACCCGAATACATTTCCTCACGACCCGGTGCTGCGGGGCAGAAGGTGCATTATCTCTCGGCAGATAAATGCATCAATCTTGCAAACGAAGTGTTTGGCTTTAATGGCTGGTCGAGTTCAATCCAGAGAGTTGATATTGATTTTGTGCGTTTCTATATGCTATCTTCTGGTTGAATGCTCAACTAATGGCTGCCGATTAGGTTGACGAGAATGAAAACACGGGCAAGGTTAACCTTGGACTGTCGGTTATTGTGCGAGTCACGCTCAAGGATGGGTCATTTCACGAGGTATGACAACCCGATTTCCGTCCAAACTTACCGCGCCTTCGAGAATATCGGCTGATAAGCTTGGTAGGATATTGGCTATGGCCATATCGAGAATTGCAAGGGCAAAGCGGCCGCATTCGAGAAATCCAAGAAAGAAGGGACGACGGATGCTTTGAAACGCGCACTGCGAAACTTTGGAAATGTCTTGGGTAATTGCGTTTATGACAAAGATTATCTTTCCAAGGTCACCAAGATAAAGACTGCGCCTGTGAGTGTTGTCCACGGCCCTGACGCCGCGCTATCCCTACTTACATTTTGCACAGGCCAGATGGGATGTTAATGACCTTCACCGTCATCCGGACTTTGCACCAATCAAAAAGGAACCCGTCCCTAATAATAGAGTCATAGAGGATGATGACTTGCCTCTTCCACGCCCAGTTGAACCGGCAAGAAGCAGTGCTCCTAGCCATACTACTGCCTTTGACGGTGATGGGGAATTCGGCAGTATGCTCCGCAGGTCAACTTCTATTGAATTCTGCTGACAGGAGCCAGGCGATCTTTTCGACGAAGCCGACTTTGTAGTGACCCATACGGGTAACCCTGACGAGATCGTGATAGAGCAAGAGCAACCTCACCAACCACCGACTCCTATGAATCGTTCGTTCCAACAAAGAGCACCACCACCAGGCCGATTCGACTCTAACGTCGTAACCCCTTCCAAACCCGAGAGATGGAGCGGTGCGAATAATCCTGCTGCAAGACAATCATTACCTCCAAACGCACGACAGAACCCATCGAATATGGTCGATCAAAGACGGCCAATGGCTGCACCGGGTCTGCCACCTAACATGCCAAATGCCAGACCCTCGGGCCCGCCTCAACCAATGGCTAACGCCAACGCACAACCTCCAGTTAAAAGAGAACCTGCCCCAGCGTTCAATCAAGACAACTCCAGTCAACCTCCACCACCTCAAACTGTGGGGTTTTTCTCCGCCCGGGCGGCTGATCAGCTGCGGGATAACCCCAATGCCGCACCGATACCTGGATCACAATTCGACCCTCATGCAGAGAGCCCATCTATTCGCAAAACTGCAGGAATTGATCACACGAAGACAGTCGCGGTGATAAGAAGTGGTACCGGCGTGTCACCAGCCCCGGAGAAGGGACACTCGCGCGACATTATCAACCCTGCACACCGAGTTGGTGGCCCAGGAGTTCCGGCAGGCGGGTTCGGGAGCCCATTATCTCGAGGGCCGTCCGTTTCGTCCTTTAAGCCATTGACTCGACCAAGTATCGATCCGAAGAACGCGCCCAGCTCAGGCCCAGTGACTCGAAGTGGTAGCGTACCACCCCAAAATATGAACGGCAAGCGCCCTCCCTTGAGCGATGTTACCAACGCCAATGCTTCACTCGGAACACTTCCAACCGCTGCTCCACCAACTACCGGCTCGAATGACCCGAAGCGACCTCGAATGGCAGACATAGTACCTGGTCAGCCACAGCAACAGCCGCCGCCGCCTCGAGCACCTCAGCAATAAGTATATCCCATTCTTGCTTTTTGAAAATCGCGGGGCGATGCATCGTTATGCTATTAGCGGGTATTTTTCTGTTATTATCGGTATCTGGCCCTGTCTTCAATTTTGCTCAAGGCGTCATTGTCATTGCATGTCCAGCATGCCAGGAAATGGAAGAAGGCGTTGGGGTGTATGGGATCATTGAGTTTGGAAGCTCTGGACTTTTGGGTAAAGGAATGTCGGATCGGATAGAACATTTCATTACTCGCGCCGCAGATAAGGATTTCACGCTTTCCATTAGGATTCGGATATTTCAGTTGCCTCCATCCCATGTGGTTGCCTTGCCATAGCAAGTACGTAGATTGGAAATTTTTCTCCTCGCTTTAGGGCTGTACCTGCATCAGGGCCAGGCTAGCCGCCTATTCTAGCCCGAAGCTCAAAAGCCTAGATAGAGCCAGAAGATCGACCTTCCACGTTCAAGCCAGAAGTGCCCGAGTATAGATAGATTCCTCTGAAATCTAGATACAGGAAGAGTAAGACAATCTAGCAATATCTGTCCGATACCATCCTGGCCTCATTTTCCCAGGGTTGGGGCTCTTCGAAATTGTTCTCGCGTACGACGAGTCAGTTCCTTCTTCAGCTGATCTGACGTGGAGTCGAGTCTAAGTCATTTGGGACGGTTCAGGTATCCACTACAAGAGAGACCGAAAGAAGGAACAGTCCAGTAATATCCGGGGAAATAATATCGTAGAATTCTTTTCTATAGCATGAGCGGTTCTAGCCGACATACCGTTCTCTCAACTTGGAAGCCAGGAAGGTGTCCTGACGTTTCGATATCGTAATGACTTGATAACCCCTTTTCTCTTTTGAGAACCAAAGAAAGCTCCTGCAGAAGAAGGAAGCGCATGGTGTGTGGGAATCGCGAATCAGGGCTTGGACCCGCCCATCCATCCAGGGCTTGATCCAGGGCCTGAGCGTCCCTCCACAACTCGGAATGAAAATGACCGACGTGTCGGTAATGGGAGATATCTGCCTAGGCCAAGCGCTTGGGAGTATCGTTTGATATTCCGCGAACCTATCAGGTGGGTATTTGAGATCCGTTGTATCACCGGTTAAAAACAGTCCTCTTTTAGGTCGTTCCAGAAGAACTTTCCTTCGGATGCTTCCATCGCAGCGCCGCTCCAATGAAGATCTCGTAATTTGCGAAGCATTAGCGGTGTCCTCCGTTTCTCTTGACAGAACCTCGTGGCTTTCTGGTGCATATACGTGCTCTTCGATACGGCGCTAGCCTTGAAATGATGAAAAAACTCGGAAATTCTGATATTGGAGTGTTAGTGAAATCTTTAAACCCTGAATTTCGATGAAGATTCAGATGACTGGAAAGTTCCTGGTTTAACAGGGGGGTTTCTATCGCTTAAGAGGAAAGGCCACATAATAAACTGGATGGAGATAGGTATTTTAGTCCATGTAGTGCTTGCACGAGTAAGGCGACTTGACTGGGCACCTTTAAAAAGGCTCGAAGAACCCCAAGCTCCTTTCTCTGTCATAGTTCTTGTCCCACTCATTCGACTATATCGCTGCGATGACCACCCCACTCAACCAACTATGCAACACATGTCTCCGAGTATTCAAATTTCTTAAGAATACTTCTGTGATAAGCCCACAGAATAGTGGCCCAAGTTCTGTTGAAAAAATGGACTGTATGGATCAATCTGAAGAAGATAGCTCCCATCATCGGGCTCCAAGTTAGTGCCTCCTTGCCTTCTGCACAATCTGAAATCAACCAAACTGACACTCGATACCTGACTGAAAATAGTCTACCATGCAACTCGCAGCTCTCGCGACACAAACCCACCAGGCTGCGAGCAATGTTGTGTTCGGAAACGTACACCCTATGCCACGAACGGTGAACACTACCTCAAATCCTGAGAACCGCCTGAGACAAATGGTGGGATGGAAATCTCCCTTTTATTTCTTACGTATGTCCATAAAGGGAATGTCATCGATAGTACACGCAACTTGATCAGGAAATGACAAACACCCCTGGCTGCTTCTTAGTGGATGTCTAAAAGTGGTTACGATGCGATACTTGAGTTTCATGGAAAAAATGACGGATTTCTGTAATTGGATTATGAAGTGTTTATTGCGATGATCAAACATGGATATAGAGGTGTTCTTCGTAGTGCATGGTCTAGTCAAAGGATTGAAATGTTTATATTTTTCAAGCGCAGATACGATGTTTAAGCTCACAGGTACTTTTGTGCCAAGAAGAACTGGATCAACCATGCCCGCGGCGAGGTCATTATGTACAGAGTGGAGTGGACGTACCGAAGAACGAGGGCAGGGCTTGAAGGGACAATCGACAAACGGTATGATCGACATACCTATCTCCAGCTATGGTGGTGTGGGTCGTCCTAGACTGCCGAAATGGGAATGAGCAGTGAACGAGCCTTGTGGATTCGTGTGAGCACCTGGTGTATAGTATACGATTTGATAACTACCCAATTTTAACCTTGTCTGGTGATTAACCCCTGCGAATTTCTTGACTTAGTTCCTTCGTTGAATTCAGGGTTATACTGGCTTAAAAATTTCGCGGCTACAGCTGATTTAGAACGTCTCTTCACGACTAGTTAATAAGTAGGTAGTAGTGACACTGGTTGAGGGGTGGTAAAGCAAAGCGCGAAGAGTGGAGACCGCAGGAACAGACTGGGTCTAGGGGAAGTATATACCTGATCCGCCGCAAAGTACGGTGTGGCTGCGGCAGCGAAAACGGGGGACTGCACTTATTTTACATGATAATAATGTACCAGATAGTGGAAGAAGGGTTAATAATTTGGAATATTGGGCAGTGGCTCCATATCCTGTTTTGTTTTGTTTTCCTATTTCATTTTATTTTTCTATTTTTCTTTTTCCAGCACCACTCGTCGTTTTTGTGCAGCGCGCGTGGGAGGACCGGCACGACCCGAGCGCCCACAAATCAAGATGAAACAGGATCAGCAGTCGATGGTTTGCCTCGCAGTCAGCCCCATCAAGTTCTGCGAACTGAGCTCTGGGTCGGTAATTCGAGAATTTATGCACCCCTGCCAAAAAAGAATGTGTTGACTCATATACCACTTCGAGGCAACCAGGAAGGCTGGTAACCCTTCACCATGATGCGTCCTATAGTACCGATCCTTGGGTCCATCGGATGGCTGTAGGTAGCGTCATGAGATTTCGGGTTCAACAAGAGGCCAAATGGGCTTTAAGCGCCAGAGTGTCTGGATGCCAACTAGGGGATGAGTGCTTGTGTGGCCGAAGTCGACGCGGTCTCACCTGGGTTATATGGCGACTTGATACATCACATTTTGCCTGAGGATTTTGGTAATGGTTTTGCGGGTGCTCGTTATAGGCCTAACGGCGCACAATGGTGTGCCAAATTCAGTTTTGATTTTCCTGGCAGGGATGCAACACAGTAGTAAACACGCGAAGCTAAAGGGACACAGTGTTTATCCATGCAGTCAGATGAAATTAAATTTCTAATTTAGTTTAATTGCAAGTGCCGGGCTAGTAGAGCTTCCCTCCAGTTCAACTACCCACTGTTCATTCAAAAAAATTGAAAATTACGGACCTATAAATTTGCCACCAGTTGAGCTTCATGTTCATTAGAATAACTACGCCAGATTATCATTTTTGACGCGAACTCATCGAGTTAAAGATTTATATTTAAATGCGCTCGTCTTGGAATTCAGTCCACAGCACAAGGAACGTGACGCATTCAGAGATGATAAATATATTTCAAATGGGAGATTGTGATCTAGAGTGATGGAGTTGCGTCAAGCCACATTCATGCTTTCTCAAAAAATCGTTCGAAGTTCTAATTGACCCGGTCACTCGGTTTAGTGAAGGTAATAATTTGAGGCGAGAACGTCTAGGGCAAGCAGTAATCAGAGCTATAACCAGAGAGGAGGCTGATGTTACAAAAGTACGTACTCCGTAAGCACGCCTCCGCATGGTTAATTATTTTCTTTCCCATTTGACGTCATATCTTTCGAGGTGAGAGGAATGCATTTTTGCTTCTTATTGAGGTATTTTTTGTTCAGATTTACATTGAAGAGAATAAACTAATTTTGGTTGGTAGGAAGAGACTTAACACCAGATTTGAAGGATGACTCGAACGACGACTCGAGGCCAAGTGAAGAATCTTCTTCTCTCGGAAATATATCCGAACTTTCATGCGAGATATCGTAGAAAATAGGACCGAATTGACCGATACTTCATTTATATGAAAAGGAAAGAGCTTATAATTATGTAGAGCGCCTTCCTCTTAGGTATTTTACAATCATTGCTTTTCACAGTTTAAGAATGACACACAGATGCGCCGATATCTCGATTGATTAGTGTTGGGATCACATCTGGGTCTATTTATTTACCTTTCCAGAAAACCCTGGCCGAGCAAAGGTCTGGAAAGGTACTTTTTGAGATACATTTGGACCGCTGAATGCCCCCCAGGGCCTTTTGTCCTTGTTGTGTGTTGCGGTACTTTTGCTTCCGCTTGGAGAAAGCTGGTTGACACGTTCGATCAATTTAGCATAACGGGTGACTCATTTTCTTTAGAGGCGAGTCCAGATTTCTCCCAAAGGCTCCTGCAATATTGCTTGCCGAGGCCATAAGTTGGTAAATAAAGAGCACTCTGAACAACAGTACTTTGGCATGAACAATGAATGCAGATCGAGAATTCGTGCTTTTGATTCCCCACCAGAATATCTTCCCCGAAACAAAATAACGGACTAACCGGGGTCTTCGATGCGGCTGATCAGGATTGCCTTGATACCTGCCACGTAATGTTTCAGCCTCCCCGACGCTCACCTTTAAACAAAGTAGTGGACACGATGCTCCCAGCGCATTGCGCACTAAGTAATGGCATTCTCCGAACAAAGAAAAAGATCTACACCGCAAGAAAAAGTAGAAATAAAAGCCCCGACATTTCGTGGCTATGTTCGGGTTAATCTACATACAGTAGCCCACTGTTATACAGAAACCTGTAATACACATCGGCTTTGGCCATGCATTTTCCCGTTCCGGAAAACAACCTAATTTCTTTATTTTTTCTTATTGAGAAGGAGGAGAGAAAAACGGCCTGTCTAGACATGCAGGATCGCCCGGGGAAGCGGATTGTGGACTCCATGTTGACTGTAGACCACGATTGGGTTCATGAAACCCTGGGAGATTTACACGATCGCAAAAAGTACGGAGTTTTGGCGCAAGACAGCTTGGTAACATAATACCCCGCTTTTCCAGGCTGCAGACAAAGAGTCCTTGTGACTGAAAACCCATGTGTACTTCAAAGGCAATAACATGATCATATAAATCAAAGAAAGCCAATAGTTTGATAGCGGTGCTTTCACCCCTTGAATAACAGAAATAACAACTCGAACTCCACCGCGTCGTGTATATCTCCAGTGTTCCCGGCTGCGAAATCATATCTTGTACTGATTCAATAAGGACAAGTGTGCATTCTATTCTCTAGGAACCACACATGACCCTACTCGTTATACATACAGCTTAGATCAAGCCAGATAGCAACGAACACCTTAAGCAGTCCCACGTGTCCTTCTTGGTAAATGACGTTCCGCAGCCCGGTCTAACCATTTGATGAACTGATGGGCGACTGATTGGCATTAGTACTTCCTGGTTCGTCTTTCCATTTAGGCTATTGATTAACTCGTATTGTTATCGTGACATCTTATCGTGCCCGAGGGTAGGAAGTCAAATGTTTCGCCGAACATATAGCAAAGTACTGAGAAAAGTGGTGTTGTTGGCCGCCAAGCTTCTTTTTGCTTCGCCTCGCTTAGCCATCATCCGGAGCTGCAGTCAAGTTAGACCTTGGAAGCCTGTCCTCGAATGTGGGGCTCACACCTGACTGAAGACCTGATTCTACAATATTTCGGTATCTTCGAAACTGTAGTGCCGATGCCCTGATTCGATGAGCATGAGCTGGCATAAGCTATGCGTGGCTCGGTCCAAGTTAGAAGTGGCCCATCACGAAAGAAACTTGATGGTAAACAGCAAGTCTCCACTTCATCCTCGCTGAACCAAAGTATCTTCAAAATTATAAAGCCTTCGGGAAAATTCTCCAACGATGTGGTTTTGTTCAACCGGTTCTACTGGACTACTCACCACGCAATCCTCGGAGTGATGTCGTGATTACCTCCACCTCCCGCACCACCACCCGCACCACCACCAAAGTCCCGCTAGGTTGATCACCATCTAACCTACCTAACCTCTCTTGCCAAAATGCCGAAAGCATATATATCTCCGTCTTTCTTGATAGGTCCGATGCTGTGGGAAAGCTATGTAACTCTCCGGTCGCTTGCATACCTGGTCCAGTCATGTTGCCCACCTGCCTCCCAAGACTCGATGTCAACAGGTTTCTCCACCCCGTCTCCTAGCTGCCTCGTGTTGTGTTTTTTCCCCTCATAATGATTATTGTGGGATGGATGGCGTGAATGTTTCGTTCTCCACACGGCATACCTGAAGATGTTAAGTTTTTAATTTATAAGAGCAGGGGCGCTGTCCACCTCCCCTCATCTGTGCAAATTTCAGTCCACCAAGCATCAAGAACCATAGGAAGGGAATTCTCCCCTCTCTGGCCTATCTGAATATTTCAGAAAATGGTGGATTACGAGAAAGAAGTCGAGGCCGCCACCTCATCAGTCCTGTCGACGACGGCATCATCAGACCGCGATGAAAACTACGATTTCTATCGTCAGAATCGCGGTCTTGAGTATACCCCGGAAGAGGCGAAAAAGACTTTACGAAAGATTGATAGGCGGCTCATCCCGTTATTGTTCGTCATATATATGATTCAGGTATGATCTAGCTGTGGCTTTGGAGCGTTCTGGTCTTCGCAGATGCTCATATCGCGCAGTATTTGGATAAAAACAGCATCAACTTCGCCTCGGTCTACGGCCTCAAACAAGGAACCCAGCTTAAAGGGCAGGATTACTCGTGGCTGAGTATGTTCTTTGTGTTTCGATTAGATCTGTACAACTACTCATGTTGTTAGGCTCCATCTTCTATTTTGGCTACCTGATTGCTCAGTGGCCTGCCGGCCTGGCTTTCCAAAAGCTGCCGGTCGGAAAGTTTCTCGGCAGCACCACGATAGGTAAAAGCTTCAAAATTTTCAAGAACATGTGAATTTCGCTGATGCCTAGGAACAGTATGGGGTGGCCTGCTCATGACCACGCCGGCATGCCACAACTTCGCCGGCATCGCCATCAACCGTTTCCTCCTCGGCCTTGTTGAGGCCGTCGTCAACCCAGGTTTTGTGCTTATGATGAGTATGTGGTACACAACCCGTGAACAGCCATTGCGCCTGGAATCTTACTACTGCACCAACGGTATTGCGACTATGTTTGGCGGGTGAGCATAAAGTCCAGGTCTTATCTTCGAATCGAGACCTATACTGATCCACCTTGGCAGGCTGATTGGCTACGCCGTGGGTCATATTTCAACTGGTCTACCGCGCTGGATGTATGTATTCCTCATTTTTGGCGCATTCTCGGTCGTCATCGGGATTTTTGCGCTGTGGTTACTCCCTGATCTGCCATCGACTGCCAAATTTCTATCCGAGCGCGAGCGTGTAATCGCCGTCGACCGCGTCGCGATTAATCGGCAGGGAGTAAAGAGTCACAAGTTCAAGTGGTACCAAGTCTGGCAAGCTGCCCGAGATCCCAAGACATGGCTACTTTTCATCATGGCCGTGGGTGCACAGGTGCCCAACTCAGCATTGACGAGTGTACGTTTTCCTGCATTTTACTTTCTGTCTTTCTTTGAGCCTCACTGGGTTTCCTGGCTGATGTCCATCCACAGTTTACCTCGATCATCGTCGGCACCTTCGGCTTCGACACTCTTGGTACCCAGTACCTCCAGATCCCCGGCGGCGCAGTCAATTTCCTCACGCTCTTGATTGGCGGGTGGATTGCGACCAAATATGCCGACAGATTCCACTCGAGAAGTGCATGCATGATTGTCGCCAATTTAACTTGCATTTTGGGGTCAGGCTTGCTGGTCGGACTGCCAGACTCAAATAAATGGGGCCGCCTCGTTGCGCTTTGGCTGTGTTATTTCCAGGGTCTCGGCTTCAGCATGAGTCTCACAATTGTCAGCTCCAATATTGCTGGCTATACCAAGAAGCAGGTCACTGGTGCGCTCCTGTTCACTGGATACTGTGTCGGCAATATTATTGGTCCCCAGACGTTCAAGGATAGCGAGGCCCCAGGATATCACAGTGCTTATATTGCGTGAGTGATGATGACAGCACTTCCCTGGTATTGATTGGTATGACTAACTTGTGTTAGGATGCTTGCTGGATATGCGGTCAAGACAACTGCCATTGTGGCGTTGTATTTGTATATGTACTTCGAGAACAAGCGACGCGATCGTGCGGCGCTTGAGAGTCAGGAGTCTGAGGGCGATGGTGTTGAGAATGGAATGCTGGTAAGTGTATTCTTGGGCAACTTGTTTGATACAATATTGGCTGGTAACTGACGATTTAAGGATCAAACTGAGATTGATAACAAAGCTTTCCGTTATGTTTTGTAGATTATTGAAGCTAGCATACCGAATAAATCTGACACCAGTGGCGAGTATATTTCATGATTCATCTTGTGAACATAGATGAAAGGGCTTGGATTTATTTCAATTATTAAAGATCAGCCAGGTTTCATACCCTACCGGGTTTTATCTACTTTTTGTGAGAGAGCAGACGGTGTAGATTGGAAAGCACTTCCAGAATGTGTAGTTTTAAGTTGGATTCGGACTTTTCTCCCCCTTTGCCTTCACGACCGTGGGTTTTTTAACAAGCTAAAGGCCTAAAGCTAAAGCCTTCCCACTATAGCTTTCTAACCACAGATCTACATCTCCGGACCTAAAGCCCTTCTGGACATGATTCCACGGATTTATTTCATTACGGGCCTTTAGGCACCGGATATAGGTCGCTCTTAGCCCTGAGACCACACAGGCCGGAAAACCGCAAAACGATCACCCTAAAGCTATGGAAGCCCCAGGTCTCACCTATTTAACACCAGTCTCCGTGGGAGTATATAAACTACAGTAGGTTTAAACCTACAGCCATAAGCCTCTGGTGGTTTAAAAACCACGATGTCTATTTTTAGTGACCACGGAAAGGTGTCCGGTATCCATTTCACATTGGTGACATGACTGGTTTGACAGTTGATGCTCCAGTGGTGGAGGATGATTTTCAGACCAAAGACAGATGATCAATAACATGGAGATTGCTCCATGCTGAGTCTTCCTCCTAGCGACACATCCTTGTTAGCCAGTGATCAATTATTTAAACTCATGCTGCTCACTTCGATGCTCCTGTATATAATGATATCTCGATTTTAAATGATAGAAACGAAGAAACATTTCATTATGATCCAAGTAAGTTCCCCTTTCCCTTCCTCTCGTGGCGTTGTCTGAACAAGGAGCTGCTCGGCCTCTTCCCATCGACCTTGGCTCCAATGTGTTGATGCCAGATTGGTCATGCTCGTTAATGTGTCTGAGTGATCATTGCCAAGAATTATCCTACGAGCCTCCATCACTCCTATGTTGAGTTTTTCTGCCTCCTCCTATCGGCTGCGGTTCCTATACGTTGATGCTAGGTTTGCTAAACTTGCCAGTGTTGCAGGATGGTATTCGCCAAGGTTCTTCTTGCGAGCCTCTGCCACCTGTATATGAAGACTTTCTGCATTCTCCCATCGGTGGTGCCACATTTATGTCGACGCCAGATTGTTCATGCTCGCAAGAGTGTCGGGGTGATTTTCGCCAATATTCCTTTTGCGAGCCTCTATCTGATATATGAAGCTTCCCAGCGTCTTTCCACCGGCCCTGGTGTGTATAAATCCACGCTAAGTTGTTCTTGCTCGTAAGGGTAGCAGGATGATCTTCGCCAAATTTCCTTTTGAGACTGCTGACAATTTGCAACGAGATTTTCTCAGCTTCCAAGTATCGCCCCTGGCTCATCCCATGCTCTTCAGCGTGTTAGGATGCTCTCGGCCAAACTTTGTCTTAAAGGTCTCTATGACCTGCAAAAAGAGCCCCTCGGCCTTATCCCATTGACCCTGGCTCCTATACGTCTTACGCATCTCATCTGAAGCGATGCTGTTTGACTCTCAGCTTAATGAGGGGTAAACATCCATGCCACCATTATCAAGTCACTCCGGTGCTAAGGCCGGATTGGACTGGCTGTTACTTCACATGAAGCATGCCTTTTAAGTGCGAATCTTGACTGGAAAGTCAGAAAGTATTCGGACCTTCCATCGAGCTGATGATTGGTTTCCAGGGAGATGACTAAGCATACTCGAGGCTGCTTGAATTCATTGTAAAATTCTTAGTTACCAGCTGCTGCAAAGGTCATCAAAACAAACCGGATTTTCCGCATCCAAATACATCCAAGACAGGTCATCCATGCCGGCAAATAGATTCATTGTTTCCAAACAAGATCCAGTCGGGAAATTATGGGAAGAAGAAGTTGTGGACATATTATCTGGCCTTTGATCAACCACCAACGTGAAATTTCTCTCCAATTGACCATCGCCCTTCTTGTGAGTTGATTGGTTCAATCGGAGAATATCAATGTGCGGCAACTTATCAAGTGCTCCCGAGATTTTCTTTGCCAAGACTGCCATCGCAGCGGCGGATGGCCATTTCTGGCGAAGCTCTTGCAAAATACCACACCCAGTTTTAAAATCCTGGCGAGCATCCTCTTGATTGCAAGATAGGCGACTGTATCGTAATTGTTGGTAAGATACAGACAATGCTAGTGAAGCTGCATAGACGACAATAGGAAGCGGATGCAATGCGTTCATTCTGATCGGATCCTGCATGTAACGAATGACTTGAATTGCTGCAAGTTGTTGTCGCAATCTTGAAGGACTTGGTGTTGGCAAAATTTTGATAGTTTTAAGGCGGTGCGCGAGGATTGAGGTCGCGAGGTGAAAAATGTGCAAGGTAGCTTCAAAAAAGAAATCAAGAAGTTAGAATAGACAATCTTTCCTAATCGAGAGTACATACTCGGCAGGGATATTTTGTGATCACAAACCGATGGTTGAAGAGGGAAGGTCCCATGCGTTCGTTTCGTCTATAATTTGCTCAAACCCAGGGAATCCGGAATCCCAGCTGGATAATCCCCCTTCACTGTTAGGGCGATAGAGCCCAATGACCTTATTTAACATTTTAGCAACTCGAAGCCGTACATTGAAGGCGGCATGACCATATTCTTCGGGTGTTAGGTCACGAATCGCAATGTCCATATCGGCTATGAAGCAGGGTCTTGAATTGATTGCGGAATTGAGACGATCGAGAGTCCAGAGACACCAAAAAGCTCTTTTCAAATCTCCTTCGGTATCATTGGGTCGTGGTAAGTGCAGCGCTAATGATTGTGCGTAATGAATAGCCTGAGAAATGTAGCTAGATGCATGCTCTGCTCCGTCGCTACCTTCCTGGTGCAGCGATAGCAGGCCAAGAATCCGCATCATAGTGATTTTTCTCATGGAGACAGGCTGAGAAATTGACTTTGTGACAGATAAAAATAGCTGACTGCAAAACTCGCGTACTGGTACGACGACGTCTTTCGAGTGCAGAAGTCTCAAATCCTTCTCGGCGGCGCTATCTTTTGCGGCGATCAAACACACGGCATGCACTAAGGGTGTAGAGATTGCACAGCGAGTGAGACATTGCCAGTATTCGACTTCATTGAGGAGTGGAATAATCGGATGCACATTGGCAAAGTAAAGTTTTGAAAGGGTCCTGACAGTCTTATGAGACATTATGTCTCGCACTCTGCTCCGGCAACAACTTGGCTCTCTCTGGGAGAAATTCGGAGCAGAATGGAAACGTTCACTTTGTTCACTCTGTTTGGATGAAACTGAGTGGATCCAAAGACCGACATTGTCGGGATAGGCATGTTTCACATCCTCCGGGGAGGTTTTCTCTTCAAGAAGTCGAGCCTCTGGGTTTAGATCACCCACAAAACGCGACGTGGTTGGACTAAAACTGCGAGCCAGTCTGGGTGTCTGCGGATGTCGGTGACCTCTTTCTGTTGTTTTCCGTTCCAATTGGACTTTATCGAATGATGTTGGATTGACTTGGATCCCAGGATAGTCACTCTCTTTTATTTGCTGATTTGATGACCTGGGTAAGTGTTCCTGGCCTGCCAATTTTATAGAGCTAGTCGTCCGATGACTTGACTCTGATATCGAATTGTTGCCCACCCACTTTAGAGTATGAGGATACGGGGTTATACCCGATTGATGAGAGCATCGTTTCTGAGGATAATTTGGTCAGGTCCACGTTTAGCCGAATGTTGGGATTCCTTTGCTAACCTTTCTCTGCCGACAATTCTCACAGGCTCTTCGCACCGTTATGCGGCGCGGTTCAGTGTCCGGGGTTTGATTTGCCACAAAATTGATCTTGGGGCTCATGATGAGTAGCTTGTCTTCGCCAGTAGATTTACTGCAGGCGATACACGGAAATTGTATGCTGAAATATGTCTTGATTCAAAATAGAAAATCACCTGGAGGCCTCCCAGCGGATGACTACCGTGGTACGTATATTTGAACTTGTGGAACGAATGTATGCAATTTTCTTTGAGCTTATGGCCGACTCGGAGCTTCTCAGTCCTTTGCAGCCACATTTAGTAGTCAGTAAACCATAATATCGTCATCCAACTGACCGAGATACCTCCGTGGGTATACTGTGTGGAGTAGGCGGGCAGATAACCCAATACGGAAAGACCCGGCCAAATGGACAGAGGATTTGCCCATTTTTGGACGTCGGCGCGCGCCTTTGTCCCTCAACCCCGACGATATAGCCGCTCTCTGAATGACGCAACTTGTTCTGTCCATCCCTTGTGCAATGTTTCGTGGCGGCGTTTCTTCTTTGGAGGATATAGATCCGACGGTGTTTAGCGGAGGTTATATGGGCATAAAATGCAGGAAAACTCCAAAGCGACCACTTCCAGGAAATTGAAGAGGCTAGGCAAGCTGCTTGAACTTTTCCAACGATCTTGAATTCACATATCAATATGCTTCTCAACTTTTGAAGATAATTCATCAAATGTACACCCAAATATTGATCACCACGGCCAGTAAAATGAAGCCCCAATATATGAGTGTCCCTTGCCAGCGAAGATATTCGTAAGTCTCATCATATTGAATGATGAGGCCTTGCAGCATTGTTGCGCCAACAAAAGGTGCGCTTGCATTGAACGATATCCAACCAAATGTACCTTATGAAAATCAGATGTTAGAAAGTTTGTCGCTGTCTTCAAAAAGTTCAATCAACTGGAACAGTCCCTGCGATTACTGACTTATCCATCCGGTCAGCCAGCTGCCGATACCATTCCAACGACCCACGGCAAGCTTTGTAACGAAATGGTATTGGCCACCAGCAGTTGGATACCTTAGATATGTTTAGTGTTTCATTTGCCATCCACCATAGAAATCGGAGTAGTACATTGAATGAAACTCTGCCAAGGATGCGGTAGTTGCGAGTGACAGTGTCATACCCACTACATAGAGGCTCTGGGTTAGTTCTTGTGACTTCGATGAAATCGTACCTCGCGGTATTTGAATACCGAAAAACCCATAGACCAAAGCGACAGGTCCTCCACTCGATAATCCTGATACCATGGTACTAATTCTCAAATCAATAAATGATTTGTGGCTATGGGTTGGGACTGATAGGGTTTTTACCCTGAAAGCCCCTCCCATGTTACCATGGAAAATATTGTAAATCGAGAAAAGTGTGGCTTCATATACCAATAGAAGTTAAGGTTGGTTTGTGGTAGTAGACTGATTGAGTCGTTACTCACTTTGATTTCCTGGACTTGGCCTATTTCTCGTATCTTCAAGTCATCATTTAAGGACGGGAACAGGTTTTTGATATCGGCCCTGTCCATACTGAGCGTGGAATAGGACCAGAAAATTACATGCAACTGAATAACGTTTTGGTGATTTGTATTCCCAAATTCAGGAACGTGTACACTGGTCAACTACTGCGGACATCAGGGATTTTGTAGGCAAGCAGCTAGTTGGATTGTTAACTGATGGGGAGGTAGTCTATAATACTTTGACATAGATTGAGATAACGATCTTGAAAGCTATGCTGTTTTCGTAGACTTTTTTGCGACCAACCTTATCTGATTTGCCAAAAGTACCGGCATTCTAATCAGTGGTTGATATGGTCCGGAACACAAAGTAAAATGAGGGGAACTACTCCTCAGGGCGGCTGGATTTAATGCATCAGTTGGTAGCTTCCGGCGTGTATTAATCTCTTACCTAGTAGAGATAGTTATAATATTAGCGCGAACTGCACTTGATTTTGGGCTTCACTTCTCAGGCACCGGCCGTGGACCAAGGAAGTAAACATGCGAATACTAGCCTTATGGAATCTAAAAAAGAGCGGTTTTGAGATCCTTGGAGGCTGTTTGTGAAGCCCTTGCGGCTTGCAAGTTGAGCCCCTGAATGAAGCCTGTGTCAACAATTTCTTGTGAGAAACCGGGAATAAGCCAGGCAGTGACGTCGAACGTGTCGTACCTTTTATATTTTGTTTTAAGAGGCACCTACCGTCAATCTTGACGGTGACACATGCCGCTATGGGAAGGGAGCTAAGAAACACCGAAATCTTTGGGTTCGAATCTATCTCTAGAGAGAATGTAGAAGGAAGGAAAGGGAAAGGCTAAATCGTGGCCAAGTAAGGACTCGGCGCAAACGACAAACTCTGGTCCTAGAAGTCTCCGGGGAAACATTCTCATGAGGATAGGCTTCGCAAACTCATTAACAAATTCAGTATTTAGCTACGATCTTTCCACATGTATACTTGCGGAAAAGAGCCTTTGCCATATAAATGTCAATGGCGTTTTTTGCTTTGTTTCTCCTCCCATTATATTTCTGGCTAACCGGAGAGGAACCACATTTGATGTTCTGTCTTTATCCAGCAACTAATCTTTAGGGGATTTTGTGCCAGGTCGCTGAATGGCCAGATCGTGCTTGATGATTCCTCCATGAGCCAGCATACCGATACAAATCCGATACAAATATAATTACCGGTGTTGTATCGGACTGAAACACGTGATACGTCCCTGGCAGCAGGATCTCTTTCTCAACAGCTTCTCATGACTCGATACCCCACGTAGCAGGCAAAAGAATAATCGACGAAAGTTATTTCATGCACGGAAAGTATTGAGCTGCTATGATTGGATGAGAAAGGCGAGCTCAACGAAGCCTCAAGCTCACCACCGTGTGGGCCTGTTTTTGTTACGCGGAGGTACGGGCAACGTCACCCAGCCACCTTGAATTTTGGACATGTCGGCGCCCACAACTAGACGCAATCGTTCTCTGGCCTCCTGCGAGCCTTGTCGAGAGCGAAAAACTCGATGTGATCATAGAAAACCAGTTTGTGCTTCATGCCTACGCCGCGGACTCGACTCTCGATGCTATTACCATCCCGCACCTCTCACCAAAAACCCGAATGCACAAAGGTCGACCGTGTGTACGTTAACCCGGTCAAGCCATGCGGCGCCATCATGGAATAGGAACAGTACGAACAGCCGCCAGAGCTATACTGGAAGGCCTACAGCTGGGCTCCCTAAATTTCACGTGTGGCCTTTCATGTCAACCGTCTCCAACGACGCGCTGCCACAGACCCCTACAGCAGGGTCCCAGGGTAGCAAAGCCTATGCTGCCCACTTAGCCACCATGGAGGAGATAGTCTCTCAACTGAAATACCTTCCAATCATTGAGAAGCGCCTTCACCAGTACTACTCTTTCAAGCAAAATGCACTTGTACCGAAGCCAGTCGTTCTACACCTTGTGGAAACGCTTCGGACTGATTTGGTTTCTTCAGGCTATATTCTTGGGGAAACGGAAGAAGGGGTCGAGCTAGGCAATGTACCCAAGATCTCGAAAGCTGTGCTGCACTCTTCTTCCACGGAGGTTGTCATAACCCCGTCCTTGGATCTGCACGGTTTCCTCGCCTTGTTCTGCGGCAAGAACCTTCGTGTTGAGACGATTGGCCTTTTTTTCACAATGGCTGCACGTGCATCACTCTTTTTTGTTGACCGCGACGAGGACAAGGATGACCAGTTTGTTCAGGACATGGTCTGGTATAGCAAGCTGAGCTTACGACTGGCTCGTGACCTTGCACCCCAGTCAACAGACTTCATCGTATGGCTAGCAAATGAAAACGCGCAGCTACTATCATTTCTTGAGGGAGATGCGAGTAAGTCACATCATCGATTTGTTATCGATTCTCGAAATACTAACCTTTCCCAGGCCTCGCGGTGTGGCGATTGGTAGGCGATCTCGCGACAGACCTATTAGCTTTGGGCTTGAATCGAGAAGCGACATATGCTCCTGAAAGGACGCCATTTTTCCTTGCAGAATGCCGAAGAAGGTGTTTCGTTACCGAATACTATCTTGAAAAAATGTTTGGCCTGGTCTTCAATCTTCCTTCCCGAATCACACCCCAATTTGTCGACGTCAATCTTCCACTTGACTTATCAGATGAAGAGATATTTGCTGATACTCCCGAGGCATTGGAGGAAGCAAAAAGTCGGTTGACGGAAGATGGCTGGAATACAGATGGTAAACATAGGGCGGCAACGTGGGCACGACTACGTTATATTCTGAGTCAGTTCCGGGAGGAGATTGTTGAATACCAATTTCAAGGATCACAGGCTGCGGACCCTTCCAAGCTTAGGTATGCACAACGCGCTTCAAGATGTTTCGATTATCTACTAAAACAATTCAGGGATGTGTCTTTCCGTTGCCGCCAAACTTGGGACAATTTACTTCCTCACCTGAGGTACAACCAGAACTGTTGGAAGTCTGAGATACCTCTTACCGTTTGCTATATGCATGCGAAGGTTCATCTCGCCTACCTCCAAATCCATTTTCAGATATACCATCTTCTTGGAGAAGATAGCTCTTCTCCCCTCCCAGAGATACTTGATGTGTCTGCAAACATGCTGGAGACAGTCGTACAGATGGGAAATTCTCGCGGTAAAGCCGCATTCACGTTCACCGATTTACCTGAAATTGTACGAACCTTTACCCCACCATCTACCTAAGTCTCGCATGACTAATGAATTGAAGCTTCTTTCCTGTGGCTTGTCCTCTGCTGCCGTTCTTTCTACGGCACTAGAAAATATGACCAAAGACCCACCGAGGAGTCTTACGCCCGGCATCAAGACATCGGCAATCATTCGGAACCTTTCCGTGCTAGCTTCGCAACTTGAGAGTGTAGCCAGTCCGCGGGAAAGAAATCGAGCATTTTGTTTGCAGGCTGCGAAAGCTATCACGGAAAAGCTGGACAAGATCTTGGATAAATTTGCAGCAAATAACTCTCTGGCAACCCCCGACATCACGACAAGCAATGACCTCAGCCCGACGTCAATTTTGACTCCCAATATCGGCTCCTCTTGCGGATGGGGGGAGATTGATGCTATCAATCTGGAAGATTACGAGAACTTTGATATGTTGTCTTGGGCTATCAACGTTGACCTAGGGAGTACGGCCAGTGATTGGACTATGCTATAAAGTTCAAGTAATTGTCGAGTAGCCGAGATCTTGTGCACCGAAAACTTGGGGTGTATGCACTATAAAGCAAGCATTCTGCTTGACAAAAGGCACCCTTTCTCATGAGTCTTAAGCAGTTAAATTATCGAGACAGAGGGAGGAAGGTTCGACTTCTCAGTTCCTGACTCGATTTTCAAACCTCTCCTGCTACTTGAAGATAACCTGAAAGTGCTTCGGTCGCTTGCGTGAGATTTATTTACTATAAGATTAGTCCAAGGACACTTTTATGAAAATTGGGGGTTATCTAAGATCGCTGTCGCTGGCAGACAAAACTCTTGTCATCGAGTTGGATTGTCTCATCGGTTATTTGTCACCCGCTACTCAGGCACTCCAGAGCCCGGGAAAGATTTGGAAGCAGAGAATATCGTCCAAGGAGAACTTACTATCAATCCACGTACTATAGCGCCAGAGTTGACTAGCCAGTGAGCAATCTGTAGTCTTCCTGGACTCGGTAGTTTGCAGGCGACCAATACCTGACGTTTGGAGAAGAATACGGGTTGAGACTTAGTGCAATTTGTAATGCAGTTGCTCGACTAGCAGGGTAAGAATAATAATTACCTGCTAAACCTGTACTGGCATGGATGTCAACATTGTGAATGTCCGCCCTTTCGTCTTGTAACAACTCTTCCCATTCTTCTGCTTCCCATGTATCTTTTTGGACAATTAAAATCAATAATCAATTATATGTATTTCTTATCTATTGTACAGATGATACTCCCATATAGTTCAAATCTAAGGTAAAAATAGAGAAATTAATACGGAGAAAGAAGACCACGGTAGAGTAGGGTAAAGATAGGTGCAATACCTACCTATGGGCGATAATATAAACTGAGCCGTATGGAATTATCATATTGCAGTGGTAAAGGGTCATAAAGAGAATGAGAAAGAAAAACTTCTAGTGTTCCAAGCCCCGCGAGACATAAAAGGCAATCCTAGATGCATTTCTTGAGAGCAATATAGTCTCTTGCTAGTAAAAAGTATACCAGATCTAAATGTGGAGTAGACTCTCTCCATAATCCAAATTAACCACGCGAGAACCAACGAAACCCAGTCGATCTAGCCATTAATGCAACCAGTGAGAAGATTGTTGGGGTGATGAAGAAAATCTGAATGGGCAAAAACCGATACCAAGTGACAGAACCTGGACCTTGGACCTGCTCGTTTAAGTTGATCTCGCTTTTGCGTTGTGTTTGCCCCTGAACCGTGAATTTGATCACATTTTGGTCATCTTGTTCCCAGGATTTGAAGTATCGAGCGCCACAGTAACTATATGTCCAGCGTGAGCTCGAGACCTACCCTAAGCAGGTCTGGAAAAGGATCTTACCTCCAGTGAGCAAGACCCATTGTGGTGTCAAGGTAGCCTTTGATAAATGCCGCAGAGATGTTTGGTGATACCTGTTGAGAGCTATGGAATAGGCGTGACTTCGCATGCTGAAGACCCTCTGCTTCATTGTGGAGCAGCTGGTAGCTTTTTTGCATTGCAGTGTTGCAATCAAGTCCACAATTCAATATCAAAACAGGAATCAAATTCTCGATTTGATTTTCACCCTACTAAGTGTCAGCTTGGCAATACTTGTAAACATATGACAAGTCATACAAGTTCTTTCCTGAGAGAGAACATATCATTTGATCTGTAGCGACATTAGAAAAATACGCGGGGAATTATATCAAGGTCCACCTACATATGGACGAATAAGAAGTGTGCTTCCACAGGTCTCGCATGGCGGGAATCTTGATATCCGCCTGTTCAATGTCTACTCCGTAAATGAACCTGCGGTTCCATTAGTACCGCCCTTTCAATTTCAATTAAGACGCATACGGAATTGTGGCAACCACGCAGTAAACACCAGCGGTAGCCTCACGCCGGTTCCAGTATTCTTCAACTGAAGGCAGATCGTTGTCTCTGAAAATACTGTCGACATTGTTCAGGCTCCCAACATATCTGATCATTTCGTCACATAAGACTTTACGCGTATCTATAAACCTTGTGAGTCACGAACTGCTTGCCGGACTACCAGGATTAAATTTGAACTCGGGGATGACAGGATACTTTCGGAATAGACTTCACGAATGTGCTCTCCAACCTCATCCCAAGAATGTAACGCGTTCTGAAGCTCCGAGTCAAACCCTGACAGTTCTGGCAGGCTACCCAGTCCGAGTAAGGTGAATTGAAAATATTGCAAGCTTGATTGCCTATAATTCTCAGCGGCGCGCTGATCATGCTTCAGCGAGCCGCAGTCAAAAACTATAAACAAATTCAAGGGAAAGCTATTAGTATGGTTGAAACCCCCTTTTTGTGCCTTTTTTATGGACCACGTACTATCATCATATACAAAATACTGTGAGATTATTAGTCGGAAAATATTGACAGAGAGACAAAGAACAAACCCAGGCGAAATACTTGGCCGCTGTGCAAAGAACGCGGTAGGACTGAGAATTCGGCACCCAGACAGCGGCAAATCGGCCAAAATCAGCTGCACAAAAGAGCTCGCAGTACGCTCATCAGTTACCCATCTATGTAAGTGTCAACAGCCAAATCTTCCCGGGGACTAAAGAAGTCAATGGATAATATCTCCTAACCCAGGGACCAAGCTCGTCATCACGCGCCCGCTTGTACCCTTCATGAAGGTTTGGCTGCCACCCGGGGATCAATTTGTATATGCTAGGAATTGTGACAACCTGACCCTCCAAAGATCCTCGGAAGGCTTTATGGGGAGTATTGACAGCTTGTTCGGCCATGATAATAAGTAGTCTTATTTGACTATATTCCTTTTGGAGAAACTATAGTACAGGGGCCCCAGATCTAGGTTCTATTTATTTCTGCCCGAAGCCGGATCTCAGATGGAGCCTTCGTGGCTCGGCTGAAGAAATGTCTTATCACTTGTCACCGCTCCTTAACAGTTCTTCCACGAGATTGAGTTTTTGACCATGCCGACGGGGGATCTCGGTTCGACAGCATGCAGTTTGCCCCACAAAGCTGATCAAACTGGCCATGAGCTGACCTAGCACAGAGAGGTGAAAAAAGCCGACGACTGTGCTTTGATGGGTATTCATTTTTAAGCATCCATTGATTTTGAGAATGGCGTTAGACCTAGTCTCATACTAATATCAGTTGGAACCTCAGCTAACGAGCCTCTAGTGGCAGGGCTGTGTGAGTCATAAACGTGTCGATCAGCTTCTTGAGTTTATCTTGGTAGATGCATAGAAAATCGGAAAAATCTTCGATCGCGCGAAAGATCTGAATTTGACTAACCCGATGAGGACCGAGAGCTCCACGTATCATTCCGTGCCAACAGAGCGAACGATCTAGTGGCATGAAAACCTGTTACACTGCACCATGATGGATATTTTGGCTGCCTGAGCCATTGCCGTGGGCGTTCCAACCCGTTTATTTTTCGCCCGTCGGTCAAATTTAGCAGAACACAGGGATCATGTTGGATATCTCTAAATTGGGCATCGATAGGGATTCATATAGATGCTTCCACCTGATACCAGGGAGTCACTACCTTTTGAGTCTGTAAAATTTTGAGTCGGTAAAATAATATGTGGCGGGCTCTGGGATGAGATGTTCTTGGGTACGCAAGTCAAAATTGAACAAGAGTCTGGTAGTTATTAACTATCACCTTGTCATAACGTAATTCCCGGCCGATCTGGACACCCGGCCGTCCTGGACACCCCATCGAAAATCGCGTCTTCCTACCTACACACCAACTTCAACCACCTACCATGCCACTAATTCGCTCTGAATCTTCGCAGAAATCGGTCAATCAGGAGGGCAAGGTCTTATTAGCCCTTGATGATATTAAAAATAGCCGCATCAAATCTATTCGCGCAGCAGCGAAGCTTTACGAAATCCCTCTGTCAACACTACATACGCGTGCCTACGGCCAGATTCCACGCGCTGAGAAACGCCCGACCGGTCATAAACTGACCCAATTAGAAGAGGATCCGCTTACTATATGGATTCTCTCTATGGATACGCGTGGAGCAGCCCCCGGCCCGGTACTGTACGAGAGATGGCTAATATCCTACTAGCTACGCGTGGTAGTAGCCCTCCGCCTACTGTTGGCAAGAATTGGCTATCAACCTTCGTTGCACGGCGTGATAAGCTTCGATCGCGCTTCTCGAGGCGATACGACTACCAGCGCGCATTAAACGAAGACCCGAAGGCCCTACGAGCCTAGTTTACTACCGTACAAAGCGTAATTGATGAGAACGGTATACAACCGGAGGATATCTACAACTTTGATGAGACAGGCTTTGCAATAGGCCTTATTTCTTCGCAGAAAGTCATCACTAGGGCTGAATACTACGGTCGGAGATCAATACTACAGCTAGGCAATCGCGAATAGGTCACTGCGATCGAAGCTATATACGCAGACGGCTATATACTACCGCTATGCGTAATCTTCAAGGGCAAAGTGGCTATTACAGGGTGGTTTGACGATAACCTACCGAGAGATTGGCGAATCGAGGTCTCTACGAACGGCTGGACTACTGATAAGATTAGCCTACGCTGGCTAGAAAAGCACTTTATCCCACATACTAATCCGCGCGTACGCGGTCAGTTTCGGCTACTGATTCTTGACGGCCATGGTAGCTACCTTACACCCCTATTCGACCGTTTATGCGCAGAAAACGATATTTTACCACTTTGTATGCCTTCTCATTCATCACATCTACTACAACCACTAGATGTTGGCTGCTTTGCTCTATTGAAAAAGGCGTACGGCCGTTTCGTTAGCGATCTTGCGCGCCGAGGATACAACCATATCGATAAACATGATTTCTTGATAGACTACCAACGCGCGCGGCTAGAAGCCTTTCAGTCGGCTACTATCCAAAACAGCTTCACAGCTACTGGTCTAGTACCAGTTGATGCAGAGAGAGTGCTTAACAAGCTTAATATCTCTCTACGTACTCCGTCACCACCAATCAGCCGGCCAAGCAGCAGATCTAGCTAATTCGTGCCAGAAACTCCTAAAACCGTAGCTCAGCTACACAAGCAATCTAGCATGATGAGGCGTCTACTAGATCGGCGGTCAAAAAGCCCTCTAAGCCTATTAAAATTAGTGGTAGATCGGATTATCAAGGGCCACTACCTATCGCTGCATACTCTCGCATTGCTTATACAGGATAATACGAATTTACGCATGGCCAATGAGAAGATCGTCAAGAAGCGCAGTCGGTCAACTAAGCACCTACCCTGCGAAGAGGGTTTGACCATTAAAGAAGCCCTACAGCTAGCTGCGCAGCTAGATTTGCCGGTAGAAGAAGATGTGGTGGAATCGCATACGGAGGTCGAATTGCCTAGTCAGCCAACTAGGTCAGCGGCCAGGGCTCCGGCTAGGTGTAGTGGGTGTAGGGAGATTGGCCACAGGATTAATACATGTAAAAATCGTTATATTTAGTTAGATTAATGGGTGTTGGTTGAGATAATCGAATTTGAAATTTTCTAATGGGGGCAGGTGTCCAGGACGGCCGGGTGTCCAGATCGGCCGGGAATTACGTTATGCAAAATGTTAAACAGAAAACGTCATGTTCAACAAGTTCGCGATGTGAGCTCCATTTATCTTGATTCGTCTTAGATTAAATTGCGCAATGATGCGATCGATAATTGTCGATCATGCAAAGATTACGTACTACTGATCAGCGGGAAGGATTTAGTCTTCAAGATGACTGAAGAATAAAGACGTTCATCATTACAGGGTGTTCTGCAGTGCCTTCATCATGGCTCCTCTACTGGTATCGACTCTCACCGAGTAGAGACAATGCTCTTGCATGCGTAGCCGACTGACGCTCCCTTAAGGTTTAGAGGGAAACCGGATTCTTATAAAAGAGTGGTTCCCCTTGAGCCTATGCTACCTTACGGCTTCGAGTCGGCACGGGACGAACCCAACTTGAATCCAATAGGATGCATTGATTTGCCAAATTTATTACCATGGTATATGACCAGTCTCATCAGCTGTTGCGACAGACCTTTAGAATCCGTTGCGTTGGATCATATATAGACCATCATAGCCTTGTTTGAGAGCGTATAGTGAACACCTTGGGCTGATAATGATGATGATTCACAGGTTTAAGAGGCTCATAAGTAAAGACATGTATGTAAAGTCCTCTCAAAAACCTCGAAATGGGCGGGAAAGGGCAGATCACGGCATTATTCACTTTTGTATACATAAATAGCGCTGTTCAATCGCCGAAAGGATTTATTCGAACCACGTGGACAAAGCAAGGGCGGCAATGCTGTTGAGTCCTTCACCCGCCGTCTGTCTCTGTGGATTTCCAGATATCGGGCACCGCAAGAATTTGAAATCTAGGGAGACTGGTTTTAAGTATAGCAGGAAGATAATGTGAGATTGTATTTTCTCTGATTGTGAAGAAGAATAGAAGTGAAGAAGACCAACTCAAGTATGTGGTAATACATTTTGTTTAAGAGAATTTAAGAGATATTGATATTCTGCATATGCAGGTCCGCATAAATAGATAAAGGAGGTGTCTCCGTTATTTATCATCTCCATTTGCTCACAGCCCAAGTAAAATTTGAACATAAAAGCAAAGTAAGCCCTTTCGACTTCGAGGACGTGATTCCGAACATTGTTCTCTGCCTGAATCTGACAGTGAGTTTGGTCTTTTATATTGATAAGGCCAAGATAGAGTTATTTGCAGGATGGCTGCTTTACCAGCTTTCAAGCCTTATATTCTCACAACTGTTATTTCGGGAGATGAGACTGTCTTTGCTAGAGATGTATTTCTGTGTGACGACTAGCTCAAGAACGAAAGAAAGATTCGAGAAAACATGAGAAGGCTCACTCCCAACGTGCGTCCGCTTAGAAGTCGAGAAGTTTGTTATTAACACCGTAAAAGACCTTCATGACCTCATCATCCAACAACGCATTCACCTTGTTCATATCATATTCGCAGCTCTCAGGTAAGGGCAGTCATTCATCTCCATGCCCCACAGGACCCGGGCAACCTCACATGATAGGTTGTTGACAATGGCCTCCTCGAACAAATCTGGGTGGTCGTGGACTTCGAGGACTATTGCGATGTGATCACCCAGGCCTTGGTTGATCGGTTGCTGGGCCAGTTGGACGGCCAGACATAATTGCTAACCAACCGAGCTAGAACTCGGCAAACAAATTTGCCATGTTTTTAGCATGGATCGGCGGACTGTACACGGCAGCATACTACGGCGGTATGAAATATCTTCATCGCCAACTGGCAAGAAAGGAACGCACCCTAGTGTAGCAGAAACCGGGGTTGCGCTTACAATGCTCAACGAAGATGGACATTCCCGCACAGTTCGTTGGTCATGATGAACTGACGGAGCGTGGCCAGGCGCCCATAGGCATCGACCAGGACACGGACCCTAACGTCCTACCGAGCTGCCAAGATTCGATGGAGAGTATGATGAATGGCGTGGGGGGTTCTCGGTGATGTATCTCTCGGGCTGTGCGATGTGCCGCTTGTTGAGGTCTAGGAAGTGCGGCATATGCGCTAGCCAGATATCATCGTTGCAGGTGTTGACGGAGGGGAAATTTCCAGAGCTGGTCTCCAGCTGAGAAGAGGCTGACTGGAAAGTTCCAGAATCTTGAAACGGGTAATGACGAGGTCGATATCGGTCAGGGAAATACCCGTGGTGCCGGTTGATTCGTCATCACTCGAGAAGGAACTAGCCCTCGAGGTCATCACGGTCGGAATCCAGGGGTCGTACATGTTGAGAATTTGGCAGAGAGGGTTGAAGAGAGCCTCTGAAGTGATATAAGAAGAAGATAGAAGGTGAGCGAGGGAATGAGGTTGAGAGCGGGAGATTGGAGAGGAGTCGAAGGAGAAAGAATACTTCAGAGCAGGAGCTTCAAGGTGAATATATGCTTTTGGGAGGTCAGGGTAGGCAACAGGTGAGATTACTGCTTGGTGGAAAGTCAAGGTAGATGCTCCCTCCTTTCTACGAAGCTCGAAGGCATCACTGGAGACAGGCAGGTATCAGGGTGATATTATTAAGAGTGAGCGGTCATGATTCGTGATAATATGCTCAGGTGATATACACTTTGGCCAGTCCAACATTTTTCATCCTTCACAGCTTGGACAATGCAGCCTTGGAAACCAAGTGCGCGTTGACAGGAGTGATAGCTTTGCCTTTCTCGTGGAAAGAGATGATATTCTCCATGCCCAGACTCTCAAAGCCAATGTGTGAGTCCAGAGAAGCACCAGCATTATGAGACAGTATCTCGACGTTCTTCATTTTACCCAGTTCAGGGTTGATATGCGGTTCATTAAAGTGCACATCCAAGCCGGCAGCAGAGAGCTGGCCCCTCTTCAGAGCATCTAATAAAGCAGCCTCGTCGAGGAGCTTACCACGGGCAATATTGACGAGACGTGAACCGCGCTTCATCTTCGACAGCAGCGATGCGTTGAGCAAGGTCTCGCCGCTGAATGGAGTTGCCACCACCACACAGTCAGATTCTGCCAGAAGGGTGTCCATATTCTTGTGGAAGGTGGCCCGGGAGACTTGCTCCAGCTCACGCGGCATCTGGACAATATCGTGGTACAGAATCTTCATGTTGAGAGCTAGGTAAGCCTTTTCCGCCGTGCGGCGGCCAATTTGGCCGAATCCAATAATACCAAGAGTGTGGCCCTTGGGGTTGAGCGAGACAGGAGCAAGATTGCGGTTCGCATCAACGAACTGATCAGGGTCCAAAGAACGAGCAGCCATTGCCGACCAAGAGAACAAGCGGAAGGTGGAGATGATCAACCAAAGGGCTGCATCGGCCACAGACTCAGTACAAGCAGCAGCAGCATTGCAGTAGATGATGCCTGCAGTTTTCATCAGCATGGGTCTCTGGTGGGTGAAAGATATCGAGTCCATTGGGATTATTTGGGCTTACCTTTCTTCGCCAAGCAGGCAGTATCAACCCAATCAAAACCAGCACCAGCACTGGCATACACCTTACACGAGTCAGGAAGCAGGGAGATCAATTCCTCATCCCAGTTGCCCATCTCACCACCTGTGTTCCAGAAGGGTCGATACATGGCAGAGAAATCGCCAAACTTCTTCTCCTTCAAAGCACGGATGAACTCCGGACGCGACATACTATACGACCGACGGATCTCAAATTGATCCTTGAATTTTGCGTACAATTCATGGTTCCAACGGATATCGTCACCTAACTGAAGGATGATAGGCTTGCCCATTTTGACTGTTCACTTTTGGTCGATAATAGAGTTTGAGAGGCGGGCGAAACGACGCGCTATAACGAGGATCCAGGAGTGGACAACGAGAGAATTGAAATACCCAGAGACCCAGCGAGATGCAACGGTTAAGTACCTTCAGATTCAATTTTACCACCTTTCACAGCGGCTATTGCAGCACAGCGGGCTCTGTTTCTGTGGTCGGCTATTGACGCCGTTCGGCTATAGAAATCCGATGCCTCAGCGGGTGTGGAGTTGCCCCCCACGGCCCGGAAACAGCTCCGCACGGTGACTGCCCATCAAGAAGAAAAATAAGGGAGTTGCAATATCTTATTGGGTATTGGTGATGAGGAATGGCTACTTGAAGTTGATAAATTCGCTTCTCCGCGCTAGGAAAATGATACTAATATAGATATCTCTTCGTTCCAACTGCGGCTTGCGCTATGGCGGGTATCTTTCTGCAGATCACTCGATACCCGATTCGGAATCATACATCCAAGTATGTAGACTCACCTGAGCACATAGTCAATGACTATCTTATAAGCTAAAACAAAATTAGCTATTGATTTATGATTTCAATGACATTAAATGTGTTGTATCTACCCTCAAAATTTGACAAAGAAAACAAGTCGCCAACGCCTTTCACCCCTTGTCGACTGAGACGATATCAGCAAGGATGCCTGGTAGCTATTAAGCGATACTCTTCCGTAGTTAATATTCGGAGTCATTAGTAAGCCTGGCTTCTAAGCTTAAATAGTTAGAAGCTAGGGATTTGTCATGGTGAGTTATGTGAATTTTGAAGCCAGTTCATTGTACAGCTACTATTACACATCAGTATCAATTACCTGCTTTGTGCGTGAAATCCCCTAGAGTTATAGCTAGATTATATTGACGGATAATAATACCATAATATTTAAGGTCCAGCCTGTTTTCTTGCTTCACGTGAAGTAATAACTTTCAATCACTATTAACAGGAGGGGAGTCTGATGATATAAGTGGTCTTTGACGACCTCAAGCTAGACGCTTCTAGTAGAACCACCGCTCACTTCCTTTATTAAGGCCCTCTATAAAAGGCTTTCTCTTGTCTTAGTAGTTCTATTTTTGTTTCATTTATGTAGGTATCTTGTCTTCTACATTACTTAATATCAATCTTTGTGCTGTAATTGCAAACTCCTCCGATAGACTGTATAGAACTCTTCGTCATGAAGCCTGTCTCTACTCAAGTAATATGAGGTATTACATGGTACTCATATAGCCTCCTGTTCCTGCTGTTCCGGAACTTATCTCTTGATAGACCTATGCCTATCGGCATGACTTTCACGTGAAGAGCTTTAGGAGTCATTCTCGAGTTGTTTGTCAGGATGTTGTCACAGAACCGTACAAATTATCATAACTCTTACCTCTAACTTATTTACATCCATGTTCGACCATCTTATCCCTTTCTTCGTTCGACACCTATCCCTCTTCAACCTTGGTCTTTACAGACGGCGATCATGCGAAATGACCACTCCTGCACCGGCACCCCCTATTACGCGTAACAGCACCCGAACGCCCATCCAAGACCTCGACATCGAAACAATCAAAAAATGGGACATCTACACGTGTGACCTGCAGCAAGCCTGGAACTTTGCAAAGCGCGGCTTTGCGGCCACTCTCGATAATGTGCGTCTCTCGGACGAGGCTGTATTTGCTCTCACCGTGTTCATGCCTCCCTCCCTGCGCGCAAAATACTACCGATACGACTTCGACTCTCGCGGTGATATTCGCGAATATCGCGTCCCCCGAGACCCGCCAATGGTTATCCAGTGTCACGGCATCAACTGGTTCCCCGTGTATCGCAAGACAACCATCCTCTGCGGCTCCTGGAGCCTAGCATGTGGCTGGCTTCGAGGCACTGTGGTCTTACCCTATTACGGCTACCAGATTGGCGAATTTGTCGCTCCCCCAGAAGCTGCTGCGGCTTGTTCGGCACCGCTCCAGCTTGACTGCCATCAGTCGCGGCCATCCCCCTCCGGTATCAGCCCTGACAAACTTCTCCTAGAGCATTGCCCTCCTACTTCCTTGACCGATGCTATTGCCCGCCAGGGAATTTATATCAGCATGGATATCACTGTTCCACACATCATCGTCATTGATTCAAAAGAGACATCTGGCTTTCAGACGTTGACCGAAATTGAAGGGTTTCACTACCTTGCCGGCCCTAACTCCGACCCTAAGGATCCGTCTCAGTGCATCCACCAGCACATCTCCTCAAAGGGTGATCTTAGGGAGAAGTATGGCGGCCCATACAAGAATGCAACTACCATGAAGCCCCTGAAGACTCACACAAATTGGAGCGGACGGTCTAAAAAGTGCAACCATGCGCACTAGATGGCTTTTGGCCTGGACTGTCATTGGCTCCCCGGGTCTGGGAAGAAACTCAACGCTGGAACTGTCCTCACATTTACGGCCTCGGTAAGACTCATGAATCTATTTCGACACTGTCATCTATGCTATCTAGTAGCCAGATGTTGCTAAGGTGTGTCACATAGTTCAAACAATAAACTGCGTTTGTACCGTTGCTTCCCGTTGCATTTTTTGTTGGACATGTTTGTATCAGTAAGGCTAAGTCTATCTATCATGAACAGAAAATCTGTACCGCTGTTCTGCAGACTGCCACAAATCAGTCCGGCCTTAGAAAAAAGGACTATGTCAGTAACTAACGAAAGTGGGTCCAATTCCTAAAGTATTGGTTAAGTTGAATATCCCTTAGGCCCAAATTATCTTTGCAAATGTTGGTACTAAAACGAGAATCCATGTCAAAGTGATCAAAAGCCTCAGGGGACGATTATTTTTACCAGGCGCATTTGGTCTACTGTGATTCAAGGAAGGTTATTATTACAAAACCTTCTTTCATGATTCTGCTTATACGCAACGACCCAATTAGCGTTCCTGGTGTGAATATTTTATGTTTCTCGGGCCTTTTTCCAATGCACAGGTCAGCAGTATGGATTCAGAATACAAAATGAACGAGTTCTCCGGTAGAATTTTGAAGTAATCCAGTAACCATGAAAGATGGAGCGTCCGTCAATCAAAGCGCAGGGGAAACATGAAGCCACCTTTTAAGTGGTCATAAAAGCCAGACTAGCAAACTAAATTGGTACGCACATGAAGAGACCCCAGACCTCGACTCCCAGATCTTCATTAGTCATATAGATCGCTCTCATAGAGGTGTACAGAGGACCGGCATTGAGCATATTGTTCAGCCTTATAACCAGAAGGTACGAATTGAGCATAGATCTAGGAAAGTTAGGACACTGATAGTCGGGTCTACTGCTAATATACATGCAAATTTTGCATCGATATCCCCGGGCAACGTCCTTCTGCGGGGTTAACGTCTTATGCTTTCCTCCCGTTCCTCTAAGACGAAAACTCCCCCCACAAAAAGCATAAGAATGTCGGGCATGGAGTAATTTCGGCTCTCTAGAATATTCTCGGAGGAGCTAAATCCTGAATCCAACGCTATTATCCACCGGGATGCCGAATGACATCCATATGTGGTCGACGCTGTTGATTTCGGGGAAATACTGGAGTTTTATGGGAAGATCCTCGGGTGGTTGCGTCATTTCTATTTGGCATCCACATTCTTGGCAGTCAAACACCCCGTGGACTCGTGGTAACCCCAGGAATTAACTAAAGAAAGGTTAATTTAGCTTTTGGCTCCCTGCCAAATTGTTTCTTGTCTAGTTCCCTGCCTAGCACGGACATCCGAGGATGTGGCGATTAATATCCGGAGGTGTTACATGACTTTCCCCCAGTTTTCTATAAAGACAGGGGTTTTGACGCAGCCAGTTTCCCCAGATCTGCACGATCTTTCATTCGAGTGAAAGAGCAATCATGAAGACCAACACAATTGCTACGGCGTTAGCGCTGGGCGCAGGTCCTTCGCAAGTATTGGGACAGGCTCTCTCGGTCGATATCATTGACAAAATGGGGAATAACACCCTCTTTTCACGATGGAGGCCAACTTCTCATTTCCTTGCTCCTGCAGGATGGATGAACGTATGACCATGTCTTCAATCGAGTAAATCAGCAAGTGAAGCGTGGCTAGCTAACAAACATATACTGATCAGGACCCCTGTGGACCGATGTATGATCCAGTTCGAGGTCTCTACCACTTGCACTACCAATTCCACCCTAACCATGTTAACTGGGGTATGAGCTCCTTGCACGAGGAATGATTTGCAATTAAGTGCTAATCGGATCAATATTCCAGGCAATATCTCTTGGGGACACGCAACATCCCCCGACCTCATTACATGGACTGACGTCGACCATCTTCCCAACGACGGAGTTCCTGCTTGGAAGGACGACCAGGCGCAATCAATTGGCACCACCAATATGACTAGCAACCACAACCCATCTCTATACAACCACCTGGGTATTTTCTCGGGAACCTCCCAACCAGTGAACCTTACTGGTGGAGTTGACGGCACGTTCTTGACCTTCTACACGGCTGTATCTCGTCTCCCTACTTCATGGAATTCGCCGTATCTCACTGGTACCGAAAGTCAAGGTCTTGCCTTCTCTACCGATGGCGGAGTTACATGGGAGCAATACGAGAATAATCCAATTCTCTCTCATCCTCCCGCCGGTTGGAACATCACCGGCTGGCGTGATCCCTTCTTCGAGCCCTGGCCACAGATGGATGCGTTCCTCAACCTGTCAGAGCCTCACTGGTATGCTGTCTTTGGTTCTGGAATCAAAGAAGTTGGTCCTCGCATGCCTCTTTACCGTGCTCCAGCTTCGGACCTCACCAACTGGACCTTCTTGGGAGCTCTCTGGGAGCCGGAGAAGAACAGTACTCTTGGTTCTCTTGAGGAAACTGGTACTTACGGGTTTAACTTTGAGCTTTCAAACTTCTTCTCGATTGGCGACCGGTACTTTGTTAGTATGGGCGCCGAGGGTGGCAATGTCAGCTTCCACCAGCAAAAGTGGTCTCTCTGGAATGAGGGAACTCTCTCCCTAAGGGCGAATGGAAGTGTTGCTTTCAATCCCGTTGCCGGCGGTGCAAGCGACTGGGGTCTTCTATACGCGGTAAGTATCATTCTGCTCGACACTCTTAGCTTATCCCTCCGAAAAAAGATCATACTGACACATCAAAAGTTGACTACTTTCAACGATACCAAGAACAACCGCCGAATCCAATGGGGCTGGGCTGAAGAGGACATGAACAACTATGCAATCACACAGCAAGGCTACCAAGGATCACTCGCATTGCCTCGAGAAATCTTCATCAAAGACACGCCCAACGTAATTCACAGCCTTACAAACACTACTGCCGGAAACGCACGCTACTTCGCCAATGCAAATGGCACCTGGACCGCAAGCACACTCGGTGTCCGCCCAGCCCCCGACGTCGTTGAGGGCCTCCGTCGCGGATCCAACCACACAAGCTACCCATGCAACAAGAACCAATGCAACATCAAGAACATCACTCTGCCCTCCAAACTATCCAACTCATACCAGCTAGACGTGGACATCAAACACACGACCGGAATCGCCGGAGTAACAATCGCCGCATCGCCCAACCGCGAAGAATACACAAACATCTTCTTCAACCCCTCCAACAACAGCATCGCCGTGGACCGCAGCCACTCGTCGCTGATCACCATGTTCACCAACTCCACACACGAGGGCTACTTCAAGCCCTACACCTTCCGAGAAAAGAACGGCAAGAATACCACCGAATCCATCCAGATGAGCATCTTTGTTGACGGCTCGCTGGTCGAGGTGTACGTTAACGAGCGCTTCGCTCTTACTACTCGCATCTATCCCAGTCGGGAAGATAGTACCGGGGTTACGCTGTACTCGGCTCCGGGTGCGAAGGTGGAGTACTCGAAGATCGAGATCTGGGACGGTCTGTTAAATGTCTGGCCTCACAGGCCGGAGAATAGCAGCTCGCTTCTTGTGTTTGATACTGCCGCTGAGACGGACAATTACACTTGGTGGACAGGGAACTAAGTCAGTGATGTGAGTGCTGGCGAGGACTCTGACATCTGGATGGATGCAAATAGATTAGAACTGAAAGGCTTCAATAAAAAGATTTTCACATTCAGAATTTCTCCAATGCCATGAAAAGTACCAAATTATTCTGTACCTGGCTACCCAGTCAAAGAACCCCTCGGGTTAAGCTAAAAAGGGAAGGACGAAGACAAGCTTCATACGTAGTACAAGATGCAAGATACGAAGAAACCCTTAGACGAAGACCGCTAGCAGTCATATTCGCACAAGAAACAAGAAACTAAGCAACAGTATACGGCATCCGAATGAAAACGAAGCATGGTAGAAATGAACGTCCACATAAAACTCGGAACGAATTATCGGAACGACAAAGGAAATAAAATTCCATGAGACAAGCAAGTAGGCCGTAGCCAGACCAGACCAAATAAACAAGAAAAGCCGATGCACACAGGCAATCAGAATGGAAAATATCATCAATGACTCAAACGGAAACCCGTGAAAACTCCGTCCAGCCAGACTAATGTAACGCCAGCAAAAGCAAGAAAAGAATATGTAAAACTCCGAATCTCCAGACCCAATTCCTAAAATGATATCCTGAACAGATCCATCGCGATGACAAAAAAAAAGGAAGACCTAAGAAAGGAAACGAAAGAGAGGAAGGAAAAGAAAAGAAAAGACGATCCTGGTTGTAAGACGATCCTGGTGACAACCACCGTCTCGGTCTAGCCACGTCTTCGCCTTAGACCAAACTCCTCTTCTTGAAGTTCACGGATCAAGCGGAGACTCTCGGCATCTGCATCATCTTCGATGCGATGCTTGGCATGTTTGGATTGATGGGGAGACATGGAGGTGGTGGCATGTCGATCGAAGCGCTTTTCAACCATTGGCGAGCTCTTCTTGGCGTGGGATGAAGAAGGGCGAGAGGATGGTTTCCTAGCCGATGAGGGGCCGGGAGTAGTCCGGCGTGCGGTATGTGACGTCGCAGGTTTCGAAGGGCGAGGGGCTGTAGGTTCTGGGACAAAACGCTCGACATGTCTAGGTTGACGGGATGAGTGACGAGAGCTGGAGTTTGGCGTGTAAAGGGTAGTGTGTGCTTCCCCCTCCACTGATGCGAGTGGTTCACCGTCCTGCACCACATCCATTTCATCGGCCAGCGACGTAGGTGGGGACACTAAGGACGTGGTTGGTTTGGAAGAGGCAGCCAATGGATTTGTATCCTTGATGTCTACCGAGTCGACATGGAGGACCGGAGGTGATGCATACAAGGCATGGCCAACAGTCACCACCTCGGCGACTTTGCTTGGCTGAGGTTGAAGGTGACCGACAGCGTCGTATGCGACAATACCAGCATCCGATACATCCTGTGGGACAACTGCAGTAGCAGCATATCCCTCGAAGTTCATGGGATGCGTGATCGGCGACGTGCTCTCCTGTTTAGTCTTCTTGGCAGGTGCAGGAGCAGCCTCGTCTTCATTAGGCCGAGGCCGCTTTGATGAGGCCGTTCCGCGAGGCTTGGAGCGTTCTTGAGCTTTGATCGGGTCAACTCGACCGTACTCGTCATGGATGCAACGGCGCTGTTGAATAGTTAGTAAAGAGATCATGAAATAAGCAATAACTCATCGGGAGTACCAACCTTGCTCTTACGACAATCGTCACACGCCTTGCTGCGTCCCTTTTTCCCACCGTTGACTCCATCGGGGCTCAAGTCATTGAGTCGGTTGGCGGCAGCTGTTGACGTACTCATGACTGCTGAGTGGAACTTACCAGAGCCCTCAAATCGATCAAAGCCAACCACGCCGTTGCTCTGGAATCCAGCTTGAGAAGCAATCGCCGCCAAAGAGTTCAATGCAGAGACAGCATCTTGCGCCAGTGAGGACGGAGTACTGAGGCCTGAGGTAGCACCAAAGCCGTTCATACCCAATTGTCCACCCAACATTCCCAAGTCATTCGGCTCATCCTTATGACGACAACGAATCCGGCGACGGCGACATGCATCACAGGCCACACGCTTGGGTCCTAAGCCAGATCCACGCGGCGCAGGTCGGGGCTTAGGCGCCGATGACGCTTCTTGAGCGACAAACTCGGGGAGAAACGCGGCTGGCACCGGTGTGGCACTTTCTGTTGGCGGATAGACTGGCAGGGTATTGTCGACAGGTGGAGCAGGTGTGGTAATAGCTTCATCCGATGGACGCTGGACTGCTTGCCGCTCAGCATAGGTGCGCTGGCTGTCGACATTACGTTCAGATCGTCGGCTCGGACGCCCAGAGGACTTCTTCTCGGTGAGAGAAACCTTGGGGTTCGATTCGATAACGCCCAGACGAGTCCACTGCGGCGCTTTCTCATTTCCGCGCTTCCAGGAAACCCAGATACCAAATTTCCTGATCATGTCCACAGGGTCACCGATACCCTTTGGAATGGACCGTCTGACCGCATTGCGAACTTCTATGGTGACTCCCTCAACGTTGTACGAGCTGGCAATGAGCGCTGTCCGCAAAAGGTACTTGGTCAACTCAGGCAGTCCTTCCAGCTCAGCCTGAGAGTAGAATCGAGCGTTGAAGTATGGTGATCCCGCAGGCTCTTGATTGGCAAGTTCCCCAAACTCATAGTAAATAGGGTGATGCCGGTGGAATCGATAGTTCTCGTCCTGCGCGAATGCGTCCATAACATTTTGCGGAATGGGATCATCGTCCAAGTATCGTATCGCTGTATACCATTGAATCTTTTGGAAGAAAGGATAGCGGAACTTCTTGGGGACTTTGGTCTCCTTCTCGATGTTGAGCACCTTTATCTGCATGCCATAGTTCAGTCTGGTGAGGAAGTTGCCACCAATGACCAGGCTGTTCTCCGGAGTCCAGACGGCATGGATCCATCCTGAGGGGATCAACATGGTATCACCCTCCGACAGATCCACGCGATAGCACTCCTTTGTCTGATTCCCGAGAAATATCGAATCTTGGGCGGGAGAATTGCACCACTCCTCGTACTTCTTCAGGTGCTTGTCTTTCGGAGGGATGAAAAAGAACGTCTTCTTTCCCTTGAGGATGTGGTAATACACCGATGATCCGCCAAAGTCGATGTGGAAATCGGTATAACAGTCGGCAACGGACATGAGACAATAGAACTGAACCTTGGGATAGTCGCCAATGGCCTTGAGCTCGTCTGGCCACACTGCATCCTGCAGATCAAGATCACGCACGACCTTGGGTCGCTTGATAAGTCTGCCTAACCTGCTCTGCGAGACTTCGAGGCTGATGACGTTCCGCACTGGTTTGTCTGGCTCGTTGCTCTCGTAGTAATCAGCCCACTTCTGCATGTTCCACCTCTTCTCTTCTCCTTGTTGCGATTTGACATCGATGACTTCAACCCGTTCTTCGGGGCCATATAGTTCAGCTACAGCACGGACGGTCAACCCTTGCGGAATGACCATATCCAGCTGATCTTGTCCACAGTCAATAGTTTCCCGAAGGCGCGTCTCGTGTTCGTCGAGGTGCTCAAGCAAATCGTCAAACATCTCCTGAGTGGAAGCTTCTTGCACGAGAGACTCGAAATCTGCGTCCACCTCTGGAACGGGTTCCCGAGTATTCCAAGCAGCGGGTATCACAACTGGCTCCGTCCACCCATTGCCCCGTTCAAAGTATTCAGCAGTTACCAGCTCGGGCTTCATCCTGGGGAACTTCTCAGGAAGGAATCTAATTTTGCCTTGGCGAATAGGCTCGAGGTAATGATGCTCCATTGAATCCGACGCCGCCTTCACCACGCCCTGATTAAGACCAGCATAGTCGATTGCGGTCCGAGCCCTGGAAGATTTGCGAACAAAGGTCGTTTGCCCATGAGTAGATCGGCAGTTACGACAAATAAACTTATCCACGGTGCGGACTTCACGATCGTTCTTGAACCCGGCACAGACGATATGAAACCAGCGCTTGCACCCGTCGCAGCCAATCCACGTATCTTCTTCTTGTTGTTCTTCGGGCACCATAGGGATCCGCACCATATGACACGCGGCACAGCTTGCCTGATTCGTGTCACTTCCATCCTCTTCTTCTTCAACCTTGGGCGTCACGTCCATTGTTTGATGAGAACGATGGGGCTCCTGTTGTGGACCGATGGATCTGGCGTCGCCGTATCCCGCGTAACGCGACACCCCCGTCGTTGAAGTGCCGTCTTCGTTGTCTTCTTCCCAGACGATAGGAGCGAGCGTACCCGCGCTGGTGGTGGGCCGCACGCCACGGATGACCGGGCGCGAGATGAATGCAGATCCATCAGAACGCGACCTCATACGTGACTGCGGAATGTGATCCTCGGCATAGTGATACGCGAGCTTTGATTCCTCCGGGGAGCCACTATGCTCAGCATAAGGAAACCCAAATCGATTATGTCGCATCGAGTCACCTCCGTAGAGATTGTTGTGGTGATGATAGGTTTCGTCGATACTAACTCGTTTCATGTGATGGCTGCTCGGTTGGAAGCTGGTGGGTCGAGCGAAATTGAGCAAGAGCTCAGCATCTGTTTTCATGCTATCCAAAATTGACGGTTGAGGGTTGTTGGCTGGCGGCATTGCCCGAGAGGAGGAAGAACGGTACGGGGATGGATCACGCTCTGATCGAGGCCTTTTCGCGGGTCGTTCGGCATTCTGAGGCTCGGGAGGAAATAAGGGGATGTTCGATCGGGAATTGGGAGAGGATAGGCGAGGCGGGAGCGGAGCGAAGGTAGGGCTTGTTGCGAGGGCAATCGTCGCAAGCGTGTCGATGGTGGAATTTGAGCGGCCATGTCCCGACCGGTGATGAGAGCCAGCATCCGCGGGGGGAATCCGAGCATGGTTTGACGGGCGCTGATCGTGATCGAGGCTAGCAGCCCGTGCAATACTGCGCTCCGTCCACGATGCTCGAAAATCGGCGGTCGAGGGTGTGATGGGCTCGACGGCGCGTCGCGGAGGCGACGGAGTACGGTATTGCGGGGGACGCTCGCCTAGAGGCATCATGAATGAGGCTGCGCTCATCATTATTGGCAGGTTCCGACGAGCGTCGGGCGCGAAGAGGGTTTGGTGTGAAAAGCTCGAAGGTGCGACGAAATGCGACTTTGCGGCGAAGTGGGTGCAAAGCGGGGATGTTGGACCACACGGACTAGCGAGAGGCCGTCGGAGAGGAAAGGAGTGTCATTCCTGGTGGCAGAAGATGCGCACGCAGGGCCGTGAGATGAACAACGATGCTCGAGGGACGATTGATGGCGGCGGAGGAGATGGCCGACGAGGAGGCGAGGCCAGTCGCGGCGGAGCGAGTTGAGGGGGTTGTGAGCGTCGAGGCGGCGGGTCGACAAAGGCGCCGAGGAGAGTCGCGCCGCAGCCCGCGGGCGGGAAAGGAGGACGGATTGAATGCAATCCAGTCAGCAGGAATCAGATCCTGCAAACTGGATGACGAACGGGAGGTATGCGTCTAGATGGGAACGGTCCCGGGTGGTTTGGAAGAGCGAGGAGGGGAGGACGGAGCGCGGTAGACGAACGAGGGAGGAGGGTAGGTCGGTCGAGAGCCTGTTTCGCACGGTATGTACGCGGAACCAGCTGTTGCAGCCGGAGGGAGTGTCCTGATGTCGATGACCCTCCCTTTCAATCGAACCCGATGGTTGTACGAGAGTGAAATGCGTTTCGCGACTGGATTGTGTCTGGAAAGAGAGAAGAAAGCCCGTTGGCGGCCCCGAGCTTCGACTTGCGACGAGAGCGTCTTCGCCGAGCTGTGACGCTGATACCGTCCGATACCAATTGTAACCGCAATCTCGTCGATAATCGCCCCCAACGTGCCGCGATTAGCAGGTAGCACGTGTTGTATTATTGTCATGTACCGTCACAATGGAAAGGGCGCTTACCTCATCCTCGAGGCCTCAGGCATGCACTAAACCGCAAATGGACGTGCCAAGCCCACCTCGTGCTTCTCTCTGCGTGTCTCTCCTTCGTCTTGCGCTGTTCGCCTTTTGAAACCACCACTTGCCCTTGATACCCCCGGTATCTAAACCTTTTTTCTCAACACTTTATTCAACCCGTTTACTGGACCTCCTTTGTCCTAAGAATGAGCCGGAAGCTCGCCCCCGAAGCAAATCGGTATGTGCTCAATTCTTCCTCTTGCCCCTCCCGCAGCCAGCTCCGCGCCCTTCGACCATCGCCCATCTGGTGACCAGCAGAAGAGATTATGGCTACCATCTCTTCCTTGTGCCTTGTCTGTTGTGATTTATTTGACTAACAGATTTGCCTTCCAATAGGATTCTCTTCGTCAAGAACCTCAGGTATGCACGCCCGCTGCCCGCGCTCCCGCCGTTAATCGGAAGTTTCGCCCACGTCTTTTCCGCAACCACAGTCCGGCCGCAACAGCGACGAGCAAAACACTGATGACTTTCATAGCTACAACGTAACAGCAGAGCAACTTTTTGACTTGTTCGGGAAATTTGGGCCTATTCGGTGAGCTCCGCGCCCTCTTTGCATCGCGGTATCCTCGTCGCTAACCCGTCGCTCTTTTTTTTTCTCTTCACAGCCAAATCCGTCAAGGCATTGCCAACAACTCCAAGGGCACAGCATTTGTGGTCTACGAGGACGTACACGACGCCAAGCAGGCATGCGATAAGCTCAATGGCTTCAACTTCCAGAGCAGATACTTGGTCGGTACGTGTGACACCCGGCGCAACGAGCGCATCCGGCACGATGGATCAAACAACAAAAACTAACACGCCTCATCTAGTATTATACCACCAGCCAGAAAAGATGGTTCGCTCAAAGGAGGATATCCAAGAAAGACAGGAGAACCTGGAACGACTTAAACAGCAGCATGGGATAGAGTGAGGTGATGGACGTGTATCGACTCTAATGATGCCCTCTGCAAGCATTTAGCTGCGCATGGTGTTGCAACGGATCTCCTGTTATGTCGATTCTGGGATGGCTTGAGGGGTTAGCGGCGTTTTGTTTTGTTTTTTTCTTTTATTCCCTCGGGATATTTTGTTTTTCTTGACGAATCTTTCGGAAGGGTGGAGCGGTTTGATGGGTCAAATCTCAGTCTTGATGATTGTCTGGTGGAACTTTTGCTCGATGTATTCGCCGGGCGGGAGATTTTATCTTTTCATGTCTATTTTTGGATTCTCACCTTCTACTTCGTGATCAATACGAAACTCCACTTTGCTCAGCACGCAGGCTTTCGTTGTAGGGGATTTCCCATGTCAGATGAGGCTCTTCAGCGTAGAACTCTCATGTGGATTGACACTAAACCTACGGTATCAGCGCGACATTGCCATACAATTCTGTCCGACAATGCTGTACACGATGTTCTGCTGTAACGGGATAGATACACTTAGGTGCCCTTCTGGTGCGGTGCTGGATATATATGTTGGAGCGTACCTTACTGACTGGAGATGTATTCTCGAGAAATCAGCAAGTGGCGAGTACATTCACCTGCATCTACCCAAATACCCATTTAACACCACGCAAGATCTACAACAGCGGGATGCGCAAGCTCTCATTCCTCCAACACATAAACAGGGTCTCAGTTGTAAGGCTGACAGTGCGTCACTGAACGACGAGGTACCCACTCCGCTGCAAAGGGACGGGTCTCTGGTCTTGGCAGAGCGCGACAGTGTCCCTTTCAACGGGTAATATGTGAGCACTGAGGGGGGGGGAGGGTGATAGACAGTAAAGCAAGTTAAGAAGGACCTACCTAGCAGCTAGATACCCTCCAGGAATAGATCAGGGCCTGTATCTGTTCCACCATGACAGCCAGAGCCAAGCACAGCCAAGCACAGCCAAGGATTATTATGAGCCGCGCCGATCCCCTTTTGAGGATTTGCGGGGAGGAGATCTGGATCGACACCGCCTCCAGGCAGAGCTGACTGGGACCTTCCAACTTCTGGTTTAGGCGTCATCTCACCTGAGTCTTCTTCCATCCGCGCTGGTCGTGTTCTGCCTTTGTTTCTTCTGAGTCGCGAGTACCTCCGACTAAAACGAAAAACTTGTTCTTGCCGGTCACCTGCCGATGACGCCCTGTCTCCGCACTTTATAGGCCCGTCCGGCCCCCCGCGTCCTTCCAACCTCCAAGCGTTACACTGCCACGACTCCATCACAGCGCAGGTCGCTTCTCGTCTTCTCCAAGGGCTAAACCGGAATTTTGGCTAGCCTGCCTCGTTCTTAAGTAGCGATGGAAGCTGCTGCCACTGCACTGTCACTCGCCGCAACGGCGGCCACCACTTTTGTCGCTGTGACTTCCCCGCCGAGTCTATCATCATCTCCAGGCACCTCCGCATCGCCGTTGCCCACAACGTACATGCTGTACTACCATGGGGCTGCTCCATCAGGCCAAGATCCAAACGAGGATGATGGGGAGTGTAAACTCCTTGGGCCTTTCTCTCTGCTCGTCCAGGCAGCTCTGGGAGCACTGGCGCTGCTATCGTTGGTATACAAGCGATGGAGGGAACGGCCCCAGCGACCACTGAAAGTGTGGGCATTTGATGCGTCAAAACAAGTGTTTGGATCAGGGATGCTTCATCTTGCGAATCTCTTAATGTCCATGTTCTCGGCGGGCGAATTCGAGATCAGAAATATGTACAAGCCGAACCCTTGCTCTTTCTACTTGCTGAATCTTGGAATCGACGTGAGTGACGCCAAACCTGTCCTTCTCTCCCCACCGCGAAAGTCGCTGACATATATTTTTCTCGGAACAGACAACCCTCGGCGTCCCAATCCTGATCCTGATCCTCCGAACTCTAAACTACCTAGCCTCTTATACGCCCCTCGCCAACCCACCCGAATCCATCGAATCAGGAAACTACGGCCACCCACCCCGAGCCCTATGGTGGCTCAAGCAATCAATGATATACTTCATCAGCCTCCTTGGCATGAAAGTCTGCGTCTTCTTCCTGATCGAGGTATTCCCTTTCATCGTCAAAGTCGGTGACTGGGCCCTGGGCTGGACAGAGGGAAACACCGCAATCCAAATCGCCTTCGTCATGCTGCTCTTCCCCGTCATCATGAACGCCATCCAGTACTACATCATCGACCACTTCATCAAGAAACCCCTCTCCTACGACCTCTACACGGAACCAGACACGATCGAGAACGATGAGGACATCCAGCGGCGCGAAGCTCTCCTGAACGGGCTGGACGAGGCATACTCTACTGACTCCGACGGCGACGAAACAGATGGCAAATCGTCAGTCTCAATCTCTCAACCAAAGGCTACTGCAAATGCGCTTCAAGAAGCAGAGGATGTCCTTACGGATGACTTTTCCCCAGTCCCGCCCTACGAACCGCCAAGCTCTAGTAGCAGCCGCAACGAACATGAACGCAATATGTGAAGCCCTGTTTGGCAAATTGCAATTGGATACGACCGGAATGCGAGAATAGTCATGATCATGGGCGTTGGAGATTGGTTTCATTACTTGGCTTGTTTGCTTTTTGGGTTTGCCTTATCATTTTCAATGTGTACACGAATATACGCTACCAATAAACACGATCATACTCTTTTAAAGCACATTCAGGCTTAATTCTACAGGTGGTTCGTCAATTTGAAACTCGTCAACACTTCCCACCTCTATCTTCAGGCACATGTTGAACGATAAAACTTGGAAGAGCTGCTATCTGAGTCGTCAAGAAAGACAGAAGCATATCGGAGTAGATTGTTTGTCCAGCCTCTGAATTTAGGCTATTGAAATGGCTACATTATCTGAGCTAGCTGGAGGGAGGACCAAAATACGTGATCACATGAACATAGCACCAACATCTAGAGTCAGTTACCTTTTCAGGTAAGAAAATACAAGTATTTGAATAATCCCCAGATTCAACAATGTTTCATTTCAAGGCCCCAAGTCTAAAATAGAATAAGAAGTATCTGGATTCCCAATCTGGTCCACAATCGCCAAAAGCTCAGCCGACGAGATCCCAATATCATCCAGCAGCTCAGTACTCGGCATCATCATGCTGGGATGATATTGCGTACGAGTGTACCCAGGATTAGGCAAATCAATGGGCACAAAATCCTCGACGTATTCACTGTTCCTATTCAGATTCTGCCCTTCCGTGTTGTTGTCACTGCGATGCTCTGCGGGTCTTTCCTCGACGTTGACCGAAGTAGATAGCGTGAGAGGCTGGAGGCCGTTCATCTCTGCGCGCGCAGCGACCTCCATGAAGAGTCCTTCGACGTGAACGAGTTCCTCCTTGCGCACCTGAGCCACTTTATTGCCATTGCTGATCATCTGGTCAAGAATCGAATGTGCTTCTTGCGCGGACGCTGGACCGTCCACTGCGTCAGGAAATAGTGCATTGGCCATTGCCAGATGGATTGCGGCGGCGTAAGTGAATCCGAGGTTGTATAATAGAAAGACCTCTAGTGAATGTCAGCTAAAGATGATCCTTGATCGAAAACGGCCTAGGAATGACTCACCGAGAAGACTGTCGCTGTTGGATAGAATTTGGAGGGTTTTAGAAGCGGACTTGATTCCCGTAGTGATCAGGGTCTTTGTTAGGTTTAGGGAGCTACCAGTTTCTTCGTTGTTGCTGTCGATGGTGGAGAGTCGCTCCATGAGAGCGGAAAGAAGGAAGGGACGTGTAGCGACAATAACGCACTATGTAAAGGGGCCTTAGAACGGAAGACTCGAGACATGGGCTGGTGATAATAATGGTTACAAACCTGGTGGTATAACAGGGTAATATGTACCCGATATCGAGTCCTGGACACAACAAACATTGATTTTGGAAACGATGATGCCGCCGAGCATCCGAACAATTCAATGGCGTACTGCGAGTGTAGCAGAGTCTAACTACGAGATGGTGGCAAACTTCAGATACCTCTCATACAGCAGTCTCAAGGACCTTTTCGTCGGGAGCTTCATCCGAAGTACTCCTCTCTCTCTCCACAGAATTTCAAGTCCGGGGTCGGGTTCTCTACCAGAATGATCATGTGCCTCTCGTTAGATACTAGGTAAAACTTTGATATATAATTACCACCAGTTGAAGTCTTCGTCAATAGTACTCCAATCAACAGTGCCAATCTCACAAGCATCTTCTTTCTCCCAACCTTCCTCTCTGGGAAAATGTCTGCTACTCAAGTGATCACCGCGACTACGGCTCCTAAGGTGCAGCATGTTGGCCAGGCTACATGGCGTGAAACTCGTCCAACTGAGCCGATTCCTCAGTTCCTGATCGACGAGGCCAAGGTTGAGACCAGGCAGTCCTTTGATGCCAAGAGACACTTGCGATATGAGCCCCCCAGCAAGATCTACACCATGAAGGAGATTGGTCTTCAGGGCCAGGGTATCTCTCCCGTTGCAGTCACTGCACCGTTTCAGCTTTTCACGGAAGAGGCTATCAAGCAGATGAGGGCTGCGATCTTCAGCCAACCTGTACTTGATAACTGCCTTTACATGTCTGAATTTGTCAAAAGCACTCTCCGCGGAATGGGATCGGCGTAAGTCTACCTGAACATTTCTCATGACATCCTTCTATACTAACATTCCGAATAGGCGTGCCCCTTTCACCTGCGATGCCTGGAACAGCCCCGAAGTCCTGGCTAAGGTTTCTGAAGTTGCTGGCATTGAACTGGTCCCTGCATTGGACTACGAGATTACCGCTATCAACATCTCCGTCAACGACCAGACCGTTCTCAATTTCAATGCCCCCAAGACGGATGAGGATGAGTACCCCGGCTTTGCGTGGCACCGTGACAGCTATCCCTTTGTCTGTGTTACAATGCTCTCCAACTGCGTCGGCATGACTGGAGGAGAAACCGCACTGAAGACCGCCTGGGGTGAGATCATGAAAGTTCGCGGCCCTGCCATGGTAAGATAACTCTTCACAGCCTTCTCTATTCTTGTTACTAACAATTGTCCCAAGGGAACCGCCGTGGTTATGCAAGGACGATACATCGAGCATCAGGCCCTCAAGGCCATTGGAGGTCGCGAGCGTATCAGCATGGTTACCTCGTTCCGAGCCAAGTCTCCTCACGTTAAGGACGAGTGTGTTCTGACTGGTGTTCGTCCTATCAGCAACCTGTCAGAGCTGTACGGCCAATACACTCAGTACAGACTGGAGGTGCTTGAGGAGAGAATTCGCGATCGCTTGAAGAAGGAGCAGTGGCGTGAACTTGCTAAACGTTCTTTCGACATCGCTGACGTGAAGACGTTCTTGACCGAGCAGAAAGAATTCATTGAGTCCATGATGGAGGAGCTTATTGAGTAGATGAAGAATATTCGTTTGCATCGTGTTATTAGCCTTTTTGATTTCGCCAATTCAATTAATTAAACTGCATTTCATTGTACTCTTCGTGCAAAACGATTGGCGAGCCTTCACAGGATATTTTTAGCCTCGGATTAATATTATCTAAATTCTAGGTAGGAGAAGAGGTTGCCATCTTTAGAAAGCACCAGAGGGCAATTTTTGATGAAATCTGAGAGGGCATACCTTCCCCGTAACTCGACTGCAAAAAGTAAATTAAATCGTTGGGCGAACTTATTTCACCCGGTCCTGAGGAAAGTGATTGCTACGTTTAAGTGCCTCGCCCGATTCAACTGAGGTGGTGATCAAAGCACCCATTTAGTGACCACTTCAGAGGCGCAAATCACTACAGACCATATATAATCCTGGTATGAAAGCCGAGGAGTTCATTCTCCACGCTAAACCAAGGCACGCAGGCCACCTCAACACTACCCAATCCTAGAATCCGTACACTTTGTTGAAGGGCTCAACGGCTCTCTGCCACGCCTCACGTTGACTGACAGTCTTCCACCATTTCTCCAAATTTGGTCTCTCGAAGATCAAGCCCTGAAAGCCTAATCCTATAAGCAAATGCACAAGAGGCATATAGAAGGCATCGGCCAAGGAGAACTGCTCCCCAGCTATGTAGCTCTGATTTGAAATGATGCCGTCGAGTGTGTCAAGCTTTGGTGCTAGATCAGCCAATGCGCTCGAGACTTCATTCTTAGGGACAGGTTTTCCTTGAAATCTACATTCTCCACAGTTAGAAAAAAGCCCCAGGCATGGTCCTCGAGACTCGACGTCAGATAGCTACTTACTTAGCAATGACAAGCTTGAGGACAAATGGCTCCGCAAGATTATCGAACTGTGTCAGTTCTATGGAGGCAGCTTGCGCAAACAGCCCGAGATCGCTAGGGTTAGACGACTCTGGAATCAGTGACTCCCCATAGGTTCTATGCTTTGCGGCAACATAGAGAGCAATGGCGCGGATTCTGAAGATAGAAGTCAGAAAATTTATCTGTGCCATGAAAGGCAAGAAAAATAGAGATATAGAGCATCACGCACCGAACAAAGTGAAATCCCCATCAATTAGTACCGGGACCTTGCCGTATGGATTCTTGGCCACGTGCTCCGGTTTCTAGCAATTCAAGTGTCAGACAGTTCATTGTAGAGAAGGCAAGGGAGAACTTGAGGATATAACAACCTTCTGATCACCATTCTCCACGCTCAGATCGACAAGCTCGACATCATCAACAAGCCCCTTTTCAAAGAGGACGTGACGTGCACGCAAGGTATTCCAAGATGTGGGAGCTCCGATAAGTTGAAGTACCATTTTGTCAGATACAATGAATCAACACACTTGAACAGCGGGAGACGAACAGAATTTCGTTAATGATAGTCTTGACTGGTAAGATCTTCTGAAGTGATGCGGTGCAGCCTTTATAAAGTATGGCGTGTTCGAATATCAATATATTGCTATAGTGGTTATTGCAAACAAGACAGTTACGTCACCAGATTCAATATTACTATAGCTGGTTAAAAGTCATGACTCTTAGTTAACGTTAACTAACTAGTTACATCAGAACTGCTTATTAAATACTTAAGAGCCCTACATCCGTGATGCAGGGTCTTCTAAGATTGCGTCCACTAATATTAATGATCGTTGCCTGTATATTGGAGCTAGGCCCTTCGCTATTGCCGAGAGACTTGTAGAAAGGGGAGGGACTTGAGCAAAAGCCTATGTACACTACCGGAAGACACCTAATAGAAGTGAGCAACGTCGGCAAAATATATATTTGAAAGGCATTGATAGAACGAAGTGAATCCCAATAGTAAAACGCGAGAGCCTTCCTTGTCAATGGAGATTTCCGCGGACCTCCGTTGAAGTGAGGAATTTCTGGAGACAGATAATATGTGATTCATGAGTTGCTGGTGTAGTTCCTTTCATAGGGCAGCGATGCCGAATGGCTCCACTTGATTAAACGAACCACAAATTGAAAATTGCCAGAAGGGGAAGTAAGTCAAGCCACAGTGGCGAGTGCTGAGTCATTTTGAGAGTCAGTAACTAGTTAACTAACTACAGATGGGCTCAGATGCAAACAGGACATCAATTTCAAAGCAGGTTTCGACATTAATAATACGTCATAATTTCTTATAGAAATGGACTCGATGCAAACAACACATTTCTAAGCACGCCACGATGAAGAATCAGAACCTTCGGCGTTGATCAGTACAGGAAGTTATATAAAATATGCCCAAATCCAATTCTATGAACTAGTTACCAGTTCTCCCGCCACATTACTCCTAGTTCTATGTCGTCTTTTAAAGCAAATTATTTTCATTCCTCTATCCTCTCTTAAAAACATCCGACAGAATGGCCACTAGCAGTCTCGTCGTCCTCACCGGTGCTACCGGCTTTGTGGGATTCAAAACACTCATCATTGCGCTGAAAGCCGGATACAACGTGCGCATTGTGGTCCGCTCAGCTAGCAAGGGTGACAAAATTCTTGAAGCGCGTTCTATCAAGGCGTTGAAGCTCACTAGTGAGATACTCTCCTACGTTGTTGTCCCAGATATCGCCGCTCCTGGCGCATACGACGACGCTGTGAAAGAGGCCACTTACGTGGTTCATTGCGCATCTCCAATCCCTAGCTTTGGTGATGCGGCCCCTACTCCGGAGCTATATGATGAGTTTTTCGTCCAAACTTCTCGCAAAGCCACTGTCGGTCTCCTAGAGAGCATTCGCAAGGCTGGCACCGTTAAGCGGGTTGTCATCACTAGCTCTATTGCCGGCAACATCCCCTTGAAGTACTTTGTTGGCCATGGGGATGACAAAGTTTTTGACGCCGAGAACCGCATTGCTCTTGATCCTGGCCCGTATGGTATCGAGTTCCAGGCCTATAGCGCTAGCAAGGTTGCTGCTCTAAATGCCTCGGAAGCCTGGATGAAGGCGAACAACCCAAGTTTTGACTTAATTAGCATTCATCCTGGATGGGTTTTTGGTCGTGATGAGCTATGCACAACCACTGCTGACCTCGAGACTGGGTCTACTAACTCCGTCCTCTTGAGTTTGCTGAAGGGCTCCCAGTCCGATGAGCCCTTGATGGGCAACATGTCTCTTGTGGACGACGTCGCTCAGGTGCACGTTAGCGCCCTTGATCCTAAGATTGAGGGTAACCAGGCTTTCGTTGTTAGCTCTAACGGTATCAATGGTGCAATGTGGGAGGACGCCATTGAAGTCGTCAAGAAGTACTTCCCTGAGGCCTTGGCCGATGGGCGCTTGAAAAGCACCGGGAAGCAGCCAACGGCTGTTGTTCGGGTTGACGCCGGGAAGACTGAAAAGACCTTCTGTATTCACCTGTCCAGCTTTGAGGATCAGGTTAAGAGCCTGGCTAGCCAGTACCTCGAACTCACCAAGCCTTAAAAAGTCCAATTGCACTTCACTCCCTTTCTCACGGTTTCCGTTGGAAGCACTTCCCAGTGAAGCTACATTGTGATATGTCTCTTGTTATATATCGAACCTTTGTGCCATTCCTTGTGTTCGTAAAATGTTCATAAATCGAGAAAAATATAGCTACACCTTCGAATCGACATTCAGAATTCAATGATCTGCTTGGTATCTGTGCAAGGTCAGTAGATCTACTGTTCGAATCTACACGATTTTTGTAAATTTTTCCAAGTTGGGCTTCAATCCTTTACATAGGTCAGTATGTAGATATGTTTGAATTAAAATAGCAACAAAGAGCTTGATATGCATTCAGTATTGTCGTATTTTAATCAGCTGCCGACGACCTCGACATCAGCTTCTACCACGTGCGCATACAAAAGTTAACGCCTCGATGGTCAATAAGCAAGCCTATTTGACTACAGTAGAGTACCGCCTCCTTATTGAGGACATACCGCCAACTAACTACAACTTATGAGTGGTGCGGCTACTATTTTGCCGGCAGAATAATTATCGTGATACTTAAAAAGGACGAGAACTTTGGAGGTGCTACTGTACAAGCCGATACACCTTGGGGGTGACAAGACACATCTATGTGTTACACTTGTACGGTTTGTGCTGACTAGCCCACAATAGCTTCTAGTCTTGATGTTTCAAACATGCGGAGCTTCTGTCGGCCCGAAGTTAAACCCGATATGAGTTAGCTTATCACGTGCCTCCGTCATCCCCTTCCTGCCGTCCTCACGAGTCAGACTCAACGAGATTACAACGATGGCAACGCATGCAACGCACCGTCACTAGTCATCTCTAGAGGGGGTTCTGGGCTTCTTAATACCCTTGTCATTAACACCACAACAGCACGAGTCCGCAAGGAACCTTGTGATCGGGCTTGTACGGCATTATGGGTCCGAGAGGACCGTTCGGAAGGGCTATAAGCCTGCGGCACTTATCCAGGCTACCCTCGAACACGTTGCGTCTCCAGATACTTTTATTACTTTCTTCCTCTCATACATCTACGAGGACCTGTGTTCGGACGAAGGACTTGCGGTGCGGTTGATTCCGACATTACCTATGCCTTATTATACTTAGACGGTTTTTCTTCATGGGAGCCTGAACAAATAAACAACCTCAACCAATGTCTAGAAAAGAGGGCCAGACGAGATTCTTAAATTTAAATATTTAAAGGTTGTTGGTCCCCTGCTGGGGAGTGTGATGGAATACTCAGCATCCGGTACTTTTCAACATTCTACCTTGAATCTTCTCGATCCCTGCTAGCAATAATGAATTCAGAGTACTATGGAACTCCCTCTCAAAATGGGTATGGCTACTCTGGGCCTCCGCCTCCCCAGGGCCCTCCCCAAGGGTATCAGCAATCATATCCGCAACAGCACTCAGAGCCTCAGGATCAGTACCCTCAGTCTCAACACCCCCAGTCTTACAACGAGCAGCAGCAACAGACCGCCCCTGGTGAGGCCCAGGATGGTGAGCGTGGTCTTGCCGGTGCCCTTGCCGGTGGTGCTGTCGGTGGTTTCGCTGGCCACAAGGCCAACCACGGCTTCCTCGGAACCATCGGTGGTGCGATTGCCGGTTCCATTGCTCAAGACGCCTACAAGAAGCACCAGCATGAGGGTGAACAGAACCTTCCTCCCCAGGGCGGTCCATACCCACAGCAATTCCCTCAGCAGCCGTATCCGCAAGCGGGTCCATATCAACAATATCCCCCGCAAGGTCCATATCCGCCGAGTCAATTCTATCCACTGAATCAGCTGCATCACAATAAAAAGTCTGTGATGAAAAGACAGGAGGAGGTTGAAGAGCTTCAGGACAAGATCAACCGCGTTTCCCAGCACATGCAGCAGGGTCCCTCTCATCATAAGATGAAGGATCTGCGGAAAGACATGGAAGACTTGCAGAAGGATCTGAGAAAGGCCCAAGAGGACTACCAGAAAGAGTTGGACAAGGCGCTAGACGACGATGCTAAGAAGGGACGGCACTAAGCTTCAGAAAAAGCAGAAAACAGGGTGCAGCAAAGGCGGCAGCTAAGCAGGTGAACGGGCAAAGGTGGTTTATCATTGCTTGTAAGGATCAGTGTTGATGATTTGGACGATGATTCGCATGGCCCGGCTCATGGGGCAAGTATATGAACCCGAGAAAACCCAGGCAATGCAAAGAAACATCGGTGGAGATAGATTGATGATTTGATACCTTTATGGCACCGGGATTGCGTCTGGCGAATTGATTGAACTTTTGATAGCACTAGAAAATTTTAATTAGCAGAGAGCGTGAGATAGCTATTCTGAACATCTTTATTCTGGACATCTTTAGTAAATACTTTCGATACCATCCTGGGAAGCAACTAGCCCAATATCAAGGTCGTAAATTGCGTAATAAAACCCATTTGAAAGGAGTGCTTCTAACTCTCACGCTTATAATGGTATAATTTTCCTGTATGTACATGTGTAGAGACCAGCGCTATCTTTTATGCAGTAGTTTAGGTAGTTTGATGGTCAGCCACTGATGGGCTTATACGCCTGTTGATGGATACTGTAATAGCGTGGGGCGTATCGACTTGTCAGGTATTTTACATTTCCATTCCAACGCGAGAGCATGATCTATAAACTAGCTAAATTTGGACTAGGCAGTTTTACCACTTCCTTGGCTTTAGGGTTTGAGAGATTTTCTCTGTGAGAAACATGGAAGCCAATTTCGACTTCAGGTATAGCAAATATTCATTTCGCGCCAATCTCACCTATCTGTGGGGTAAAGCCTTACCGTTGAACTGCGGAGGACTCCGAGCCGATCTTGGTGTCCCAAATTCTTCCAACACGGTAGACTCTGCCGAGCAATGCCCATCAGTCGCTCATGTTTCGACCGAGTGTCTCTCATAAGCTTTGTGTCAATGCGAAGGCCCTGCCATCCGATGCGTGCCAAGCCGGCTTCGTCGGGGCTTGTTGATTGCGGAAGTTCTCCGGGTTTCATTTAGGGTATATTCAGCTTTACTCCAAGTGACGAGGGCCATGGAAGCACTTGTTTTGATCATATTTGATAAGATAATCTTCGGATTCATTTCTATTCTCTTCAATATTTATCACATTGCGTCAATATTTGAACACCAATAAATCCTGAATTCGCCTCTCCTCTCCAACCCAAAAATCTACGATGCAAGCAGCCAACCGTCTTCAAAGGTCCCTCAAGGCAGGCTGCCCGGCCTATGGGGGCTGGTAGATGCTTCCAGGAACAAACATGACGTGAGTCATGTGTCAGTCGGTAACAAATATGGATTGGCAACTTGTCGATCTTGAGCACGGAAATATATCAGATGACTCCATGCATGAAATTGCGGCCGCGGCGGCAGCATGTGGTGTATCACCGATTGTGCGCATCGTGGAAGGACGACACTGGATGATTAAACGTGCTTTGGATTCTGGGGCACACGGTATCCTCGTCCCTGTCTTAGAAACTGTGCAGGATGCGAAGGATGTGGTACGAGCGTCCAAGTTCCCACCGCTTGGTACTTAGGGCTTTGAGCCTCTTCTTGCAGTGGAGAAGTTTGTTGAGCAGTACCCTCACGGTCGCGGCGTTAGGGAGCTTACTGGAAAGGAATACTGGAGTTTGGCATGGTTGCGATCAACACCGGAGTTATTTCAGACTCCGCAGCACCGTGAGTCAACCGATCCAGAATTGATGTGTAGTTTTACCAACGAGTTGGTAGATTCGGCGGTGTCAAGCACTCTGGTATGGGTCGCGAGGGCAGCAAGTACGGCATTGACGACTATGTGAACATCAAGATGATTGTGACCGGTGGTATCAACACTGTCTACACATCTAGCTTATAGAGGTTTTATCAACAGGTGAAATGATAGGTTGTGAGGTTGCAAGCTGCATAGTGAATATTGGGTGCGGCGTTTAATTTGGAAAGAATTAGGTGATCTGGTATAAATCCGGGCCCTTTTATCTTGATAGACTTATGTATGTAGAAATTATCATGATTTTCTCAATCCCTGTCCCAAAATTCCAAGGCAAAAACGATTGTACCTCTTTTCACAACCCCCACGGTCCACCGAATTGAGGCTATCAATGCTGCCATGGCTCGTTCGAACATTCGATCAAGGGTAAGTAATCTCAAAACCTACCTAAATAAAGAAGTAATTGAGAAAGTCCAAGGTATTATCATCTGATACCAATGTAGTGTGAAATAGTATTGTGGCTAAACAGGCTAGGTAGGAAAATCGTGAAATCGAGATCAAGTAATGCCAAGGAGCAACCCTATTTCGCCCTCTCTGAAATAGTCTGTATAAATGTTCTTTGCACAGTGACATAATTTCCCGAGGTGATAGGGTTTGGCTCTGGGTAAAGAGCCTCCTCGCTGCTGTTGTCAGTGAGAAAATTCTGCGATGGCGGAATCGTCACTGTGTTGATCACCTTGCTTTCATCCCAAGACCCATTTTCTTGAGACCGAATTCCCGCATTATGAGCCACTCTCAAGCCATCATTGTTGAGGCTGGGTAGCGGATATTCGTTATAGCCTCTTCCTGCACTGCGTGTATTCCGACCGTATGACAGCTTTTCGTCGAGAATCCAGCGGAAGAGTGGGCGAAGCGTGAAGAGGCTGCTTGCTGTGATTCCGAGGCCTGTTTCGACAACCGACCAGATGGCTATTTGATAGGTAGAATCTTGAAATGTGTCAGTATGTGTTTCGTGTAATCTTAAGCGACTGTGAAAATGGCCGTAATTCTTCATGACTTACGTAGGAAATTGGTATCGGCATAGAAGTGAAGGAAAGGGATCCGGACTATGACCGCGACGCTCGCACTATTCCATGAACATTAGCCATTTCACCATAGTTTCAAAAACTGGAAAATCCCCCCTTACATTGCACCCATGCTAAGAATTCCACCAACTGCAATCTTTGTCCGGTGGCTCATCTGTAGCTTCCAGACGAGGAAAATTGGTAAAATCCCAAGGGTCAAGTCACACACAATGGTCACACAGCTGTAAACATATGCAACTTTGACCAAGTCATTCTCGGACATGCAGGTCCCTGTCTTCGAAGGATCCGCATAATTCCAAAAGTATGAGATTGGGTGACAATTAAGAAGCATGACCAGCCAGAACATAGAGCTCACAGCAATAGTAAGGCCAATCATGCTCCAGATAATGATGTGATGAGTTCTCGAGACCGTTAGTCGGAGAAGGGCGACAGATATAGATATTTTGGCGATGGCGGATGACCAGATGTAGAAGATCTGACAGAGCCACCAATACTAAAAACCGCGAATTTAGTTAGTAGTCATAGACTTGAACTCGCCAAACACTGGAGAGCCCATAGCCTTCTCTGATATAATTTCACATACCAGCAGGGCTGTTCTATAGCTCTCGAAATTTTCATAATCGTCTCTAGTGCGGCCCGCACCCTTCTCTGCCCCAACGAAGCAGCACGCATTAAGGACCACGAATACTACCTGTAGAATGATTAGGAAAAATGTCCTTGCTGGTCATCAATTCAGAGCATACCAGTGCTGCAAGCATGAGGGCATCATCCCAACCAAATGCTCTAACGATATAGAGTCGCACGAAGGTCCTCAGCGAGACGGCCACGATCGAAAGAATCATCATCACCATAGAAACGATGAATATGGCCAGACTTGGGCCGACTAGAGGCATTGTTGAACTCATTGTTGAATATAAACTCTCTGTCTTTCTGTGGACGGTTTGTTCATGTCGCGTTGAGTTATCGAGATGGCTGCTGTCCCGAGAATTCTGAGTAAATGGTCGCTTATACTTTGGTGTCAACGTCACACCTCCCACTATGCGACGCGGAAAATACAGCCAAAAACATGAAGAAAGAGGCAAATCTTCTTGACAAAAGAAAGCACTCGAGAGGAGAAGTTCGAGAGGGGAAGTTTCAGAATTTGCGATTTTGTCTTGGAGTTAGGAATATTCGAAGCGACGGACTACCCACGAGCCTTTCCATTGTGGATACATATCTATGGAATTGATTTGTTAATTCATCAATTAAGCTACCGAAGTCGATACGAGTATCGCTTACACAAGGAAATGGATATTCGAGATGCCTAGATAGGGATCAATCCCCCTGGATCTCAGGCCGTCTCCATCGCGCTTAGAGGACATGGTCCAATGAATATCTCTAGAGCCACCGCCACAAGAAGAAATTGCCGTGACACTTCCCACTATCCACGAGGAAAGTTTGCTATCTCTCAAGAAGCCCCTGTCTAGACTGGAGGAGCTACAGCAGCAGGGTAGCATCGAATGCCACCCGAGGCAGTAAAACGTGCGGTAACGGGGCGGGCCCACTATAGCTGACCATGGTTATTGGGCGGATTTCGCCGGACTTACTACAGGAATGGAATTTTATCCAATGAGGAGCATTGTTGTTACCTTGACCTTTCCACATTAAACGATGGAGGCCTGGCAGTTCGTCCCAGACCTGCATGACATACTGTAGTTGAAGCAATTGAAACCGAGCCCGAAACTGAAACCGGCATCTTGATTGAATTAACAATCACTGCTCATGTGCACTAATCCGTGAGATGATGAGCGTAGCCACCGATGTCAACTCCTGCTTAATATTCTTTTTGTCGCAGCAAATCATCTTCCAGTCGGTGAAGAAGTGCTTTTTCAGTAGAAAAGTTTTCTGAAACCCCGCCCCCAAATAAGCTTTCCATGAAACTTCGGCCATCGGCTTCTCCGCTCGCGTCTTTCACGTGCTTTCTTTCTTTTTCGAATACATTTTCCCCGTCCTTGTGGATAGATGCCTGACTCGCGCTGCATGAATTGTATTTCGTTGGCTTAAGTTCAACAAGAGTTCATAGCTGATGCTCGATCCTGAAATGTGAATCTCGTGATATAAATGGAAAAGTGCTACGGCCACGGTAAGATACTCAGCATGGAGGATGTGGATCGTTCTTACGAGGTTTATCCACTATACTGTGGGCTGTCGGTCTTGGTGATGGTCTAGAGGTTTCGGTGTCAGCTTGGCTATCCTGCTGCTCATGAACAGTATACCCACCGACGCATGCGTTCCACTGTCGCATCTGCCGTGTACACTGGGCCGAAACGAGTAGCAATATGCATCACCAATATCAAAGTAGATAAGATCTCCCACGAGAATCAGGGTGTGCTGGTCATATGGTCAGATGACAAGCACAGTGTGTCATTCAGTTTCACCATCCTGAGCGCTGGGATCCTCTTCAAGTGCAACGGCAGGAAAGAACCAGCGACTTGGTGCAATTGCGCTCTTGAATTCCGCTGAAGGAAAACCTAAATTTCCTATTAGATTTGGATTCCAAGAGATCGTTTCTAGGATCAGGGTATGGAATAGTTCATGCAGGCTATCTTGCAGCGCCTTGTGAAGTCGAATGCCTGTTTCGTACATTGCCCTGGTCTGCAGATTATGCAAGATGGCTCCTCATTGTATCCATCAATTTTGAACCTATCCTTTGAAACACATTGAATGCATAGGAAACACGCCATCTAGTGGGCTATCAGGTGTCACTTTCATGCTGTAACGAAGACCCCAGAGCCGCAGTTTGGTCGGAAGTTCGAGGTATTTACCATTTCTGCCTGAGGCATGAAAATATTTCGTCCGCCTTCTTCACCGCCCCTTTCTGCCTGCAATGCAAAAATCCAAGCGAAAAATATTCTGATCCCGCCGCAGAAAGCTCCCGACGCCGATCGCCGCGGACGAATTCATCTGTGCAGCAATTTTTCAGACCGGCTCTGATCTTACAGCACAGAACCACCATCATGCCCAACGCTGGGCTCAAAACCAAGACCAAGCGGGTCTCCGCGCGGTCTCCATTTGAGAACACCACGGCTCAAAGTAATTCCGTGGACGAGGACATTGAGATGGATGATGAGACGAGCTCGGATGAGGAGAGCGTTCCCGAGAAGGGCGAGGACGAGCTGAAGCTTGAGCGTATGCTCTTTGGAGATGATGAGGGTTTCATGAGCGCATTGAAGGCTCAGCAGGAGCGGGAGGGTGCTATGCAGCTCACTTTGCACAGTGATGCGGAGAGCGCAAGCGCTGGTGAAGAGGCCGATGATGATGATGGAGATTTGACTAATATGGCCGACGCAGATGTATGTGGATTTAGTCAACTCCAAACGTTATGCGAGCAGCCGTGCTAATGTTTTCTCTGCAATGTTTAGCTCTTCTTCCTTGACTCTGGTGATGTACAAACCACCACCGATCTCATCGAATCCCCCGAGACACCCTCCGATGAAGAAGACGAAGAAGAATCTGCCCCCGCGGTATGGCACGATAGCGACGACGAGCGCATCGCCGTTTCTCTCGTTAGCCAATCTAAGCTACGCAAACTGCGCAACACAGAGTCCGAAGATATCATCAGTGGCACAGAGTATATCCGCCGCCTGCGCAGACAATTCCAGCGCATGAATCCGACTCCCGAATGGGCGGATCCCGAGCTATCATCTAAGCGCCGCAAGACCGACTCCGATGAGTCGGACGAGGATAGAGACGAGGACATGGAGTCTGATGAGGATGAGGAATTGGCTGCACAGCCTCTGGCTAAGCTGCTCCAGAACACTACTGAACTCACTCGCATCGAGGACAACACCAAGCTCGGTAGCAAGCGTAAGCTGCGCCAGGAAGTGGTTGACATCCAGCGACTGAAGGACGTTGGCAAGGCACAACCGGTAAGACCAGATCCAATCATTGATAAAAACGAACCATACGAGTCTAACGCATCTGCTACAGTCCTCCATCGACTCCCTCATGTTCCACCCTCACTACCCACTCCTCCTCTCTTCCGGCCCAGCCTCCACCCTCTTCCTGCACCACATCTCCCCCTCTGCACCCTCAGCAAACCCCCTCCTCACCTCCCTGCACATCAAGCACACACCCCTGCACACCTCAGCCTTCGCACCCCCCAGCGGAAACCGAATCTTCGCATCCGGCCGCCGCCGTTACTTCCACATCTGGGACCTGGACACGGGCAAAGTGGACAAAGTTAACGGCTCCGCGGACCGCAAGGAAGAGCAAAAATCCATGGAGCGCTTCAAGGTGTCTCCCTGCGGGCGGTACGTCGGTCTGGTCGGTACATCGCGCAAGGGCGGTGGTATGATCAACGTGCTGGATTCCGGCACGGCGCAGTGGATCGCGCAGGTGCGAGTTGATGGTCGCGGGGGTGTGGCTGATTTCGCCTGGTGGTCGAATGGTGAGGGTATGACGGTTGCTAGTAAGAACGGCGAGGTGTCTGAGTGGGATGGAAGACAGCGTCGTATTATCGCGCGCTGGTTGGATGCCGGTGCCGTGGGCAATACTGTTATTGCCCTGGGTGGTTGCAGTGGTCGGGATCACCTTGGTGGGGATCGCTGGGTGGCTATTGGTAGCACCAGTGGTATTGTGAATATCTATGATCGCCGCGACTGGGCTGCTGCTGCTGCTGCAGGTGTCAAGGGCAATGCATCTGCGCAGGACGACTCGACGCAGGCGGGTGTGCCTCGGAGCCCGATGCCCGTTCGTGTGTTTGACCAACTTACCACGCCGGTCAGCCACTTGGTATTCGCACCGGATGGACAGATGATGGTGATGGCTAGTCGGTGGAAGCGTGACGCGCTGAGACTTGGTATGTACAGCATAAACACATCCTTGACTGTGTCACTACTTAGGCTATTTTGGTTGAATACATCGCTAACTATATCCTAGTGCACCTCCCCTCCTGCACGGTCTACCGCAACTGGCCAACCTCCAACACCCCACTGGGTCGTATCTCGTCCGTGGCCATCTCGCCAAACAACGAGCAGCTGGCCGTGGCCAATGAGCAGGGTCGGATCCGCCTGTTCGAGATTCGAGGGTAGATGCGTGGCTCGTGGGTGTTCTTTTACATTGTATATCCGGCGCATTTTAAAGCATGCTCGAGTTTTGTAGATAGCTTGAGTACCTATATGGCATGGTCTAGCATGAATGTACCATTTTTATCAGCACTTTATTCAAGTTCCGATTAGATATTATCTGGAAATCAGTATATACATGTTTCCAGGTTTAAAATGAGAACCTAACTAACACTCTTAAGATAGTGTACTAACCATCCTCGTAGACCTGATGCATGTAGTCGTCCAACGTACCCTCGCTAAAATTCGGACTATAACCCAAGTCTAAGACTTCAAACATACAACCTACCATATAAAGAAAATGAAGGTAACCAGGAATCTAAAAGTCTTTCTTATATTGTATGCAACCCATCTTGCCTCTGAAACCCGCCCAACCCCAAAATCTAAATCGCAAGGTCCCAAAAAGATCAAGCTCAAAATCAAAATCAGAATCAAAATCATACGCCCAACACGAACCAAATGTCGACCCAACAAAAATCAAAATCAAATCCAAAATAAACCAGCAAAAAGACAGGACAAAAAAGCATTGACTCAACGCCGAAAGGAGTGTGTAAAAGTAGAAGGAAGGATTGTGTATCTCTAGTGCCGTGTTCAAAGCAAGTCAAGCTAAGTATCGAAGTTCAGTGCGGTGCAGTGCAGTCAGAGTCGGGTCATCATCTTGTCATGTCGTTTTCAGCCAGGGCCATAGCCAGGGCCAGGGCCAGGGCGTCGTAGGTGGTAAAGGAATGGAATGGAAACGCTTTCATCAGGCGCCAGGCCGGGGGCAAGTCTATACTCTCGGTTTGTGGGATGGAAACAGCAAAGCAAAGGAAAGGAAAACAGGAAAAAGAAACGCAGGGGGGTATGAGGGGTATATATCGAAGGAGAGAAAAAAGCAAAGCAAAGCAACAAGGTTGGGGTATAAGTAGAGTGTATCCCAAGGGATCATCCGGACAAGCTCAGAGCAACGCAATCCTCAGGCCAGAAGGTGAGTGAGACACATCCAGACACAGACACGGTTGGCGCCCATGTCCAGTGCCAAAATTTGAAAATGTGAAAAGTCAAGATCTCACTCTCACAACAGCCAAGGCCAAAAAGCTGGAGGAAGAAAGAAACGATCATCGCGAATCATCCTCATCTCCGGGCCCAGCCTCCGCCCATCTAGGAGCCCTCTTCGCCTCACCAATATAATTCCTAATCACACAAGTCGAACTATCAGGCCCTTGACACATCTTGCGACGATTCAAATGTTTAAAGCGCGGGCCAATCGGTCCATTCACATAATGATACTGGCCCGCAAAGCGGTACTGTCGAGAATCACCCAGCGGGTAGAATTTATCACCCCAGTGGCCTCGGAAATAGAACCACTCCGTGGGCGCGTCCGGGGTGGCCGTGGAAGAGCGGAGGTCGTCGGTGTCGTAGTCATAGGTGTAGCTTTTGGAGTTGAGGACGGGATCCCAGAGGGGGCCGCGGTCTGTGATGTCGTGGAGGAGGCCCCAGGGGAGGATGTATTCGTGGACGCCGGCGTGGGCATACATTGCGTGGCTGCCTTCGGCGGAGTAAATGACGGGCTTGGAGATGTTAGGATTTGACAATGTTGAGAGGAGGAATTTTGGTTTTTGGGTGGCGGTTACTACTCACTCGTCGTCCAATTTTCTCAACCGCTTCGTACCGGTACGCCTCGCCGCCGGTATGCGCGCTGAAGAAGAGACCTTTCGGCTGGCCATTGTGAAACCGCATCAGACAATGTTCCCAATCACCAACGTGATTTCCAAATCGCACATTGACGACCGTATTCCCAAGGTTGAAGCTGTAGAAATAGAACCAAAAGGCATCCACAATTCCGTTTCCCTTGTCCATGACCAGCAAGACGGCCGGCGCTTCGCTGCGACCTCCAGCACCCTGGTTGCGACTCCCTTGAAGAGGTTCCTGGATAGGCGGGTGACCCCCGTATCGCTTCCTCAATTCCTGCTTGAAGCGGCGATTGGCTTCGTTGGCTTCACGCGCCAGCTGTTCCTGCTCTATGCGCTCCCGTCCTTTTTCGGTATATCGTCTTAAATCATCCCACTCGGCGCGATCGTCATCGCTTTCGTCTGGCAGTGCACCGTCGACTCGGCCATCCCAATCGGCCCATGGCTCTTCTAGCGCACTGCCAGTGTCATCACCGTTGTCGTCTTCATTTCCAGGCACGCGGGGGATATTTTGCTCCCCTTCCAGCCACGGCGGGCGCGTAGTGGGGTCATCATCACTAGTCAAAAACACATGCCGACCACCCTCCCACTGATTCAGCCCATCCAAATCTTCCAGCGTCGGATGATCCCATTGAGCCTGGATCGGGGTATAATTCAGCATAGGCGTCGTATGATACAAATGCTCCGCGATATCCCCGGGCCAAAACTGCTCGCCCGAATACAGATGCACGAGTGGGGCATAGTCAAAGACGTAGTCGGGGATCTCCCGTCGCGCCCGCTCGTCGGCATCCCACTCGGACTGATTGTGCTTATCGGCCCCGCCAGTCCAAAATGCGCGCCAGGGCTTCTGCGTCGAATTCTCGTCGTTTAACTCGGACCAGCGCGTCGGATCGCGATGCCCGTAGTGTCCGGAGACCATACGGAAATGGGTTGCACCGCACACGCCGAGCCAGCGGCAGGCCTTGCGGTCAAACCATGACTCGGAGGTCGCTAGCCAGCTTGGCTCTTCCCTGTCCTCATCGTACCAGACCCAGGCGTTGGGACGGACGGTCCGGGCGAGGCTGTTAATGGAGACATAAAGAATGAGAGTCGTTAAGGTGGCAATGGTCGCCTTGACCTTGCGCGCCATCTGCTGGAGGGACTCGGCAGCGACTGCCAATGTCGAGCTCGCCGAGTGGACCGCGGGAGTGAGATGCTCATAGACCGCGAGGGCGGCGGTCGCAGGGGATCCGGACGAAGCCGAATGGGGGTGGTCGAGATCCGATTCAATGCAATGGGGAGCGAGGGGTACTGTGGTGGTTGGCGAGCATGCCGTGGAGAGGGAATCACAGTGAACTATAGTGGGACGAGAAGCAACGAGAGAAATAAGTAGAACACACAGCAGCAGCAGCAGCGGCAGCGGCCGTAATCGTGGCGGGGGAGAGACTATAAAGACCGAGTCAGACTCATGGTTTAGATGATGATCAATCTTTGAACCGGGACTTCCGAGTCCAGCGATCTCCGTGAACAGATGAGGCGAGAAAAGAGAAAAAAAAAAGACAAAAAATAACAATAATACCAGCCCCAAAAAAAAAGAGGCGAGCAAAGTCAAACGAGAATCTCGAACAAGTCAGCGCAGGCGGCCGGGAACGTGCGGAAATGCATGGGGCAGCTAGAGCCAAGCCGGATGCGATCGCCCGGTAGGTACAGGTACATGAGATACATTCTTGGGCGGGGGATGACTCTCTCTCTCTCTCCTGCTCTCCTGCAGGGCATGACCCCGGGCCTGACGGGATCAACGGAAGTCTCGGATCACTTACCAATCCATGATGGTCGGGCCATGGTTTGTGTGGTTTGGTACTTCTGTGAGGGAAAAGAAGAGGGAGGAGGCAGGACTCAGGTGGGGTACCTACTTGCCTCCCTGTGATGAGTGTAGAAAGTGGAGGAGTGAGATGGGAAGGCGAAAGGAAAAGGGAATTATGCCGATCTCGTAAGGCTGAGAGGCCAGACTACGGTGAACCCTGAGGAGATGAGACTTAAGGTTTAGTGCGTGATTACTTGGAGGTGGTACAGTGACTGGACGTAGTTATTATCTATTGAACTGGATCTATGGATGCTAGCTGTCTTATTGTCCAAGTCAATAAACAAATGACAGTCACCCGATGATATCCCGAGTATGCTCCATGATCCAGTTAATGTTGATGCCTGGGGAACTAGTGTAGGTACCCCAAGTACATATCTTGGTACTCATTCCAAGTCAAGCATTTCAAGTCTCGATCCGGCGGACGGCAAAATGTCAATTCCGGCAGTTTGCCATGGTTTGCCCCGCCGCTTTCGGCCCACCTTCTCCTCCTTTCTCACCGCTTTTCATTCACCGCCCTCCTCACCGTCTCCAACTGCCATCCATCTTATCGCGATCGAATCATCTCCGACCATCATATTCCTCGCAAAGAGAAAAAAAAAAAAAACAACTCAAGCTTCAAAATGGAACAACCCATAGATCCCGATGGAGATGAATGGGAGTATGAGTACCATGAGACTGAAACAGAGGTATGCCAATAACCCTCTCGCACCATTGCACATCTCAGTCAGCCCCAAACGCTAACTCCCCTCCCTCACCCAAGTCCTTCTATCTAAACCTGGACCTCTCGGCCGTCCACGGACCCATCCGCCCACCACGCCAACGCAAACAACAACCAGACACCACCTCCCACCCCAACGCCGAAGAAGAGGACTCAACACCTTCACACCGACCAGAACACACCCTTGAAGCAACCGCCACCAGCGAACCTTTCACGCCCCTCGACTCAACCGAACCAGAGGCGCTCGCCCACGAGCGAATCCAGATCCTCGGCCTCCACACGTGCAACCCGATCATCTCCTACTGTAACCAACTCTTCAGCTGCACCTGGGCCGATCAAATCGGCACCGAATTGATCTTCGCCCATCCCGATAGAAGCAATACAAGCGATCCGGGCCAGCCCTTCCCCGCCCCACTCCTGCAGGGTCCCTCCTTCGAGCTCCTCGCCGCCAACAGCGTGAAGATCCTCGGTCGCAAAGCCAATATCACCTCCAGCGCGAGCTCGGGATTGGTCGGTGATGCACAAGCAGGCACTAGCACGAATGTGGCCCCTCCCGCCTCGGTAGAGGAAGGGCCCACGCCCGCTACGAGTGTCCCCCGCCGCGCTGTCCAACCGTCGCATCAGACGAATTTCCTGGCGCGATTGCAGAGTATCAAGGCTGCGAGGGGTGAGACGGATACCGTGCGGACGACGTATAGTACGAGGCGGAATGTGAATATTGCGGATCGTTTGGGGGCGTGGGCTCGGACGGAGGCGCAGTTGGCGGAGATTCATTCGCTGAATGATCGCGCGCATAAGGGGGATGGTGATGCCATGGCCGCGCTGGAGCAGATGATGCGTGAGTTTGCGCAACAACAACAACAGGCACGGCAACAACAAGAAACAGAGCCGTCGTCGGTCCCGATTGACCCGCAGCTTATGTGAATAGCAAGGATGGGAGGCGATGAGGCGACGAGGCCTCTCGCCATGAAGAGCAATCCATCCTGAAGTTGCTGCACAGAGGTGCGATGCTTTCGACTGGCTCAGACAGAAGAAGCCGACTGAGCTGGGGATATCTTCTTCAGGTATCGGCATCAGCTGTCGGTGTTGCTATTAGCCCGATAATGCACCTGTCACATGTGATCACGGGCCGAAGGAGCAGACGCATGCATAATCATCGGATACCCAGAGGCATTGCATATCTTGCATAGGACGAGAAGCTCAACTTGTGATCATATCTTTGTGTATCCACTTGATCTGCCGTTAACGACGGGCATTACCACCCTCGCATCAACAACACCAGGGCTACACCGAGGTACTCGCATAATTTCATGCCCTTTACTCCGGTTTTCCATCCTATTCAAGCCCCAACCCGGACATGATAATTGATCTCCCTCCGGCGAGCCTGGCCAGGAGCTCGTGATTATCTACACAATATCGCGGATAACGTCATAGTCCATCCGAGATGTACCGAGTAGCCGCGACGATACGACAATGACTAGGCACTTCACCATAATTCAAATCAATGCCATTGATGATACCCTATTCATTTCCTTGTCCGCTCTGGCTGTCTACACTCGACCCTCACGTGTGCACCGCCCTCGATTGAACGCAGCAGACACCTGCACATATGGAAACCCCGGCCGTCATACGATAGTAGATCTTTGTCGTGGGTAATATATGACCGTGCTTTCTAGGCGAGAGGAGACGTCGTGATCAGCGATGAGAACACATGCGGACACACTGTGCAAACGGGACTTGGGTGGTATGCAGAAGAGTATCATAGTCTATGTCTTCCTTAATATCTCGATCAAAATTTGACTCTCTTTTCTAAGTCGAATAACAGTCGTCTCTTTCCTGGCTTATATATAGCCTTAATTTTCCTCTAACTTCCAATCAATAACTATATCCTAAACCAATATCCCAACGTAAATCTCTCCTCTTTATTCACAAGAACCTATCTAACCCACCACTCTACCACACTCGCAACAATCAATCAAATTCCCCCAATACTCCCCCAAAAGCCAAACACTCACATCCCAAATCCTCCTCCCATTAACTAACCCCAACCACCCACTCCTCCCCACCCCAGACCGAACCGAGACTTCCTCTCCGTATGCGCCTCAAGACATAAATAGAGCCTTTTGTAATCAACACCAACACCAACACCAACATCACCACCAACGTCAACATCAGGATCAGCCTTATCCGCATCAACACCCCTGCACACCTCCCAAGCCCAAGGACAACGCAATAAACAAAGACCCATCCAAAACCCCAGATTACTCGTAGCGTAATACGCCAGGGATCACGCTTGGACACCCATGCAATGGAGCGACGGACCGAATGCAGGTTTTGCGACAGGCAACGTGACACCTTGGATGAGAGTGAATGATGACTACGCAAAGGTGAACGTAGAGGCACAGATGGCGTCTACAAGTCAAGAGCTCTCTGTCTGGCAGTACTGGCAGCTAGCCCTACAGAACCGTAAGACCCACAAGGATGTCTTTGTCTACGGTGACTATCAGGACGTGGACTTGGAAAATGGGCAGGTCTATGCATACTTCAGGGTGGGGGCTCAGTCGAACGAAAAGTGGCTGGTCGCTATGAACTGGACGGGAAGTGATGCTTCCTGGGAAATGCCTGTGTCGGTTGAAGTCGAATGGATGGCTCTTTCTACGCTCTAAAGACAGATCAGGGTTGAAGGGCGGTCGACTATCAAGTTTCAGGCCTGGGAAGGTGTCATGATGCGGTGCAAATAGATGTTAGAATAATGCATAGATATATATTGTTACCGTATTCAGAATAATACAGAGTGGTGGGTATATACTTCCTAGCAATTCGGTCTAGTTAACGTGGATGGTGAAACGAATATCCCAGCGGAGATTTTAGCCTCGATTGAGCACTCACACGCAGCAGAATTGAGACCACTAAGCTAGTTAGCTCTTTCGGTCTACTTCACCAGTCCAAAAGTGACGTATCTCTCAATTCTTGGAAGTAGCTACTTAAAATGACTGCTGTACAAAGCACCGACCGAGTCGACTTGTTCCGAGCGAGAAAACAAAGCGCTAGAAACAGCGTCGTCGTAAATCAACTGCAGGGTAAGGTTTATATTCTATAATCTAAGACTTAGGAATTAAGTATATCGAGGTCGATTAAGGTAGTGGAGAAGTAGAAAGTGCGCAAAAGATCTCCCAGTGAGAGTGGAAACGAGGCCGTTTCAGGCACCAGAGGCTGTCATTTCCGGCGTCGTTTTCACAGGTCCCGATAGTCTAGCTTGAAATGGCACCAGACTCGATGGTCGAATAATCATCCGCCATGGTAGACATCGAGTCCTTGTTCATCTACACTTCTATAGTGACCAAGGTGAATATTCAAATAGAAGAACATAATATTATGACCGAAGGCCTTAGCAAATAAAATAAAACCCAGACCCAGAGATTACTTTTCGATACCCAAAGAAAAGAAAAGTCCGAGATCAAATCAAACCAGACCAGTATGGCGGGTAATTGACTGATCCCATGGTAAACACAATGAAGCCCCAAAGAAGGACAACCGATTCCAACGCCGCCATGCTCGCTAATCCAGTCCAACCCCCAAATCACGGGGGAAATGAAAAGCAACCCTCTTCTAGAAGAACTCCGGAAAGCACCACAGAAAAAGAAAAAGACCATCGCAATCACGAGCAACGCTCAGCAAAGCGAACCCCAACGCAAAGCCAAAGATCAAATATCAAACATCGACCTCGCTCGCCGAGCCCATTTACTCCAAACTCAAGCAAGGAATCTTCTCCCTCTTGGCAATGTTCCCGCCATTACTGTCAATGGCAAAGCTGACCGGCGAAGGTGGTGGTGCGGGAGGCATCCCGTCAACCAGATCGTGGGAGAGCTTGTTGGTCTTGGTGTGGGTGGAGGTGATGATAGCGCGGGAGATGTCTTGCGAGTATGCGGCGAAGGCATCAGCGGTTGTGGGAGGGGCGATGGAGTGGGTGCGGGTAGACATTGTGAATGTAGTAGAGTGGTAAATGGAGATGTTGAGGTTGAAATAGTAAGGACTGAGGTGTGAGGGAGTGGGTGTGGATTCTTCCAGAAAAGCAAGTGAGCTGGGAGGAGCTTGGTTCTTTTGTATGTGCTGCTCGCGTGGTTGGAAGTTGGACCTCGGCACGACGGGGGGTGGTTTTGAGTTGCGGCTGAAGGGGTCGACCGAGCTTGATTGTGTTTTGTGTCTTGTGGTGTGTATTATTTTTAAGCTATGAATGTTGATGTTAGCATTGGATCGGAGGAAATCGTGGTTTTTGCTCTTTGCTTTTCGTGCTGAACGGGGGTGTTTCCGGGTGTGCCCGAGTGATTGAGACTCGGGGGATCGGAGGGTGTGGCGAGATGCAATGATGTAACGGAGATGATCACGGTTGCAAGGACGGACTCACATGAAGATGCGGTGGGTGTTGGAAATATGGCAATGGGTGTGGTATGTAAGAAAATAGAATGGACAGTTGTTGACAGTGTGGACGGTGGAGGTGAAAGACGGTTGTTTTGTCAGGCTAGTGAGATAAGAAAGTGTCGATGATAGGACAGCGAGATAGCAGGGAGATTCCGCTTTGAAGCGATAGCAGGAGAATGCGGTGGTGAGTTGAGAAGTTGTCTCTTTTGAGAGAAGCAGCTTTCAATTCAAGAGGTCGAGATGACGAGACGGTTGGAGAAAGAAAAGAAAGACACCAGCAGTTCGGGAATCCGGGGGGGGGGATATAACGAGCGAACCTCCTTGATTAATCGGATAATAATTCTATCTACAGTAGGACGAGAACCCCAGACCCAAAAAAATAAAATATCAAAAAAGAAGGAAAAAGCCAACGGGAAAACACAAGAATTCCCGAGTGGAGCTCCTCCTGGGGAAAAGCCCAAGTACCCGCTACAAAGGACAAAGTACTCCGTCCACTCAGTTGACAGAATGTACTACTCAACACCCACTCCTCCAATAATTGCCTACCCTTTTATGAATCCAAGTAGCTACTACATACCTTTGTAGTCATTTATAAATCCATCCTCAATTCTAGAAAGCAGCACAAGCAACTACCCTCTCCAAGTCCCAGCCAACACCCCAATCCCTCGCAGTCCACCTCCTCCCCCAAAGATCGACCCGCCAAGACAGTCCCATCGCCTCATTCTCATTCTTGTCGCCCAAAGGGCCTAATAATCAGACACCCATAAGCCTAGGCATGCCCAAACAAAGCACACACTCACCCTTCCTATCCTACACTAGTCCAAAGACCAACACAACCCGGACTAATAAAGAAAAAGAGCAAACATACAGACTGTATAAGTAAAGCAAAGCCCAACAAATATTTAGCATGTACAGATGTACAAGGTACCTACCCATCGAACGCGTTCCACTTCCTCCCTCCTCCCGTGTGGGGGAAAAAGGGCCCAGCCAGAACAGAACACAACGCCCATAATCCTCATCCCACAGCAACGCAACAAACCTTGCCAAAGAAAGGGACCGGGGCCGGGGCCGGGAAAAAGGGCGGCTACGCCTGCCAGGGGTGGAAATCGCCCGGGGAATTGCGCCCGATGGGATCAGGACTTCTCCGGAAATGGAGGGAGATAGGCACAACCCCACAACTTACGTGCGACTAGTGGGTTCAGGCTTGACGGGGGCTTCTAGGGGCTTCCGGGGAAGACAGGCTAGAAGGTCCGATGTGGGTTTTAGTCCTTTTGGCTTTTTTTTTTTTTTTTGGTTTTTGGAATTTGAATTTTGGGGGGGATTCGGGTTGTGTGGGGGGGGGAACTGTAAGCTTTGATGGATCATGAAAGGGGAAGAAGCGGGCGGAATGTCGGCTTTTGGTTTCCACCTGCGTCGATGTGCCTAGCAGATGCGATCTATATTATTAGTATTACTGTATTCCGTACAGAATTTATCATTGTGAGGGGGAGTACGGGATAACTCCTACCTTGAAAAAGAAGGTTGATGGGTTCTAGCGAGACAACAGTATGTGTTGGTATTTTGATTTAGTGCTCCATAGTAGTTCAGAGATAAACTTGGTTTCCGCCAAGTTGCGTGAGCCGAATCCTTCAAGGGGGATTCTGTGGTGAGAAAGTTCGGTCCACGAGGGCGATCCTCCGGTATGATGGTTGCATTGATATGGGCCCATGGACCAAACTGTCGGGGCGAATATGAGACGAGAGGGAGCTATGAGAGTCCATGGAGAAATATCGGACAGATGATGGTTACATATTTCCCGGTCATCCCAACCTTACTGTCCTACGTAGAGACTGGATTTGTTTGTGAGTATACCACAGAGAGAGCACCTAACATACGGTCTGTCCATATCGCTCTCACATATCGCGAAAGATTCGGCTATATTCCAAACCACGTACTATTCAAAAGACCATCGTTAAACCGGACTAATTCCTCCCGAGCACGACTGCCGTTGCCAGGAACCTCCTCCTCCTCATCCCAACGCTAACGCCTCAAAGGTGGAGCCAGGCTTACGCCAAGGGCAGCCTCACCACCGGCTGCTTACGATAATTGGGCCTGTAGTTTCGTCTCCCTCTTACGGAATACATCAACCTCGATATCGGGGGAATTGCGGAGTAAGCTCCTAGCGGCTGGCTAATTGACGTCCTTCCTTCTGAGAAGTCTTGTCCGGAGACTCCGCATTACATCCGGATCGATAGCGGTACTGTGGAGTGTGGACGATTCATGTTTTAGCCGGCGGGTCTAGACGCGGTTGATCTGTCTTGTTCAGTTGCCGGAATGATATCCGCCCGGTCGCGGTCTTCGATCATTCAATAATAGTAGAGATATTATCATATTGGGGATTTAGGCTGCAGTGAATATTGTAGGTATATGTACGGAGTAGGTGGAGCTAAATGCTACGATCGGTTCGGTTCGGTTCGAGGTCAGGGGATTAATTTGTTGTTAGCGTGACAAGCTCGCTGTTTATATGAGTTCAAACGTTCGTTGGCTATTCATCAAGGGATTTAATTCCAGGCTGATTTACGATCAGTTAAGAGTAGCCTTCTACACAGGTACTTCTATACTGGACCAAATGCTCTACCAGCGACAGCAACAGTCTCAATCCGCACACTTAGCTATCTACCCATCCTCATTTCCACTCTTAGGACGATCAGTCCATATAGTTAGCTGCGACTATTCAAATAACCTGCTTGCAGTACTGCATGGTACTTAGGCACTCGAATCCACCATCTTAGCCACTTCACGGAATATATTTCCGAAGTCCCCCCTTGAACCTTGAACTTTCCCCTGTCTCGTTCTCTTGTCTCCACTCGACTCCAGTCCAGGAACGGGGTATTTTCCGGGGAAATAGTAAACAGTGAACACCAAGCAACCCCTTCAGACAAAAACAAGAGTTGACTTTATACAGTATGTGATTCATAGAAAGGCAGGCATAGGTAGCAACTTGCAAGGGGAGAATGAAATGTCTCGCTGCATACCACAGAATTTAATATTAGTAGTAGGATTTCCAGGATCCTGGGACTCCGCGACTGCGTCACGCATTCTCCGGAAGATGTTCCCCCCGCCCCTGGATCTTTGCTTAAATGGGGGGCGCGAGGGGAGTGTCGGGAGTCTGGGGTATGTGTCCAGATTGGCGGGTTCAAGCTTGGGAGGAAGGTCAGTTAATAATAAATTTCACGGTGTTGATAACTGCATTATGAGAGTAGTCCTGTAGGGGAACAACGACACCTCTAGTTATTATTGGAGGACTGTAAAACGTACGCGATCAGTCATCTAGTATCAATGCAGAGAGTATCTATGGACAGACAGCAATTCTTCACCGCAAGATAAGAAATCTTGTACAGAGACAACGGGCAGATGTAGCATCGTAGCGTGTACTGCAGCGCGTACTATATTTACCTACATGTACTCGGTACTTGCTACTTGACGACCAGGATGGTGCATTGTCATGTTTGGCCAAGTCCTAAGTTAACTAAATCTTGGCGGATCAGTCATGCCAGGGTGTGCATGCAGTGCCAACATTCGAATTCCTATTGTACAGTACGTGCGTACCTCCCTAACCTCCTGTAGCCCAGCTTGATCTAGGCTAACTATTCGCCCCCGGTTCCCTGACTCATCTATCATATTAGCTCCGTACAAAATATATATCGTTCATGATTGAGATGGATGCCCAGCGCCTAGAGTCTGTTTGTGCTTTGTTTGCCCTCGGCAAAACACACGTAGTGAGACAATCCCCTTGTCTTGGGCATCCATAGTCCAAGCAACGATTCTTTGTATACAATCCAAGCCAAGTCCAGTATTAGTTAGATCGGTGATCCCGACATCTTCCAAGGGTCGCTCACACACAAGGCTGGACTGGGGATCCGTAAGACTAAGTAAGTACGCAGGGGCTTTATCCTGTACAGCACCACTTCACCTTATCGAGGGCTGGATGATCTCCAAATTAGGCAGGACTCCTTGATAGACAGGCGTTGAGGAATGCACCTACATACTGTACTGATCCATGGCTCATCCCATCGCGAATCGCGATCATCATCCCCTTTCCGATCCGCATCTGCACGCTCGATCCCCAGTGGGCCGTGCGCAAGGACAAAGCTGATAGCGATAAGCAGGGAGAGTTATTGTTGGAAGTTTTCCATCTTTATCAGTCCCCAGCTCCTCGATGTAGCATGGCACATCAGGGTCTTACCTTTTCCTCAACGGCATAGTATAACGCTGCCTCTATGAGCCTTTCGGGAGAGGGTACAACAGCACGCTGCTGGTGTCAGCCGACCACTTACCCCAAGTCAGAGTGTCAGACTAGGTGTCGCTCTAACCTAGATAAGCCATGACTCTGTGCCTCTCCCGTCCATGGGAGAGATGAGGTCTAGCTCTGAATCTGGGTCTGGGTCTGGGTCCGGGGGTGGTTCAGCTACATGTTAGGCGCTGACAGGCGTCCCGGTCGAGATGACAATCCTGCAATGTAGAGCCGTTCTTGGTGCCTCAGCGATGGTGCAGTCTTAGCAAATTTTGGAGTGATTGCGATGAAGTATTGCGCAAGAGGTTACTACGATTGTTGTTGTTTGGAGGAGGGATAATAAGAGCGGTCGGGAGGAGCTGTGTTGAGGATGGAGACCTCATGATATGACGCAATGCCAGACTATATGGAATAGCGGAAGGATAAATCGGCTATGCTTACTGACTTTGAATCCAGCACATTGACCACTAGTTATGCTTACGGCCTACTCACGACCTTACTGGCATTGATCGCATTCCACACGATTCGGATGGGATAGCCGAGTTGGAATGGAGAAGTTCAGGCCTGAGGCAACAAGAGATCGGATGATCATTTCCCCTTCCCGATCTAGCCAGATCAGTCCAGCACCAGCAGTCACCTGATAAGTCACCTGATCTTATTTGAGGTCCTCCAAACATCCAAATCACTCAATAAAAACCTCAATCATGCAAATCACTCATCATCTCCTCCATACCCCATACAAATCCAGTCCAGCCATCCAATCCTCCATCCGAAATGATATGCCAATTACCTCATCTCACGCCGAAACGGAAGCATCTTCCAATCGCACGCCCGCCGAGCCCGCTATCACGTAAACCTGGCCCCGCCACGACAAGATTCGGTTCTGTTGGGGACGAGTGTCTCCCTCGTGTCTGATGATTCGCTGCGCCACGAAACAACGAGGGCAAAATTCCCAGCTTTTCCACATCCTGCAGATTTGAAAGTTCCAGTACAAACCAGGACCAGGACCTGGCCAGTGGCCAGCCCTGAGAGGAAAAGTCTGCACTCCCCCCATCCTCCTACCCCGCAACAACCGGCGATCCAGGTACCGCCCATCCAACCCCTCCGGTTGGAGGCGCCGGGCCGGGGAAGGAATGAAGAAATGGAAATGACCATCGATGCAGAGATTTATGCGCGATAGCGTAATAGCCGGGGCTATTACATTATACATTACTGTTCCAGGCTTGCGTGCTTGCGCCATATGCTCCGGAATTTTGGGAATCCTCTTACTTTGCCAATTGGATGATTACCCCAGGATCCCCTCTTGCTGATGGCGAAAATCCCCCGGACGGGACGGCCGCTTTCGGTTGGTGGATAGATTTTTACTTACATACTGTACTCAGGAGTATACTATAGTGCTTACAGGCTTGTAGTAGGGCTGGAACGTGGGCGAGTCGGGGATAGGCATTGATTGAGGAAAGGATGATGGATGAAAATTTCAAATTGAGGTATTTAGTGGGTTCAATCCCCTCTCGTGGTTATTGTTCGCGGACACGTTCGACGTCGTTCTGTAGTACTGCGAAGTACCGCGTAGGTAGTGTTTGGATTGACTGAATAATTTACCTCCGTAGGGCTTCCGGTGCCTTGCGACGGGGCCGGGCGCCATGACACATCGCATTCCACGATGTTCGACGATCACCTCATTCTGGGACGAGCGGATGGAATCGAATTGTGTCACTTGTTACTGTCAGACTGTACAATACTATACTAGAAACATTTGTACGCTATACGTTATGAGACTACTTTGCCTTCATCGTCTTCGTCCTTGGTTATACTAGGCTGAGCCACACGGGACCTGGAAAGGAGTAAAAAAAGGAAACCATTGAGGCCATGGAGATGGTACCCGCATATAGAATGCTGACCAGCTCAGGTGACCTTGCAAAGAACTGTTGGGTTTCTGCTTTTTTCTGTCTCATCGACTCATAGTTCCATAGTTAGTTTCCATAGTTCTACTGGATTGGGACTTGCCCCTTGAGAGGCGTTGCTCATTGCCCCTAGTTTTTTTTTTTTCATACATCGTGATAATTTTAGAGGCGCTGGTTTCGGCATGTCTCTCCGCAATCTTCGTCTTGTGACCGCTGGACTCCGCCTGATGCTCAGGTGAGTTGCTAGAGTTGCTATAGTTACTCGTAGACCGCTAGAAAAAGAGTATACAGTTAACAACCTAGACACGGTAGTTAGTACTCTGTAGTTAGTATCTGGGGTATACTGTAGTTAGCAGTATATTATAGCTATACTCTTCCTGTACTATTCTTGTACCATGTATAGTAAATACACCTAAAAAAATCTCTATCTCCAATTCCTCCCTCAGCAACCCCCGTTCCAGACCCCAAGTGAGGCAATTCTTTTTTGGCCTTTGGCTATTTTCGGCCCGCATGACGCAGCGGGATTTTCGTCTCGGTCTTGAAAGTCCTTGACCTTCGGAAAGAGGGGCGATGCCTGCCAATCAGCGGATCGCCGACCGCCGCCGGGGCCTGTGGCTCGCGGTCTCTGGCGGTGTCTCTTAGTCACGCCCCGAGGCCTTTACAGTCCTCGAAGAGGAATGAGCGTGGACTGAGTGGAGTCACTGCGGATCAAGGGCCTTCGAGACCACCGGTCACGATGGAGTCGTTGGTCGTTGCCCGCCGCCTAGCATCGGCTATGACTGGTCCAAGTGTGAACGCGTGCTTTGTACGCTGGTCACGACGTGGGCAGGGAGAGAAGGAGGGGGGGCAATGGGTTTAATGGATGGGGTAATAATAATAATCCCAATTTAATTCGGATTAATTCAAGGGAAAAAAATGGGAAAATTTGGAGAATCAAGGCAGTGAACCTTCTTTGTTGCGCCGTATTTAAATTGCCTGGCGATTCCCCGGATTTCCGTCCAAACCATCATTTTTTTTGCGATCAAGGATTGCGATCTATATTCGACGATAGTTGATGGCGCTGGTAAGTCATGACTTTTGTTTTGTTACTTGTTGGGCTCTAGGATACTGCTATACTTGTATACTACTATACTACTATACTCTACACTGTGGTATGGAGAGTATCGTACGTATACTACAGTACTAGTATAGCAGTGCTATCTCCTATCTCTCTGCCTTATCGGCCTTTCCCCTTGCATGTTATCATTTGCCGCGACCGCAATTCCTCAAGAAACGCAATCATCAATTATCCAGAGGAATTGCGGCCAGCAGCAGCAGCAGCAGCAGCCCGCCGAACAATTCAATTCGCGGTGACGACTGCGACTGCCCGCTGATAAGCGCGTCCGTTTGGCTTCAACCGTTCCCGCTCTTATCTCTCTCTACTCTCACTCCTCCTACCCGTTCACGTGCCCTTCAGCTGGCTGACTTGGACCGTTTCTACAGCGTCTTTTCTTCTCTCTTCGTATTTAGAGTCTCTCTTCGACTTTCTCCTCTCTCCCCCTCTCCCTTCTTCCACATTATGGCGTCTCCTACACCCTCAACTCCGCCCTCCGAGGCCTCCAATGGCGCTGCCCTGCCCTCGCGCCCCGCACAGGGCCTCTTCAATAGCCGCGATGGTAGCTCTGGCACTGGCACCCCCATTGGCTTCCAGCGATTCCCTCACAACAAGCACCTCGATCATGTCGTCGGGGCTGCTTTGCGGCAACCCTCTCCGCAGCCCACGCACCTGGGCATTCCTGGTACCCCCGGTTCCCCGCACCGCGTTTTGTCTGAGGAGGATCCGGGTTACATTGCCGCCACCTTCGAGGGCAAGCAGAAGCAGATGGAGCAAGGTAAGGACATCGCGAAAGACACCAATTGGGGTGAAAGGACAATGCTAATACCGAGGATTTTCTAGTGATGGACCAATTGGAGGAGAAGGGTTTCTTCCCCAGTGATTTCGTCGTCTCCGAGACTACCTGGTTCTATAACATGCTGGGCATCGACGATACCTACTTCCAGACCGAGTCCGTCGAGAACATTGTCACCCAGATTCTATCCCTGTACGCCGCCAAGGTCGCCGCCTACGCTCGTGATGATAAGCAACTCGAGATCCGCCTGGACAAGGAGGCCGAGGACCACGCCGTCTACATCGATACCAGCCGGCCCGGTCTTTCGTCCGTGGATGGCCCCCGCTACGAGCAGCGCATCGATGAGAAGTATATCAACACTTCCAAGGGTGCCAACAGCTACCGCGTCGAGACTTTCCGCTCCCCCACTACCCTCCCCGGTGACGGTGGCCAGCAGCTGCGCTGCTACTTCGTGTACAAGTGCCAGTTCGCCAACCCCAACCCAGACCCCAACGAGACCAACATCGATATCATCGGTGAGAAGCGTTTCCTGCAAAAGGCCACCCCCAACACCAAGGCCATCTACCAGGAGATCATCACCACCGCGGTCAGCCGTCACGGCCCCGTGATTGAGATGTTCGAGATCGAGGGCAGCCGCGAGAAGCGTCTCGTTATCGCCTACCGACAGGGTTCCGCCATGGGCCTGTTCAGCGCTCTCTCCGATCTCTACCACTACTATCGCCTCACTAGCTCCCGCAAGTACCTCGAGAACTTCTCCAACGGAATCACCGTCATCTCGCTGTACCTGCGCCCCTCGCCCTCGCCCGAGATCTCGGTCAAGTACCCTCCAATCGAGGCTGCCATCCACCAGATCATGAAGGAGGCTTCCCTCTTGTACTGTATCCCCCAGAACCGCTTCCAGGGTCACTTTGCCACTGGCCGCTTGAGTCTGCAGGAGACCATCTACGCCCACTGCGCTTGGGTGTTTGTGCAGCAGTTCTTGAACCGTTTGGGCTCCGAGTACATCTCGCTGTCTGCTCTGCTTGATTCTAACAACAGCGTTCACGCCGAGTTGCTGTCCAAGATCAAGAAGCGTCTGCGTACCGAGACTTTCACCGCGGACTACATTTTCGAGATTATCAACAACTACCCCGAGTTGATTCACAAGCTCTACCTCGACTTTGCCAATACACACTATGTCCAGACTCAGGAGTCTGGAGATGACTTCCTGCCCACGCTCAGCTACCTGCGTCTGCAAGTGGATGAAGTCCTGGATGACAAGAAGCTTAAGCAGTTGATCCGCAACACCGCTGCTAACGAGCACGACGAGATGGTGATGACCTCTTTCCGTGTTTTCAACAACTCCATCCTCAAGACCAACTTCTTCACCCCGACCAAGGTCGCCCTGAGCTTCCGTCTGAAGCCCGACTTCCTCCCTGAGCACGAGTACCCTCAGCCGCTCTACGGCATGTTCCTCGTGATCAGCTCCGAGTTCCGCGGCTTCCACCTGCGTTTCCGTGACATTGCCCGTGGTGGTATTCGTATTGTCAAGTCTCGCAACAAGGAGGCCTACAGCATCAACGCGCGCTCGCTCTTCGACGAGAACTACAACCTTGCCAACACCCAGCAGCGCAAGAACAAGGATATCCCCGAGGGTGGTGCTAAGGGTGTCATTCTCCTCGATGTCAACCACCAGGACAAGGCGCGGGTCGCCTTTGAGAAGTACATCGACTCTATCATGGACTTGCTCCTGCCCCCCGTCAGCCCCGGTATCAAGGATCCCATCGTCGATCTGCATGGTCAGGACGAGATCCTGTTCATGGGTCCCGATGAGAACACTGCCGAGCTGGTCGACTGGGCCACTGAGCACGCTCGTGCCCGTGGTGCCCCCTGGTGGAAGTCCTTCTTCACCGGTAAGAGCCCTAAGCTCGGCGGTATCCCTCACGACACCTACGGCATGACCACGCTTTCCGTGCGTCAGTACGTGCTCGGCATCTACCGCAAGCTGAACATCGACCCGTCTACCATGCGCAAGCTGCAGACTGGTGGTCCCGACGGCGATCTGGGATCGAACGAGATCCTGCTGTCTAACGAGAGTTATTCGGCTATCGTCGACGGCTCTGGTGTCATTGTTGACCCCAACGGTCTCAACCACGAGGAGCTGATCCGCCTCGCCAAGAAGCGTGTTATGATCTCCGAGTTCGACCTGACAAAGCTGTCTCCCGCTGGTTACCGTGTTCTTGTTGATGAGAAGAACGTCAAGCTCCCTTCTGGTGAGGTCGTCCACAACGGCATGGTCTTCCGTAACACTTTCCACCTGCGCCACGCGGAGGGCGAGAAGTTCGACGTCTTCGTGCCCTGCGGTGGCCGCCCCGAGTCTATCGATTTGTCCACTGTCGGCAAGCTCATCCAGGACAACAAGTGCGTCGTTCCCTACATCGTCGAAGGTGCCAACCTGTTCATCACGCAGGACAGCAAGCTGCGTCTCGAGAAGGCTGGCTGCATCCTGTTCAAGGACGCCTCTGCCAACAAGGGTGGTGTGACCTCCTCCTCGCTGGAGGTTCTCGCCTCGCTCTCGTTCAACGACGAGGAGTTTGTCGAGAACATGTGTGTTCACGAGGACGGCACCGTCCCTGAATTCTACCAGGCCTACGTCAAGCAGGTCCAGGAGATCATCAAGGACAATGCCACTCTCGAATTCGAGGCTATCTGGCGCGAGCATGAGCAGACCGGTGTGCTGCGCAGTGTTCTGAGTGATCGTCTCAGTGTGGCGATTACCAAGCTGGACGAGGAGCTGCAGCAGACTGCGCTCTGGGACGATCTCGCTCTGCGGAGGTCGGTGCTTGGCAATGCCCTGCCCCGTCTGCTGCTGAACAAGATTGGTCTGGATACTATTCTGGAGCGGGTATGTTTGAATCTTGACTCCGTGTCTATTTTGGAGAATATCATTGCTAACTTTCCTTGTGTCCAGGTTCCCGAGAACTATCTCCGTGCCATCTTCGGCAGTCACCTGGCCAGTCGCTTCGTGTACCAGTACGGCAACCAACCAAGCCAATTCTCCTTCTTTGATTTGTACGTCTCCTCCTTCCCCCAAACCAAAACCAAGAACCCATTTACTAACAACAATCCTAGCATGTCCAAGCGCATCGCCGAGATCCAGTCCTCCAGAAAAAATTAGAGGGCTGTGCATCTTTCTCCTCTTTTCCCTCCCTCGTCCCCGTCTCCCTTTCCATCTCGCCCCTGTCTTGTCTCGTGCACCCAGTGTCTTTTTATACCTGGACCTCATTCCGATTCCCATGTTTCCAGATTTCCCCTCCAATTTCCTTTCCCGATGTCTCGGGGAACCGCTGATGCTCCCTGCCTCTTTATACCTTTAATAACTACCACGTTCACGAATGTATGGCTTAGAAAAGTTGCTTGTTGGACTGTTTAGGATGGTTCCGCTTGAGATTGTTTTTTTGTTGAAAATGAAAATGAAATGACAATAACAATTATAAAGAGAATGATAAAGATGAAGATTATGTTCGTGTAGGGAGGGCTTCTGGAGTTTGGATTAGGAGTGTTTGCGTTTTTGAGTACGGTATAGAGTAGAGAGTAAGAAACTACTTCATTGTCAGGGGATGTATGAAATAGAGACGGAGATTGACGATTGACTCTCTTTTTTAGTGACCATTTAGTGAACATCGTTATGTAGGAGGGTACGAGTTACTTGTGGTTTTCTAACTATCAGAGAAAATTCATCGTATCCCATAAGAAGTTAGGAAGCTGAACCTTCTAAGTTAATGGAACTGGAAAGCGAGGAGCTGGCCTGTAGGTTTAATTAGGCTTGTTAGACGACCTGATCAGAGAACCTCCCATGAATAAGTCTTACCTACTGTACATTGTCGCCGCAGCGGAAAGTTAGCGCATGTCATTGCAAATAGTCCAAGTTATTGCGGGGCGTAGCGAAGCTTATTGCTTGCCCTGAAACGAACGAAGTGAGAGGAAGGAAAACGACCCGCGCGTGACGAAAAACTATAAGTTTCGCGACTCAACAGACTGCCAAAAGTCCATACAAATTTGTGGCGAATTGCGTCCAAAATCGCGGTGATGGGCTCGCTTTGCTTCATGTCATTGGAGGCTATTCTTACAGTGTCATTGGACGCAGTTCTTACCGGAAACAACTCGAGTTTGTAGGTTTGGACCCTTGGCGGTTTCCGTGGTTTTAGTGGCCAGCTCACCTGTAACCTCAACCTCGGAGATCGAAGCCGTTCCCTCCAGCCAATCACGTAACGAGATCAGCCTTCGCGGATTTTGACCATGTGTGGTTTAGCGCATACCTTTTCTGAAGTCGCGTCCTCAACCTCAACGTGATAATCTAGTCTTGATATAATAGAGGGACCACACAACCTCTCTAGATTCATCATCTCTATTCGTTCTATCCACCTCAATCGCTGAAACAGCAGTCTTACCTCCGTGTTCTCCCAATTACTCCTCTTTCATAATGTCAACAACTACATCGCCGATGGACTCTGACACCCTCACGCTGGATATTACGGCTGCTACGAATCTTAGCCAAGGACTTTCCTACGAGCTCATGTCAAAAGGGAAGCTTCAGATGTACCGCATCGTAAGACCCGGTCCTCAGGCCGACTCTATGTACTATATTGAGACCCACGAGACTCTCTCCAAGCACAAATTTGACCTCCTACTTCACCAAGGAGACTCTAAGGACGGAGAAGTCCTCGGGGTTGTGAAAATGCACCGTCGCGGCTTCACTATCGGGCTTGGTAATCCAGCTGGAGAGATAGAGGGCAAGCAGATGGAATGGGAGAGATTGGAACGGCCAAAGAAGTATAGTCACAAGATATACTATTTCGATTTCGGAACCGGGGCACAGAGGATGACATACACATATCGGAAATCATATGGTGTACTAGGGAGGCTGAAGAGCATGGAACTCCGCGCTGGAGGCGTTGATGACGAGGATGGACAGCTCCTGGCAAAGTGGGTAGGAAGCAGCTCCTGGACGATGAAGACCGGCAGCTTGTTCATCGCACATACGGCAAAGAGCGGACAAGATCACAATGCACCTCGTGACGAAGAGGCTAAGAAGTGGGAGATTATGGTTTGTTTGACCACATTTGCAATTATTGAGAGTCAGGTCAGAAGGAGTAAGGGCTAAGGGTATATGAGGATGTCGCGATGTAGCTAGGAGGGAGGCTGCTTTGCGTAGAGCAGAGTATGCTTGTAAATTGTATATATTTTACCTAGTAGTACTTTCAGTGACCTCCTATTCCTGCACTGGTGCCTATGATACCCAAAAAGATTTCTCGAAAAGTGCCCGGATGGATATTAAAAACTTTTGACAAATCCCTAGTACAGTACGAGCACGTGGGCAGATGCCCTCAAAACAAGTTTCTTGCCGCACAAAGCCCCATTAAGATCTATATAGGTCGAGTCAGACCTTCTCTTAAATAAGGGATATTTTTGCACTCTTTGTGGAATCTAGGTACATTTTACACGGGATTTCTTAAGATAAAAATAACTATGCCAGTGAGGGCTGTTCTCTGTTGACTGAACGATGCAGGTACACATTTTTAATTGCTCTTCAAGAGAATGGTTTGTATTTTCATCCAATATCCTGGCTACCATCGATCACGCAGCATATAGTTACTAGACAGGGATAAGGTAACAAATCGTGGTAAGATATTGTGCCCTGAAACGACCGAAGTGAGACGACGGAGAAATTCCTGCACGTGACATTGGACGTCTATTTTCGTGACTCGATAGACTGCCAAAAACCCATACAAAATTGTGGCGAAAGTTGTCTACAATCGCGATGATTGGCTCGCGTGCTTCGATGTTATTGTAGGAGAGCTTTCACTGTTATTGGTGGAAGACTTTCTCTGACACTGGAGAAAGGCCTATACCGAAAATGACTCGTTACTCGGTTCTGTATCTAATCCGCTATTCTGTTGTCGAATATTTCCTATCGGGCTCGGCTGTTTCTTCCGGAACTTTAGTAGTATCGGGAATGATTCTGTTTTTAGGATTCTAGATCCAATCCGGTTCTCCTGTTGTCGAATAACTTCTATCAGATTCGGTTGCTGTCTTCCGGAACTTTACTTGCGATAAGACTTATATAGCCGAAGCTCCCCCAACTTTAACTAGGCCTGATATATTCGACTATTACCTCACTCTCTTCTTAATTTCTATTCCTATACTACTTTTGTTCGGTACAACCAGCTCCTTGCTCTAAGAACAAACCAAATCCCGCAAAAATACTAGGGCATACATACATTCAAGCGGTAAGTTTTAGCAAACTCTGGCCTTGCTCATTCTAGACCAGATAAACCTCCGATTCTTGTGCACCCTATAGCTGTATCTAATAGAGTTACTTTTCGGGTGCCGACCTTCGCTCCTTTTCTACATGTCGTTTCAGGGCATCGGCGTGCGGAGCTTGCGAAGCGCGCGTCACCAGTATACTACCCTGCGCGAGCTACCCGCAAAGTTAGGTGCGTTCGTCACTGAAAAGTCCTTGCCCGTTCTCGCCGCTGACTCGTCGATTTTGGCCGCCAAGGCTTGTTCTTGTTGGCTCCTGGCTACGTGCCCTGGAATTTTCTTATTGCTCATCTCCTTCTCCATGCTCTCCTTTGATTGCTGCTCTCCTTTGATTGCTGCTCTCCTTTGATTGCTGCTCTCCTTTGATTGCTGCTCTCCTTTGATTGCTGCTCTCCTGCATTCCCTTCCTTCCTCCTTAGGCACTGGGCTTTCCCGTATCCGTATTCGGTATGGGGATCCTATCGTGGCAGTCTCTAACACAGTCGTGATATCAATAGCGTTGAGCGAAAACTTAGCTATGGAGAATGTAGAGGCTAGGGAGCAATCTTCAGTATGTTGGTTCTATCTACGGCAGTCGTTTCCGGTCTAATCAGCACCTCTTTTGCCGTTTTGTAGCTTTTCAGTTTTTGTTGCTTACTCGGAGTCTAGTCGGAGAATTGGGTTTTCGGTGCTATTTTCGTTTCGGGGATAGCGTTCGCGCTCCTTTCAAACGGATCTCTACTCGGACGATGTTGAATTGAATGAACTTCCGACCACCCAGGTATATTGAAGAGATTATAAGTTTAGAAAGGGGTAATGAATATAAAGAGGGTAGGGGGTATTAAACCAGCCGAATATTGGTTTAAAAAACACCTAGGCTCGATTAGGTATGGTAAGAAAATGCAAATATCGAAAGACTTTCGGAATGGACCTCTATATGTCCTTGACCTTAAGAACAATCCCACCAGACGGGACTGGGATGCTCACAGAAAATATTGCTCGAATTTCTATGGAAGATGTAGAATCTATACCTGATTCACGACTACTATCTTAAATCAAACACTCTAGAATCTCTAAGAAGAAACAATCGCTAGCTGGAATAAAGATCCTGTATTAATGCAATTATAGACTAACTTCTAGACTAGTTGATGTCTATTACTACTAGTATCAGATCTACTCTAATAAAGCACATTCCTAGATTAGCTAGAAGCGCGTGACTATCTTGCAGTTATTAGCCCTAATATTTAACTAATTTCCTTACGTATATAATAGAGGCTATTTGAAAAAAAATCCATTGCACTAATGTAATTAGCCCGCACTGTAGATCTTTAGTTTACACAGAATGTAATAATCTACCGATGGTCTTCCATGTTTTCTGCACATTGCTGCCCCTTATCCTTTGCCCCCTATCCTCTACCTTTTGTTATTAAGTTATAAATATCACGAATTGTTCTCTTCTGTTACAAGCCTACCTACCGGTTAGTGTCAAGCTATATCTTTACAAAATGCATTTCAACCTTTTCATCACCGCCGCTCTTTTTGCAACGGAAGCGATTTCCCAGTACTCCAGCATTGGGGATTCGTGCATCTGGCCTGAAACTATACCTTCTTGCGAGTTCGCCAGCTCTGAAGGGGCCAAGACAGGTGATTTAGTAAATGGCTGGCAGTTCAAAGCATGGACTATTGCAGGGGGATATGAGAACAATTGTTCAACTCTGACCAACTTTGACGACTGCTGTGAGGAATATGCTACTAGCTACTCATCGAGGTTCAAGAGGCTCTGGTGCAAGAAATTAGGTCAGTGATACACCAAGTCCATCAGCCCTTGCGATGAAGCCACACTTTTGATGCTTATAGTTCTTTTCCTTTTAGCTGGAGTTCCTAGAAATGGGGGATGCATCCCCGATGATGAAGCCGTGGAAAAGCTGTCGAAAACCATCGGGGAAAAATTTAATAGGGATATCTGCGGTCAAGGAATCCGACCCGGTGGCCAGGCGGATGTGGAATTTGTCAACCGCGAGATTCTCCCTCTTTTCCTCACCAAGAAATGGCTTACGAAAGATCCGCCCAAAGGATGGGAAAAAGAGAAGCATAAAATCATCGCGAAATGCCATAAAAATACATACAATTACTGCAACGCAGATCATCGGAAAAAGGCGGGAGATTGCGTTAAGGGGATGGCTGGAAGCTTGATGTTGAAATATGGTGCGACAGCAATGGCATACTGTCCTATTTTGGATAAGAAGATCAAAAATTTTGAAAAGGATGTCGAGCCACAGGTGATGGGATTATTCACGAAATATTGCAAAACGAAAGGAAAAAAGTGTTGAATTGAAATGTGTCCGCGGTAGCTTAATGTTCAATGGAATTTATTTCCCTTCCTAGCCACAATGACTTACCTGCGCTCCTACTGCTAAACGCTTGGCTGATCTCTGCGCTTCGCCACGCCGCCCGAAGGCCGCCTTTCTAAACGTATAACCTTTGTAACCTTGCCCTGAAACGGAGGAATCTAGTGAAAGGGTTTTACAACCCTGCGCGAGCTGCCCACAAAGCTTTGCTGCGCTCCCACTGCCAACCTATTCGTTTTTCTCGGTACTAATTGGTGCGTTCTCGTGCCAAGGAATGCTCTTATTGGATTTTATTGCATCCTAACGCTCTCTAGCCCAATCTTTGTACCCTCTCCTCTTATTGCAGTTCAGCTGCTTTCGTTTCCTTCCTCCTTTGGCATCATTCTTCCCATACTCGTATTCGACCTCTGTTGCTTTTTCTCCTTACCTGGGGATCCTGGTATACCTACCTATCTTGTGCTTCTGTCTTCCAATAGGCCTCGACTGCTGTTCTCGCTCCATCGTAATAGAATAAGAGAAGAGAATCACCTATTGTTATTATTACTCCGGGATCCCCTGTTCCGACCTGATGCCCACTCTCAACGCGAATACCCATAACAACCTCTACTGAGGGCCTCTCCACTTAATTCACCTTTTGACTTTAAGAATATATTCTGCATACATGCTCATCCAATCACACATTACACCGCCTTGTGCTACGCGAGCTGGCACGCATGGCACGCATATAATTCGCTAATCCTAACGAACATGTGTCTAATTTCTGGCCCCTTGCCAAAGCCAACCGTTAGACTTTCATGTTTTCACCCAACTCTGTATGACTTTTCACTAACTTTTGTTTTTCTTTTCGTTTCAGGGCCTCAGCGTGCGCAGCGCGCGTCACCAGTATTACTTCCTGAGTAAATGGGTGTAGGGAGTGAAATTTCGAGAGTTGTGCTATTTTACGCGATCCTGATTGGTCGGTCTTATACACGATCCTGACACTCTGATTGGTCGTAAAAATTCAGAGTAACGTGACCTGCAAGCAAAAATTGGTGGCCCAAAATTTCAGGCCTAGTAATTTCCCGGGCCATCAAAGAGCTTCGCTACGCTCCGTTCTTAAAAGGGGTCGGGGGCGGGTCTTGGAACGTTTACTACCGTGTACGATCAAGATTACGCTATATAGCTACAAGGGGGTGGGGACGTTTCCCTCCCCTATTTAGTGTGAAAACCACTACCCATAAAACCCTCTACATTTTCAATTATGTAGAAATGAATATAGAATATACTATATAGCCTATAGCGTATACGATGTAGCGCTACGCTCCGCACTTTTGGGTGCCCCCTATGGGGTGCCTTTGGAAGCCCTGTGACGGCGAAAATCGCCGCTACGCAGAGGAAGCCAGGAAAGCAGGAGAGGAACGATCATCAATCTCTATCTAGAGAAACCTCTCTAAAGGACAGGAAGAAGAGAAAACAGGAGATGGCCTATATAGGCCATCGAACAAAGCAAGAAACAGAAGGAAGAAACCAGAAGACCCTCTGCACACTGCAATCTGCAAGCACCAACAATCTGCAAGCAGGAACAATCGCTGGTCCTGCTGCCAAACGCTCGAGGCCGAGGCCAAGGCCAAGGGAGGGAGGAATCTCCATCACCTTGTATACATCAGTTCTCTCCAAAATGACAGGTGACAATCAGATTACAAGACAATCTCTCAATCAACCTCGTCCAGGTCATCACGTCGCGGCACAGCTTGGGCACTCCGCGAGCCTCGGAAAAGAGGATGGTTCTCGAGAAACTTTTGTGCGGGAGTTGAGGGCTTGTTTTGCTTAGGGGCCAGGGTTGAGGTTTCTTCAACGGATGGATGTTCATCAGATGGATCTTCAACGGATTGTGTAGTCAACACATGTTGAGCCCACCTAAGCAATTTCCGTGAGCGAGCAATATTTTTTCTACAAGCGAGAGTATCAGGATGCTCTGGCCCTAGAGTTTTCTGGTAGGCTTCCAGTGCTCGCCGGTACATTGCTTCGGCCTCTTCGTCCTTGCCTTGGTCTTGAAGCAGTACACCAAGATTGTTAACACTAGAAAGGGTATCCGGATGCTCGAACCCTAGAGCTTTCTCTCTACCTTCTAGTGCTCGCCGGTGCAAAGGTTCGGCTTCTTCGTAATTGCCCATTCGCTGAAGCAACATACCAAGATTGTCAACACTAATGAAGGTATCAGGATGCTCTAGCCCTAGAGCTTTCTCGCTACCTTCTAGATCTCGCCGGTGCATAGGTTCGGCTTCTTCGTACTTGCCCTTTCGTTGAAGCAGTACACCAAGATCTGTAACTGCATTGAGAGTATTAGGATGCTCTGGTCCAAACACTTTCTCTCTACCTTCTAGTACTCGCTGGTACATAGCTTCGGCTTCTTCGTACTTGCCTTGGTATTTGAGAAGGAAAGCAAGATAACGGACACTACCAAGAGTTTCAGGATGCTCTGTCCTAGAACTTTCTCAAAGCCCTGTAGTGCTCGCCGGTGCATAGCTTCAGCCCCTTCATCCTTGCCCTGCAGGTGAAGCACTAAACTTAGATAGGTCACTCTACCTAGTGTTTTTCCTCTGCCAGGTGGGGCTTTCCTTTCTGAGATGCCGCCGCTTTTGCGATGGTACTCAGACTCAGACTCATTGAGTAAATCTCAGACTGGACTCAGACTCAGAGAGCTGATCGGAGTATTCACGTGACTACTCAGTGGGTGCTCAGTGAGTGTGATCAGTCAGTTCGCTAATTACTCAGAGACCCATCAGAGGCATCTATTGAGCACCCAGTCCGCCGCGCTTAGTCTAACTCCGAAGCATAGCGCCCATAATATTATTTATTTCGTGAATCACTTCCATGTAGCCCTCTTTTTCCGTCATGAACCTATTTCCTGAGTCGTAAGATTCTTTCAAGGAAAAGAAGGTTAGAGGAATTATACTATAAAAAAGGAAGGCACTAGAGAAAAGCCGTCCTCTGGTCTCCGGTGTTAAATAATACCGATGATCTATGCCTAAATATTAAAGTGCAAAATAGAGGTCCTATGCCTTTACTACGCGCGAATTCATTGACTAGATAAAGAGCTTTTATAACTAGCGTAGACAAATCTTATCAGTAGTCCATCCATTATCCGAGACCTTAAACCGCCAGTCTTTTGGTAGGTTATTAAACTAACCCGTCATAGTAACCTTACACGTAAAGATAATATAGGGCGGTAGCGAAAAGCTATCTTTATAGATTACTTCGGTAGTAGTAACCCATTCGTGATTTCCTAGCAATAATAGATATCTCCAACCCTATAAATCTGCTCGCGTGACTATCTTCTATGTAGATATAAGCCTTGTTATAAAACCTTTCTCATTAAAGTCATAGATATCCTCCAATTATATACCATTCTCTTTTATGACCTGTTATACAGTCGTAAATCATACACGTGGGGATTTAGGGTCTTCGTTTAGGGCGCGCTGGTAGTTACAGCGCGTCAAGAAGAGTGCACGGAGCTTATCACGACGGCTAATAAGGTTGATGCCTGTTACGAGATAATCTACTTGCAGTGTAGAAAGGCCTGTTGGCTAGGCAAGGAAGAGATGTGCACCACAAGATATCGGATTAAGAACGAGACTGTTTCTTAAGGGGCCCTTTTCCCTCTTAAGAAGTTAGGTTCATATACAGAGGGTGAGAGAGGCCTTAGGAATCCGAGGACGCGAGGCTGAAGGATCAGCGCAATATGTTGACGTGGACCTTCATGGGGTGTAACCCCAGCGGTTCACTACAGACGCGATCCGTCACCGAGGAATGGTCCCCGATGACTGTTGGATGCCTCAGGCCTCAACAATTCCCGCAAGGCATCAGCATGGGAATAGCCTCATAAGAGAAAGATCATTACATCCAGTGCAGGCCGTATATTATACTGCATTACCCCGGAGACATATCGCTTTCTTTCGCAGCGCCCCACTGAGCACGTGCTAGACCGGATAAGGCTTGGATTGCGCAAGAGAACAAGAAGCAAAGCAGACAAGGAAGAGCTTCAATAGGCCAACGAAGGGCTGGTCCTGGAAACAGCTGGCACAAGCAATCCGCAAATGGGGAAGATCCAGCAATTAAAGCCCTCGATGCCTCGATCATAACCCTATAATAATGAGTGGATGAGTGAGCAACAGTCTTCTCCCCGAGCTGGTTGCCCAATGAGTATGATGTGACCCTTCAGTGGACTTTTTCCACACAAAGAGAGCAAGTGGTTTGTGATATTCCGATTGTTGTTTTGATGATCTGATCTGCCCTGGTCTACTTTGTCAGATCTACTTGGGAGGTTCCCTGGTTCAATATGTAAGCAGTTGGTGCGGAGCACCACTGAATCGCTTTACCTATGCAGCTTTCCAAGCCTGTCGGGTAATTGAGACTAAATGGTGGAGATACCGGAGATTCGCTTCCGCCTGGCATTTTTCTCCTCTAATTTATCATTCCTTTATAAAGCAAGCTCGCAGTTTTCCCGAACTTCGATGCCGGTTACAAAGCCAGCAACAGGATGCAGCACATTCGCTATATCAATGCCTCCTATTACCCTAGTTGGCGGATTTACAGGGGACAAATTCCATCGTCGATGGATCTCGACCACATAACACACGTGTTCTATGCATTTTTGAGGTTGGCAACCCAACCTATCCAACTAATTGACACCGCACTGGCAAGTGGGTTGTATCATAATGGAAACTGCCCTCAATCTATCTCTTCACTGTTCCCGGACTTTCTGAGCTGACTTGATGTTTCGCTGCAATAGAGTTCAAGACGACGGCAATGTCTTTGTAAGCTATCATTCACCCCTCCGATCACCGTTCCCAGCCTTGTCTGCTAAACTCGGCAATCGACTCTAGCATCTGGATGCCAAAGCGGACCTGGAATATCCAGCCGACGGCGTCAATGGGTGCCTTCACGCATTCAAGGCGCTGAGGCGCCAGCGGTATCCACACCTCAAACTGCTCGTCTCCGTCGGAGGGGGAAGTGGGAGCAAACCCTTCAAGGAAGTGGCGAATCGCGTTGATCGTCGCGTTCGCCTCGGCCAGACCCTCCGGGAGTTTGTCGATCGCTTTGAGCTCAACGGAGTGGACCGTGAGTTTTTTTTTTTTTTTTTTTTTTTGCCTTTTTCTTTCGAGCGACCACTGGCGGATTCCTTGGATCTGGAGAAATCCCCGCAAGGAGACGAAAAAGGGCTAACCAACCTCGAGTGGACTGGGAACACCCATCCAGCCCGGCGGAGGGGCGGGACTATGTCCTGCTCTTAGAGGAACTGCGCAGGAACCTCCCGGCTCCACAGTACATGCTCACGACCGCTCTTCCGGTGGGCGAGTGGTGCCTCAAACACATCAACGTGGCCAAAGTAGCCGAACACGTTGATTTCCTGAACATGATGTGTTATGACTTTGCGGGGCCCTGGACGGAGCTATCGGGTCACCAGAGCCAGCTCTACGCGCCCTCGTCTCCGCATAACGCCTTTTCCAAGCGTTCTGGCCACGGCGCCGTGCAATACCTGCGCGCGCGAGGCGTTCTAAGTAGGAAGATCGTTCTCGGAGTGCCCGTGTACGGACGGTCTTTCTTGGGTGTGGATGGGGTGGGACAGCGCTTCAGCGGCCATGCCGGGGAAGGTGGCACGTACGAGTTTAGCGAACTGCCCTTGTCCGATGCGCAGGAATTTGTGGACGAGGAGTTGGGTGCGGCGGGTTCGGTTGGCAAGGAAAGTGGCTTCGTTAGTTACGATACTCCCGACACTGTCCGACTCAAGGCGCAATATGTCAAGGTCAATGATCTCGGGGGTCTTTTCTATTGGACTGCCGTGGCCGACGCCACTGGGCCCCGAAGTCTGGTCCATGCTGGATATCAAGTGCTGAATGGTGTCTAGTATCTAGCCTCTAGCCTCTAGTATCTGTCTAATTCTCTTGTAAAGTTGATTCTATGTCACTATCGTTCTTTCTCCAGTGGTTCCGACTGGTACCTTTGACTACGGTGATCTTGTCAAGTGCTGATGAAGTGTGTTGTCTTCCCCTGTCTATTTTACTGATATGAGGATTTCAAAAGGTCCTTTGGCTATTTCCCTGGTGGCTGTACGTTAGGATCAAGTACGCCGCGTAAAACCTTGTAACTTAGAAACTCCTTGAGCATTATATATCATTTCAGAACAAAGAAGAGGGGGGAAAGCCATTAGAACTATGATTGAGAAGACAATTCTCCACCAGCGCGTCATAGATCGTCCTCAAAACCAAACAAAAAGCCAAGTCACTGTACATTTCAGCAACACTTCACAAAACTCTCAACCAATACACCTTCAAGTCTGTCCAAAACCGCCAGATCCAACCCCACCTGGTCCACTGCAACAATAACGACATCGAACTCTTCCAAGCTCTGCTTACTCCATTGAGTCTTTTCATCTAACCGGGGACAGAACGGTACAGCCTCGGCCGACACCAAAGGGTCCGCGAACGCAACATAGGCATCCCACTCAGAAAGCAAGTGACGCACGAGGGACAGTGCGGGAGAGTTACTCAGGACAGACTGTCCACGCTTGAAGCCCACCCCTACCACCAGCACCCGGGTCCGATCCGATCGCTGGGCGGATTGAGATTGATATTGCTTCAGGTATTTTCGCATTACACGGTCACCCATTCGCGACGGTCGAGCCGCCATCTTCTCTGTCGCGGCTTGGAGCAGCGGGAATTCTGAGTTCGTGAGGAGATAGTAAGGGTTGACGGGGATGCAGTGGCCGCCGACACCAAGGCCCGGCGAGTATGGCTGGTACCCGAATGGCTTGGTGGCCGCTGCGGTGGAAACCTCGAGGGCATTGATCCCGATCATGTGGCAGGCATCCGCCATTTCGTTCGCATGGGCGATACAGACCATTCGCTGGCAGTTCTCGTATAATTTAGTCATCTCAGCGACCTCTGGGGAAGACACAACCACCAGGTGTTCGAAGATCTCTTGGTAGAGCTCATGAATGCTGGCTAGAGAGCCCGGCACGATGTCGTCAAGACCGGAGATGATCTTGGGGATAGTTTCGAAGGCAGGCTTGACTCGACCGGGATCGACGCGCTCGGGGGACATGCCCGCCTTGAGGCCTTTAGTGCGCATGACCTCTCGAATCAACTGGCGGGTCATGCCCACCGCAACCGAGCTCTCGATGATCACCGTCGAGCCCGGTCTTGCATATTTGGCCACCAGTGAGATGGCGCTCTCGAGGTGTTGAGTGTCGACGGTGTTGTCGTGGTGCAGCCGGGTGGGAACAGAGACGAGGAAGTGGGTTGCATCGGCTATAGCCTTCGGGTTGCTAGTATAGCAGATGTTAGGATTTGTTTCCGTCTTGCTCACTTGGTTGAGACGGCCTTGATCCACATCATAGGCAATGACCGAGTAAGCTTTTGCAAAAGCCATGACAAGTTGATAGCCCACGTAGCCTACACCGATCACTGCAACGACCGATGCCAACGTCTTCGGTTGCGCAACTGCAGGGCCTGATAGTTGGGGCGGGCAAGAACGAAGATCGACCAGCTGAGCTTCACGAGGAGGGGTTGCTAGCCCATGGTTGGAGGCAGAATGGGCACTGGGCCGAGCCTTGAAGAAATCCGAAGATGAATTATCATCCTCCGATCCATCAGGCGAAGGAGGAAATGGAACAAAAGTCACGGTCATGGCTCGGCGTCTCAGACTCTCAATAATGCTTCAAGGACCGAATGAAGATCAATTGAGACTTCAATCCGATACTTTGAAAAGGTCAACTGTGTTCTCCCATCATTCTCTGCGCTCACGCCTCTTATATATCAAATATACCAAGTTCGTCGAAACCTGCCTCCGGAGTTTACCTCGCTAGATTTACCTTCAGAACTACAAATCAGCTATCCGCATGTACAGGTCCTTGCTGGGCCAGATCCCCAATGTCGGGACTCTCTTCGATCTCGTCATCGTGTATCGGCAGATTCGACGCGCTGCGCTCGGCACTGCGAGCCTCGATTCTGAGAATTGTTCAAACGAACAGCTCGTTCTTATTTGGAAAAGTCTGCTGAGCGGCGTATGCCGGGAAACAAAACCATACCGAGAAGACGCCACTGGCTACACTATAGGGACAGAGTGCCAACAAAGCAAGCCGCGAGTTTGGCTGGACGGTTAGTCCGCAGACGCTCCGACCTTCTTGGCATAAATTTACTTGCGTGACGACCAAATCTTCTGTGATCCGCTTTCTTGGCCTCAGCTGGTCTCCTCGCCTGCTCCGTAATTGCTTGTTTACAGCCCGAGAACGAGACTAGCGAAGCATGTAGTGGAGGTGTTGGCGAATAAGACCTACGAGCGAGCGGCTCAGAATTCGGATTTGGCGAGTTCGCCGCGGATTGGAATAATAGCCGTTGTTTATATCGTAAAGGGAATGATGGTACGTGGCTCAGCGACTAAGGCTATAGAGAGTCAAGAAGAAAAAAGCTTTTTTTCCATTCAGGAATACCGCCTCGGTGGCGCTGGACCCCCTGGTGTCTGTGACTAATTCCTATGATCCCATGAACGATGATCAATCTTGCCCGTCTAAGGCATGTCAGTTCGAAAGTGCCACCGACCTATTTTAGCGCATCGAACCAAGCAGCCGGCCGGTGCGCTGGGAAAGTTGTCCTAATCGCGTACTCAGGCCTACTCGGGCTAGGGCAAGAGACCCCTCTGCTAGGGCAATGAATTAATGTTGGCGAGGGAAGTCTAGCAAGTTTCTGCGAGAATCCCGGCTGCTCAATCGCCCCCTGGGCGTCCGGCATCTACTGACACGCACCGAAATATGATTTGACAGATCACGCCTGAGTTGCCGTGGTGGAGCTTTAGCCTGAAGCTTAATGCGGTCTCGACCCGGGGTTTCGCGCTTGGCGGACACGACACCCGGGGAGGCATATAATGCCGACACTTGCATCCTCACCCATGCTCAACACACTCGATATACTCAATGTGCTCGACGGGCTCGTAATGGTGTCAACAGATCCCGAGTCTATACGATGGTCGTGCAAAATTACCCGAGCGGAGGCCCTCACGGCCACGCGAGAATAGCTCCGCTCTCGGTTTCGCCGCTTCTGCGGCTGGTGTGTGTCGGCCATTCTATCCCAGCGCGAGAAAATATTTGCCATGTTCGTTCTCCGCCATGTCTCTTTCAAAAGCTATTTGAGCCTTTCGCATAGCTTATTTTGCTCCAGAGTCGCACCTTGCTTTCTTTTTCCATTGCCGGCGGAAACGATAAATCGCCATCGTCGTCCTTCGCCCTTTGTCTCTCGTTTAAGCTATAGAGGATGTACACCATTCAAGCTGACTATGCGGAGCGTGTCATGTCTCCCGATGAGCGGGATGTGGAAGCTCAGTCCATGACACTGCCTCGCAAGTCCTTGCTATCCTCCAAACTTGAAGACGTCTGTCAGATCCCTCTCGCCCGTCTTCCTGCCTTGGATCACAATCTTCCCCAAATCAATGCAGTGGATAGTCCTGGATCCGACTTCCACACTCGGCCTTCCTCACCCAGTGGTGAATCCCAAAGCGGTGCCTCATACAGCCTTCCAAGTGTGACGTCGCATAGCAATGTAACCTCACGTCCAGAGTCTTTGGGCTCCGTCAGGGGCAACAGCAGCCAGAGCTTTGGGGATCATGCTACGCAGCAGTCCACTGTTCTGACAGGTTATACTGGGTTTGTTCTGTCTTCAAACCCAGATAATGATGTTGAAGATGCTAGGGCAGCCTTCGATCCACATGCAGCAAACCATCGGGAATTGATCACGCCGAAGCCATGGTTGGACCTCATGCCCACAAAGCCTACAGACCAGGATGATATCTCTGAAGACGACTGTCCTCAATCGTCGGAGGCTCAAGTGGGAGGATCGCCTGCTGGGGAGTTTAGCGCCTCTTCAGCACACTATGAGGAGCAAGCCGATCCAGGCCCCGCGTTTGAGGAATGGATGGATTTGGTCACCACTGTCACGCCAAAGGAAAGACCCGAGGATACTCCCAGAAATCGAAGGCGAGGACGACGCACTATTGTGGCGCAGAAGCACCTTATGCAGGCAGCTATCATCAGTATGAAGTATGTATATTCCCCCAACTTGATGGCCAGAGTCTTTAGTGCTGACAATTTGTGTTTTTAGTGGTCTCTGCATCTTCAGCACATGGTGGTGGTCGAGATACTATTACGTTCTATTGCCTTTCATTACTGCAACTGTTGCCCTGAACATCATCATGATTGTTTCTATCGTTTTCAACGTTTTAAAGCGACTCGTCCTTCCAGAGAAACAAACCGTCCCGGAAAAACCAGAGTCTCTAGTGATGGTCATTCCTTGTTATAACGAAACACAAGAGGAGATGTTGAAGTCCTTGAACTCACTCATCTCCCAAAAGAACATCAGTCAACACCCGCGAGCTATCATGATCATCTGTGACGGCAAAGTTCGCGGCCCGGGCATGGAGAAGACAACTGCAGATTATCTTTTTGAGGATATTTTACTCCAGAAGGACTATCGAATCCGCATGCCCGCGGCTTACCTGGCCTGGGATCAGCAATTCATGGACATCGAGGTACAAAAGGGATCATACCAAGGAATTCCCTATTTCTGCATCGTCAAGCAGCAAAATCAAGGAAAACGAGACAGTCTCATCGTGATTCGTTCATTTTTGTACAACTTCAATGTTCGTTTTGAGCGACCAGAGACTGTCTTCACATCCCCTTTCTTCGCTCACATGGTTTCTTTTATCAACAAGGCGGGAATGGATCGCGTTGATCATCTCATCGGAATGGACGCTGATACTGTGTTTGACGACGATTGCATCAATGAGCTTCTCTTGCAATCGCGCTTTGATCACGTTGTTGGCGTTTGTGGTTACGTGGCTGTGGACTGGAAAGGCGGCAACTTCAACCCGTGGCGCCTTTACCAGTCTGCCGAATATACTATTGCACAGGGCTTGCGCCGTCTTCACCAGTCGGTCGCAACACACAAGGTATCCTGTCTACCAGGTTGCTGTCAACTGCTCAAGATCTGTGAGGAGACCTGTGGCCCGGAGGTTCTGATCGAGAAATTTGGTTACTGTCCAACATTGACCGACGGCATTCTTACTCAGATCCGCGCCACCGCGAGCGAGGACCGTAATCATGTCTGCCATATGCTCTCTTCAAGGCCCAAAGTCCAGACCCGCCAGGCTTTGAAAGCAAAAGCGTATACCGACGTTCCTGGGTCGTGGTCTGTGTTCTTGTCTCAGCGTCGACGATGGACTCTCGGCGCTACGTCTAATGACTTGTTCCTTGCCACTGCTCCGGGTGTGCATTGGTTCGAGCGTATACTCGCAGTGGTCAATGTTTCCACTTGGTTCTTGAACTTGTTCATTTTCGCCAGTGTGGCAAGCTTCATTGTCGCAGCCACTAGTATGTTGTCACCTCTCCTTCGATCTTGAACCACAGAACTCACTCCAGCTTAGGCGTCCCTGTCGCTATTCTAATGGCATTTGTCTCCGTGATGCTGGTTCCCGTAACTTACTACTTGTGCATTCCTCTGTGGTTGTGCTCCAAATGGCTGGATCGAGTACAATTTTGGCTTGGATGCTTGATGTACATGTTCTGCGGTCCTTTCCTGAACATATCCGTCCTGGTATATGCCTGTTTATACATGGACTCTTTCGGTTGGGGCAAAACCAGAAAGGTGATTACAGAGAGTGAGCACGAGAAATTGAGTCAGGAGAAGATTGACCATCATGAAGTTCCTCAAGCTTTGGCTCAGGCAGAAGCACAGTCGGTGTCTATCTCGCTGGCGAAACCACAGCCGGCTTTCATTGTCACCCCCAGACCTTAGAAGTCGCCGTCACATCCATTCTGAAATAGCCCTCTATCTCTTTCTTTTACTAATTACATATCCTCTTGCATTAATCCTGTCTTCGATCTCTTTCAGCAAGCTTCAAATAGAAAATTTCCCTCAGAGTTGTCGGATTTGATACTTGTTTACTGTGCATATTGGCTCTAGCGCCGTTGATAATTTTACTTGATAAACAGAATTGACACCGGATAATCGAAAATCTTTACAAAATTCGGTGACTCCAAATCTTGAGAACGGGTCAGCAGAATCTCAACTGAGCTGGTCCTAAAAGGTATTTCAGTATTGTTTAAATTGCATCAAAGTACACATGTCTCATCATCTGCTAAAATTCGATTAAATGTACAGTATAGTAAATATAAGGTTAAAAACCAATCCATTGACCGAAAACCAGAAAGACTCCAACTCCCACAGCCCACAATGGGATACCAGCCACTTTTGCGCAAGAAGAACTGTTGCCGCTGTTTTCCCCCGTGTATAACGTCTGGTTTGAGGTCATATTACTATGCTGTGAAAAGAAAAACGTCGATGCTGACCCATTCTGCGGAGCCGCTGCCCCGGGTGCTACCTTCTGGTCGGGAATAATGCAGATGGAATTCGCGGCTGAAGGATCTTTGCAACGCGTCTCATAGTCAGACATGCGCTGCGGATCGCTGCTATTGAAGTAGGCTTTGAAGTAGCTGATTGTCATCACGGCGTCTTCGGTCGGGGGCCCTTGGGTCCATCCGGCTGCGCCGTTACTCCAGTGGCTGAAAAGAATTGCAGTGCGCCAGGATGGAACGTCGGTTATGAGGTCCCAGAGCCATTTGCCATCGAAGTAGAATGAAACCCGGTCGGGTGTCCAGTCAAACCGGTATTCGTGATACTCGTTGGTGAGTGCGACTGGGACAACTGGACGGCCGTACGTAGATGTGTTTGGTAGCTGATAGTCGTCGATGATGGATTGAACGGAGTGAAATACTAAATTAATAGGGGAAGACGGGACATCAGAGCCGGAGAGAGAATAATTGGTGTACTGCCGAGAAAGGAGCTCGACATCGATCTCTTGGGTGTCGTTATAATACTAGGCAGAATTAGCAATAGCTTTCACCCCAACAGTACGCAGAATGCATGAAGGGTGAAATACGGAGAAGAAAGCACTACAGGTGCCATTGACAGGAGTCAATTTCATCGCGGTGCGAAAAGATCCATATTGGATATCATCTCGAGCCGATTTGACCTGACCACAAGGGATAAGCCCGTTGGACTGAAGCTCGCTGCGAACCCAGAGTTGTAGACCGGCAGAGCCTCCAAGTTGGCTCTCAGTTGGGTGCTCGAGAGAGTAATTATACTTGAGTGGATTGGACACCACATTTGCAGCGGTAAAATTCTCTCCGTAATACCCCGAGCTGGGATCATATGGTGTCCAGTAACGTTGGATCTTCCAATCCGTATCTACTGCAATATCCTGAATCGTCAGGAAGTCCGATTCGATCAGATCGGTGAAAACCTCATGTTGTGGGAAGGAAGTCGAGTTGACGGAATAGCCGCATTCACAGTCGGCAGCCACTATCGCGGCTGTCAGAAATGCAAAGCAAGGAGGAAAATTAAATATCCTCGATGGAAAGCCTCGTAGAGGATCTCATACCTGAACTGATCAGCCCGGACAGCACACTCGCTGACGCTAAATAACCAATACGCTGGCTGCGCATCGCTTCTTGGTAGGAAATATTGCGCAAAAATTATATCCAACTGCAACAGGGCTCCATTTTCGCCAAACCGAAAGTCCTGTCTTCATTCTTTATATTTTTCAAAAATTGCTAAGGCCCTCGGCTGGACCGACAGGGTATCGGCTTAGAAACCCCTACCCCATTCAAAGTGGCGGAATAAAGTTTGGTCCTCGGCGCAAAGCCACCGGCCTTCTCTTCCAGGCGATGATGACCCCACAACGTGTCCACGCGACAACAACACAGGAACTAGCCGCTTGGCAGTAGCCAGGGCCTTTTTTTTCTTCCTTCACACACCGTCATAATAGTATTATAGAGATTCTCGGGATACAGTAAAACCCGGTTATAACGATCAATTCTTTGCAGCTACTTAATTCGTTATAAACAAGAAATAGTTATATCCAGCAACCCCCTATTTTCCCAGAGCCCGGTGATGAGCCATGTGCCATAGTCTCAGGCGATTCGACAGGCGGGAAGGTTACCGCCTCCGGCAGAAAGGGGAACACTACCGTTTTCCTGGGGAAACCGTAGCGAGTTCCCTCCTCTCCTCAAGATTGTTGTAAATAGCATGACGCCTAGTACAATTGAATCAATTCTGCTTCAACCCTTCACAATTATCCAGTAGGCTTCAATATGATATAATGAATAGTAGTAAGTGTCCAAAATAGAATGTCAGATTATTAATGCCTGTGCTTTTTGATAGGGCTAACTATAAGGGAGAGGATCTTCGTGGATACGGCTAGCGTGTTACGTTTTATTAAGGTGCTGGTAATATCACGTGCTTAGTGAGTAAATCAGAGCGCTCAGCGGAGCATCAGTGAGTAGATCAGACCTGCTAGTTAATCAGAGAGCTTACATAATGCTCACTGATCAGATCAAGGCGCTCAGAGTCGTGCTCAGATCTACTCAGTGAGCAAAAGCGGCGAGAGTCTGAGCACCAAAACGAAACGGGAAAGCCAAGACCTGGCATAGGAAATCCGGTCGGTAGGTGACACTATCGAGAGTATCAGGATGCTCTGACCCAAGAGCTTTCTCTCTGCCTTTAAGTGCTCGCCGGTGCATAGCTTCGGCTTCTTCGTACTTGACCTGTTCTTTAAGCGCCCAACCAAGATGGCTAATGCTAGTAAGAGTATCCGGATGCTCTGGCCCCAGACCTTTCTCTCTGCCGTCTAGTACTCGCCGGTACATAGCTTCCGCCTCTTTATACTTACCCTGGTCCTCAAGAACTGAACCAAGGTAGGTGACACTGGCGAGACTGTCAATATGCTCTGCCCCTAGAGCTTTCTCGCGGACAGACAGGTTTTCAACAAACAGAGTTTTGGCCTCGTCATATCTCCCCTCAATCTGCAGAGATCTTCCTACTCTCAAAGGGAAGTCAACATACTCCGAGTAATTATGACGGAACTCTGGGCTGTTGGTGAGATACAGCGCGTGAGGCAGGTAAATCCTCCATAGCCCTTGATTCTTGTGATCATCATCAGGGAATATGTTGTCCAATCTTTGTGTTACCCTGCGTACCCAACGATCGAAAACTTGATTTTTCCTCATCCAATTCCGTGTGGCGAGATGCACGAGTCGATGAAGACTGAATGAACCTTTACCAACGTGTTCGCTAATAAATGAATATGCGCTCAAAAGACCCAATGCATCCACCCTTTTCTTCGCGGAAGGTGCAGGCGGAAGAATTGACTGTGGTATATCACGTGGGTTAATGCAAGCCATGAAAGATAGACAGTCTGCTGACAATTCATCCAGTTGCTGGATTTGTTGAAAAGAGACAAGCCAAGTGGTAAGAACGCGGTTTGGAGTTTCATCATATCTTCTGTCATCTTCAAATTCCTCACTCAAAAGCTCGGCTGCGCTTGTCTCATGTTCTTTCAACAGTGACAGATAATCAGATAACGTGATTTGATTTTCATTGATATAGGCCGCAGCTTGGCTGATCGCAAGGGGAAGGAATCCAAGCTGCTCAAGAAGAGCCGTAGTTATGTCGTTGTCAAATAGTAAACCCTCCTTGATAAGCAATTTTTGAAGTATTTTCATGGCGGTATTTTCATCCACATCGGGAACAGATAGAACATTCGGTGATGCCACTTTGACAGCTAGCTTTCGATTGCGAGAGGTAAAGAGAACGTGTCCATTCTCACTGCGAGGGAGAAAGGACTTGAGCGGTGGCGCGGTGTGGCTCCCCTTGATCCACATTTCCATGTCGTCTGCGTTATCGAAAATCAGAAGCCACGGCCCACTGCTGTCTTGACTTAGATGGGCCATCACTTGCTCTTTCACCGTCGCTGGCTCTATGCTCGGCATGCCTAGAATCGAGGCAATGTCCAAGTAAGCTTGTTCGACAGTCTCGTAGCTGGTATATGGAATCCAAAAAAATGGAGCACTCAGGGACCTTTTCTCGCATGCGATAGGCAAACTCCAGTGCGATTTGCGTTTTCCCAACTCCCCCCAGTCCGTGAACAGCAACCTTGGTCGGGCCTATTGCGGAGATGATTAATTTGTCAAGATACTCTATCTCCTGTCGACGACCGACAAACCGAGGATTTCGAGCAAAGGGTATCTTCCAGAAAGTTGACTTCTTCGCGATACGTTGTCCCGTGCTGTATATAGGGACAACTCCCAGCAGAGCTCTGCTATACAAAGCGGCAGTAAAGAGCAGCGTATCCCTGCCATTCTTTGTGTTTATGTGAATCGTAATAGTCGCAGACTCCTCTAATGACAAGACATAGCAACTGATCCATTAGACCGGCTGCTTCCATTTCAAAGCAGAGGATATTTAGCTCCTAGGCAATAGCATCTCGCACTGTAGCGTTTTTCATAACCTGGTTCCCACACGCAATCAGGCCGTAGTGAACTACAGGCTTATTTGTTTCCCGTGTTATGCGTGCAACTAGTTGGCTAGAATCACACGTTGAGCAGTCGGCGCTCTTACTTTTATGGTCATAACTCGCCTGAAACAGCTGGTCTTCGTCTGGGTGTGAAAACTGCTTTCGAAGCGTTTTATGATTCTGAAGTATCTCCGAGGCACTTCTTTCAAGTGTTGCGTTCTCGACCAAGACATTACTGCGCAGTTGAGAAACTACAGTCAGCAAAAGTTGCGGAGGCTTATTAAGTGACCCGGTGCGTTCGAAACGTCCATCACGAAGTGTCTTCCCGTAGTTATATTGGATCACACCTCCGGAGACTGCAGTTGGTATGCTGACGACGACGTCACCCAAGCGAATATCGGCATTTTTGCTCAGTACACATCCACCAATGCCTACCATCAACCCGAATCGAAGGGCTGGGAATGTCGTAAGCATCTGGGAGAGCACGACTGCTGCAGATGTGGTCCCGTAAACGCCCGACGGCAGGCAGGCTATCACCACGCTGTGACCACTAACACTCCCAAGTGTGTACGCGTTGTGGTCAGAGTTGGGCTGGGACAGTGGAGGGTGGACTTTGTCCAACATCATCTTGGCCGCTGTCATTTCCAGTGGTAACGCGCAGACCCACGCGACCGTGTAGTCATCGTGTGTGAGCGGCATTCTTGCTGCCAGTAATCAGACAGTGGGTAAGAATAATGATATCTCATGAATACTGTTGATGTATGGAATTTGTACGTTCGCATCGTATGTTGTACAGAACAGCCCTCGGATTGCTAAAATTGAAAGGGAGGGGCATTTGCCACGTGTTTTGGGCAAGCTAAAGGCGCTTCGTTGGCCAATAGTTTATCATAAATCCGGCAAAAGCAAAAAAAGAACAAGAAGAAAGTGGAAAACATTGGCCAGGCAGTTCAACGCAACTATCCAAGCTGGATAAAAACATATCAGTGAGCCATAGGTATTAGCACTGTTACTGTGATGGTTTTTGCGAGTCTCGGATTTCCTGTTTAAGCATGTACCTCCACCCGAGGGCTTTCCTTTTTGAGCCGCCACAGCTATGTAGAGGGGCCCGCCGCGCCCGGAAGTAACCTTAGTTACAGTGAGGCTCCCTAACTCACTAAGTAGACTAAACGTTCCCCATATCTTAGTCCAGGCCCAGACTCAGTGACCAGTTCTGTTAAGGCTCAATGCTCAAAGACGCAGATAGGGCCTTAAGAATTCGATTCCGTGCTCTTGACATCTAGTACTAGAAGCCCCGGAAGCAAGAGATATAATGTTTTAAAAACCATAACGACTGGGTCGTCTCTGCCCGTCTACCTTTCCGGTCTGAATTGTGAATTTACTGCGTTCTCTGTGTATGCTTCATAAAACATTAGGTTAGGTAAATAGGTATCTTGATGATCCGAAACGGACTTCCATCGTCTTCTATTATGTAGTTCGAATCGAGAAACCACGGATACGGATCATGAATTTATCTCAATGCCCGTGCCAAGATTGTCGATCACGGAGGACGGAGTCATGGTCACAGCCCGCTCCGCGATTAAGGCATCCTGAAAATGGAGTATTTAAGTGCTAGGAAATACAACCAACAGTATTAACAATCAACATACAGACAAACTTCATTTGATATTCATCCTTCAATACTCTTATCAAAATGGCTCCGATCCACGTTGGCGCTCTGCTCTTCGATTACCAGACGATCGACGTTATTGGACCTTGCGATCTGCTCAATTCCGCGAGTAAGATGCTCATGGAGGGTATCAACCGCTATACCCCCGTGGATCCGGAACTTCTGGCAAAGGCACCCGACTTCGTCTTCCACCATATTGGAGAGACCCTGGAGCCGGTGCGCCAGCTTACGAGTTGTGTGACAATCGTGCCTACGATCGCAGTGGATGACGTCCCGGAATTGGACATCCTCCTCGTCGGCGGGGATAGCCCTGCAAGATCCAATCTCCCTCCAAAATTGCAGGACCTCGTTCGCCGCCATGCTGCTTCTGGAAAGTTACTCTTCACAACTTGCACCGGGTCCGCGGTTGTTGCAGCGACCGGCGTTCTAGACGGCAGGAAGGCTACAGTCAATAACCTCGAGTACAATTGGGTTAAGAAGAAGTACCCGAATGTCCAGTGGACAAAGGAGAAGAAGTGGATTATTGATGGTAATATTTGGACTGGGAGTGGAGCTGTGGCGGGGATGGACATGGTTGCACACTGGATCAAAGAGACTTTTGGCCTGGACATTCTTATTCAAGCCGCATTGTCGCTTGATTTTGAACCAAGGGATGTCGATGGACTTTTCAACGTTCTGCCCCAGCGTTACGATTTGACTGGAAACAAGATTTCCACCCATGTCTTCCCGGAGTAGATCTGAGGTATCGATCGGTTTGTTGAAACCGCGGTTTGGCGGATTTGAGGTCTGGAACATGGATAACTTGTTAAACCTGTATGGATGATGAATCTGTCATGCTAGAGAATGTATCCATAAACAGAATATCACTCCAGACTGTCTCATCTTCTATACTCTGGAGTTCCGTAGCAATAGCACCTTGTAGTGCGGGTCGACCCTGAGCCCGGGCGACGTGACCGCTCGAATACCGCATTGCAGGGCAGCGGTGCAGCACTCGAACAGATGAGGCTGGATTATTCGAAGACTTAAGTTCGTGATGAGCACGGCGGCTATCATAAACCTGGGTCGGATTCTCTTTTGCCAATGCATAAGAAGTTCTTACACTTCCTATGATCTCGGGCAGCCTTGTAAAGAGGCTCTTGGTCGGCATCTGCCTATCTGGCAATGGCTCAATAGCCTGTAAGTGAGACAGCAGTGTATCGATGTACTCTCGTAGATCCACAGTTTGCTGTGCAATCTCCACATTCCACTGAGGTACTTCTGGCAGTCCCACGGACAATCTGTACAGCACGAATACCGTGAAAATAAACTGATACCAAGCGGAAAATGGCAAGGTCCTGTGCTCCGTAGTGGGAAGGGCACAGAAAAGATCAAGATATTCTTTCGCTGAGCTGACACATTTGACCAGGTTGCTGATGACTATTGGATGTGCAGATAATATGGTGGAATCTTCCTGTACCTTTGGAGATTGCGGTCTTCTCCGCCCATAGCAATATACCAAGCCCATTTCTTGAATCCGAATTTTGGCAGCGTAATAGCCGTTGATCAGCAATACTAGGAGGACATCAGTCAGCTGAATGGGAAACCTAGACCTTGAGAAGTTCTTACCCGTGTTGCGAAGATCCATCGATAGGGACGACCACCATTCTTCTAACCACGTCGTAAATCTTTCGGCATGGATGTACAGCAGAGGCCCATGAATGCCTTCTAACCGGTAAGTCTCGCAGACCTCCTCAGTGAACTGTAGCACTTTCGTCACTGGGTATATTAAGACGTCTGTGTCAAATTCTGGTTGCTGTTGTAGCATCATGGCGCATCGAATCATGTTTTTATGAAACGGAAGATTGTTGGGCTTCCCCGAAGACAGCCCTATTCTATTCAGATCAGCTCAAACCCAATAGCGCTCATCCAGCTGGGGCTTGGCTTCCTACACGCTGGACATGTAATAGCAGCCTAGATAAGCACAACATGCTTCCTGGGCATATGTATCCCCCATCTCGGTTCGCTGCCCAAGCAGTTCAGCAGCCTCATGATCGAGTCGAAGGTCAATGACCATGCTGATTGCAATTTGTAAGTACTGGTAGGCTTGTTGGCTTCCCGGAACAAAATGGAAATGGAACCTGTCATTGGTCAGTTTGCTAGTGTCCCTGATGCTGATAAGACCGAGGGTCATATGGGTACTGTGATCTTACCAGGCAAGGTGGACAAGTAACCCCTGGAGAAGATCTAGATCCTTCTCACCAGCCATGATTACCCGATGACTTAGGGATTCTTTGAACTGTTTGATCAGAGCGTCTTGAAGGTGACAGTACTTCGAGGAAGCAGCAGCAACAGCAGCAAGCAATAGGAAGGGCCGCTCTTTAGCCATCGACGCAGCAGTGCAGGCGTTCGAGAGCCGCACGAATGGAAAGCAAGACGCCATACCACGGAACTTGTCTAAAAGATGCTCGAGGACGACAGGACCGAGTCCCAAGTCGGTGATCCACCCAGGGTTTATGGAATTGGATGAGTCCCACGTATTTTCGGGAGTAGTTTCGGTGGTATTCTGCGTTTCGCTCGACTCCAGGGCTTCACAAAATCCAGAATCGGCCAGATACTCTTCGGTCATCAATTCAGCTGCTCGGTGTGGGCTGTCGCTAGAACATTCAGGGATTGCAGAGAGACCGAAATCCGCGTCAACGGGCGTTTGTTCTCCATAAATGGGTGCACTCGATCGCGAAAGAAGACCGATGATATTAGTGAGCTTGGACTCAAGATCGACCAGTCGCCTTCATGCTCTTCCTATCAGCAAAACCTGTTGGTGGAGGGCCCTCCAGGGTCACTTACGGTTTCGCTCGTTGTGAAACTCGAACTCGCTGTTTCGGCTCTGGAACTACGCATTGAGAATTTGATCTAGCACATCTACTCAAATTAGCATAAGGCGAGGTATACGGTCAGGCATGGAGCGCGCACTTTGTACAAGGTTGCCCCTCCTCGGGTCGGATACATTTCACCTTGAGGATACGGCATTTTTCGCACGCAAGCGCGGCATTCTTCTGCTGACGAGATGATTCCTTCAGGATTGTGGTGTCCATCGTCAGCCACCCGTATCTCCCGCGGTCTTAATGTTGTTAGCTCGAAAAAATGACGAGCCTGAACGTGCTAAGGCGGTTTGAGACACCACCAAATCAGGCGTACCGGCTGACAAATCCGCTGCCCCTCATCTGAGTAGGTTCTCTGTCACTAGACTCTACCATCGGGATGTGCTCAGTGACCAGGTTAGATTAGAAATTCTATATAATTGTCACTGATCAGATCAGGGTGCTGGGAGGCGCGCTCCTTTCTACTCAGAGAGAAAAAGTGCCAATAATCTGAGCACTGAAACAGAAAAGACCCGTGGCACCGGTTTGGCGACCCCAACCCGGATACCCGACTCAGCTCATTCACGCACCCGAACTCATACCTGCTGAATCCATTTATGCAAGGAACGTTCTTACGAATGTAGCGTTATTAGAAGGATGAGACTGGAGCCTTGAGGTTAAAATTATACTTGAACTACTATAATCGACGTGAAAAGAAATGAAGGACTCGTCTTTCGCGAACTTCTCTTGTATCAGAACATAGACGCAAAAAAGCCAACAGAATGTTGGCTGGCTCATCTCTCCCCTCATGCGTACACGAGAGATGACTTCAGCGCAATGGAAGCTCTCATACTCACTCCTTGTCAACCGTGAACCGACCAGTGTGTTGACGAATCTTCCTTCCCCAAATAAACACCGGGACGCCCAGCAATCCAAGCGCAGCAGTCAACCCTCCAAATGTCGCAAACGCCCCATCGTAGCCACTCCGCTCAATAAATGGCTGAATACCATAGCTAACACCAAACGAGATAATACCACGGAATGCACAAATGATAATCAACAACGGGCTTGCCCGCTGCGGATAACTGTCCAGCAAATACGTAATTGCGACGATATTGGCGCCCACAAACGTAAAGTAGTAAGCAGCAACGGCCCAGACGTAAACGAACCAGTGGTAAGACTTCGGATTGGCAGCGCCATAACCGTATAAGACGGCAGTGAAAGTACCAACGATAACGGGGAAGATGAGCGGCAACAGACGAATCTCGGGTTCGTGGATGCCATTTCTCCGTTTGGCGAACCAGGCGATGAGTTTGTCGGAACCAAAGCCGAACATTGGAAGGGCGATGAGGGATGTCACGATTTGGCCGCAGTTCACGTAGCTTGCAGACTTTTGCGGCCAGTTGTACTCTGAAGTAACGATGTTTCCGTAGGTGGTACCGATTGCGATGTTGACGCCAAGTGTAAGACCGTTCAAAGCCATAGCCCAGAGGACATTTGGGAAGAGGAGGAGTTGGAAGGATTGCTACAAGATTTGTTAGGTATGATGAATGTCGACTCTGTTGTTAAGGAACTCACGATGAAGGTCTCCATTCCCTTGCGCCACTCAGGCGCGCCAACCCAAAGGCGGAGATCAGAGCGCCAAGTTCTGGCTTCATAATTAACGAAGTCAAGAGCAGGCCTTTCGGTGGCGACTGTGTAAGCGTTCTTTGAGACACCGTCCTCCGCTCCATCAAGGGCTTCAGTGGACGAATTCTCCTGATAAGAGGATCGAGATCGATGGTACTTCGTCTCCGGAACGAAAACAAATGCTATGATCAAAGAGACTCCAGAAAGACAGGCTCCGAGGCCATACCACCACTGGGGAGTGATCGCTTCTGCGATTGGACTGGCAAACAGAACGAAAACGGCAGTGGCAATTGCCTGAATGGACAGCTGGAGCATGAGGAATGTACTCCTTTCGTGAAGGAAAAAGATTTCCTAGATTGATGTAATGCAATCAGCTATCTACACGGTACTGAGTTTTGGGAAGCCAGTTACTATAACTTACCTGGGTGATCATGGGAATAAGAGCCTCACTCTGGCCTGCGGCAAGGCCAATAAGCATACGCGCCCCAAGATGCCAATCAAAGTTCGTTGCGAATGCGCACAAGATGGCCCCGACGACCATGACAACCGTTGCCACAAGAAGAACGATGCGTCGACCAACAGCGATCGCCAATGGCATGCCAATCAAGTTGCCAATGCCCCTAGATTGTGTGAGCTGAAGGCTATGGAAGGTTATACGCATGACTTACATGGTCAGAGTCGGGTATGTCATGAGAGAGGTAATATCAGCGTAGTTTTTACCGACAGCCACATAACCTGGGATGTAGAAGCCCAGAAGACCGCCAAACCCGGAGACAAGTGACAATCCAATAGTCGAGACTAGACCAGTTAGTATGCCTCAGTTAGGTGCGAGTGGAGAGCCTACATAGAGATATCGCAATAAGGACCATGGTCTTCTGCCATGTCTTCATGTTCAATGGGTCTATGAACTGTCAATCGATTGAAACATAGAGGAGGCTCTCGGGCCAGGAACAAACCTCGAGGATCACTGGTAGGAGTTGGAATATAGACAATGGTGCCTACAGTGAGCTGGACAGTTCCACTGATATTCACCTTGGACTGGGAGATGTGGATCTCCTCACCAAGACTCTCAACATTGACGTTTTCAACATGGTTGGATGGTGATTCTTTCTCCATGACAGGTGCTAGCTGGATCGATGCCCAAAGCTCTCGGTGTGGGTTGATTGCGTTCTGGATGCGGATGAGAGTGAGGGGGCCCCATGGGGCGACGATCGCAGTGTTTATAGGGCCTGTAAAGGATGGTGGAAGCTAATCCAAGATGGACTCGGCGCTCTGCTCAGTGGCTCTCTGCTGGTGGCGTCTCGCCGGGGTCAGTGAACCCCAACTCTCAATCGAGTGTACCGAGTTATCGTCCACCTGAGCCATGCGCCCGCCCACATGGAAAGCAAACCCCCCGCACTTTGTAGGCTCGGATTCTGTGGGGATGGAGGGGAGTAAAAAAGATGGGGGTTCGGGAGAAAGATGAAGGGATTCGGCTAGAGACCAACCGACCCGAACTGTCAAAACCAGATTAAGGTTCAATTGCCGAGAACGGATCGACAAGTTGGGATTTCAGCTAGATTTGCCGACTCCTTACCGTTATTCATTAAATTTGCCACTGGATTGGCTGACAATCGAGCTGTTTGAATTTCACTGTTGTGCCGGGCTGTTAGCGACTCGGCATTGAGTATTGAATTAGTAGTCGTAATTGCTTCAGTAGACATGATCTTGAAGTTAGCTAGGAAGCGATTCCTGGATGTGGGACACAATGCGAATGATTTTTCAACGCCAAATCAAGGTGTCAAATTGCTGCATACTCTAGCGCATCCAACTAAATACTCCAAGAAAGAAACGAGATACCACGAGAGTATTTTAAAGTGTTTTGTATGAACTGCATTCTTCAATCTAAATAGATCCGTGTACATCGGAAAGCTGACTCTCCCCCAAAAGACAAACAAGTTCCTCGATTTCAAATATCAAGTATAAACCTCAATAAGGCCTGATTCCAGCCAATTGAAGGACCTGATCGGTGATAATTGGCTTCTCAAACGGCTCAGTCCGGTGCTTGGGGCAAACTTCTCCGTTCCGCATCGGCTTTTCCTCGGCAGGACGAATGTTACTAGAATGAGGTTAGTCATGGTCACAGTAAAGTTCACTTTTCAGAAACCAAAAACTTACCAATGAGGCCAATGGGTAGTTCCAATGAACTTGTCAAAACAGTACTTCTTCGCCTTCAGAGCTTCCTCATCGGCAAACTTTCTCGGCGTCATGCAGATATATTGCACGTGTCGAATCTGCTCACCCTCGGGCAGGCAGGCATAGTGCATAGTGCGAGAGTCCCAAAGGACAAAGTCACCAGGCTCCATATCGATCTTTACCAACTCACAGCCTCGCTCCTCGAACCACTTGATGTCCTTCTTGCTGAAAAGGAAGAGATCCATGTATTGCAGCTCAGGAGGGGGGCATCTTCGTGGTCTGCAGATTCACGCTTGTGCTCGAAGAATTCGTTAAATAGGTTTGCTGATCCCTTCATAAGCATGAGACCGCCGTCCTTCGGGCCATTAGGGGCGTAGTTCAGGAGACCTTGGACCGCTTGCATACTTTATGATATGAATTGTTAGTGAAGTTTCCCTTAAGGTATTTGTAGGGTTACCTACCCCTTCCGCTCCGGGTTCTGATCACAGTGTGGCCAAGGGCTCCAGTTAAGGTCCTTGCGGTTTGGCAGAGAGATGTTCATCCCATCAAACGAAGTGATCAACTCCTTGGTGCCCCAAAGCTTCTCAAAGATCTCAACCACCTTAGGCTCAGTGCGAGCCTCCCAAGCTATCCTTTCATGGGGCGCGCAGTAGGCATAGTACATACCACCCTTGAAGCTGATTGGGAGGTGCTCAGCAGTCCAGGTGTTGGGATCCTTATCGTCGAAGCCAAGCTCAAAGTTCTTTAGCCACTGAATTTGTTTGTCGCAGTAGTACTGCGCGCGCTCGGGAGTAATGACATTCTTGATCAATACACAGCCGTTCTTGTGGAACTCGTCGCGCCAGTCACCGTAAACGTGATTCTTGTCGAAAGTGATCAAGTCCTTGGTCTCGAAGCGAGCGGCAACTGTGCGCTGCTTGGTCTCGGTAGTGGTGGACATGATCTTTGGTTCGTTGGATAAGGTGAAGCTCAGAACGAAGATTGCTGTAATGATAATCTGAAGCTTCAAGATGTTCCTTCTGTTTTTATCTGTACACGAAGAATTCCAGCAAGCGAACGGTAAGAGATGGAAAGGTGTACTCGGTTCGGCTAAACACTCTCGGTTCGGTTCGGATTGACAGTGTCGATCCCCCGCAATTCCGGGGATTCAACTGATTCAATCTCTGAGCAGGTGCTAGTTTATGGGCTAGAACATGACTCTCATGCAATTTGGACGTCCACGGCTAATATGCCAACCGAACCTTACTCGGAGTCTCTGACTGATCTCGGCCGGGTGTCGCCCTTATGATTTTGCTAAAGTCCGGTTCACCAAACTCCACGAACCGAGCTCAACATAACTGTCTCTCCAGACAAGATTCCTATCTTTAATTTATTTAACTCATCCGCAAACCGTCACACCAGCTATACCACTTCAGCCATTGTTTCACACCTTTCATTCTCTTTCTTACTTCATCCATCATGCCTATCCCTTACCAAGCCGCATACAAGCCATTGAATAAGCCAGAAGTAGGCGTCAATGGCTATGTCGAACCCACACCTGGCAAGTCAGAGGTGATACCAAAAGGCTCAGCACCCTTCAACGCCAGAAAATTGGACTCCGACGTCCGCATCGACCATGATGTTGAAATCACTGTTCGAGATGGCTGCCGACTCTACGCCGACATCTACCGACCCACAAGCGATGAGAAGGTCCCAGTCATTATCTCCTGGTCTCCCTATGGCAAGAAATACTCCGCCCTGGACATGATCTTCAACGTCTGCACGTGGGCTTGTTGCATTGAGCGCGGCGACGTGAGTGGACTGGAGAAATTCGAGGGCTTGGATCCTGCGTGGTGGGTCGCGCATGGCTACGCGATTGCCAGCGTTGATGTGCGAGGAGCTGGTAACAGCGACGGCGACACACCATGCATGGGATTGCAAGAGGCCGAGGACGCACACGATGTGATAGAGGCCCTGGCGAAGCTGTCGTGGTGTAATGGTAACGTTGGCATGGCGGGCAATTCGTACCTTGCCATCATGCAGTGGCACGCTGCCGCCCAGAACCCACCGTCGCTTAAGGCTATTGCGCCGTGGGAGGGATCGGGAGATATTTTCCGAGAGCAGTTCTGCCGAGGAGGTTGGTTCAACATGAGCAACTACGATCTTATTACGACTCTTGTGATTAGAGGTCAGGCTGGAGTTGAGGACTTTGCGGAGATGTACCGTCGCCATCCACAAGCTAATATCTACTGGAACGATAAAAGAGTGGATCTGAAGAAGATTAACATTCCATGCTTCATTACTGGATCTGATTTCAGCCAGATTCATACCATGGGTGCTATTCGAGGATGGATGGAGGTGAACACGGACAAGAAGTGGATCAAATGGAGCGGTTACCAAGAGTGGTTTGAGCTTTACTCGGAGCCCGAGAGCTACCTGGAGTTGAAAGTATGAAAATAATCCCGGTCTTTTTAGGATATTACTAACTAGGAGCAGAAATTCTTCGACAAGTATCTCAAGGAGATTGACAATGACTGGGAAGAGACGCCCAAAGTTCGCTGGACAACCCTTCCATTCGGCGACAAAGACGTGACAAGCAACATCGTGCTTCCCGACTTCCCCGTTCCAGAAACCGACTATCGCACACTATACCTTGCTCCCAATGGTTCTCTCTCAGCTGAGCTTCCCCGTGAGGCTAGCACTTCCGTCCACAACTCCGAAGACAGGTGGTCTATCTCCAAGTTCAAATATACCTTTACTCAGCCAAGCAGACTTCTGGGTCTTCCCAAAGCAGAGTTGTATATGAGCTGTGACGCGCTAGAGGACATGGTGGTCTTCATCCAGCTGCGCAAGCTCGATAAAGCAGGCAAGGAGCTCGCACAACTACAATTCCCCTTCAGCCGTGCCCCCATCAACTCGATTGACGAAATTTCCGAGAAGGACCGTGGCAGTGTGACCCTGCACAACGGTTCCATCGGTATCCTTCGTGCCTCTCAGCGCAAGATCGACCCCAGTCGGTCAATGCATCCCCAGTTCCCCTTCCACCCCCATGATGAGGTGCAAAAGGTTCCCAGGGGGGAGATTGTCAAGCTGGAGATTGGTATTTGGGCTATGGGTGTCGACTATGAAGAGGGCGAGAGTATCCAGGTGGATATTTTGGGCCAGTGGCCGGGCTTTAATGAGGTTGCGGCTTTCTCGAAGCCGAGACCTGAGCATGAGCTGAACAAGGGGGAGCATGTTATCCACTTTGGTGGTGAGTATCCCAGTCGGGTTATTCTGCCTTTCGTGCCATTGTAGACACTCAGAGGGACCCTACTCCTAGTTTGTGGTGGCTTCTGTTTCTATGTAGAATGAATTCAATGCTTCACGTTTCAGATACAATGATATAGTCTTGAATAGTGCATGCTATGATAGGCAATCAAAGTCTAACCTAAGAATGATTAGCCACAAAATAAAAGTACCAGTGCCTTGCTTTCCACAATGAGGTTTCCTTGTGACTGCTTCAAGCGCTCGGTAATGCCCGACTATCCTCGGAGAATCTCCGTGAGTAGGTGGAAATCAAGGTATCCTGATGGCGCGGCCCGAGTGGGCTCCAATCGTATGGCAATAAGGTTCGGCTCGCCTGGACTAGAACAAGTCCTCGGAAAATGCGGGGGTGGGCCACTGCAACTCAGCGAGACCGAGACGAGGAGTTCGCAGATACGCCGGATCTCTCTTCAATAAGCTGTACAGCAGACTATGCCCTGGGTGTACGTAATGGTGTAAATCAATCCATTCTTGCAGCGAATAATGCGCTTCAATCAGTATTGACAATACAAATAAGCTCCTTGAGTTACCAAAGATAACCGCCACAGTACGGTAATATTCGTATAAATCGGTATACACGTCGGCACTTCGGTTCCCCACCAGCCGAGACGAGGAGACTCTTACTCCCCCGAACCTCCCCAGCTCGGTTCGTCTGCATGCCATATGATTTTCCAAATCCTACCCATGTTCAGCTGATGTCATTCGAAAGCCCTCCCGGATCTAATCCTCCCTCGCATGAGACCAGCAGCCATGCCGAACACGGATCTCCGCCAACAGGGGTTGCTTCTATCCAATCCAAACCGATTCGGTTAGCCCTTGCCTGTAACCAGTGTCGCAAGCGCAAGGTCCGGTGTGACGCGCAGCAGCCGAGTTGTCGAAATTGCAGCGTCAGGGGGGATATCTGCGAGACTTCGGATCCTAGGAAACCGGGCAACTTTCCTGCCGTTCGTCGCCGGGCTACGAGATGTTGTCAGGCGAAGGCTCGAGGTCAGGCTGATAGGGTCCTGTCACCGGTTCAAAGTCCTTTGAGCACGGTGGCACTGGTGCCTGCTGCAGTGAGCTCTATCAACTCCGTACTAAACCCGACTGGCCCCTCCCCGGATACCTCTACTTCGCCTAGTGTAAGGGGGACATCGAGTAGCTCCGCCAATCCGGTCTCGTCGGTGAGCCCGGCCACCTCGTCGTGGCGTGCGAGTCAAATTGAGAAATTGGGCGAAGACCATTATTCCTGGCAGTCTCGGGCATATCACGAGTCCGCGGAGGATCAAGGTCAAGACGTTGTACAAGAGCATGATACAACAGAACAGGTCACAGTCGTGACGCCAGATGAACCGGTTAATACCGATGATACCACGAATAGTAGGACTAAGGTCGGTGTCCAAGAATTTGTCTCATTCGTTCAAAGACTCATCTAATTGGAATTACATACAGCACCTTGGCGCAAGTAGCGTTCAATGCCTCTTCAATTTTGTCGATCTCCATCTGGCACGACATGGCTTCAGTCACGCCACCCCTCTATTTAACCATGGCATGCTACACACTGAAGAATTTCCAATGCCGTTGACACCCAAACTACCTATTCTACCTCACCGTCAAACTCTCTCAGTCTACATCGATGTCTTCTTCTCGCGGCTCTGGCCAATATATCCCGTCATCGACCGCGTCGCCTTCGAAGCAGACGTAGAAAATGTCCTCGGCTTACAAACAGCCGGGCCTACACTATGGCAAGACAAAGTTACACTAGCCCATATCCCCGCTCTTGCATCTGTTTACGCGGTGATCTCTCTCAGTATGAACGAGATATCCGAAAATTCAGATCTAAGCTTTGATTATCTCACGGCGAGCCACAGTCTGCACGGACATTTGACGGCCATCCCTTACATGACCAGCGTACAAGCTCTCTTTCTCCTGGCTCTCGCGCTGCGAGCAATTGCAAAAGACGGACAGGCATGGCACATAATCGGCCACGCTATCCGTATGGCACAATCTATCGGGCTACAAAAGTCAGCGACAAGAGATTCATCCGAAGACGGATTCACTCTGGGCCACCAACCAGAAAGCTTGCGTGAACGACTTTGGTGGTCATTATTCGGATTGGAAAAGCTCATGCAGCTCGAGTGCGGCAGACCGTCCATCATTGATAGAAGCTACGACCTACTCGCCGTCAACTACTCGGCCAGCACAAGTTCAGAAAACAGTCGCCGTTACTTCCGAGCATTCATTGCGCTGAGTAGCATCATGGGGAAAATCTCGAACCGTCTCTACTCGCACAAGTTCATGGGCGGATCTGCCGAGCTGCTTGGTGAGGTCGCAAATTTAGATCAAGAGCTTCTAGAGTGGGAGAATTCGTTGCCAGATACGTTGAAACCTCGGAAAGCAGTTACAGATCATGCTGGGCATGAGCATCAGATCCTCGCTACTTTTCTGTCTCAACAGTATTACCACGTAAGTCGTGCCTAAACATACTACATACTACATACAAGCATTTCCTCACAACCATAATAGGCACAACTCAGCATCCTCCGCGTCGCAGTCATATTCCCCCAACGAAGCATCAAAATAGAAGTCGAAAAGAACATCAACGAATTACCCCACCACTCGCGCCTGCTAGACGGCGCCTTGATCTGCGGAAACGCAGCAAGAACAATCGTCACACAATCCCTCCAATTAGCAGACAGCGGATTAACATCAACCCTCCTCGCGGTATCCCCAACCTATCTCGCAGCAGTCATTCTAGCGCTCGGCGTCCTTCGACAACCGAACAGCAGACTTGTCAGATCGGATATTGAACTTTTGTCTTCTGCTACTGAGTATGTGGAGACTTGGTACCTGCAACGGGGGTTTAGTCCGGCTTTCACGCAGACGTGCACTCATCTGCGTGAGAGGGTGGTTTCTGTTTTTCAGCGGTCTGGTGGCAGGGATCAGAGATCTACCGCGACAGGATCAGCTGATTCGGGGTCTGAAATAATTGAAGGACAACAGCTACAGTTAAGTACAACCGGGTTGAGTAACCAAGTACCCTCAGAAGGGGGACCTCCACGATCGAGTCTCCAGGGAGTAGCTGCGTTGAACATGGCCGAGCAGAGTGCGGAATTATTTGGTGGCTTCGAGTTTGAGGATTTATGGAACATGACGGGGTTGGATTTTATGGTCTATGATGAGGAGAACCCGCTCTTTGCCCAGTAGTAGCAATTGACTATAGATGAAACAAGCCTTGTATCGATGATTAATGATTATATTGAAAGAAACCATGGGTAGATTGGCCGTGTTGATTTTTCACATGGTATTAGCGCTAGTAGAGCTTCAGGTACGGCGTGAACCTCGTTTAAATTCCATGGAAGATCATATATTCTGCCCGAGTCTCAATAGACCTGAAATTGAGGGTTAAAATGCAAATGCAGTCAACATAGTCATAATTGTCATGAACCAGTAAACGTAAACATAAAACGTAGCGTGAGATGGAAAATAGAAAAGAAAAAATGGACCCAGACGCAGGCTAATGCGATGCAGGCTCAAGAGAGAAGATGAAAAATGCAAGAAATGCAAGAAATGCAACCCCCCCGTCGTACCCGTCCCCATCCAGCTCCGATATCACCATCGTCAACAGTAATCACAGTAATCCCCTCGCACTAATTCCGGGCTCCCTCAATTGATTCGCACCCGATACTCATGCCTCACAAACTCAGCCATGATCAACACAATACTAACAGCCTGCCAGAAAATAAAATAATCAGTATCACTTTTGTCAAAAACATCCCAAACCGGATGATCCATATAAACATGTATATCAAATCAACCACTTTACGCATCGCCTGGCTCCGCATTATACAAACTTACCAGCAACAAATCCACCCCCTCAGCAACCCCGACCTCCCACCGATCCATCCGCCCACTCAACTGAGCATCCATCATAACCTTCTCCCGCCGAATAGACACAATCTTCTTCTCCCCCATCATCACCGCCGCAACCGTATTACTCATCTGCACCACGCGCAGCTCCGCGCGTTCTTCCACGACAGTCTCTGAGTACCGCCGCGCCGGCGGGAATGCATACGCATAGCTAGACGCGGGCGCAGGTTCGGCCGGTGGCTCGACTGCGTCGAGGAGTTCGCGGAGCGAGTGGGTTGAGCGGCGGTGGGCGGAGGCGTAGGAGGGCAGGTGTGTAGATTTGGAGCTGACGGTGTCTGTTGAGCGGCGGCGTCGGATGGAGCTTGGTGGTGGTGCGGTGCTGGAACTGGCGATGGCGCTGTAGGGGGTGGTGGGGATGTGTAGCGGCGATATTGTTGCTGCTGGCGACGACCACGACGAGGCCCAGCCCCGGGGTAGTACTCGCTTCGAAGGAATTCATCTTCGGCTTCGCCTGCACTTCTTCGCCCGGCGCCGACGAGTAAGGCATTGCGTACCCGGACGGCCATTTTCATCTTCAAGCCTGCGCCCCATCGCATCTCTGCGCCCATGAGTTCCTCGCCTGCACCGCCGGCGCGCTTCACGCTCCATGCGCGCTGCCACCACATGCGCCGTAGCTCGAGGAGGGGTCTACCGGCTGCATCGCGGATCTCGCGCGCTTGCGTGCCGCTCCAGAATTTGCCGGTTACGGTGTACAGCAGGGAGCGGCGGGTGGGGCTGTCGTATGGCTCATGTGTGCGTAGATGGTGAACGCTGAAGGCACGGCCGGAGAGGGTGTTGTTGCGGGTGATTGTTAGGGTTGTGGGGGTGTTGGTGAGGCGATCGGGTGCTGGGGCGAGAAGGTGAGTGCGGCGAAGGGCGAGGGGGTGGTCTGGAGGTTGGAGGGATGTTGGCATTTTTGCGGGATGGTTAGGGGAATGGTAATGTGAGCATTTGAATGGGGATTTACAGAGGGGAATATTCTATGCGGAAGAGGAAGTAAAGAGGGGGGGGGAAGAGAAAGAGGAGAGACGAGAAGTGGGAGAGCTAGTGAGCAAGACAAAAAGAGGGGCTCAGTGATTAGTCGAGGCTCTCAGCTGTCTTGCGTGATAGGATTACCCCTGGTTAGCTTGGGACATAGTGTCCTAATCCTGAATCATACCTATCATGCTACAGGACTCGCGTGCACGGAGTATCAATCCAGTTGTGGCGCAGTGCGGAGTCGATGACTGCGCGGGGTGGAGGGTCTTGGCGCGTGGATTGACTCGTCGACTGGCGGTCGTGAGTTCTGGTTAATTCCCGCAGTGGCTAGGCAGCGATCTGTTTGATCTTGGCAGTTCCGCTCGAATCAGCTGGAGCTGGACATCTGGGTTGAACTGGGAATGAAAACATGTAGAATGGGTCGATGATGGTGGGGGGTTATGATCCAACAGGATAGGTACGTAGATCCATGGCGGGGTATGGCCAGGATGGACCTCGGCCCCACTGGCTTGTGTGAGGTCAACACGATGCCATCTCGAACAGAATTTACATTTTAGAAAGGTAAAAATGACTCGACTGAATTGTCGATGGGAAAATCCAGGTGGTACAGCCACAGCCAAGATGTCTGGGCAAGCTCTCCGCTACAAGTAGGTGGCGGGAGATAGTAGGTCGATGGTGATAGGCTGTCAACTCGACCTTGATACTGTAGCTCTCATCCTAAAGTATACCACATGCGGTTAGGATCTGCACTGCAAAACAGAGCTCCAACTTGATCCAGTCGGAGGAACGGGTAGTGCGGTCGCACATACTCTGCATCCTGCCCTGGACTCATCGCTTTTCTCAAGTAACCAGTGAACTCATGCCCTATAGAATCTCAATGTCTATGATCGGTTGTGGGTCCAGACAATCGAGCCCAACATTTCTTGAAAGCTGTTGGTATAGCTTGCTTCTGATAAGGTGGGATCCATCGTAAAAGGGTACCACCACATGAACCATCCCGTATATCACTCTCCGTAGCCCTAAAAAAGTCCGGTGCTCTTGCTGGTCAAGATGAACATCCAAGTCCCCATCATCGCTCTCAACCGAAACCAAGAACTTGAATATTTTCCAAATCCTCGTTTCCAGGCTTCTCCGATCTTAATCCCATTTTCCTCCACGTGGAGCGCATCGCATGCTTCCAGACTCGTCCCTTCCTCTAGTTCGCGGACAGCGAATTGGATAAGCGCTTTTTCTCCCTTGGCTTCACCACCCGGTACTTCCTATAGATCTGGACAGTCCTCGCCAGATGCACGTTGTAAAGGAGCACTCGGTTATTGTGGATGATGATCGCTGCACCGATAATGCCGGCGAACTTGGGTTGTTGAGAGAGGCAGCGGCCGGCGGTAACTTAGAACGCTTTAAGGGATGGGTGGATATTGTATGGATGAGACAACGTTAAATCGGTCATTCTTGAGCGGGTTGTATTTCCGTTTATAATTTGAAACAGGAAGGGCCTTGTTGAAGGTGTTTGGATATTAGTTTTCGCATGGCTGGGTGATTCGGCGCTCGGAAGGCTAGATCCGGCTCTCGTATGCGGGACGTGACACTAGAAGATATATCTGACTTGAGCCTTTAAATTCTGTTCTTTCAAAACCTCGAGGCTGCTTCTCGCTCTCCATCCCTACCTAACAAGGTCTGACTATTTATTCAGGGTATACAGGCGTTCATAATACCTTTGTCGTCCACCATGATATTCACCCGCCAAACACACTGTTGTATCAGGTACAACGATTGTAAGAGTTGATTTTGATGTTATTACAAATTTCAGCAGCATGCGCTTCGCAAGAAGAGATACTACGATCATGCAGCCGAACTTGATGAAAATTCTGGACCCCTTTTGGTTTGTGCATCTCGCTCTTAAACATCATCAACTAACAAAGTACAACCGTCTAAGCGATGACCAGAGGCAGGGTCTTCCACCTAACACAATTAACCTTTGATCGGACAGTTACAAAAGCCAAACAAGACAGGACTGCAACAATATCAGAGCGTAAAAGTATATCGTAGATGCGGATCTGGAATATACTTTTTCCACCACCCTACGCCAGTGACGCCGCGAAATACTTCGACACACAACCATGTCGCTATTCAAAGTTCTCGAATGTGGCCAGATCTAGAACATTTCCTTCAGGGTCTACAACTAAGCCCAGTACGACAATACGATTGAGTACTAACTCTACGGTAAACTGAGAAATTTGCGTTTCGCTCGGCTCTAGACGCAGCCGTTACGCCACCGGAGCTAAAAATAACCGGCGCCGTGGGAAGAAGAAGAATCGAGATGGGATCTAGAATCTTGCGCCGAACAAGCCACTAGCTTGGTATTTTCTTTTTCCGCGTGGCTGCAGGAGGTGGCGGAGAATAATAATAGGGTCTTGGATCTAGAGTGTGATCTTTTGTGAAGCGAGAAGGAGGTCTACATAATTAATTATTCACATAAAATAGCGGTATGTACTCCTGCTCTGTCCTGTTTTGCGATCGACGGGGACCAAAGGGAGTACCTGGCGACAATCACAGTCTCAATCCCCTAAGATCGTCCAAATCCAGTCTGGCCGGGTAATCCAAGTCCGCTTAGTAGTGGTGGGCCTGGACTCTTCACAAGTCCATTAAGGATAGTTATGACTCAAGCACATTTCGTGCCGAAATTTCTCTGGACGATGTGGGTCGTGGGAAACGAAGCGGCCCACTTGGGAGGAAAACGCAAAACGGAAAGCATTCAGACTATCCCGAGGATGATTATGACGTACCTGTTATTATCAGGCTGGAGGATGGAGTCAAAGTATTTATGTTATAGAGTACTTCAAATTATAGGCGGGACTTGTTGACTAGTTTTGGTAAGATCATACAAGGACGACGGGATAGGCGTCCGTATGGATTGGGAGAACCCGCCTTAGAGGGTGTTTTTATACTTTATGCTTCAAATTCAAAATAGATGACACATGGCGTAGTAGAGCGAACACCTTTATCGCCGTGTGTACTGTATGTCCCCCGTACTTCCTTCATACTGTGCTGTACAGTACCTCCCTCCGGTTCATCCGGGGAACTTGGCACACTGCAGGACTAGCGCCGCTTAGTGGCTGTTGGCGTCGGCGAAGCTTGTTTCACCAATGCTTATGACGAGCAGAGATCCGTTTTTATGATGGATGACTTGGGGATGTGTTCATTGTCTCCCCCCGGTTTTCTGTACTGTACCTTGTACCTGGATGTTTGTGGTCCATGGTTCAGCTTTTCCAGGAACGAACCCGACCATCTATACCGTACCGTATTTAGTTACGGTACTAACTTAAGTTGGTTGACTAACTTAGTTATTAAATGTACGTGACTTCGTTCCAGGCCCAGCCCGCTTGGCAACGGGCCCATATCCGAGTCCCGACATTTAATGCCATTTGCCATCTGCCACGGGTAGAAGTGGAGAACCACGAAGAAAACGGAGTTTTCTTTAATTTTCTGCTCATCTTCTGACGCGGCACCCCCTCAGTCCAGTCCAGTCTCGCCATGACTTCAACCCACATTAGCGGCGTGGGTCAATGGAGTCAATCCACGCCAGTCCCCGCTTCATTTGGTCCTTGTGAAGCGCCCCCCCTCTTCTCCATCGGCTATTTCTTTTTGTGGCCTGTCTTACTTCTTTTCTTTCTCTCTTTTCCCCCAGAAACTATGAAGTGTCGCTGTTTGTGGGGTCCTGCTCGTCCGTCCTCAGAGTCAGCATCCATTCTCTGACAACCCTCACCTCTCGGAGCAAACGACTACACAACTCCAACTGCAAATCTCCACCACCAACACAGTCCGTTACATTCCACTTCCGAAATATCCAGTCGGTTCCGGCCAGCCCCTGAACCTGCCGCGCGATTCCACGTCTGAATGTCCTACTTTGATGAAAAGAACACGGAAACTCCTCGTCTGCCCTCCGTGGAAAGCTCGAGGGCCGACGAGGACCATGACACCCACCGCGGAGAAGGACAGACGAAGAACTCCCAAACTGCGGTAGAACCGCACGACACAGCGAGTGACAAACCCAGTACCACCACCATCCCCCAACGATGGAAGACGGTTAGTCAGCGCATCCGGGAGCGCGCAGGCACCATAGCCGAGGCACTGGGCCGGCCGCATGAGCGCGAAGAGGATGGATTGGACGCGAGTTTCTCCCCAGAGTACTACGGCGCAACGGACGATATCAAAAGTTATGAGGCGCGCACGGCCGCAGATGAGGAGGAGAGACTCCCGGGGACCGATCATAACTCCCAGGCGCAGCAATTGCTGAGCCAGTTGGGTCTTCGTCAGCATCAGAGACATCCGAGTGGCCCTCGTCGTGATCCGGAGCCGCGCTCTGGCGCGTCGACTCCCGGTGCGATGACTCCTGGTGACAGTGGCGCATCGACACCTCTCAATGGAAGCCTACTCTCGCATCTGCTGCGGGTGTATGCCAACAATATGGAGTCTGCGAGCAGGATGAGCGTTGCCACGACCGCGGCAGCTTCAGACCCTGAAACCGAGACGCTGCCTGCAAAAACCCCGGGTACGTGGACGCCTGGCAACGCTACGCCTATGAGCATGGGTATGGGAACTGTGACGGGAAGTGCAACACCTAGATCGGGAACTCCTACCGGCAAGAAAGAGAAGGTCAAGTGGTACAAGAATGGCAACAACAGCAAGGAAAACGTGAGCGCAAGGACTTCAAAGCACCACTACACCTCTTCCCTGATCCAAGCCTCGATGGATATGGGCCGGGTGGGTGTCCCCGGTGCTCAGGGTCCTGCACCTATGACTGCCAAAGAACGGAAAAAGCAGAGGCGTAAGAGTGCCAAGAACATCAAGTTGACCGTGCATATCGCTGCACTGCTCGCACGCCAGCAGTATATCATGCAGTTGTGCCGTGCGCTGATGAAATACGGCGCTCCAACCCACCGTCTCGAGGAATACATGATGATGACCTCAAACGTTCTCGAGGTCAAGGCGCAGTTCCTATACATCCCGGGCTGCATGTTCATGTCATTCGATGACCCGTTGACTCGCACGGCCGAGGTGAAGATTATCCGCGTGGTGCAGGGCCTCGATCTCTCCCGACTGGCCGAAACCCACAACGTGTACAAAAACGTGGTGCACGATGTCATCAGCGTGGACGACGCTACCAACCATCTCGACACGATCATGCAGCGCAAGCCACGATACAACCGCTGGATACTCATCCTCCTCACGGGTCTAGCCAGCGTCGCCGTAGGACCATACTCCTTCTCCGCACGGCCCATCGACCTCCCCATCATCTTTGTACTAGGCTGTCTAGTCGGGTACATGCAACACGTCCTAGCCCCGTCCTCAGCAACATACTCCAACGTCCTCGAAGTCTCCGCCGCCATTCTCACCTCTTTCCTCTCCCGCGCCTTCGGCAGCATCACCCACAACGGCGAACGCGTCTTCTGCTTCGCCGCCATGGCCGAATCCTCCATCGCCATGATCCTCCCCGGCTTCGCCGTCCTCTCATCCTCTCTCGAACTCCAAAGTCACCAAATGAACGCCGGCTCCATCCGAATGGTCTTCACCCTCATCTACTCCCTCTTCCTCGGCTACGGCGTCACAGTCGGCACAACCATCTACGGCCTAATGGACAACAACGCCACCACGGAATCAACCTGCCCCAACGCAACCGCCACCTGGGGAAACGAATACATCCAACACTTCCCCTTCGTCGCCCTATTCTGCCTCTTCGCCGCCCTCATCAACCAAGCCAAACCCAAACAGCTCCCCGTCACCGTTATCATGGGCGTATGCGGGTACGTTGCCAACTACTTCTCCACGAAAAGGCTCGGCGCAAACCAAGTCGCCAACACAGTCGGCGCCTTCACGATCGGCCTCCTGGCGAACTTGTACTCGCGCATTTGGCACGGCCACGCCGCCGCCGCGATTATCCCGGGTATTTTCACGCTCGTCCCGTCTGGCTTGGCCAGCAGTGGGTCTATTTTGAGTGGGTTGCAGTATGCCGAGGCCGTTAAGAATGGGGATATTAGTAGTACGACGAGTGGGAGTAGTAGTAGCAGTTTGTTGGGGTTGGGATATGGGATGATTCAGACGGCGATTGGAATTTCAGTGGGATTGTTTGTGAGTGCGTTGATTGTTTATCCGCATGGGAAGAAGAGGAGTGGGATTTTCAGTTTGTGAGAGGTTGGAGAGGGTGGAGAGGTGCTGGGGTTTGTATATATTGCATTTTGCATTTTGCATTTGCGTGCCTTTTCTTTTCACTTTTTTGTCTTGCACTGTGTTGATTGGATCTGGATTGGATCTAGTCTTGGAATTAGCGGTTCTTGCATCTATTCTTTTCTGGGAAGGTGGCAGCTATGCCATGCCATGCCTTCGTCGCACCAATGATATCCTTGCATTTCCCACAATTGTATTATGAACTTCATGTTCCCTATTAACATGCATCTTGCAAGTATCGCCTCAAATAAGCGGGCTTTTCTCGGACGACAGTAACACCGAGGCTGACCCTCAAGCCATTGACCTGCTTGAATCGATACTCAAAAGAGAATTCCATCATGGCCCACGAATTACACCGCCAATTCCGTGTGGCCCTGGAATTACGCCAGCTCCGCTTTGCAGATACCAGCCCGGCCGAGTTCATGGCTCGAGATCATTCTTTGTCGTTTATGGCCTTCTCTTCTTCGATATCCCCAACAATGCTAAAAGAGATGGTGACCGTTGCGGCCACCATCGAGCGGCTAGCATCTCTGTTTCTATGCAGGCGTAGATGCAGATGGAGGGTCCGGAGCGCTAGGAGAAAGTGGCGGAGGAACTTTGGTTGGAGAGTGAATATCAAATATCTTATATTTAACCTTCTCCACAAGGTATATACGGGAGTCAGATTCGAGTGTCTAACAAGCCATAAAATATCAGGAACTGGAATGGAAGAAAGATCATATGAAACCATAACTGGTGGTTGCCCTCCCTGTCCAATTCTGAGGTCGATACTGTGGGTTTCTCTCCTACTTGCTGCTTGTTATTGATCAGAAGCCAAGTATGGGAAGTGAAGATCTGTGTTTGGATCAGGTATTCAGATTTGCCACGGGGGTGCGAGTGGACTTGGCCAACACGGCATAATTAAGATAGAGCCCGTCGGACCAGTTGCTTATCAGACAAATTCGCCTACTAACGTCCTTGGGACTAAGATTGCATTTGCAATACCCATGCTGGTAGTGAGACTCATGCCATTGATGTAGAATTTATCTGGTGGCTATAAGACAGGGAAATCAGATCAGATATTCTCTACACGTTAGGCTTCCTCGTGTCCCGGGGTTCAAATTAGGGCTACTCTCATAACAAAGACGGTCTGATGCGTCCGAAACAAGCACAGAAGGCTTATCAGGCCCAGAGATTCCACTTGGAATAATGACTGAGAGGTCATAGTGAGTAAGACAGCCACGAAAAGAGAGGTAAATAGAAAATCACCAAGAAGTTAGATAATAAAGGCAAATAAGCCCACAGAAGATGGCTAATTACCTAGAAATTAGTGAAAAGTGAAGGTAAATAAAACCGAGCGAACTTCCTCTGGCAGTAAGATAGATAAAAGGCTGCCCAAAATCGATTTAGATTTGTTGTCCTGTTAATCCCATTACTCATTCAAGTGAGACTGTGCCGTAAAAGGGAGCCGTGTAGCCATGTCAGGACTGATGGTGCGGGGATCTACTCTCTCTTGGCCCTTCTCCACTCTTATATATCCTTGTTTAATCTCGCCCTTTATCTCCGGGCCCCTTATGGAAACCTTCAAGGAAGGCTATGACCTTTCGAACCACGAAGCAGTGGTAGCTTTACGAGGCGTAAATGTCTCCGAGCTAGGGTCTATCTTATGGCTTTAACGTACACAATTGATCACAGTGCGTGGCTTTTCTCTCTGGTCTTTTCATTAAATGAGAACGGCATAGAGAAGCAAACAGACTGTAGGTCAGAGATATGTGGAAAGCTTCGCTCTATCAGGATCCAGAGTATCTAGATCCTGCAGGTATGGGTTATATGACCCGTGTAGCAAACAATCACAGCCTAGCTCTTACGGAGGTAGAGACTTTGAACTTGTGAAATTCTTGAATTATGAATAATTGAAGGATGGTATATCTATATCACGAGATCTGGAATCGTGGTAATAAATTTGTGATAATCAAACTTAAAACCGTCTGATGACTATTTGAATTAAATCGTGGCCTGCAGATTGCGGCTACTCAAATCGTAGCTCTCACAATCACCTTCAAACGATCTTCTTTATAACCGTGGCGGCCACTTCATAATCTTGTTCAACACCATGACCTTCCCAATCGTCGCCATCAAAATCGTGCCTTTGCAATCATCGTCAAAATCGTCGCCTTCAAAATCGTGGGCCTAATATCCGCCTTCACAACGACAGCGGCCACTTTGCAACCACCATCAAACACATGGCCGTCAACATCATGCCATCTACAGTCACGGACGTCAATATCTTGGGCCATGAACGTCCAACCCGTGGAGTTGCCTGCCACGAAGTTCTGAAGGCATCGGAGTTGTAAAGTTCGTTGTCGAAAATTGTTATGACACGCTTCCTAGCAGACCTAAGGAATGGCTCAGTAGAGAGACACTGAAGCCGGTCACGATTACAACCTGCCTGGCCTTATAGCGTCTTTCTAAGGACCAGGCAGGTTGTAACCGTGATCGATGTTAGTGGGTCTACAGAGCCATTCCTTAGGTCTGTCAGCAAACAGTTTTTTGAATCCAATGGCGTCGAAGCCGTGCAATGTCAAGGTTTCGAGAACCTAAAATCGTGAGTACATCCTCAAGAAGAGGTATTATACGACTGTTGACAAGCTCGAGGGAGCGTGTACAAAAGTCACGGATACTGATCGATCATAGCGTTCGTGGCCGCGTCTTATTACCCCCTGTGAATGACTATATCTACCTCTGAATCGTGACATCGAAAGCGTGAGAGAACGGAGCCTAAATCGCACAAGATAGTGAGGTTAAATTTCGCGAGCAGGCCTCATAGTTGAAAATGATTATGGTATTTACTCATTGATCATCATTACCGTACATGGTAATGATACGTCTCCGGTCTTTCTTATTGAAGGAAGATAAAATTTTACGAAAAGACCGGGGCCTATGATGGCTTTCTTATTATGGAGCTATTGTCTGCCTCTTAAAACCGAATGCTCCTCTAGATTGAGGCCACTCGCGATCGTGGTGGTCCATACCGATATTTTACGTCTAATGATAGACTTTCAAGATTCAATGAAGAGTCTAATGTCAACGATGCTAAATCCAACATGATCTGCATCTGTACATAGTGGAAATTCTCGTTAACGATCGCGTGGCACGACCGAAGAAGCTATCTGTCTATGCCTCAATAATGGCCTGGGCTAAATTTTCTCAGGTCGCAACCTAATTCCTTAGCTTGTCCCTCTTGCCTCAACTAACTGCATCTTAGCACCTCTCTGATACCCCCGAGAATGAGAATCAGCTCCATTCTCAGACCATTACTCCGGCGAGGCAACCCAGCAGAATCCACTCTCGCGTGGCCATCCCCCTTCGCCTACTCCCATCCTCATCCCCATTCCCTCCTTTTCCCCAGCTCATCGGGCTCCCATGACGCTAACTCGACAACAGTCACCTAACCGAACATCGGCCCATAGGGCTCCATACATACTATGATGGGGTCATTGGTGATACCTTACCCCAGCCGCGGGTCCCCGCCCGTATTTCCGTACAATTCCACCAACCACGGCGGTACAACCCTGATCCAGAACACAATCGTTATGTCTCGGTCGGGCAGTCTTTCACTTTTCGGGCAATCTGGGTCCCCACCGGCGGAGACTGGTTGTTTGGGTTCGGAGAACCGAGCTTGATTAAGCCAAAATCGGCTCAGATGCTCCCCGCTAGCAGCGGCGACTCCGTGAATTTGATTCGCTGAGGGCATCGGGAATGGCTAACTTTTCTTCCGGTTTTAGGAAGGAAAGGGGTGCCGCTGCCCGTATGACCCCTACCAGGACCCGGTTCTCGGTTCGGGTTTCTCGAAGATGTATTATTAGTGATCGTGAGTAGAGCCTGTGAAGGCAATTTCTGGTCTTTTTTGAACAGTAGTTAATCAATTAAGTGATGATTATAGTGATTACATGATGGTTAAAACACTGATAGCGTCTGGATACAACCCTTCTAGTTACCCACGTTTCCCGTTCTTCGCCATCCAAGTCTCTCCAGTTTCCGGGGGACTCCCCGCCTCCCCGTTCTTCCGCCCCAAACATGGAGATTCTCCAAGTGGAGGAGGGTCACCAAGCCAGTCCGACCCATATTAACCACTAATCCACACCGGTGACCCTCCTCAGTCAAGACTCAACAGCCCTTGACAAGATGAAGTTTACAAGGGTTTTCAATGCCCCAACCTCTCAGACTGGGTTGTATATACTCGCTCTTCCTCTCAGCCTGTCAATCCTACAGTATTCCGATTCCCTCTCCGAGTCTGCAGACCCTTTTTTCTTCTTACGGCTAAACCCGAACGCCACCATTCCTATCCGTCCATTCTTGGCCTGCCTTAGGATCGTTCTGGATTCGCCAATGCCTTGGGGGCGTTAAGGGGCGTTCTGAGACTAAATCCAATGCGGACACACTAAGCCTCAACAGCCTTAGTCGATGTGCTTGAGGAGTAGCTTGGCCCGCTTAGCCTGGTCTCCAGACCAATAGGGTAGTTTATGGCTGGCCGCCCGTTCTCGGTATTAACCAGCGTTTGGGATGTTGGTGAGACGTTTAGTCAAACCACGGATTTTATTCAGTTCTTTCCTACGTTTCTTAAATTTCTTGTGATGCCGTTGGTCCTTTTCATGAACAATTGCCCCGTAACTCGTTCTGAATATGGAACTATCTCTTTTTTACTTTCGGTCTCGGGTAATTTGGGGTCTTTTATAACCATGAGGCGGATGCAGCGTCGTATTCCTGCTTGCCATCCGTTGGAACTGTGTGAATAGGCTCTCCCGAAGATGTACAGAACAACTTCTTATTCATTCGGTGAACCATTTCACAGAGTGTTTCTGGGGCTCTGCTGATTCCGTTAAGTGTTTTATTTCACTCTAATTATCCCCTTAATCCACGTATCACATGCATCCCCGCGATAGTACCAGGTTTCTCGACCCTATTCCCCAAATTTACTCCGTAATCTCCCCAGATCCGCATGCGTGGATCTTGTCTAGCTCCCACCAGCAATCGAACTATTCCGTAAAGCAATTGGAAGACAAAATACATATAAGAGACATTACCCACCTGTGTTCCATCCGGATTTCCCCTCTCTGTTCTTCCTTCTCCCTTCCTCTCTTCCCCTTCACCATTGACTCCCCCCAACGTGTCAGTGAAGAGAAAAGGGAAAACATTCCACATTCACCATGTCCGTTTCAGGCGATAACCGGTCAACACCGGTAGACTCGTCTTCCGACCACGAGGTTGAGAAGGTTGAGATTCAGCAGACGGAAAAGGTTCTCGACGATGCGGACCTTTTGAATGATGCCTTTGCGGGTGAAAATAAGGAGCATGAGATGGGCGTTTGGGAAGCGGCTAAGAAACATCCTTGGGCTTGTTTGTGGGCGTTTACCATGTGCTTTACTATCGTGAGTCGTACTCTTGTTCTTTCTATTTTTCATTGCTGTCCAGCCTCTTCCTTCTACATCCCCTTCGATCCATAACCCCAGATTTACTCCCCAAATTTACCCAAACTATGTCTTGCGCCCAATCTCAGGGTGAGACATGGAGAGATACCCTCCCCCTTCATCTGGTCCCTTCTATCTTAATTTCCACTTACAATGTGCGTCACAACTAACAAAATCCCCGCAGGTCATGGAATCCTTCGACATGTTCCTCAATGGCAACTTCGTCGCCCTGGGCGCTTTCCAACGGCGATACGGTGTCCCCCATGGCGATGGATACGTCATCCCAACTCGCTGGCAAAGTGCCCTCTTCCAATCCGGTCAATGTGGTGCTTTCGTCGGTGTCTTCGCTGCTGGCCCCGTTACCAATAGACTCGGATATCGCTGGACTACTATTCTGGCTCTTGTTCTAATGAATGCGACGATCTTTATTTCCTTCTTTGTGAGTACTTTACCTTACCCAGGTTCCGAGTTGAATTCGGCAGAGTTGATCGATTATCATTGGATTTCCATTTGATGGCGTATTTTGGATCATGTGGCTAACTATTTGCTTATGTCCCGTCTAGGCTGACTCACTCACTCTTCTGGTCGTTGGTCAAGCACTGGAAGGTGTTCCATGGGGCTTCTTCATTGCCAATGCCCCTGCTTATGCCAGTGAGATTGTGCCTCTCTCCCTGAGAGGTGCCTGCACGGCCACGCTGCAGATGTCGTGGTCCATCGGTTCGATCATCGTTGCAGCTGCTACTTATAGCTACAACAAGCGCGATGATGAATGGGCCTGGCGCGTGCCCCTTGCTTTGCAGTGGATCTTCCCCGTAAGTACACCTGTCTACCAATTGACAGTCTATTCTTTCCGGCTTCGATCATGTATGGTATCTTGAGAAGATGCTAACCCTCTTCGCCACCCCAGACCCCCCCCTCATGATCCTTCTCTTCTTCGCCCCCGAGTCTCCCTGGTGGCTCATCCGCCGCGGCCGCAAGGAGGAAGCTCTCCGCAGTATTGAGCGTCTTGGCGATGGTAGCTCCGAGACCGCACAACAGTCTTTGGCCATGATGGAGCGCACGGTCGAGATCGAGGCCCAGATGGGGGGTTCCCCAACTCTCCTGGATCTGATCAAGGGCACTGATCTACGACGCACGATAATCACGTGTCTTATGTATGCGTCGCAGAACTTTGCGGGAAATTTGATCGCTAACCAAGCGACATTCTTTTTCGAGCGTGAGTTTTCCTTGATATTTTATACTTTCTGGAGTATCTTTTGATATACAATATCAAAGATATAAAATACTTATCCATGATGAACACTGATGTCCCCTGCAGAAGCCGGAATCTCCCCCGATAAATCTTTCCAACTTAACCTTATCAACTCATGCCTCCAATTCGTCGCAAACGCCCTCTCCTGGTTCTTGACCCCCTACTTCGGCCGCCGCACAATCTACCTCTGGGGCACAGCCACGAACGTCACGTTCCTCTTCCTCCTCGGCATAATCGCATCTATTCCCCAAAGCAACGCCACAAACTACGCCCAAGCCATTCTAGGAATAATCATCTCCTTCGTCTTCGCCGGTACTCTCGGTCCTATCTCGTACACTATCATTTCCGAGACTAGTTCTGTGCGACTGCGTGCGCTTAGCACCGGTGTCGGCCGTGCGGCGTACTACGTTGCTGAGATCCCGATGATTTATCTCGCTTCACAGATGTTGAATGGTACTGGTTGGAATTTGGCGGGCAAGTGTGGTTATGTTTGGGGTGGGACAGCTGTTGTGTGTTGGATTATGGCTTACTTCTTCTTGCCGGAGTTGAAGGATCGGTCGTATCGGGAGGCAGATATCTTGTTTAACCGCAAGGTTCCGGCCAGGAAGTTTAAGAGTACTGTTATTGATGTTCGGGAGAATGAGTAGACTGTGGGGTATGGTTGTTCGCGGTGTGAAGAACGGAGGTTATTACACATATTTCCATGTGTAGGCCTTTTCTCATCACAGAGTTGCTTGGTGGCCGTGAGATACCCGGATTTTGAAGGTTTTGATGAGCATTATTTATACAGTAGATGATATAATACATTACGACCTTGGAATAGCCCGTATTCTTCATCTTAGAAGAGCTCTAACAGAAAAGCAAAAATCCTAGGCTTTCTATCCGATTAGCTCCGATGTAATATCACCTTTTGGTAGTATAGACCTCTATCAAGACGATTCTCTCCGTAACCTTCTAATTATCTCTATCTTAAAGAGCAATAGTAGCACACGACCGGGGAGAAGTGGTATTATCGTTTGGAGTGATCCTTGGGATCCGGCGGGGTAAGAGATTACTGAGCCTATTACTTGTTCTTAGGGCTACATTATTACGGATTTTTATGCTTTGGGCTATTCTACAAGTCGGTGGTGGGCGAAGCGGAATGAGAGACCGCCATTCAGTCTGGGTTGATATGGAAGTTGGTTGGCACAGAAAAGAACGTCTGAATCGAAAAGGACTATTTATGAGCTAACCTCATCTTCCTGTCTTGATAGCCCATAATGATAGATTCTCGTAGAATATTTAGCTGAAGATTATGCCAAGGCAGCTGTTTTTTGGGCCATAAATGCACATTCCTTGCACCCAGCGATGGGTACTTTGGCTGCAGACCAGAGTAGCAGACCAGCGGTCGACCTGAGATTGCTAAATTTCCTACCTCAGTGCTCAAATGTGATGACTCTGCAGGAACTTGATCGTATCCACAACGGACTTCTCCAGTGACAGATATTCTACCCGAAGAATTTCCTTCGAGCGGCTGTTGTCGAAGCCATAAAGAGGGCTGGGTTTGTCCGATGTCAACTCACTTGGGAGTTTGTCGGTGTACAGCTAAATTCGAAATTGCCTTCTATGCTTTACACAGAAAAATTGTTTCTAGAACCCTAAATCGAAACATGCTATGCTGAATACGGTTAGTGGAAATGCAGGGGTCATTTCGCCAAACTTACAAAGTAAAGGTTCTTACGAAACATTATTACACGAGCTGTAAGTTACACGTTCGGAAAACAAAGGGTTCGCAATGCACAGTTGCTGATTGGAACTGAATAGTCGTGAACCTCAAATCAAATACTACCAAATATGATAAAGCCTCCCTAATGCGAGATGGGGAAAAAAAGAGGCATATAGATCATGTCTTGATGGCCAGATCCTCCGTTTCCCAGGCTAGCAGAGTGTCAGAATTAGAGACGGTGTCGGGATGAGCAGGACCTAAAATTCGTTGCCGCTTGGTCACGCAGGTTCTTAGCAAATCGATCGCTTCAGAACGACGGCCAGTAGACTCGGTGAAGACAAGGTTCGCCATGCTCGTCAGCGTGTCACGATGGTCCGCGCCGAGCTTCGTCTTGCGAGTCTCCATGACCTGCATCGAGCTGCTCGGCCTCCTCCGACCGGCCCTGGTTCTAATACGTCGACGCAAGATTGGACATACTCGTTAGCATAGAAGGATGGTCGGCCCCGAGTTTCGTCTTACGAGTCTCCATGACCTGCACCTCGAGCTTCTCGGCCTTCTTCCACCGACCTTGGTCACTATACGTCCTCGCTAGGTTGCCCCTGCTCGTTAGCGTGGAGGGATGGTCCGCGCCGAGCTTCGTCTTGCGAGTCTCCATGACCTGCACCTTGAGCTTCTCGGCCTTCTCCCACCGGCCCTGATCACTATACGTCGACGCTAGATTGGCCATGCTCGTAAGCGTAGAGAGATGGTCCGCGCCGAGCTTCTTCTTGCGAGTCTCCAAAACCTGCACTTCGAGATACTCGGCCTCTTCCCACCGATCCTCCAATCGGAATGCTACTGCTAACATTGCAGTGCTATTAAGCGTCTCCTCGTTCTCGGCACCGAACATCTTTAATCTATACTTTCTCGACCTAAATGCCATTTCCCTCGATTCTGTCATGTACCCGCTTTCTTGCGCATACCACGCGCCTCTATAAAGTAGCGCACAGTCGGTTGGTTGTTTGATTTCATTTACCCTGACCCCTCGCTAAAAGTTGGATTTTAAATCACAGCCTACTAGACTGGGTACGGTTTTGTATTTTGGTCTAGTTGGGTAAATCAACTGGTTATGAGCCCGAATTAGCGTAACCTTTGAGCAAGCTGGTTCAAATCCCACAGTCAGCAGTGTTGAGCACCTAGAGCCACCAGAAGAAGGCCTATGATTGGCCGCACACGCATGCAACAGAGCTTCATGCACCGCCTCCAGCCAAGCGTCTATGGTTTATAGGGGAAAGTTAGATTATAAACCACAGCCTACACTATGTACGGTTTCGTATTTTGGTCTAGTTAGGTAAATCAACTCTAAACGCGATATGCAGGCTACAACTACTTTCTAAATACATGCTGATTGATCCCTAAGATTGTTCTGAACTTCCTGAACGGTGAACTTTGAGCCTCACCCTAGTAAAGCCTCTCGTGGCCTTATTGCCTTTTATAGTATTAGGCTGCCCTCATAGCGCGGCCGTAGTGAATTTGCGAATGAGACGGACAAGAAGTATCCGATTTTAGCTATATCTCTACGAGAAACCGCGAGAATACAGGCAATAACGAATTTAAGAACCTAGACAACGACTGGGCGGCGGATGCGGTCTTTAGGCGTTTCTTTGATAAAGCCTCGACGGCCATTGTGGGACTGTGGCTATTCAAAAATGATCATTGAGCGACCGTCTACTTGGGCTACTGAAAATGGGATATTGGATTCAATTTGTTGCCCTGATTTTCATATCTGCTTTTTCGCAGCCTCCTCCTGAGCCCTTGCGCGGGCTTTCTTTTCATTCTTGAGCGTCTTGTTGTGTCTTTGCGTAGACTTTCCTTTTTTCTTTGACATTTTCACAAGTCGCTCCCTGTCTTGAAGTTTCAGTGACCAGTTCGGCTATGTGAGTTTCTGCTGAAATCATGATTGGACTAACAGTTGCCGTTTCAAGTATGATTTCATCTTCCTTTGTTGCATTATTCTCATTGAACGTTTTTTCAACAATTGAGTATAATAGACCAAATAATATCAATACTGGTAACCTACTTAGACTAAGCAGGAATGCCAATAACAGTAAAATACCACAAGTAGGTTTGATGAAGGCAGCCTAGATAATGTCGTAAGTGATAACTCGCTAGAGATAACAAAAGACCTGAAATTGCCAACCTCGTTTTTTCAAATTGTTTAAACTCCTCAGCGCAATAGACTTGCTGCTCTTGGAAAGCCGCCAAGCTCTTCAATTTCGTTATATCCTTGCTGATCACTAGGTAATTAGAGCCATCGGCCACACCCGACCGATCAATTTCGTGAGGTTCAGGAATAGACATCTTCGGACCACCTCACTATCGACAAAGACCACGATCAAGGAAGCAGCATCATTCATGCTACAGGGCGTGCTTGGATTCGATGTTTGACTTTGGTGCGTTCCATTAGTCTTGACTGCGAGTTATCTATGCGGCACAGGAGTTCGTAATCTAATCACCCTATGCAAGGACAAATAGTCCCACATCAGAGATGTACAAAACTAATTAGAACAGAAGAAAGGACTATTGGTGGCGGAGTACAGGCTGGCTCGAAATCGGCTTGACCGATTTCCACTGAGAAACTCTTTCCTGGCCCCACCGCCAAGGCCTTAGCGCAGATCATTTATTGAGCAGCCCGCGTTAAATTGAGGGAGGCAGTAAAATGTGTCTTGTATATTACCGGTCCTAGATACGTAATATTACATTATGTGTACGAAAAGTCCGTGGAATCCCTTAGAAATCCATAGTGGATCTATGCAAATCTGATTGTGTGAGAGCCGCTGCCGCCTTGTTTCCGGAAGATCTGCCAAGAGCCTCCACTCTCGACCCCGCTCCCTAACCAACGCTCTGGCATTCATTCAAACGTGCCTGCCCTCCACCACATTTTTGATCTACCATATTTCCCCCGAGCTATGAACCATTCATTTCATGTTAAGGATCTAATCTCTACCTAGACCGTTATGGAAGCCAAGGCCCCCCTATCCCATAACGACTACTCCGTCGGCTGGATATGCGCCTTGCCTACAGAGACCGCAGCCGCGAAGCTGATCTTGGACGAAATTCACAACCCCTTGCCACGCTTGCGGATGGATCATAATAATATATTCTTGGAAGCATTGGGAAGCACAGCATCGTTATTGCTACTTTACCGAGTGGTGTATATGGCAGTACTTCAGCCATAACGGTTGCGATGCAGTTGCTGTCTAGCTTCCACGGTATTCGCATAGGTTTAATGGTCGTTATCGGCGGAGGAGTGCCAAGCAATAATGCAGATATTCGACTCGGGGATATTGTAGTGAGCCAGCCATCGGACACGTTTGGAGGGATGATCCAGTATGATCTTGGGAAGCGTTAAGCGGCTGCCAATTCAAGCGAACCGGGATGCTCAACCAACCTCCTCAGGTTCTCTTAACCGCTCTCGCTACCCTCCAAGGACATCACCATACAGAAGATAGCAGGGTCGTCGAATTTATTTCCAATATCCAAACCAAACTGGTGCCTCACAAGGCCAGCCAGTTCGCGCGACCAGCTGGGAGTGAATATGTGGTGTCCTGGGATCGGCATTATATGTCCTGATTTCTGGTTCTCAGGATACGTAATGCCTATCCTAGGACTCCAGATAGTCACTAGCTCAAGTCTTTACTCCAGGAACTCTATCCATTGGCTAAGCTGTTTATATATTACACACAGAGAGTGCTCGTTAAAACGCTTTGACAATGTCCAAGGGTCTTGTTTCTGGATTGTTAACGCAATTGAATGGGTCCTTAGAACAAGACGGCTAGTCATCTCAAGGGCTTTCTTGGTCCTCTCTACGTTATCATGTCTACTTATCTCACAATTTTCAAATCAGTATTCAATCTGGATGGTAGCTATTGTCGCGCATGACACGCGATATCATCTGGATGAGAAATTTTGTTTATCAATTGGAGACGACAAACGCCCGGACAAATCGCTGAGTTATGAGGTAATAGGAAGCCCAAACTGTTAATAAACTCTCAACCCAATGATACCAATTCAGTTCCAAATCTATATTCGGTTTGAGCTTCTATCCCTGTAGTTATCCATCAACTGCCTTCCAAATCGTCATCCACTACCCTAAAGGTATGCCCGCAAAGAGCCACCATAAGGTGAGCCTCAGAAGTCAAATATACTAAAGGAGTCTCGTCCAGTACACAATCATGCTGACATTTAACCATTGGGGATGATCCAACGGTCACTTTGTTCAAGAGCTTGTACATCGTGCATGGGCTCTGCGTTCTCGTTACGGCTGCTTTAACTAGGAAGGAAAGTTATTTTCCACCGAGTCTCTTTTCACCACCCTCTTTTTTCACCATCCTCTTTTTTCATCATGGCTTAGCTGCAAAGAATATTTTATCACAAAACACTTGATCACATTTTGCTAGAGGTGAATTCGTAAGGGTTTGCTTTCTTTTCGGTTCTTTCTATTTCTGTTGCCGTTGATAACTCTCGCAAGTCAGCTCTACGGGGCTGGCCAACATTATTTTCGCCAACCAGTCTCTATTGACGCATCAGACCAGGTTAGATACTTATTGACTTTCTCCCTTGGTTGAACCTTGTCCAGATAGATGAATCGCCTAAAAGCTATCTGTATTAGTAACAGGACTTGTCGAAGAAGTGCCATGTTAAAATAAAAACGGTAGAGACTTCGAAGAGAATCAGAAAGATTTGTGTTCATTCCAACACTCCGGGAAGCAACAGAGTAAGGCTTTTAGTTAAACGCGTAGCATTTATAGGCATATTAATCCTGACTCGTCTTGAGAGTGAATTGCTACCTCACGGTGTCTCAATTTCGGGGTGGGGATGTAGTATTATAAAGGAAAGACCTTGGCAGTTCATATTTTGTATCAAAGTTTTAGTTTCTATAACGTGCCGTCAATGGGCGACGGTCTCAAGCTAGGCTGAGATGACTTTGGATGAAAACATGTCATTGCCGAAGAAACCGCTTATTGTATGCTCCATGTGGGATACTAAGCGCATATTCCTCAATTGGAGCTTACGGATTTACCTGAAAGAGCGCTATATTCTATCCACGGAAAAGCGATGTGATACTGTATTTAAATGACAATAGCGTAAGCCCTACTGTGGACTGCGGGTACCTCAACATCCTGAGTAGGTTCCCATTCCCCCCACAGCATCTCCTGCGAATTAGAGAGACTGGCGGTTCAAAAGTCTCACCAAGAATGGCCCTTTCAACTCTGCTGCGCCGAAGCTCACCGTAGGAGCAATGTTAACTCGAATGTCTCGAGTGTCTTGTTCCAACCTGTCTTTATCAACGGATTCAATATCATATCGCGATAAGAGGTAGTAATCAGCTTCGAAATTTCAGCCATTGCGATATTCCTCCCAATGCAGGCTCGATACCCTGCGCCGAATGTGATTAGATTGGCAGCACCAGAAAAATCCGCATCATACCATCGCTCCGGCATAAACTTGTGCAGATCAGAACCAAATATGTCTCCATTGCGATGCACAACATGATTTCATACGCTCACTTCTGTCCCCAGGAAAGTCCTAGCCATTCTTCAACTTCGCCAGCATGGAGGGCAGACTCTCGGAGCAACGGCGGCGGCGAGATCAAATTTGCTCACGCGTTGGTAACACTGTAGACTGGAGCGAGGTCTAGTTAACCCACCTGTGAGAAATCGTTTCGAGTCCTCCGACTGATCGATTTTAGCAAGGTAAGGCGGCCACAAACACCTTGGCTATGTGGTCGTCGTGGTCGGTAGATTTGTGGGATAATGTTGTAGTTCAGAGAGGAAAGTTAATTCAATTACCCCTTTCTGATGAGATACAAGAGGCTACATATATACCACCTGAAGTCCAGATTGATTTCCAATCAATTTGGTTCTTCGTATACAAATTATTTCCGATGTTGCGGCTTTGTTCCTGATATGCGCTTTGCCTTGTATCACCACAAAAACTGTATATACCCCTCTCTTAGACGCGGTGTTACTTTCGGGAACGAGCCCTTTTTCTGTCATATTCACTAACATTACCTTCCTTTGAGCGATGATCCTTAGCCTATATGGTCGGGGATTGGTGGAACAAGAACTTATCCTTTAGAAGCGACGAGGAACGTTATCATCTGTGGGCACACGCAAACTGTTACCCCAAAAATGAATAAGAGAACGACGATCCCAATCGTGTTTGCATTAAGTCTCACCCGCTTTGGCTCAGTTCATGCCACCTCCGAATCACCAGATCCCGTTCTTCATCAGAAGCCGCGTACATCTCTTCGATGCCTTGCGTAATACGTGATCGGATGATCTCTTTGGATTTGCTTTTTGAGAGCGATCGGCGAACGTATTTATGAAGCCCATCCAGAGGAAATCCTACTAACCCGAATAGACCTAGACAAATCCTGATCAGCACCTGTTTGATATTGTGCAATAAGGCCTTACCCGCAGCCGGCTTTAAAAGAACCCCTCCAACCCCTGTTCCTATTCCCTTTACCAGTCCTTTGCCTCCAGATTGTCGGAATCCACGGGTCGGCTGCGTGACAAGCCCCGACAGGCCATTGTAGAGCCCTTGGTACAGCTCCTGTAAAAATAAGGAGACCATTTCTGGAAATACCTTTGAACCCGCACTTACCTTGCCAGCTGCCCTGAATCCGCTCTTGATTCCGATGACCGTGGGGATAGATTTTACAGTCTCATCATGGTACAATTTAGGTGCATTGTGAAACCCCCTCGCCAAGCTGACGGCAAAATCCGTAGGGAGTACTATCACAAAGTTCAAAGCATATTTTGCAGATTTTGCAGCGTGGTATCGGGTTTCGGATAAAATCGTTCTTGCATGACCGCGCTTTTTGCTGTAGCTTTTTGATCCTCCCTCTCCCATGGCAAGTCGTCCGTGAACCTGATCATTCTGGGAAGAATGCAATTCGCTTAGATCTGCCGCCATACTGTTGGATATAGCATTCGCTTCTGGATGCCCTTCGGGGTTCCCGCGCTCATTTTCACCAGGGCTGTACACATTTCCACTGCGGCTGCTGGTATTCATGAACGACTGGGATTCGCGCCTGCGCTCTTGGTGTGACACACATTCTGCAAAGTGTGACATAGCCCATTCTCTCCCTCTGTAGTCACGTTGTGCAGACATAGAATCAGATCCGGCGAACATTTTCGCCATCTGTCCAGGGCCACGAGCAATACCAAGGATAATATCTGTCATAGCACCGTACAAAACTTCCGCGGTAGCAGATAGTGGGCCTCTGGGGTCACGGTTCGTGTCATATTGTCGGGCTCGATATCTAACGCTGTCAGACTGATCGCAGGGAAAAGACAAAGAAGTATTTCGAAATGCGTACAAGATCACATCCGATGGTTTGATATGGCCCGTGTGCACTAGTATTGAAGTTGCCAAAGCGCTTAGCTTAACGTGTGAATGGCGGACCCACCACACTGCTGGTCGGTCGGGGCAGACACAGCACCTTAGCGCCTCAACATTGATATGCTGGTGAAAACTGTGCGCGGCTTTCTGTACTCCATGCTCTGCGCGCATCTTCTCTCCGATCAATCTGGAGTTGTCCTGAGCGTCTTCTCCTAGAGCTTCTTGAATTGCCGCGGCTAACTTTTGGGCTGTTAATTCCTTAAATGGAACGGGATGTGGGCCCGCGCCTGCTCGAGCGACAATGGAACCCCAGAATGGTTGGTCCCCGAAAAAGGGAACAATGACTGTCGGGCGGCCTAGAAGAAGCCCTGCGGCAGTAGTTCCAGCACCACCGTGGTGCACAACGCATGAGACTTGTCGAAAAAGCCAATCATGGGGGCAGCTTCCTAACAGGAAAATACTCTCGGGAATGTCAGTTTCTGAAGAGCCGATATTACTCCATCCTTTCGATATAAGCGCGCGCTGTCCCGTCAGACGAACAGCCTCAAAGATTGTCTTTGTTAGTTTCTGGGGGTTGTCAACTATAATGGAGCCAAACCCAATATAGATCGGAGGCTCTCCCGCCTTCAGGAAAGCAGCAAGCTCTTCTGATGGCTCATATTCGGACTCAGGAGAAAGAAATTGAAACCCACAGACGTCGATATTGGTGGACCAGTCACGAGGTTTTGGAAGGAGAGATGGCGACCTTAGTATGTTAGATACCACCCACCCCTAGTCCCAGGGGCCTTGCTCACCAAAGGTACGTATATGGTATTTGCAGTCGATGAATCATGCTAGGTGCCCTGATGGCATCCAATGGATCCAGGCCCAATTCCTTCTTGCGGAAATGGTTAATCAGGTCTCCGAGACCTTCCCACATCATTACCTCCACTATGCCATATGAAGCAAAGTTTGCCACCGATGGTTTGGTGCTTTGAGACCGGACATTTGCTAGCGGGTGTGGAAAGGCTTGCGTTGGGGACCAGGGCATCCTATGTAACGTTAGTGTGGGTCCTTGGATTCAAGTGTATTAATTATCCCACTCACGTAAACATCATATTCAAAGGAATTCCAAGCTTCTCGGCGCAACTCAAATGGGCAAAGCATGGGGGGTTCGCGATAATAACATCGGCGACGAACGGCCGTCGCCAAGAGTCGACAGCGCCGTTCTGAGTATGTGCGGCGATGTTATGCATTTCAGTACCATCTCCAGCCTCATAGCAAGAGTGCCAGCATCCAGAAAAAATGGCTTTCATTTCCCGTCGGCGCTTCTGAATCGCGCCGCTGCGAATTGTGCGTATACCTGGCAACAGACCAGGGTTCTGGACCATAAAGGCCATAAGTTCTTCTGGATTACCACCAATGTTGAAGAATTCGAGCCCCTGATCATTCACATCTTTGCGGAAAGACATGTGTGTTGCGAGTCGAACACGATGTCCGTGTTTCCGAAGCTCCTGACCCAGAGCGACGAAAGGCTGGACGTCACCACGGGATCCCACAACTTGTATGACGATGTTCAACTTCAGGGGAAATTCGGTGTCTTCCTCGGGAACGACGTCTACGTGTTCCTGTTGCTCCGTGACTAGCTCTGGGGGTTCCTCTACGTGTTTCATCAGTGTAGCAAGCCAGGGCTTGGGCTCTCGAAACTCAATATCCAGTCTTCCATCTGGTCACATAGTGAGCCGACGGAACGTGTGAAAACTGGAGCCACAACTCACTCACCTTTGACACGGACACCAGTGCTAAGCCCTTGTCCTTGAACAGCCGTAAAGCGATCATTGAGTATATTTTGCCCATTAAGCTGCACACCTTGCCAGTCTTCCGCCGAAATATCATTTTCCTGTGACAGATTTGCCTCGATCGCCATATTCAGGAGTTCAGATTCGGGTAATTTTGGATGAAGCTCTTTCCGAAATAGAGTGTCAGGGCTTGGAGAATGCATTTCCACTTGCGGATACCACTCACTAATATAGTATCTTTAATTCATTGGTGGCGCCACCAAACATACCCCGGAAGACTTAGCAGTCCAAAATCTTAATTTCAGCATTTGGGTTGGGGGGGGGGGGGGGGGCCGAGTGATGGCGTCAACCAGTTGCAAAGTTTGGTCTCACCTTTGGCGTGAGCTTCTCCAAATAAACTCAAATTATAGCGGATTCTCAAATCAACATGATTTGCTGATGTTGACCCTAGGTTCGGATGCAACGGGAGCTGGGAGTTGGTGTAATGCCAGACAAAACTTCTGAGAGAGAACTCATATGGTTTCATGACATCACCAATACTTTTCGCTAGAAATCGACAGCCAACACCGGCTACCAAAGACGATATAGGTCTCAATCCTGACTCACTTTGAAGGGTTCATTCCGCTCTCTTTCAAAGGGTGTATAAAGAAATCGTCGAAAGCTGCGGTTTTAAGATAGCGTCAAACGGTCGCGTATGTCGGCTGATAACACCTGAGCTGTTTTCACTACACCGTACTACGGATTCAGGTCTTTTGAGAGTTTAATTGCTGTGGGACAGGTATTAATGAAAAGCTTTATTTTAGCAGGGTCTAGTTTCCTTAACCTCGTCCATCCGGACAATATGATAATGCGGGAAGAGTACGGAGTAGTACCTTATCGCTAGCATCTGACAGATCACTTAAAAGCCCCCCTGTGGCCACCACCTTTTCTGTTGGTAGTTGTATGTCATTCAGTGTCAATTTGCACCTCTGCCGTTGAAGCCACCCCGGTATTGGTATATCTGATCCATTGACCTGGGAGTAGTTTAACATACCTCGAACGCGCGTTGGCTTATTATTTTCCCTTTGCTGAATATACCTCTACTAAATGGTCTTTCTTGAATTCTAAAAGAGTACGGATCGAGCGGCGGGAAGCGACCAATGATGAAAATCTTAGCGCGTCTTCCGCGATTCCGTTCCGAGAGCGACTTCTCCACGCGGAGGTTGAGATCGAGCTAGACAGAGAAACGGCAAAGGATCGGGCCGAGGCCATACGGTCCACGTCCGATGTTGTCGTCTACTCGGATGCCTCGGGACGCGAGGGTTACCTAGGTGTCGCCGTCGTGGCGCTCAACGACAGCCTGAAGATCACTGAATCACAACAGTTCCAGGTTGGACCGATGGACCGCTGGTCCGTCCACGTAGCGGAGCTCATCGGCATCTTCTACGCGATCAGCATGGTATTCAAGATCACCCACCAACACTCGAGAACAGCAGACAGGCAACCGACCGCGACGATCATGTGCGACAGCCGGTCCGCCCTGCAGGCGGTCCAAAGCGCGAGAAACAGATCAGGACAAAGTATCGTTCACGCGATCCTCCAGGCTGCCGCCGAGGTTCTAGCAGTGGGAATCATACTTCGCCTCCAATGGATGCCAGGCCATTGCAACGACCCTGGAAACGACGCTGCGGACCAACTAGCCAAGAATGCCGCCAGTCCGGGCAAAACCCACCCTTTCCGCCCGCTTCTCACGAGAGAGATGGCGCTCATTCGTCGGAACATCTACGCTCAGTGGGAGTAAGAATGGAAATTGTCTACTAAGGGTATTTATTCCCTTACGGAAGGTCGATAACACATTACCAGCCACCTACACGAGGAGACTATACGGGAACCTATCCGTGCCTTTCTGCCCACCCAAAGCGCTTCCCGCTTTGGGTGCGCCCGGTGTTATGGCCATTCCGGTGTTATGGCCAATTTTCATAGAAATCGTCAAATTTACCACCCAACTAGCTAATTATCAATAAAAAAAAGCTCTCCCGCCCGTCTAGCCGCTTCCTTATTAGCAATTGCCCGCTGGATAGATTCCTCCGATCGCTGTATGGGCTCGTAGCCATAAATCTTCTTGAACTGCTTGGCTAGCTTCCTTTCCTGCTTGGCTAATTCCTCCTTCTTCCTAGTATCAATCGATCGATTCGCATCGCGTGTAGTTAATATACCAGTCTGGCTAAGTGGCTTAACCTGTCGCTTGGTGTATTTTCGACGCACTGGGGCCTGCGCGGCCCTAATACGCTGAATTGTATCCCGCGTTATCGAAAGCTCCTCCGCCATCTCCCGCTAGTGCGCTATCAACCTCGATAGATTTCGCTGCATCTTATCTGATAGATCCTCGAGGTATTTGGTAATCTTCGCCTGGTTCTTATATAGTGCTTCAATAGATTTTAGAGGGCTATTTTCAACACTAGAAGACGAGAGATTAGGTGGTGGTGGTGATGGTGTATGCGAGCCCTATAAGCGAAGATCTAGTGCGTATAGATCAGGAATCACTAGTTCTTTAGCAAGATCGTCAACAACCTTAGTACTATCAACTAGATAGATTCCGCGATCACTAAAGGATTCGCGAATAATTCGCTGCGTAAACGCCTTCTTGCGAATTGGCCCGATAATCGCGAGGAAATCTGATTTCCTATATAGCTGGCCACCCTAGAAAGCTAGTTTATTATTTATTAAGCGAAATTGCTGCTTATAATTCAAGAAGGGCTTTCCGTTAAGTAGCTGGCAAAGATGGGTTAAATACGGTACGAATGCAAAAGGGATAATCGTATTATCCTCGTAAAGTTAAAGAAATTCGAGTATAAGATGCGCGCTATAGCCATCGAATATAAGAACGCGCTTTTCGCCCCGTTTCACACGATAAGCTGTTAATTGAATAAAATAGCCTAGCTAGGCTAGGGCTAATTTATCAGAAATCCAGCTATTAGGAGAAATAGCCGTTATCGTGTCTAGTAAGAGGGTTTCGCTACCGTAGAACCAGGCCTCTATAAGATTTTTGCTAGTTCCCTTGAATATAAAGAGAGGGTCTATCTACCAGCCGTCCGCAGCAATACACTCTAATGCAGTAATATTTTCGCCTTTCTCGGTCTCAGCAAGGTCAGGGCAAGATAATTTAGCACCAATAACGTTTCGTGATCGCCCTTGACTAGGTTGAAACCCGTATTCATCGAAGTTGTATACTAGCCGGGCAGGGACGTTATAGAGGACCCGTTCTAGCTGGTCGTACCAGTACTGAAGAAGGCCTGTATCTTCCGATTGGATTCGCTTCAGTTCCTTGGTCTTTTGCTTCACAGGGCCTAGGCCAAGGTTTTTTGGTAGGCGCTTTATAAAGCCGTACGCCCAGTTTTTACCAACCTGCCTATCTGGCTGATCTGTTCGCGCTAGTGCGCGATTTGCCTATACACCTACTACCGCAGGGGTAGGTGGGAGATTCCAGCTATGCATTTGGACTATCCAGCTAATCAAGGCTTTCTCCTGGTATAGCTCTAGGGCGTTTCTCAGCGATTTGGTAGGTGTAGTAGGCGATTTAGCTATTTCGACGCGATTGGCCAAGGTCTTGCGAGCCACGCCGAATTCACGCGCAATCTTAGAAAAATTCGGTTTTTTGCTGGATAAGGCCACTTGGCAGGCCTCGGCCAGGCGAGATTCATCAAAATTGATAGATTTAGGCATCGTTGGTGGTTGAATTAGCTAGTAGAAGGCTACTGGTAGAAAATTGGCCATAACACCGGAATGGCCATAACACCGGGCGCACCCAAACCGGGAAGCGGTTTGGGTGGGCAGTAAGGCTCGGATACCGAGGAACCGCGCGTACCTCTTAACACAGCTGCGCACGGGCCACAACTGGCTATCCAGCTACCGCAAGAAGGTTGGCTACAGTGACGATGATAAGTGCGTATGCGGCACGCAAGAAACAGTTACCCACGTACTGGTAGACTGCCCGAATTTGAAGGAACTTCGAAGGGAGTTACGGAGAGAAGTTGGAGACGCATTCAATGCGTGCCGAGTCTGCTGGGAGGCTCAAAACAAGGTGAGAGAGGTAAACCAGACACCCGTCTCGCGGGCCAGGGCGGTCAATGCCGTGTTGGACTTCGCCGAGGCGTCACTCACAGAGCTAAGAACTACGAGAACGGAAGGAGAATACCATACTAAGCGTCGCGGGACATGTTTTTATCTTTGATCGATCTCCACATTGGGAACGAGAGATTCCCATTTTCCAAGCCTATCGAGTCTTTCACTCTAAGTAATGAAACTGGCTGACTACAGAGCTGAAGGATAATTAAAGTACAGTGCTCATAAGCCCTTCTCGGGTTGTTTGTATAAAGTCCTATCTCACGCAAAATTATCAACCACCAAATACTTTATCACGAAGGCAGACCCCCAATCCTACAAGCCGACCTATACATCTTGAGCATGACTATCCTGACAAACCCCCTCAGTATCCTTCAACTTCTTTCGAATATAAGTCTGCCATACCAAACCACCCTCATGCTTACTGTTTGATAGACTTGTCTCCATCAGGTCATTTGACCCAGATGGGCTCCATATCTTAGATAGATCCCTTCACCTCTAGAGAAGTTAGCTCTCTCATCCCTCTCACTTCTCCCCTTCGTCCCCTAGATTCTAACAAAAAAGCTATTTTCCAAATTTGCCTAGTGGAGATTATCGGGCACGTGATGCTGGATATCTGTCGGAACACAGGCCAATGGGCCATCCAGGTGCAACAACAGATATCCCAATAGGTCTGGATTGCTATGCCCCTATCTGAAAATTTGTATGGGCTCAAATACATGACTAATCTTGGCGGGTAACTAACTAACTATACAGTATCTCCTTTCTCCGGGTATCCACCAATCCTGCTGCTGTGACAATATCACACTGAGGAGCCTCCGAGAAACAATTACTTCGAAGATCACAGGAATCAAAGTCACGTGAAACACAATACCAATCACCCCCACCAAACAAAAGAGTAAATTTGAAGGAGCTACCTCTGCTACCAAGTACCGGCCAATACCCCTAGTGAGTGTTTTTTCATTGGGCTCTGTCAAATAACTATTTGAGCTACTGTCTTGGCAGTGGGGCGCGAGAAAAGAAAGGCGATCGATAGGGCGGAAGCAGATTCCGCCACCGACTGTATAAACTTTGGATATTGCTTTGGTTCTCCGAATCTCTACACACCGAGGAATGTACAAATGGGATTGCGGACCAGATATTACGACTCACAAGCCAGAAACGTTTATGTACTCTTGGCTCTTTGAGAATCACAAGCTTTGGAATATGGCTGACTATGGTTCTGTCCTATTTGAAGTCCAGAATTTTGAACTTCATATGATATGACTGATGCCATGATTACAGCCTGTTGGTTGTTAGATAGGATGGTTAGTTAATATTGGGTTTTCAGCTTGCCAGGCTACCAGTCATCCCGCTCTTCATGTGATCATCAAGCAATTAGGGAACCAATTCTCTCGATTATTTTAACCTCAGGCCCCGATCCATTATTTCTTAGGCGGAACTTATTTTATTGATTTAATCGCGTCGTTCTCTTATTTAATTTGTTTATATCGTTTAATTAGTTTAACTTATTGATATAGAGGACTTCGGCGAATAGACTTATATAAGATAAGAGGAAGAACCTTTTAGGAGGATACACTTTTAATATAGAGATTGATATACATTCTTTTATACGCACTATTAGAGAATCAATTCTATTCTATCTTTCTCATTATCTTCGAACACTGATTTCTTGATATTCGATTAGCCCTTTCAAAAATTCCCTTTCACAAAACCTGACCTCTTATTTGATTTGGCCTTCTGTGCATCTTCTTCGGCCATGCTGAGGGGGCTTTTCACCACCCGAATCTCCTCCTAATCGCCCACTTCTTTCGTTTCTCGACCTGTCTGTTCTGCCCAGACTGCCATTGCGCATCCCCTCGTTTACCAGTTATAATACGGCGTTTTTCCTTAAGCTAGATCTTAGTAAGAGATATAGAGAGTTATATTAAACGGTTTCTGCGGATGAGGAGATTAGAGAGAAGGTTATACAGTAGCTGTTATAGGAAAAGGTATTTTTTGGCTAGCAGGGCGTTATTTAGGTTAGAGAAGGATAGATAGTTTAGGATTGTGTTTACGCAGCCGAGGGAGTATTTAGAACTTACGCTAAAAAGGATCGTTAAAGCCGTGGACGAATGATTTTTTGGACACTCAGATGTATGAAACCGAATTTCAGTGAGAATAAATGAAGCGGGCTTAAGGTTGTCACTGGATGTTATGTAATAGATGATATATACGCGATCTCTTTCCATCATTTCACATTCTACATCCTCTAATCAGGACAAGAGCTTGATATATGAGGGGGAAGTTTATCTTCATTGAAGGTTCAAAGAGGTGGTGATACACGAAGTCGAGATACTTGAGCACAACAATCATTCCTTCTCAGTCCGTCCACTGATATTCTGGCAACTTATACCCATCAGAATGGGCAGAAGCAGTCCCAAAGAACTTGTCAAATAGCCAAGGAAGACGACTCCAACAAAGAAATGCAAAGATCATATTTCTCAGCCAAATCCCCCAAGCGGTCTGAGGCGCAAACATTCCAGGAACGAGAGGTGGGATTTTCTGCATCCTGTCAATGAGCGGCCGAATCTGCTCTTCGTATCCCTTCAACCCGGCTGCCAGATCACCTCGATGTTTCCCCACCTCTCCAGCTAGCAGATAGGCTCCAGTCAGAGCCAGACTGGTACCGGTACCCGTTGGACCAGGGGCGTAGCCGGCATCACCGACCATCACGAAGCGTCCTTTGTGTAAGGTTGGCGTTTTGACTTGAACCCACTCACTACCGTAGAAGTCATCGGCTTCCATCATGCCCTGCACGACCTCGTCGCATTTCCAACCAGCTCCCTGAAATTGTTGAGCGACGAAGTCTTTCAGTGCGTCGGTGCCGAGCTTGTTCGCCTCGTGGAACTTCGCCATTGAACTGTGGTCGTTGCGTGGGTTAATGCCCATCAGCGTAATGCGATTGCCACCAGATTGGTCGGGCCCAATGCCGACAGCACGACCGTTCACAGCACTGTATGCGTGGCCTATCTGGCTCCCGCTGAGAAGGTCCTTCTTGACAGAGAAGTACGCGGCCCAAGCGTTTATTGGCTGGATGTAGTCGCGCATGGCACATCCGAGACCAATTGCCCGAGTTCTTGATGTCGCCCCGTCGCAGGCGATGACGAGATCGTATTCCGAGGATGGAGTTCCATTCATAAACTCGACTTGAACAGGTCCGTCGCTCGTCTCGGGTTGCTGCAAGGAGGCAACTTGTTCTCCAAAGATGTAGTTGACAGACTCGTGGTTCTTGGTCAAGTCGTACAAAATTCGTGACAAGTCGCCGCGAAGAATCTCATACTCGGAAATCAATGACTGGCGATCGGGATCTCCGGTGGGCGTCATGGTTCCGTACGGACGGCCGTCCTTGCGCACGAGACTGATGCCATCCATTGGCTGCAGGTTGGCTCGCACGGCTTCTTCCATACCAGGCATCTTCCGCATTACCGAGACCCCTGTTGTGCGAATGTCGATATTCTGGCCATTGGTCCGGAGTTGGGGGAATCGCTCGATGATTGTGACTTTGGCACCAGTTTTGGCGAGCCAGTATGCTGTCGCTGGGCCTGCAATGGAGGCACCCACGACTAGGACCCTCAGGTTCGACATAGGTGTGTGAAGAGCTTGATATAATGGTTGCTTGTCTTTATATCATACCAAGCATTCCGAGAGAAACAAATCCGCTGGGTGGTTTATATGGCATGGTGATAGGAATCCATCTGCACCTCGGCCAATTTGAGGCCGAGCGTGCGCGATAGCTGATTGGCTCACATCGGAATTGGGAGACTAGAAGCTCGGGGAGACAGTGCCCGAGCATTCAACCAATCACAGTCACGGACGGCTCTCCGCATGAATCGTTTATTTTCGTGGGTTCATTGTTGATTCCCTAGTTGCGATTGATCTTTTAACAATTGATCCCAGGATATCCAATCATCAACATCAAATTCGAGTCCCTCGATAACATCGAAGCCATCAGCACCCGGCACTCCAGTTGAAGGCGATAGACCATTTAATGATGCTACCTCGGGGGTTATCAGGATATCACATTGTTGTTGTCGTTTGTCTTGGTTCTTCCTCAAAGATCGTAGGGTACTGATGAACTCTGGTTCGGGGGCACTACTGCTTGATTGCCAGGAATCCCAAGCCTTCAAAGCAAGGCATCTCATTGCCATACTGAGGGCCTGTCGGCTGTCGAAAAGCTCATCGTGGTTCTGGTAGAGTTCGGCGACACTTTTCCAAGCTGCCTCGATTTGATCATGGGAGAGCAGGTCTCTTTGTTTCAAGAGAGTCGTTAGCATAAATATGACTGAGTCTCGAGTTCCCCATAGAAAGAACGGTTTGATGTGCCACTGGAACCTGCTGGTCCCACCATGAGAATGAACTGCCGTATCGGTGTCCAAGGTTTTCTGCGCAAGTTGGAATAGTTCTTTTCTCTCCCGATCAGTGGCGGTCTGGTCCCTTACTTTGGGAAGACGAAGTTTGAGCCTCATAGCCGTCATACCGGACCTTGCAAGTGCGATAGTAAGGAAGTGTAAGGGATTCACAATGTTACAGTAACGAATGAACTTTTCCTCCACTTCGCTTTCTGCAGCAGAAATGACTTCTTCAGCTTCACGATAATCAGAGGAGCTCCAAGGCCCTGCCGTGTTGATCGACTTCCCTGATTCAGCCAGTCGCTTCCCCACGTATGCGCGGGACAAACAGAACATCATGTCTGTGGGGCCATTTTGCTCGACTGGTTTCTCTGTCATTCCAGGCCAAATTTGGTCATCATTGATGTTGAGTGGAGGCCTTGTATCCCAGGCTTCCGGCAAGCTGATATAGTCAATTCCAGCAGACTGACTTGCTCGAGAATCATGTGGAAAGACCTGATAAAACAATCGACGTCTCAGCTCTACCTCAAATGGTGGCAGGCCCAAGTTCTCTCCATCTCGATGGAGGCCGATTCGTTGTCCAATGCGGGCGGATATCCCAGTCAGGATCCAGTATGTGTGCGGATCGTAGGCGTAACGACTGGGTAGGAGGTATAGATAGAGTGCCTGTAAGACAGCAATTTCTGTTGTTTTAAGAAACGACGCATTCACTAGAGCCTGACGCGCGGCAGCGTGAAATCGTTTCATCATTGTTGATCGATCTTGTTTGAACATCTTCATGCAATCTTCTCCCGATATCGAAAAGACAGCACAGTGATAGATTGAAAACAGTAAACACTCCTCTGCCTTGGAAGCAATTCCAGGCCGTTGTGAAACGGATTCGACCATTTTGCCAGTCGACGGGATATGTAAAACCTTGCAGATGGGTTCCACATTCTCGGTGTGCGTCTTCCACAGCTGCATGGCATCTGCATGACTTGGGTGACAGTGCAGGATACTTTGCTGACAACCCAAGAACGCACCCGTCAACGGATCCGGCGGGATGGCTTTGGTAGAAACAGAATCAGGGGTCATTGTATCCTCGTCCTCGTCCGTGGACATGTGTCGAATCTCATCATCTCCGAGGTTGAACCACATATGGCTGTCGATATATCTCGACTTGCCTTGGCCGGTAAGTAGCCTGCCCGTTTTTGACGCGACTGGCTTGACGAGACTGGCCTCTGACTGTTGATGGAGAGGGACTTCTTCAATATCCACTGTATCAGTATCCAGCAGACCGTTCTCCTTTAGAATGCACTCGTATCGAGCCAGCTTTTCTATTGCATCATCCAGTTTTCGTTTTCGAGGTCTCGGCCGCGGTGCTTGAAAAACACACTCGAACCCTCCCTTGCGGCATCGAGAACAAATTGGGGCAGCTTTATCACATTTGACCTTTCGTTTCGCACAGATTTGACATGTGTAGGGCATGGCAGACTGTGGTGGATTTGTTTGACTGCCCACGCTGAGGCCTCCTCCGATGGGGGCTGGGGCAATGGGTACCAGCCCACTACTTGAATTCCAGTCGCTTGCCATTTCAACTCCAGTGAGTGTAACAGTCCATTATACCCTAATGTTTTCGTCCCAACACATAAACATCCCACGCTGGATGTTCCTCTCGAATTAAGGAGAGTTGGGGTCTTAATTGTCTGGCACGGCATGGCAGTAATTATCCATCGCCCTTCACCGCTCAGCGACCGAGCCTCATCGGACTGACCAATTAAATTTGGATGCCACTCTTTTGTTGCTCCAATGAAATCCGAATTCGAAATACGTTATTAACTGTTTCTCAAGTTCCCTCATCATCACGCCACGCACGGTTTGTGCTTAGTAAGGTCGCTCCAGACCCTTAAAATTCGTATATTACTTTGCGATAGTTCGCCAGAACACGCCATTTTCCCTGTATCCCATGCATAGTTGTAAACTCTGCGCTCAGAACCTGGCATAGATTAGGACTTCATCCTGGTTTACCCGTGGATGCCATAAGCGAGCCACGTCTAAGATAGGTGTGGGAAGCGGTGTTGCAGGCGCTTAAGGTATCTGCGTTGTTTAATGGAGGCAGTTATGGACTCGTATGTGGATTGGCGCGGCTGGGGGAACTATAGTCGCTGAATGACCTGAATTGGGCGGTATATGCTGAGGCGCTGGTGGTGGATGTCGAACGGGCATAGATGGGACAGACAGTGGACGGTCTCGAGGAATTAGGCTGTTCACATTTCATATCGGGAAAAAGCCATATTGGTTGACTTGGAGTGATCAAGACGAATGGTATTGCGCAGTTGGGATGTTAATTCGTTTTGGATGGGATGGACGGGCTGGACGCGATTTCATGTCCAAAAAAATATATTTCGTACATATTAGGGCAGGCTAGCCTATTTTAGACATTGAAACTAGGAATTTGATGAAGTCTAGCACCGAAAAGTTGCTTAGATATTCTCTGTCTAACCCGGTTAACCCAATGACTTTCCTATTTCAGAGGTTGTCTCCCTATTTGGGTAATATCGCAGCAAGCTTATACAGTATGGCATTTTATGCAAGAATGGGGCTAATCTACCAAGGGGAAACAAACAAATTTGAGGTAAATTAAGTTGAAGAAAAGATGAAAAGAGCGGATGATTCGAAGACATAAAGACATGTGGAGGTGTCCTTGCTTACCTGAGTAGGGAACGAGGGTTGAAAGTCTTCGATTCACGGAGTGTTGAGAATTCCCTAGTACAAACAAATAAATCACAACACATAGTTATGAAACTAAACTATTGCGGGTGTATTTTACCACCCCACTTTACTCGACAGAAAACAAAAAGCACCCAATCTCAGTGTAGCACGATTCGGATCTCATCTTCTTCACCTGGATTTGCGTTCACCTGGATTTTTGGTCTTTTCAACCACAATTCCCGAATCTCCTTCACGTCAATACCCGACGTCTTCGACACCGCGAATATTCCCGTCGCTAACCACATCTCAGCCGCAGATTTGCTCTCAGACTCCGCGACCAGTGTGTGCTGAAGCGCAGGTATCAAGGTCCTTTGCCTGATTAAATTAGTATTTGCATCCGCTTGCAGCAGCAATGCTGGGCTTTGGGTCGCAAGTCTGCCACCTCCTGAGCGTGGCGCAAACATCAAATCCCTTTGTAGATCGACAACACCACTAGCGCTACCATCCGAGAGGATCAAGCAGCTCTGTTCATCCTTCCCCCATGCTTCTACCACGACAGCATCCTGATCCAATAGCTTCCTCAATTCTCTCTCCGTACACAACAGGCCTGTTCTTGCCACACCGGAAGCCGCAAAGCCTGCGTCAACTAACCTGATGGGCCCAGGTTCGATGGCCGCCGGTGACCACCTCACCTTGTGTATACGAAAGTGCCATCCTGACCACAGCTCCAATGCGGGAATTAGGGTAGTTCGGACCTCGAATTCAACTGACTTCTTGGGCCTCCAGGTACTAACAAGAGCCGGCACAGTTCTCGCTACCGTACCCATCCCAGCAGCCGCGTCGGAAGTGAGGATTGGGATCTGCAGACTCCGTACATTGAACGGATTTGCGCGCACAATCCATGCCTCGCCGTCATCAAGACTGACAGTCAGCGTGCTGTCCGGGGCCATCTGCTCCAGTAGTGCGCCACTAGGGACGCTGAACCCAAAGAAGGACGAGTACGCCATCTTGCCGTACTTTGCCTCTCTGGCACGGTGGGTCTTCGTGGTTCCTTGGCCTGATGAAAGCAGGAAGTGGTGGCTGCGTCCGCCGCATAGAATATGTCGGGGCGGCCAGAGAAGTTTGACTTCATCGAGTGACGGCTGTGCACGCAGAGGCCGGGCAGCGAGTGGGTGCGGTAATTCTTTTGATGTCCAGAAGGGGTGACTCTCAGGTAGGCAAAGAATGGTGAACGATTTCAGACACCAGTATACGGACTGTGGTGAGTTGTAGTTCTCGCTGAGGAACATATTTGGATAGGCATAGCCGATATTGATTGTACCGTCACTGTTGAAGATTCCAGGCTGCTTTCTCCACCAGCGTAGATGGCGGAGGATGAGACCCTTGACCACGCCGATATTTTTGAGTGGTTCGTCGAGCTGTACCCCGGCTATGGCGACTGCGGACCAGAATGCTGCGAAGGCGAACCGGTACGTCAGGCTCCGCCCATACGGGATGGCACTTCCTAGGAGTCCCGAAGTCAGTACTAACTTCCTGAATTATACGCCTCAGATTCAGATATAGAGATCAGGGAGCAGTGATATAGATAGTAGAGAGATGAGAGTGTCTTATAGGCCGACATACCATCCACATCAAAATATCTCCAGAACCCCGACGCAAACTGTCGCGCCTCCAGCTTATACCTCTCAACTCTACTCCGATCATCGGAAGCCAAGCCTCTATCCTCCATGAACCTCACATATAGCATCCGTGCAAACTGGATTGCGAAGCTTCCCGAGTAATAATCGGCCTGTTTCCTCTCACTTCCCCAAAGCCCGTCGCTACTCCAACCCTCACCAAGATCGAACGAGTCCAGCATCTTCAAATCCTGGACCACAACTTCCTCTTCCTGGGATCCCAGCGCCAGATTGACTAGCACGCGAAACCAGCGCCAGTTGTTCTGGGGCATTTTCCGTCCATTGATTTGGCGCAGCCACCTTTCTAGATTTTCCCGGGCCACGGCATCCATCCCAGAGAGAAATGTTGCAGGGGCCATCAGCAGTGCGTACGCGATGCTCTCCATTTCCACCATGCGCTGATCGAAGTCTCCCAGATCACCCCAATACTCCGAAGATGTTGGGTCTGTACCGGCTTGTAAGCCACAGACCCATGAGTCCACGTCAAGGCCAAGGCCATCTGCACTACTTTCAGGAGCGAGGAGGCTTGCGATGGCCCACAGCGGCCGTGCAAAGCCCTCGAGTTGGGCGGAGATCTCATCAAACCCTGCTGCAGTGTCTGTGGAGAGTTTGATAAAGGCCTTTTGGGGAGACTTGTACTGTTCCAGCGGATTTAGCAGGGCGGCGCTAGCTCGTACGAGGTCAGAGCGGGTCTGGAATGGGTTGTCCGTGAAGCCTGGGAGTGCGGGCATGGTTGGAGTTTTGCCTAGTATTCCAAGTGCGGGGCTAGCTTGAGAGCTGTATGTTCGTAGGGGATCAGAGATTTCAAGGCAGGTGGGAGCTCCGGGCACTTATAATCCATTTAGTGCCAAGCCTGCTGTCGGTCTTCGGGGTAATGTATGGATTTCGGGTGGTTGTATTATTCATGTTCTACTATCAATTTACGCGGCTCAAAAACAAACTACAGCGACGCGGCAACAACAGTCCAGGAATTGATGACAATTGAGGAAAAAGGGCGTTTACCAGAGCACTCATTTCTCAACCTTGCCCCATTAACTTGATTAAATTAAACTGTTCACAGTCTCTCAATCTTAATCTCATCGTTGGTTGTGATTTCCACATGGCTGCTTGATGCGCCCAGTTCGGTCTCCTTCTCGGTCTCAACCATGTGTCTATCGACAACTTCCTGGCTTTGACGCCGCTTCAGCTCTCGCATCCACAAGTACTGGCCCAACATAAACAGGCACCAGTAAATGACAGTTAAAGCTGTGTTGACGATGAAACCCTTGCGCCACTTGGGCGCCTCGAGAACAGGGAAGGCCGTGATTGGGTAAAAGGAGAAGAAGATCCAGCCGCAGGTCATCTGTCAATTGTGAGAACAAACTGAAGTTAGTTTTAACCCCGGAGGAGTTAAGTGGCTCAAGAAAAGCGAAGAGCAAAGAAAAGAAAAGGAGAAGGGGGAAAAGGGTTAAAAAAAAAAGGCTCTAAACCCACCATCGCTCCGGTCGTGAATGCTCTAGCTTCGGCATCATCCTTCATGATCATGTTAACCCAAGGAAACAGGATCGGAGTAATGCAAGAGGTCATCCCCAAAAGATAGTAGGCCGTGAAATGAAGCCCGACTGGAATGTCCCACACAAGAAGAACGACATTGCAGAAGAGAAGAACTGCGGATGCGGCCGTGAAGGTGGTCCAGATTGGGTAGACCATGCAAAGAGAGGTCGAAAGGATGCCGGTCAATATAGCAACTCCCTGAACCCCAGTTGGAATTGTGTTGATTTGTGGGATCGTGTAAGTGCCGTGTTGTTCTGCCTCGTATTTCAGCCACAGGGCCATTTGCCCGCCAACATAGCTGGTACACTGAAAGCTAGAGTTCACCTCGAGTCAGTCCGGCCGGCCAAAGACTATGCTTAGAGACATACCAGACGTAAGTAGCGGTGGCGATGTAGAAATGCCAGTGCGTAAACACGCGCTTGAGCATGCGCTTCCCTATCTTTGTGCTCTCCTTGACGCCGTCATCGCCCATTCGGGCGCGTGCTAGTTGCTGGTCCCGCTCGGTGAGCCACCAGACTCGGGGGCTTTGTGGGATGCCGGGAAAAAGAAAGAACCCAGCAATTGCAATTGGAATGCTAATAATACCATCCTGTGTAGTAATACATAAGTTCCTCGGCACTATTTTTGTCGTCAGAAAAGGGAACCATCGAATACTCACTATGATGAACAGCCAGCGCCAGCCCGCCATTCCCAAGACACCATTGAGATGGGTGTATGCCGCGGCCTGTAGGTATCCTCCAAACATTGAACCGGCATTGCTACTCACGTACCACACTCCTGCTCTTTTAAAAACCTCGTCTGCACGGTACCAGGAGGTCAAAATATAGATGCAGCCCGAGGAGGCCGGGGTCTCGAGCACCCCCAGCAGAAACCGGACTCCGAAGATATCGTGCTCGTTGCGCATGCGTGCCTGGCAAAAGGTCACAATTCCCCAGAGAAGCTCCATGGTCGGTGGATAGTAGCGGGACAGGCTCGGCCGAGAGATCAGCATCATGGATGGGATCTCAAAGAGGAGATATCCTATATTGTAGAACGTCCCGAACAGGGAATACTGGTTCCCGTTCAGATGGAGTTCCTCCTTCATGCCTGAAACATAGGCGTTATTGGTGTTGCCTTGATCAAGCCATTTGATGAAAACTAGATATCATCTACGTCAGTATGTGGATATCTTCTCTAATACTTCTTCTATCCGAAGACGGATGATCATTCATTTCGCTGAGCACGTGCATTCTCTTTCACAGCCCGCTTTGTTCGGAGGGGTTGGAAGTGGAATGCTCACACATCAGACAGCACAGCGGCATAATGAAGCAGTCTAGCTTGCGCAGAAGCCTGCGCTCCTCCTTTGAATAATGACTTGGGTACCAATCGAAGATGTATTGCCATGCCTTCCACAATGAGGGAACAGCTGGCCGATTGGTCGTGGAGCTCACAACAGGGCCTTTTTCTGCGTCGCAGGGCTCGTCAGCAGTGGGCAGCGGCGAGACCGTCCTGATTCCGCTGGCCATATTATGTTGAAGTTCTATTCTTTCTGAAGCTATGTCCAGAGATCTAAGGAGAGAATAACTGTGGCCAGAGAAAGCTAGGTCACAGCTAGACCGCGATCTATATAGACACCAGCGCTCGGGGGAAAGCGATACGAGATTGAAGTTTAAAGACAAGCTCATGGCCGACAGGCACATCCATTTGCTGGGTCAGCTGTGAGCAAAGACAAGGGTGGGGTTCTCGTTGCTTTAGTGCCTCGGAGGAAGAACCGCGGACTTCGGGCGATCCAGAACCAAATGCCAGAGAATATTACCCCGCAAACACTCTACGGCTCAACAACAACGCCAAGTATGGCAGACAGTCGTGGTGCATTAGCGCCTTCGTCGGATGATTGGCGCCGGGAATAACATGGTACAAGCACAGCGTGGAGCATTAGGCTTTGCCTAAGGCTACTGCACGTCGGTTAATGTACACCGGCGGGACGGACAGTCGCATTTGTGGATTCCATAAAGGCCCCGAAGCTAGCACTGACATCGAAGAGCCAGCAGCATTTTTATATAGATTTCGTTGGCAGGAGCAACCCCAAGGCTCCTTTCTCGGAAAATTTACCGCGCAAGGATGTCTGTTACAGAAACAATCACCAAACCCCATGGGTTGATGTCGGGTCAAAAGGCCTCTGAGGCACTAATATCGAAATCCACCCCTTCACCTCACGCACCCTTACCCAATGAGGCCATTTCTGTTGGTAAAATCACCGAAGTCTCTACCTTGGACGTGGATCTTTCAAGCGCAGTCCCAAACTTAAGGGGAAATCTTGCAGAACTCTTTGCCGAAAACATTATGGCGAAGGTCTGGCGTGTCGCATGCGAGTCTCTTCCTGGTGCTGGCGCGACGTCCGAGGAACGTGCGATGAAGTTCCCTCGCGTATTTCCCGAATACGTGCCCCAGAATCCCCAACACGGCGAGAAGCTTGGCGTCTATCATCTCCGTGAGGCGGACTTCTGGACCTGTGGCTTCTTCCCCGGGACCTTGTATGAGCTACTAGAACGGACAGTCCGTTATCCCCAGTCAGCTGTGTACTTTCTCCATTCAACGCCACGGGAGAGACGGGATCAGCTGCGTGCCATGTGTGAAAAATGGTCGGAGCCGTTGCACGACATGGCCAGCAGGACGGACACACACGACATAGGCTTCATTGTCATGCCTGCTCTGCGCAAGGATTGGGAGCTCTTTGGCAACTTCCGCAGCCTGGCATCTATTGTCAGGGCGGCCAATAGCCTGGCAACGAGGTACGTTGCCTCCGCAAAGGCTATCCGCAGCTGGGATCTCTTTATCAGGAAAGACACGCAGATCACGGATATGAATACCAATATTATCGTGATCATCGACTCCTTGTGCAATCTCGACCTACTCTTCTATGCCGCCGCCCATAGTTCCTCCCCACATCTTGCGGAGATGGCCGTCACCCATGCCCGCACCGTGATACGCACCCACCTGCGTCCAGAGCCGCATGTCTCACAACCCGCGATCGGAAGATATAAAGGCCAGCTATACTCAACCAACCATGTCACATGTATAGACCCAAAGACTGGCGACATCAAATGTCGTATGACGGCGCAGGGGTACGGAGACGGGTCCACCTGGGCTCGCGGTCAGGCCTGGGCAATACTAGGGTATGCACAGACGTACATGTGGACCGGGGACAAGGAGTTCCTCGATGTGGCGTGCGGCACGGCAGAGTATTTTCTGGATAGGTTGGAGACGCATCCGGTTGCGCGGGGACCTGGAAGTGGGAAGATGCAGTACACTTCCCCACCATGGGACTTTGATGCTCCGATGGAGGAGAGTGAGGGCCAGGAGGTTGTGAGGGATTCCAGCGCGGCAGCAATCGCGGCGAATGGGTTGCTCGTGCTGTCGCAGGCGCTGATTGCGAAGGGAGAAAAATCGCTTGCATCGAGATTTTTTGACGCGGCGGTGGGGATTATGAGAGGCACGCTGGACTATTCACTAGCGAAGGAGACTGCACGGTTTCAGTTTATTCCTGGCAAAGACGGAGAGGAGTTGAAAGAAGGCCTGGCCGTGGAGGACCTTGTGCAGGGAAAGCGGTTCGATGCGATCCTTAAGCATGGGACTGCTAACAACAATGAGAACGCGAGGAGGCGGTATGCGAATCATGGCCTGGTGTATGGTGATTATTACTTGGTGAGATTTGGAAACGAGCTGCTGCGCATGGGCTTAGTGTAGAACCGTGCAGTATTGCCAAGAAACCAGTGCATAAGTAGATATTAGACGTCCAAATAGCCCATAGTACCGGCCTAGGGTATACGGAGATATATGCTATCTAACAGCCTATGTGTAGTATGACTAGCCCTTTAATGACTCTTCACCAAGATTGGTCTAGATTGGCACTGAACATTCCGTTATCGAAACTGATGATCCGGTCCAAATCCATGAATTGATGGCCCAGCAATATCTGTGAAATAGCATCCAGATCGCCGGGCGCTTGATCCCTCCCGGGAGAGTACGTTTCTTGCCCGTACATTGTCTGATGCTGGTCGTTAGGGTTTCTGGGGAGCTGTATTGAGGTTGAAGGGCAGGGTAATGACATGGCCGGTACCGCATCAATGAGGTTCCCGTTCGGCTGGGTCTCCGCGGGCTTTCTAACATTTTGAGAGTTGTATTCTGGTTGTGCCTGCAGGTGTAGCGATGGCTGTCGAGTCTGGTTATTTGGAGTCGACACAGATACTGGATCCCCTACTAGAGGGTCGGTCTCCCTGTTGCAATGGTCGATATCTTGCATGTAATCTAGGACATTTATTTTGTAACCCAAGTCCTGGATGCACATATCCTTCATCTGCCTCAGCTGTTTTGCGTATTTTGCGGCCAGGTCCTCGGTCAAAGCCGTGGTCTCTGGCATCACCACTACGTTCCCGTTCCATCGACGTGACATCTCATCTAGGCTTCGAACTAGCGTCCAGAACCTGTCATCGATATCCGATCTAGCGTACAGAGCAGTGTTCTCTCCACTGTAGTGGATCCCGTAGGCTAGCAGGAGTCGGGCTGCCACATAAACGCAGAATGAAAACTGGGGATAGACGGGGAAGGTTGCCGGAGACACTTTAAGATATTGTTCAGTGATCGTGGCAATTTCAACAGCCGCCTGCTGACAGGTCTCTGCAGAGCAACTGCTGGGCAAGTGGCTGTGGAAAGTCCAGTCGTGTGCTGGAAACGCGATAGGTTGATGCAAGAGAATCATGGAAGCATTATGGGTAATGTGTGCCAATGTGAGATTTGGGTCCATCACTACCGTTTGGCGTTTGGCATCGACCTCAAGCCCCGTTGTTCCTCCACTGCCACTAGGTGGGCCGTCCTGATTGATCGTGTCGTGAAGGTCGACAGTTGTGTTGATAGGATTCGCGGCTTTCCACTTTTTCGGAAGGAGCATCTTCCAGTGTACAAGGCGGAGGTCGAGTTCCTTAAACCTTGTGAGCCAGCTCGTGACGTTCTCTGGACGGTGCATGTCGACCTTTTGCTGAAGGAAGTAAGTCGTGACGCGGTTCAGCGACTCGGTTGCCTCGATGCGGTAGGCGAAAGCACCAGCAGCCTCCATCAGGGGATCTTCCGGCGATAAAACAGAGCCACTGGTGTCGGCCGGACTATGTTCAGGTGCGCCATTAGCCAACGTAACTTGCGGAGACACGTAATGGGCCGGTTGGAAGCCAATGGGATTCCCCATCCGCCCTGCTGACTTGTCCCATATGCCAAAAAACGCTGTAACATTGGGTTTATCTCTTCTCCAATAGACCCCATCGCAAGGAAGACGACGGTGCACATCGTCCGAGGTAAGGCTAGTGTTCCAGCCCATTGCCACGGAGCAAAACCGGTCGAGATTGAATACGTTCCAGAACACACGGCGTCGCTCCTCTGCCTCGACCCAGCTCTCCGGAGGAGACAGAAACATAAACGGCCTTGAAACTGGTGTACGGCTTCCGCACTCCTCGTCTTCGACTGTCAGTTTCAAGTATTCGACAGTCCGAGTCAGCGATCCGACTAGGGACCACGCTTTTTCCCCCCAACCATTTCCAATCTGATGGCTAAGTTAGTTGACACAATTCAGAATGTATAATATCTCGCGGCACGTGTATATTATTGGACTAGGAAAGTCTCACATCATTAAACACGCAAATTACGAGTGCCTGGAGATTTTCAACGCTTAAGCGATCCATCGAAGTCGAAACAACCAGACTCCTGGCCTGCTCCGTAGTCAGACCCGTCAGGGAGATATCGGATACGGCTTCGTGCCGCTGTATGAATCTCCCAGATACTAATATCATGGCTCGCAACAAGATGTCAAGCTTTGACCTGTGTTTTGGATCGAGAAGTCGTCGACGCAAGCTGTTCTCGTGTATGAGAGGGATCCAAGGGTGTATATGCTTGAAGTATGTCTGCAAAACATCTTCAATTGTGCTAGGGTTGAGCAAAGCAAGTACTGAATGGTGATCGACGTCCGGCCGCGAAGACTGAGAAGGGCCGACGTGGTCGTCCACTCGTTGTCGTTTAGCTGGGCGATCAGCGGCCCCGGGTGACGGCTTGTCGTTGAATCTCTGAAGTTCCTGTGCCAGCGCAGACAGAACAGAAAATTCCTTGTACTGGTTTGCACTCGGATGTGTTCGTTGATTGGACTCGTTTGGCGTTTCGTCTCCCAGTCGGTCGAGAACAAACTCTTCTAGGCGATCTAGCGGCGGGACACCTGAGCCTCGTATGCAACTCTAACAAGGATACCGGAGTGGAGGTATTTTCTACGTTCACCAGCAGAGGCACTCTTCATTATCATACCTAGCCGTCGGTGTATATTTTCAATAGCCCCGGATTTAATCCCCGGCTTCGACCGTTTGGGATCGTACACGCAGTGGCTTCCTATGCCAGTGCCGGATTAGTGACATTGTAAGAAGTAGTTCTGTCTCGGGAGACAGAGGAAGTATGAATGTGCTGGCTGACCAGTTTTGCGGCAGTGTTGACATGCGGGTGTTTCCCTGGAGCAGCGCAGTTTGCGGTTGCGACAGTCACTACAGGCAACCGAGAGCTCTGGCAGCTTGCTGTTGTTTTCTTTGGCGTAGAGGATATTATTGGTGGCAGATCTGGACATCCTGCTGGCCTGATTTTCTCGTACCGGGTTTGGGGTAGATAGATCAAACCTGGGATACATACAGTGCGAGGAGAATCTTTATCCTTCCTTCGTCGTGACTTCCACCGAAGCCCGTACGAGATAGCCCGAGAACCGACGGACCCCCGCTCGCCCAGGACCCCGCCATCCCCTCTATTCGCTCTTAATCGAGCCGAAAATAACTGAAAGCCCGTGAATGGCAACGCCAGAAGTTAACCCTCTGCTCTCCAATCTCTTCTTCATTACTGGCAGCCGTACCGCGTGATGTGATGGTCAAAACACACCTTTTTACAAAAAAGAAAGAATTCACTGCCTAGGCTCCCCCGCACCCGCCTACTGGCTAACTACCTAATTACCCCCATTCCCCTGCCCAGATAATCGTCCTCCAGGCTCTCGCCGAGTGACTGTGATGCACACAGCCTACTTGGTCCTTGAACCTCTGTTTCGAAAGTACATTGCTATTAGATTTATCTGAGACAGTACTAGAAGAGGTCATAAATCTCCAATTTTACGCTTTATAGTGAAATCCCTACGCATCAAGCTTTTAATCATTTGAAAAGTTAACTATCACAGCTAATCGAAAAGACGGGGATGTCAAGATGTAATCTGCCTAAAAGTCATCAAATCATCATCGAGTGGGCTCTATCACGGACTAAAACTGTCAAAACTGTCTGGCATCATGCATAGTTCCTGGCCTGATCCAAGGCGAGAGGGTTTTACCAGCCGAGGTAGGTAGGTGCCAACTTATCTAGTGAGACGCAGATAAAGGTCTAATTAGTAAAGACGAATGATAAAGCCAGGCCTCCAGGCGTACTAAGCTTCAAACTTATTGATACCGCCTGAGTTCCCTATAATATACCCCTATCTCCTGCGCTCGTATGCAGATTTAATAATGTACAATAGACAAAATACAAAGGCCGAGAAGAAGAAAAACAGCCCCCAAGAAGAACAAATGATAAAGAATGCATATGTTCGAGTGAAACTGTATCCAATCCGGATATAATATCTGAGCAACATTGCTCCGCCACTCGGTCTAACACTGAAGGTTCGAATAGGTTGGTCTTTTTCCAAGGTATTTGTTTGCCCTCCTCAGAGCAAAGGGTAAGAATGGCGTTTTCGAATTGAGAGCCGTAGCCACCATCAAAAATGGTACTGTAGTTAACTTCCATGAGGTCGACTATGTCAAGGGAGCAGTTCAGTAATGAAGAGGGATCGGGATATCTCGGATCTTCCGCTACTGCTAGTGATTGGCCCTCCGGGGATGGATCTCAGAGGGGACTTTGTAATGCTGCAGCAAGCATAGAAGGTTGTTCGAATAAAAACAGACTCAACCCCCATTTGAGAGACATAGCAGTGAGCTGGACGGTTTGGAGGGGTTTTTTCAAGAGATAGTATGAATATAATGACTGTTTATTCTGTCGCAGAAGGCCTTTCCAGAACGGTGCAGGAAGCAAGACAGTATAAGGAACATTCAGTAGGTTCAATGGCCATCTATACATCTACGCCGTATTTAAAATCCTAGATCTCAAAGCAAAGATAGCCAACAAACGCCAAGATGTTGCCCTTGACAAGACAGTGCATCGGCCGATAAGACCCCACATTAGGCAAACATGCCAATGGCGAGAATGTAAGGCAGCGGGCCAAGACTTTCCTGTGGGGGCTTGCTCTGATACATCGGCCGAAAACATTCCATAGCAGTACCTATGGCTACCAGAACGCTTTTGCCATGCAAAAGATCGATCTCGCTAGATCAAAAATCAGACTAATATGACCACTAGGAGAGATAAAATTATCAAATAAGCAATCAGCCAGAGAAGTGGAATTGGTTCCATGTATAGGTCTATCAAGACAATGTGGTGATTATTCATATTTCCTAGTTCTAGAGAGCACGTGTTTTGGGTGCCTCAATAAACTAAATTTACGTTCAAAATCTTTGTGACATCATATGGATCTTGAGAAACCATAGGGATTTATGCACAGCCGAGCGAGGACTTGCCAGAATCATGATTATATAAAGAGATAAATATGCATTCTTAATAGACCCGGGGTCGGGTTCACAATGGTCTTCATTGATTCCAACGGCATTACCGGGGTTGAGAGTCCAGCTGTGCCTGTGGCCGGCAATTTCAAACGCAGAGATCGTTCCCCCATGATATCATTGGTATCACTAGAAAGAGTCATGGTAATATTCCATCAATCATGTTTCGAATAGACTCTCTACAGTGTATCATTGGCTCTCGGAAATTCGGTAGAGCCACAAAAGCTCATTGGGTCAATTTTAATAAGATGGATAATATTTATCATTTACAACATTGACGCAATTGGTAAGCGTTTGGGCACATCCATCACGGAGATAACCTCTAAGCTTATGAATATACGTGGGATAATACCTAGCATGGATTATTGAGTACTGACTCAGCTACCGATATGGGTTAATGATCAAAGTTGATCGCAACCTTTGTCGAATTGCGGTTGTTGAATCTGGTCTACGCGTCTGGGGAATCTTTGATACTGACGACATCGCTAACGACGATCCCAGGCCTAGCTTTCCCAGATGCAGAAGCTTAGGTGCGAGATCTGAGCCATGAAATACCAGGTCCCCAGGTGGAACCTCCTGCCCAAAAGCCCACGAGAGAAAGATTGAAATAAGTACGGATAGTGGAATCACGAGGTTGACTTGCATTTTTGCCGTTCTCATCGCTATAAACGCCCACTGTGCCCATACCGCGATTGGTTGACGTGACGGCCAGCATGTTACGAATGATAGCATCCGCCTTCACGGTCAGATTTCGATTGACCTGTTCGAATCCGACGAAGTCGACGCTTCGAGCAACGCCATTAGGCTCTAGTTCCAGAGTTATCAACTAGATCTACGTCTCGGAAGTTGATGGAGACTGCACTAATCGATTTGGCAAGTCGTAGACTTTCTGGTACGACATCAATGCAGTAGACGCGGGATGCACACGTAAGGTTGCTGGATATGCAGCCGTTAGTCCGTCATCTGCAAACAGGACCCGGAAATACTCCGCTAGAAACTGGATGTGAGTATTTTGGAGACTATCTTCACAAATTAACCAATAATTTTCAAGTGTAGCCGTTTTCGGCGCCAAATTTACTGTTATATAGTGTTGTGGTGTACTGCATGGGCTGTGGCCTTTCTTTGAAGTTTCCGACGTGAAGCCCTTTGCAATGGTAGTCTTAAATTAGTAAAAAAATGTTGGCCTTGTCTAAGCATGATTCAGATGTTATATTTCAATGTGCTAATATCATGGGGATAGGTCTAAATTGTCAATGAGTGTCATCGTCTTTTCAATTCTGTGTATCCGGGTTCAAGACGATAGCAAACGTGAACAACAATCAACAGAAAATCCACCGTGCCCTCCAGCCTCTTGCCACTTTATTCTAGAATTCTTTGGGATTACCTGCCTCGAACATTCATGTTTCCATATCTGGGGCAAAAGCGGGATCTAGACCGTAAATTGCGGTTGCGCTACCGAGCCACCTCGAGTTTGGGTGTGGTAATAAATTTCATCTAGAAGGTGACTCCGCAGCTTCTCAATTGAGCTCAAAGGTCTCTCGTGTTTAGAAATATAGGCATCAGTCAACACATCCTCATGGTTATTTGGATAATTCATCATGTAGATGATTATGATCATCTGTGTACAGCCTATGGTCTTCGAAGCGTTTGTGAACGTTGGCTGCCTTTTTCGATTAAACTTTTCGGGGTAAAAAGTCAGATGATAGTGGCTTAAAGATCTCCTTCCAGTCATGATAGAGAATTCTACATTAGGCAAGCCTTTCCATTCGAAAGGTTACTTCTTCCATCTACGCCATATCTCAATCTCGAGAGCGACTCTTCCCAGCTTCCTAATCTCCTATCGAACAAATATATCCTCTTCCATCCTCAAGTGAAACTGTCTCTAATTGAATAAGTCATTGATAAGATTCCTTCCTAATCATGGTTTGCCCGATAATGCGGGGGTGCGGGAGACCTTGCCTACCAAATGGCGGAGACCTTCCCAAATCGTTGGCTTGCCTGATTCGTCCGTGCCTTCTAAGACTATCGCCATCTGATCTCACTATTAAGTTCGCCGCCTTATCTTGTTGAAAGACATCCTTGTGGTTTTAGGTTTCGCCCAGCTGGGATGTGATATTCGCCTACTCTAACTGAGTTGCCTGCTTGCGCGGACTACTTCCGCATCTCGACGCTCTAGTTAGATCAATATTCTAATGATTATCGTACGATGTCAATCTATAGGTGGGGGCCTGGTGGATTAGCGAGAGTCGGGCTAGATAGATTATCAGACACGCGTTTTTTCACTCCCTCTTAGGGTCTTTTGTTTTGTAGAATTGGAAGAAGAACGAGGCACATAGCGAAGACTTCCACGAATTGTAGCGTTCTAGCAAGAAAGCATGATCATATCCTTTCTCCACAATGCGGATATGGGAAACTATATTCCAATGTGCTACCCAAGGTCAACATAGTGTTTCCTGGAGCCAATTCTTGCCTCCCGGTGTCTGACCTATGCACTCTTTAAGATAGTTCCACTGGATGTAGATAGAGCCATTTAGGTTGGTCTTTCCGGGGGAGAGTGGAGTTACTTCTCCAGGATTTTGGCAAGCATATCAGCCAGATCAGGTTCATAAAGGAGCCCATTTCCCCCCTTTTCCACGACACGATCATCATCAATCTCACTTTACTCCTATCACTTCAATTCATATGTTCGACATGTCGAAATCAAAATCTTTGGATGAGTCCCAAGATGTCGCCTCTCTCCCTGTGGAGGCTGGTGAAGTCGGTGACTCGATAGATATTCAACACGACGCGGTATTTGGCGACATCACTGAGGATGGGCCAAACTACCGCAACGTAGGTCTCTCTTGGGCTTTGGGGATTTTGTTCATGTGCTAACATCTTCCAGGTTGGATGGTTGGGAACCGCTGTCCTGATGATCAAAACCCAGATCGGTCTCGGCGTGCTATCTATTCCTTCGGTTTTCGATGCCCTGGGCTTGATCCCAGGCATCATCATTCTCATTACCGTCGGGGGTATCACAACTTGGTCGAACTACATCGTTGGTGTGTTCAAGGTCAATCATCGCCATATCTACGGCATTGATGATGTTGGGGAGCTGTTGTTTGGTCGCATCGGTCGTGAATTCTTTGGAGCTGCTTTTGCCCTCTGTAAGACCCCCCATTTACTTATCGTCTACAACTATCCTATACCTGAAGTGAACTCCTAACGATCTCTCCAGTCTTTACATTTTGTTCCGGATCGGCGATGCTAAGTGTATCCATCGCTCTAAATGCCCTTTCCATGCACGCGATCTGCACTGCCATCTTCGTTGCCATCGCTGCAATCATCACATTTGTCTTTTCAAGTATCCGTACCTTGGGCCATATTTCTTGGCTTGCATGGATTGGTGCGATTTGCATCATCATTGCAGGTAGGTTATCCTTCTGGAAGCCGCCATTCAATGAGACCTAACGTACCTTACAGTCTTCACCGTCACAATCGGGGTCGGAATTCAAGATCGACCCAGTGCAGCACCCAGGGGAGGCGTATGGAAGTCGGACTACAAACTTTTCAATAATCCCAGTTTTGCGGATGCCGCATCGGCAATCTCGTCCCTCGTTTTTGCCTATGCGGGTACTCCAGCCTTTTTCTCGATTGTATCGGAGATGCGTGACCCTCGACAATATACAAAAGCACTGGTTGTCTGTCAAACGGTGATTTCTTTTGCTTATATTGTTGTTGGCATTGTTGTCTACTACTATTGTGGATCTTATGTCTCTTCGCCAGCCCTTGGGTCTGCTGGCCCGGTCGTGAAAAAGGTGGCTTATGGAATTGCGCTCCCCGGTCTCCTGGTGACTGCCATTCTGTTGACTCATGTAAGAGTTCCATCGTATTTGGTTAGAATTCAAGCTAACCAATAAATAGATCCCTAGCAAGTACGTCTTCGTACGTATTCTGCGTGGTTCAAACCACTTGACCTCGAACTCGGCCATCCATTGGATTACATGGCTAAGCTCCACGTTTGGTGTTACCTTGACTGCCTATATCATTGCAAGTAGTATTCCAATCTTTGGTGGACTTGTGTCTCTGGTTGGTGCTCTTCTAGGCACTTTGCTATCCTTCCAACCTATGGGATGTATGTGGCTGTATGATAACTGGGCTAGGGGTAAAGAGGCACCGACCATGAAGTGGCGTCTGATGGTTGGATGGTGCATATTTGTCATTGTTTCCGGTACCTTTTTGGTTCTCGCTGGTACTTATGGGTCTATCACTGGTATCATTGATTCGTATCGGGAGGTTGGAGGAAGCGCAGCCTGGTCCTGTGCCGACAACTCTGGCTCAACCTGATAGTATCTTCCACATTACGCCTTTGTGTCTGGTTATATTGGAGAAGCCCTAGGTAGTATCAAGGCAAGGATGACATTCAGGTCATTCTACTGAAATTCACATGTGTTCGGAGGTATAATCGAGTTATAAGTCATTGTAGCACTATATGTAGGACAAATCTCGATCCAATATTAAGCTCAATCGAGCCTCTATCGGGATATATGGTGCCTCTTCCAATACTCCTTAGTATCCGCGTAAGCTTCAATACATAACCTGCTTGGTCTATCCTCGACAATTCCGTTGGGAACCCATGGTCAAATCCAGGGCGACTTGCTCCCTCCTTGACGCACTAATTAGAGTCAAGTCATTCTGTGATAGTACCGTGATCACGGTAGTTGATCGATTTTCGTCCACATGACGGCTGTGTACTGCCAGACGAAGTATTCATAATTTAAGTAAACAATAAAAATTAGACCTCAGATTACATAAACCAGACCAATGAAAAACGTAGATTCCTTGAAATTATCACTGGTTCAAACGCAAATCGGTTATTCCAATATTGATCATACCCCAAAATGAACATAAGGAACCCAGTATAGAGACGGATTTTTTCTCGTGGTTTCTCTATTGGCGTGCTTGCCTTGGGCTTCTTCCCCCTTCATCGCCTTCACTTGGCGTTTCAAAATCGCTTGGTGTTGATAGTGAGTCATCCAGCTCGTCTAGAGGCTCTCTCCATTTCGCTGCTTCAAGATCGATATCATGAAGTTGCCTGAGAGCCTTGTGCAGTCCCAGACTCACTGCCTCATCTGTAAACCCTTCGTCCCGTAGAACTCCATAAAAGCATTTTGTTATCTCCACACAATGAGCATCTGACACTTCCCAGAGCGTGCCTATAACATGCCTGGATCCGGCCAACTGACATGCGTTCACGAGATGAATACCCTCATCTGCGAGGTTTTTGACATGGTTTGCACCAGTCGAACAGGCAGATAGAAAGCTGAGAAATGAAGCGTCATCTTGTAGCTTCAGATGACGAATATCTGCCACGGTAAATCGGTCTTGTTGCCAGTCTTCAAGTAAGAGACAGCTCTCAGAGGGTTCAGTGGAATGCGATAGTCCATGCCCGGTTGGAATATTTTACTTCCTTTAAGCTGACCCGGTACTGTCTCTTTGGTCGGCTGAGTAAGGATGGATTCCTGCAAATTAAGGGAATATTCTCTTTACAATGATTGTTCCAGAAAGCCTCAAGTGTGAGGGACAATGTGAGGATACCCTTAAGATTATAGTGACGAAAAAGCCTACATCTTTTGATTCCTGGATTTTACCAAGCCTGAGCGATGCATTGAGAACCAGAAGTTCGGATCTGCCATCTACTCCTATTCCTACTCAAGAGGGTTCATTATACTTGGATCGAGTGGCAGCATTTACAATAAAGATTCGAACCCGCTACTGACAGAATGTTGAGCTTGGGGCTCGTGGGATCGTGGCCCATGATATCACTGTTAACCTTCCAAATGTCATTCTTCCAGGTTTCTTTCTTTCTTTCTTTCTTTCTCAATACTCTTCAATAAAGACTTGTATGTATATCCACCAGTGGACTCAATCACCAAGCTTGCTTCAAATCCGTCTTCTCAAAAGTATTCTTCCCTTCAGTTACAGCAGGCGTACCATCGTCCATACAGAGTGCATACTTTCTTTCTCCGACAACCATCTCAATCATGTATGGTCCATGGCGAACCGACGAACCATCGCGATTTCGAATTACATAAACGCGGTCGGCAGGATAAAATTTACTGGCCTTGAAAATGGTCAAAATCCAGTCCCTTGAATAAACCATAGGTCCTGTCACTACTTACCGGTGGACATGATAAGATATTTGCTCGGGCATCGTCCTAAGTAGGAGACACTTCCTTGTTATGGTGCCTAACAACAGTTTTAGACATTCGTATTATGGCTCAAGCAATGAATGTATTCAGGCAAAGCCTTACATATCGAGGGTAGACAGGGCTATAGGATGCAAGCACCTTGTGTTTCGGTGTATTATGGTCGATTGCCAAAGAAGATCTTAGTGCCGTGTGCACTAGGCGAGGACGGAAGATGGATATACCTTTCTAACTGAGCTTGATAGGTAGAAGTCATGCTCCTAAAGGCGAAGTTCTGTCCGCAACTGTTGGGTAGCATACATGAGCTGACTTGCTGGTTGGGCATAACATTTTCAGCCTCAGCCTTGACAGGTCCTCTTCGTATGACATCAAGAGACGAAGCACCACCCTGCTTGGGAAGTTCCCTTCAAGACAGTATTTGAGCAATATCCAAGAGTAAACAATTAAAGAGGGAATATCTTTGCTTTCCATGATGCTTCTACCTTTACATACTCCCGACACAAAAGAAAATGTATTAAAATCAATTCGAGCGAGCAACACTTTCACCGAGGCTGCTGGTGAAACGTGAAACTTGTGAAACTTGTGAAACTTGTGAAACTTGTGAAACTTGTGAAACTTGTGAAACTTGTGAAACTTGTGAAACTTGTGAAACTTGTGAAACTTGTGAAACTTGTGAAACTTGTGAAACTTGTGAAACTTGTGAAACTTGTGAAACTTGTGAAACTTGTGAAACTTGTGAAACTTGTGAAACTTGTGAAACTTGTGAAACTTGTGAAACTTGTGAAACTTGTGAAACTTGTGAAACTTGTGAAACAAGAAAAAGTATGTAGAGCTTCAGGGAAGTAAAAATTCCCGTGTCACTTATTCATATCTCTTTACTCTAGTTGAGGACTATCAACCAGGCGCCCCTCGCTTCGCAGCACTGATTGCTTCCCACGAATCGTTCTATACCTGTCGGCGATTCTCATATCTTCGCGCTCGTCTGCTACTTGAGAAGCAAGTTAAACTCAAACTGCTAGAGGACAGGCTTGAAAATATAGACCGTGCAGAAACCTCTCCTTTTTTTCTGGCCAGCAACCGGCTTGATCGAAATCAAGCAAGAAGGGCCGTCTTAGGGGAAGTTGACAATGCACTGGCGGATAATGGTACGTGAAAACTAGATTTCCACGTCTACTAATGCCTAGAGATTTAGTAACCTTTAGCTCTAGATGCTTTTATTAAGAGAATTTCTCGTGTTATGCAATATACAGCGCCACGGCCACAGAACATTCTTAACTTGCGAAATTGGATCGAAGGGAATCCATATTTGGCACGGCATATTACAGAATACATCCCCGATAAAAACAGCGAAAATGACTTGGTCAGCCTAGTTGTACCTCTGGATAGTCCTTTAGCACCCGTCGAGATCTGGATTAAGGACTCAAAGTTTCTCCCTTCGCACTACCGGGCAAGTGACCCAATCTATTCTTGAAGACTACAGGCCTATTATTATGCTAACAGAACATCTTACTTAAATAGACAACATGCTCGGCTATCTCTAGGGACCCCCATGTGTTTATATACCCAGGGAAATTGCTTGGTCAAATCGCCCGGGCGCTGCTCACATCACTCGTGCTCAGTTTTCTGCTGGTTCCAGTTGTTATCTGCAAGTATCTAGACAACACGTTAGGCAGGTTGGTCGTGATTGCTGCCTCAACTGTGATTTTTATTGTGATGCTGTCAGGTTTAGTAAGAGTAAAGACTGTTGATCTAGCTATTGCTGGTCCTGCGTGAGTTTATTCAGCCTATTATCTACTTTTGATGCTCGAATACTTGCTAACTTCGCTAGATACGCCACAGTACTGACCGTATTCATTACCAACACCAATTAGAGCTGTCTGGCGAAAGGTCTACCAGGAGAAAGCCAAGTTCGTGTCACCAAAAGGTGAGAAAGCATCGTGCAATTACACTCTTGGGATCATCATACATGTATGTACATAAGGAAAGTTGACATTTTGCTATGAAAAAATCCACTTTGCCTATATTTGATTAGTCGTTTACCCTATCAAATATTTGTGTGCCCAGTCCTCTATAGCTTCATTCTCTAGGTATATATCCGACTAGCTCTTCGTTCTTTATCGCCTACTGGTAGTTCTGCTGTGTTACTTATCAAATCTCTCGTCCTCTCCTAATGCGCTTTGTTAAAACGACGGCAGCCGGGCAAGCCTCGCCTGCCAGACATTACATATTTTGTCCAAGAGCTGCATATATACAAGAAATATAAATACAATCGCCTCGACACGGTCCCAAGATGTATGCCTACACCCAGACCTCGTTCGAGATGCCATCAAACTTCTGCCCTTCTTCATGCTCACTACGCTCCATTTTTTCCAGGTGCTCCCAGAGTTCAGGGTACGTCTGGCGCGCCCAGTCTTCCACCTGGTCCTTCCAATACTGGTAGGGAATAGCATTATAGAACAGTCCAATTCTATGAAACACAGTTAGCATTGCAAGATACCGGGAAATGCGGCCAAGGCAAATTGAAGGGTAAAACTCACGTTGTACTTGTGGGAGGAACCCCAATTTCGGCTTGCATGTTATTGATAGCCTCTGTGGCTCGATCAAATTCACACTGCGCAGCCAACGCCTCGATGTACGACGAGTACAGCCGACGATCAACCTCGATCTCCAATTTCTTGACCTTGCTCATCATCTTCACGGCCTCTTGCACGCCGTTATGGTGCTTCTCGCAAACCTTGAAGAACAGTGCGATCGTCTTGGTCGACGGTCCTTCGTCTGACTGCAAGATCTGCCGGAAGATATTCATGCTCTTTTCCGGCATTTCGCAGGCAGCATAGGCCAGCATCAATCCATTGAGAATGCGAGTGGTAAGCTCCACCTCCAGGTCAAGCTTGAGCATGTTGTGCACCAGCTCCAGGTTGGTCGCGTCGGCTGTCCGTGCGAGGCCCTGGAAGCATCGCGCATAGGTGTCAGGCTTCGGCCGGCGTGACAGGTCTTCGACCTGGCGCATGTGGCCGAAAACGAGGACCGCGAGGTCACTACGCTTGCGCTCAAAGAAGGAACACATTATCTCGGTTCGGACGCTGACACCCGTCTCAGGGAATGCAAGCTTGAACAGCTCGTATGCATTCCACGCGTCTGCGTCCTTCTCATTGGTATCCAGGATGAAATCGGTCACCGCAGTACGGATCACAGTCTTCCCTTGGCTGTCGTAGGTAGCCAATCGCGGGCGAAGCAGTTGAGAAACAGCCTCGTTGTCGTGGCGGTAGAGGAGCATCCGGGTCAATGCGGCCACAGTGGTAGGTTCCAAGTGCACCCCATCCTGGAAGAGAGGGTCCAAGAGGGACGAGATTTGCTGGAACAGTTCATCCTTCTTTTCCGACGAGCAAAGCATCGTAATGAGCTGGTTCGAAAGGGAGAGGTTGGCGTTAGGAAGAGTAGTGGGATCCACCTGGTTCTCCAAGATGTGAAGTGAACCCTCGACATCGCCAGCCTGAATGGCCGACTCCAGCTGCAGCAAATGGGTCTGTTCATCGGGAGCAAGTCCCCACTGTTCTGCCAAGCTCAGGAAAGTCGTGGCTAATTGAGGGTTCTCCTGTGCATTGGCATACCGGAGAAGATTATTGATGTCCACAATTGTGAGACCATCCTTGGTCCAAGAGTTTGTCGCGGTCCATAGTTTGACCTTTTCGCCAAGCGAAGATGCACTGGCACCCTGGGCCGCTTCCCAGAGCAAAGACACACCGATAGTCTCCTGGTTGGGACTGGGACCTTCACAGATAGACTGGTAGATCGGCTTTGCCCACGCAGTCTCCGACTTCAGAATTGCGTAAGTGATCACAGCCTTCTTGGCAGTCAAAGACGGCTCGGCGTTCCCGGTCATAGGGCACTCGTGGACTGTCTGCACCGCTTTGAACAGATCCTGTGCAATGAGAATATCGACCAACTCCTCGTGGGAAGCTTGGTCGAACTTTACCCCGTATTTCTCCAGTTCCTGGGTGACCTTGCGAAGCTGGCGTCGATCATCTTTCAAGGCGAATCCCTTCAAAACGGTGAGCCAGGGCGACGGCTTTGCGCCGCGCAACTGGCCTCCAAAATTGATGATGACCTGCCGGGCATCCTCAGGATTCCCATTCATGGCCAAGAGATTGATATAGACTAACAGCGCCGGCCGGCTAATTGAGTTGGGACCAAATCCATGATCAGCGCAAAGCTCGAGGTAGGCATACCGAGCGAGCTTCAGAACTGTTTCACGCGACTCGGGGAGACATTGCGCTTCGGAAAACACAAATAGAATCCGTTCCAAACTGTCTACCGAGAAAACATTGTGCCAGTCATTATCGTCCAACTCTTCTTGCCGAGCCTTTAGGTGCTTCCATGTCATGGACAACAGCCGAGCTTGGAACGAGTTGATGACTCCAGGGGAATCCACTCGTGTTTCGAAGAACAGCTTGAAAGCGTTGACCAGTGTATTATTCGGAGGAGCTCTGCTTTTATCTTCCAAGGATCGCTTCAGGTCGGTCATCGGCTTTAGGCCCTTCTCGGAGGTCAAGGTCGTGGGTAGCCCTTCACCTGACGCAGCCCTTGGGTCCAGGTTAAAGGCGAATAGTGTCCGACTCTGGACATGAGGCAGACTGGAGAGGCTGGGCCGGACTCGAGCAGGGGAGATGGTAAGCAATTGGTTTCGTCGGCATCTCGAAAAAGACAGCGGCTCGTTATTGATGAGAGCCCGGAAGACCCGTCTCGTGAGATGAGACTGCATAGCTTGTCGCGAGCGAGCACTGCCGCTCAATTGACTGGACTCAAAAACCGGATCGGACGGAGGAGGGTAGGTTAAAGTCGTCAGGGAGCTGGAAGTGGTGGCATATGCTGGTAGAGTTTCGCGACGCGGAGCTGCACAGGCGGAGGGCGGTCTTGGCACCGCGAAAAAAGATCCGCTTGTCGGCTCCGCGTTGATCCTGGCCTCGACGCTCTTCGACATCCACATTCGACGTCCGGATTTCCCTCAGATCAAGTCTACAACTTTCAATACTACCAGGTTTGGGAGCTATCCGACATGTCCCAGGGTCTCTTTTCTTCGTCGCTGCTGCGCAGCGTCGCCAATGCTCTGCCGTCGGCCTGCAGATGGAGTTCCAGTTCGACCGCAGCGATGAGCGCCTTCACCTCCCAGCGCGCCACCTCTCACAACCAGAGTACGTCAACTTGAAAGCAATTATGCATATCTTCTGCCATTTGATGAGTGTGAAGGCTATCCTTGTATCGATTGACGACTGACGCTCCATCACAGCCCCCAGAGCCCCGATCCGTCGCCGACTACCAAACCGCCTGCGATTCCTCGAGGAACAGAAAGCTCAGGGTGAAAGCCGGGCTCTGGAGAAATTCCAGGCTCGCGACTGGAAGGCCGGTGACATCTACGCCCCTCACGATCTCAGCCCAGCCGAGATGAAGAAATGGGGCAAGCGCAAGAGCCCTTCGCGCGACGCCTTTGACGCTCTGAACCTGAACCCATTGGACCTGTACAAGGTACGCATCAGCAACTTTTCCGCCGCTATGGACGGGATGGCCATGCCATTGTTCCCGATCCTGTCATTCTGCCATTCTTGCAGGAGGCGACATTCAGAAACAACCACTGACATTGGCTCGCCTGATTCTAGAACTTCTCCATCATGTCCGAGTACGTATCCCCTCTCGGCCGCATCAAGCACCGCGAACAGACCGGTCTGCGCCCCGTCAACCAGCGCAAGATTGCCAAGGCCATTCGTCGAGCCATGGGCCTCGGCCTCATGCCCTCCGTCCACCGGCACCCCGAGATTCTTGCGTCGGAGATGAAGGCAAAGATGGATGGTGGTTTCCGGTAGAAACAATATCTTGTGTTCAATATGGTAGGCTTATTTGGTGATCTGTTATGGTATTCTTGTACAGACCAGCGGCCCATTGGATGGGCGCATTTTCATGTATTATTACTCTGAGCGCAAAATTGATTTATTTTCTTGGTCATCATATAACTTCTATGGAATGAGTTGACAACTTCTGAGTCACGACAGCTAAGAGGCGAAGCAGCCAGTCATGGATCGTGAAGCCCCTTGAGGGAACTTGGATAGATCTGACATTCTTAGTGTGGCTCACGCTCGACAAAGATGTATATACGTCCTGCAGACCTCGGATAGAGCCTAACAAGGTGCATATACCTCCTGTGCAAGATAACGAGCGAAGAATAGATACAGTATGATCGAGATGATATAGGCAATGTCTGCCTATAATTAACTGTGGTGTGAATCAAGCGGGCCGTGAGCCTGTGACGGACCTGAAACTGATCCCCGTCAAAGCTGCCTGGCCCGCGTACGTCAGTTTATAAACAACTCTCTCCCCCCGCCATTGATCCCGCCCCCTCAACCCACCTCTCTCCTCGAGCACCAAGTCGCATTCCCTAGATGTCAATCACAAACGGTAAACAGGCTTCTTTGGACATACACTATATTCTGACACACCCCCATTGACCTATTCTACAGAGTCCATCTGGGCCGCCAGCCCCTCCACGACCCGCGGCGCACCTACCCAGCTCTCGTCCGACGCCAAGGGCGAGCGACTTGCATATGCTGTATGACTCTCAGTTTTGGTCAAACCATTGTTTTGTCCTCCGCGAGCAAATTCTGACAAACTCAATCCTACAGTCGAATAAATCCATCTTCATCCGTTCTATCGACAACCCCGCAACCGCCCGACAGTACACCGAACACAAGGCACAAACCACCGTCGCGCGCTTCTCTCCCTCCGGATTCTACGTTGCTAGCGGTGATGCTACCGGTACTGTGAGAGTATGGGATTGTGTTGGAGAAGGTATCACGAAGGGCGACTATAGCATTGTCAACGGCCGGATCAATGATTTGGCTTGGGACGGCGACTCTCAGCGCATTATTGCCGTTGGTGACGGAAAGCAACGCTACGGACACTGCATCACTTGGGATAGTGGAAACACCGTTGGTGAAATCTACGGCCACACGCAACAGATCAACTCTGTCTCGATCAGGCAGCAGAGGCCTCTCCGGGCTGCGGCCGCGGGTGACGATAAGAAGCTGGTCTTCTACCATGGCGCACCCTTCAAGTTCAACACCGGCATCGGTGATAAACACACCAACTATATCTACGGTGTGGGCTTTAGCCCGGATGGTTCGCACCTAGTCAGTGTGGGTGCGGACCGCAAGATCTGGCTCTACGATGGTAAGACCGGTGAGACCAAGGGCCAAATTGGTGAGGGCGAGCACAAGGGTAGTATCTTCAGTGTGTCTTGGTCCAAGGACTCGCGGAAGTTTGTGACCGCCAGTGCAGACCGGACGGTTAAGATCTGGGATGTTGAGGCGGGCAAGACCACGCAGAGCTGGACTCTTGGCGAGGAGGGTGCCAATGCCGTCCGTGATCACCAGGTCGGCGTCGTTTGGCCTCCTGGTCGTAGCGACAACCTGCTTATCAGTTTGTCTCTCAGCGGTGATCTGAACTACCTTGTCGAGGGTAACCCCAAGCCCCGCCAGGTGATTCAGGGCCACCAGAAGAGCATCACGTCTCTCGGCCAGTCCACTTCTGACGGCAAGGAAACTCTGTGGACTGGAAGCTTCGAGGGCCGTGTCTGCAGCTGGGATGTCGCCTCTGGTTCCGCGGAAGAGATCGAGGGTGAGGGTCATCCTGGGTACATTGCCGGTCTGACTTCAACAGAGGAGGGCTCTGGACGTATTTACAGTGTCGGCTGGGACGACACGATCCGGTCCATCGATGTGGCTGCCAAGACCTACACCGGCAGCTCATCGAAGCTTACCGCGCAGCCCAAGGGGGTTGCCACCGCCGGTACAACCGTGCTGGTCGGTGCAGCGGAAGCGGTCGAAATCTTCCAGGATGGCAAGAAGACCGGTGACTTCAAGACCAAGTTCTCAGTGACCACTGTGGCGGCGCACGGGGATGTTGCAGCTATCGGCGGCGAGAATGGATCTGTGCAGATCTGCAAGGTTTCAGGCTCTACCCTGTCCGCGCAGACCGACATTCAAGCCTCGCGCAACCAGATTTCCATGCTGGCCTTCTCCCCCGATGCCTCCGTCTTGGCTGTTGGAGATCTGCGTGGTCGTGTCTTGGTCTACAAGGTGGCCGATGGCAGTCTCGTAACGGACCGCTGGACTGCCCACACTGCGCGCATCACCTCGCTGGCTTGGAATAAGGCCGGTACACACGTTGTCAGTGGCTCGCTGGATACTAATATCTTTGTCTGGAGCTTGGCTAAGCCTGGAGACTGGCTGGAGGTCAAGAATGCCCACAAAGAAGGTGTCAATGGTGTTGCGTGGATCGACGGTGGCTCCAAGATCGCATCTGCGGGTGCCGATGCTGCTGTGAAGGTGTGGAAGGTTGAAGGTCTGCAATGAGCATTGAGCGAGTGGGATGGCTGTCTGTATTTAGCTTGAATGAATTTTTGGCGGTCCTTTGCTTGAATCTAAATGTCCAATGAGTATTAGAGATGGGAGCATGAAAACGCGAGTCATACAAAGTACAAGAAACAAAGCAGTATAAGGCTGAGAGGTGCGTGGCTCCATCGCTGCAGGGATGTGGCCCGAATCTGCGCATTGTTCAAGTTGTGTGGAGCTGCCAACCCAGCACCTCCACAAAAAAGCACTTTGAGACGGTGTAATGACTTCAATCTCCAATCGCAACCCTCCTACGACCTTCTTTCCAGTCCCATGCACTCTGCACAATGAAGTTACACCCTCCTCCAACGTGAATTCGACCCCCGAGCAGATTCCAAAACAAATGCGGGAGAGTCGCCCCAAATGACGCCGTCTGAGATTGGAGAAGCTCCCAGTAGCTCCCGCCGCTTGTTGCGACCTAAAGTGTGTACCCGATCCGAGCTCGCTGTAAACAACACACGGCCAGAGTGAAGGTGACCTGCCACAGAGGCTATTCAAGTTATGCTGACAGCAACTACAGCTACGACAGGCAACATTTGTCCTTCCACGAACCGGTCAGCGCCTAAAAGGCCTCGTGAGCCTGCGTAACCCCACGCGAAGATTGGCGACGGATGACGATGACGAAGCACGCGAGGAGCGGCGTGGTCTGCTGTCGGGCGAGATCGAGTCGCATCATGATGGATATGGGACGTGGCTGTCTAAACAGGCACAGGAGCTATGGGCAAGCTTGCACCGCTTCGTGGCCTCAGAGCAGGGCATTGGAGTGTTGAAGTGCAGTCTGGCATATCTGCTTGGATCGATGGCGACGTTCATTCCAGCTTTATCCGCATTTCTCGGTCACCAGGATGGGAAACATATGGTTGCGACGGTGACTGTTTACTTTCATCCCGCGAGATCCCAGGGTAGCATGTATCGCGCCTTGATCTGCGCGCTGCTTGCGTTTTGCTATTCGGCCTTTTTGTCGATTACAAGCATGCTGGTGGAGAATTTTTTCCAGGACACGCTGGATCTGCCTGCGCTCGGCCATGCCGTGGTGCTGATTGTCTTCTGTGGTGGCGGCCTGGGCTTCGTCGGGTGGACGAAGCAAAGACTGGGTGATCCGCTGGTGAATGTGGCATGCTCGCTCACGGCGCTGTCGACTATCACAGTCTTGACGAAAGAAGGTGCTGTTCAGAGCGGCGATCTGTCTTTGAATAAGATTATTCAGGTCTTGAAGATGGTTATCATGGGCGTTATATTCGCAGGCGCCGTCTCGTTCTTGATATTCCCCATCTCTGCGCGGAAGAAGCTTCGCGCAAACTTGGTTACAACTACGGATACTTTGGCTGTTATGCTGGCTCTCGTCACAGAGAGCTTCCTCAGCGGGTCTGAGGAAGAGCTCAAGTCTGCGGAATTCGTCGAGGCAGAAACCAAACACCGAAAGGCCTACGGTCAGCTGGATAAACTGGTGCGTGAGGCGAAACTTGAGCACTATTTTGCAGGCACCGAACGAGAATATCGATTGGAGAAGAAATTGGTGCGCTGGGTGCAAGACATCACTCATAATATGGGTGGTTTGCGCAGTGCCGCTTCTCTTCAGTTCAGTCTGATTCGCGAAACACTTGCTCGCGAGTCCGAGGCATCAGGCGGACAGCAGAGCACCCTCCCAACGGAGTACTTTGCGTCATTGGAACGCTCTTGGTCTTTCCCCGATGGGTCTTTCTTGGAACCGATTGATGAACGCCCTGAGGAGGAGCTCTCTCCGAGCAGAGGTTTCAGCACCCCGAACTCGGATGGAAAGCTGGAGTCCGTGAAACACCCCCTGCTTCCTGCGGATGTATTTACAATCTTCATTTCCCATCTGGGCCCGGCTATGGTAAGCTTAGCTCTATTTGTGAGAAAGTTTGAGCAGAAAGCTAACTTGTTACAGCGGTCCCTAGCTTTTACGCTGAAAGAGATCTTTAATGAGATCCCCTTTGGTCCGGCTCCAAACTACAAAGTCTCTGTAGATAGTCGACTACTCACAAGTCTCGACCGTGCGCTTGATCTCTACCAGGAATCCCGTGAAAAGACTCTCAAATCGCTCTATCAGCAGATAGAAACTATCAAACTGAAGACGCATGAGGCAGAAGCCGATCTGGAAGAGGTTTCCGCGAGTTGTGGCCATTTCAGTTTCTCGCTTCTGGAATTTGGTGAGCAGCTGCACGAGCTACTCGCGATCCTGGACCAGCTTCAGCTTGAGACTGAGGAGCGACCTGGTGGGCGGTCTTGGGGCTGGCTCAAGTTTTGGCGAGCCAAAGACAGCAGCGCTGCTGAGGAGCCTACCTTTCTAGCACCGCCAGGACCGGATGCTCGAGTGTCTCCCGCTGTTCGTGCTCGCCTGTATCCGCGCGCCGAAGTGTCAGTCAAACAACGACTAGGCTATCGGCTTTGGAAATCTCTCAAGTGCTTCCGCCGTGATGATACGAGATATGCGATCAAGGTCGGCGCTGGCGCGGCACTCTACGCTTTGCCTGCATTTTTGCCTTCCACGCGACCCTTCTATCAGCATTGGCGCGGTGAATGGGGTTTATTGTCATACATGCTCGTCTGCTCAATGACGATTGGTGCTTCAAATACCACGGGCTACGCTCGATTCCTCGGCACTTGCTTAGGAGCGGCTTTAGCCATCTTGTCCTGGTACATTTCCAGCGGCAATGCCTTTGCCCTCGCCATCTTTGGATGGGTTATGGCTGTCTGGATCTCCTACATCACGATTGTCCAGGGCAATGGTCCTTTAGGCCGGTTTATCATGCTCACATATAACTTGTCTGTGCTGTACGCCTACTCGCTCACCCAGAAAGAAGCGGACGGCTCAAAAGACGAGGGTGGCCAGGAGCCCGTCATTGGCGAGATCGCGCTCCATCGAGTCGTGGCAGTGCTCTCCGGCTGCATCTGGGGTATCATCATCACCCGAGTAATATGGCCAATCAGCGCACGAGGCAGATTGAAAGACAATCTCAGCATGCTTTGGCTGCGGCTGGGATTGGTCTGGAAGCGTGACCCCCTGTCGGCGATGGTCAAGACGAAGCGCTCTGTCGTGTATATGACTGCGCGTGAGAAACTTGAGCTGGAGCGCTTTCTCTCCCGCTTGGAGACATTGTTGGTCTCTGCGCGCTCGGAGTTTGAGCTGCGCAGTGCCTTTTCGGATGATACTTATGCTAGTATCATCCGTCGTACTCGGAGCATGGTGAATGCATTCCATGCGATGAACTTGGAGCTGATGAAGAGTAAGACTGCTACCGATGGCGAGATTAGCCTCCTGAGGTATACTGCACAGGAACGACAGCAGCTTTCTGCTCGGATTAGCCACCTTCTTACCGGTATGTTCATGTTCGCCTTCAAATCGATATGCCAGGTTTTTATTCTGACTCATCTCTAGTCATGGCATCGTCTATGAAACTTGAATACCCATTGAGTGATGTGCTACCCAGCATTGACCATGCTCGGGACAGGTTGCTGGCGCGTATTTACCGATATCGCCAGGACCAGGAGGTGTCCCTTCTGACAACAGATGAAGATAGTGCATTGTTGTACGCTTATAGTAAGTGTTCAAGGCAATGCACCCTTTTAGGTCTCATTTACTAACTACCTTTCTGTATAGTTCTCGTGACTGGTCAGTTGTCCAAAGAGATCAGCGAGATTCTTGCAGACATCGGCCAGCTGTTTGGTGTGTTGAGTGAGGATCTCCTACAGATGGCGTAGATACTAGCAACAATAGACCCAAAATCATGATCATAGGTTTCTTTGTCCGCTATTGTAGATGGTAATTTTGTATATTTTAGAAACATTTAGCCCCCTATATAGATGGCGATTGTCCACTATAGTCGAAATGGTCCACTAAATATCGAGATTTCTATACTTCGTCGCTGGTTGACTGTTCCCGGGACGAGGCATCCGTTTCTGGCGGGGAAGCCGCAACTCTCGGAACCTCATTTCCAACCTCCCAACCCTTCCAAAGCCTACTTCCATCAATCCCATCGCCTTTTCATCATCAATCCATCATTTTCGCCTTTTCCCCCTTCTTATCCCATCGCCTAGTCACCTCTGATCAACCTCCGCGCCCCTTCATGAATGCGTAGCCCCCATCAACCAGCCGCCCTTCGGCATCGCTTCGTCGCGTTCTTGCCAGTCCTTCAGCAGCCATGCAGATCGATCCGGCGGCCCTGAGTCGCACCGACTCATCCAATCAGGCCAAGAGTGCGGCGTCCAACCCTTCGACGACGGTCAAGTCGTCACGGACTCTCCCTTCAGTGCCGCGCCTGGACCTGGAACAGACCTATACCGAGCTGAAGACCGCTATCGGAGACAAATGGGCCGAGTACAAGGAGTCCACTGCGTTCTTTCTACTAGGTATGAAACTTATTTCCTCTATCGCGCTCTTTCATCTCTATATGGCGGTGTATTTGTCGCATTACTTGCTCTTGAACGGCCTACCCGCGACGAATTGAACTGTCTGGTGACTGACCTCCTGACCTCCTGCCGCTTCTAGGACACTACAACCAAAATGAATACGCGTCGCGAGTCGATCACTTCCTATGCGCCGACACGAAAACCGAACATCTACATAATAACTTTATTTGCGCGATCATCGCAAACCTCACTCGCGACCTCCCCGACCATGGCGTCGCAACCTGGGTCTCGGCGAACGATAAGCCGTCCATGGTCTCCAAGCCCATCTCCGGAGACGCTGCCGAACAGAGATTGAAGACGGAGGTTATGCAATTACCTCCAAGGGATCGCCGGAGAATCAAGGCTCTTCCAGAGGTACGCAGTTTGGTGAAGATTGTGGCCTGGTGCCGAGGTTATACTGGCGCGAGACAGAACAAGAATTGCTGACACGAGATTCCCTTCCCAACTTACAGCGAGATACCCACGATGCGATTCCCAATGAATTGGAGGTGTATCATCAGGCTAAACAGATTAAACTCCCCAGTCAAGTCCCGGCGAGCGCGGGTGGATTGAACAAGACAAGTAAGACCGCTTCACTTTCATCCTGGAACCCCCAATACGCCCCGTGTGGTCCATCGCGCGCACTTCTTCCAGTTCAAAGGGATAAATTTACTAATACTAAACTCATCTCCTGCAGATTGGGAATTGGAAATTCGAAAACGATATGCGCAGCCTCTCGCCGCAGACACCGGGGAATTTCCCGATGCCGAATCTATTTACGCTCGGATGGTCCCCATGTGTTACGAAGAATCACTACCTGGTGGCGCTAGCTTGCCGTGCGCGGAGTTCATGACTATCGCCACTGAAACGTTCGTTAAAGATGTTCTGTCCGCGATGTTTTCGCGCACGCGCTCCAACGGCCCCTCGGGTACCATCAACGGCATGATGATGCGCAAGTACCGCGAGCAATTGGAGCGTGAAGAGCTGGCATTCACTCGAGGCGAAATCGTGAAAGATACCGCCACTGGACTGCTTCCCGTCGAGGCCAAAGAGGCTGCGACTCGTCGGGCTCTTGGTGTCAGGGATCTTCGGCTGACGCTGGAGCTGGGCCGTGGCGTCCTGGGTCACATGCCACTAATCATTGACCAAATTATGGGCGGATATTTCGAAGACGAGCTTGAGACCGAGAAACAGGATCGGTTGGAGAATGGAGTGAGCGGGGCTCCAGAGACCAAGGCCGAGAATAATGATGCCGACGAGATGGATGTGGATGACGATGATGATGCTGCCTTTTCAGATTGGGAAGGAGGCACGGCTCTTGATCGTGAGCAGCTGAACGGCTTGCTCGATGATTGTCTGTCGATGGCTGCTTGAGGATCAAGGAAATGAGGATTGATACCCATACCCCCGACTAAACTGCGTTCTTCTCTTCTTTTCATTTGTCTACCTCTTCAGCCTCGATACTTTCTGCTCCATTCTTCTTGTCCTTTTCCCCTTTCTTTTGCCTTTCTTGCGTCATTGATTCCGGTCTGGGTGGTGGGACTATCACGGCGTCTGGGATTTATCGGGGTTGCCATTGCAAATATCTCTTGTTTCAAGCATGGCAGCCCATTTTACGTTATGCATCTGGTTCTGGAGTTTGTCTCTTGAAGATCTGGAAGACTCGGACACAGATCTGGCAAGACTCATCGACACCTTCACACAGAGCAGTTGGCTTTGACAGTTGGTCCTGGCTCTTACGCCCGTTCACATTCCGCTTCTTGAATCCCGCCTGGCCTGTGCATGCCAGCCGTGCGATGTACAGTATTCTTTTCCTCTTTTCTTGTTGTCTTTTTACGCGCGGTTGATGTGCCTCTAGAGGCACGACCAGGCAGAGGAGCGGGGAGATCATGGCCCGATCTGGCCTCGATTTGAAAAAGCTGAAACGATGGCGATGGTCCTGGCCCGGCGTGGAGAGGCCTCGCTTGTTCGATACCCATGAATATGAGTTTTGCACTGTATTAACCTTGTGTCATGCCTAATCTACGTATTAGATGGAATGTGCTCCTACTAGTATGGAACAGGTCTTTGTCCATTGTAGCATGTGTAGATTTAGGCCAATCCAGCTAATATAGGAGTAGAATATCCGCTCAGAGGGTAGTGCAGTCTATAGATAAAGATTTTGCTCCCAAGCTTTTTCACAGATTCATCGTCTCTATCAAAGAGCATAGAATGTCTCTCTCCATTGGGTGCTACATTTGATATTCACTTTTGTAAGACATTATATACTCGGCATGTTATGCGAATATCTTAGACTACTCCGGTAGTACCACAGTGTGCCCTAGACGATGATAGCAAAAAAGAAATCCACTTCTACGTAGGTAAGAGCAAGCTTAATCAAGGTAACAACCAAGATAAGTACCTGGACTTCACACTGTCTACCCTTGTAGTACACAAGACAGTCTACAGTCCAGTCTGTTCACGGGGCAGGCAAAGCAATGTTTTATATTCAAACACCCCATCCATGTCCAAAACGCCCCACATAAGTGCTATTAATATATCGTGACAGAACGGGTTCCTTCTTCAGTTAACCGCTTCGGCAACAAGTTTCAAGATCTCCTCCGTCGTCTTATGCGCGTTGATCGGATCTTTGGCAATAGCCTGCCATGCCTCGCCGTGCTTCGGCTCCGTCGTGACACATTTAGAAATCACATCGGCGCGTTTATCCTGCGCAGAGAAAAAGATATTAGCAAGACGATTCCCAAAATCGGACAGTCTTATATCGTTCTGAAAACTTACCTCTGTGCCATGCTGTAGAAGGAACTTGTAGTACCAAGCCCACCCATCACCATAGTCGCTGTCTGCGACAATGGCCTTCTCGAACCAAGTCATCGCCTTCTCCAATCGCCGCTCCCCCCAGAAGATCCGTGCCACGGTGAGGAACAGGATAGGATCGTTCTCGACCTTCTTGATTGCCTCCAAGCTGCGTGCCTTGCGCGAGGCTCGTGGCTCTAGGTGCCAGATACTCTCGCTCCAGAGGAGACCGGAAGCTGGTACTTCCTGTAGAGCCCGCGCCATGAGCACCTTGGCCTGGGCGATGTTGTTTGCGCGCCGCTCGACACGCACGCTTTCGGTCCAGAGCTCGGGGCTCTTGGGGACGGCTAGACGGGCTCGGTCAAGAACGGAGCGGGCTCGGACGACTGCGCCGGCCTTTTCTTCGAGTCGCGATGCGAGGAGCCACAGAGGTACGGACTTGGGGCAGGCCCGTGTGCCGGTACCGTATGCCTCGCGTGCTTGTGGGAACTTGTTCTGGGCCTCGTAGATCTGGCCCTTCATCATCCAAAGCTTGTCAGCCTTGGGATACTGCTGCAGTCCTTGGTTGACGAGATCCAGTGCTTCATCGACATTGCCCAGTTGCCGCTCGAAAGCAACACTCTTAATCCACACACGATCAGTGCCGGCTTCCCGACGTGCTGTCGCCAGGAGCTCGCGGGCCTGATCCGTTTGCTTCGCATCTGCCTCAAGCTTAACGGCAGCAAGCCAGATATCCTCGTTGTTGGGGTTCTGATTGAAAGCACGGCCAAGAACTCGTCGTGCGTCATCAATTTCACCAGACTGCCATTTCTCCTTTGCAAGTTGCAGCCAAAGCTCCTCGCTCTGCGGGCATGCTTCAACAGCTTTCTCCAGAACTTGCCACAGAGCCTCCTTGTCGCCGTGGTTGCGCTCGAGGTCCGCAGCTGCGAGCCAGATGGACCGGCGGTTGACAAAGACCCGCAGTGCATATGCGTAGATTGCACGGGCAGTTTCGTATTTGCCGCGAGCAATGCTGGATCTGGCATCATCCATCCAAATATCTTTGCGGTCATCGTCTTCGTCCAGACCCCATCCGAGAGTCTCGCGGATGATAGCACCACAGGTCAGAATGGCCCCTTCTTCCTCGCAGCGCTCGGCTTCGGATATCCACTCCTCCCGCTTCAACATGGCGTTCTCCTTGGCAAGAGACTGGATGGCACGCTTCATGACGTTGACCCTTTCGAAGGTACCCATCTGCTCTTGCAGGCGAGCAGCGGCAATCCAAATTTCGTGACTCGTAGGAACGGCCTTGCGCGCTGCATTCAGAACCTTTTGAGCATTCTCGGGAGTCTCCAGGCGTGCCAGGGCCAGCCACAACTCCACGGAGAGGGGAATCATTTCAACAGCCTTGGCCAGAAGAAGACGGGCATCTGCAGGATCGTCTTCCAAATTGACGGCTTCTTTCCAGATCTGCACTGATTGGGGAATATGAAGAATAGCCTGTCGGAGGACGTTCTTCTTCGCCCGGGTATCGGTCTCCAGTTTCATAGCCTCAATCCAGAGTCGGGTAGAGTGGTCGTTATTCTTGATAGCATTCGCTGCAATGACCTTGGCATTGTGGCCTTCATTAAGACGAATATTCTCCAGCCATCCATCCTCGCTCTTCGGGCACAACTCGCAACCTTTAGCGATGACATTTCGAGCTGCTACAATTCGGCCTGCAAGCTCCTCCAGACGTGCAAGAGCAATCCATCCAGGGGCATGCTTGGGATTGGTCTTTGTGACAGATTCCAGCAGAACCCGCACACGTTTGATATCGCCAACTTCGACCTCACCAGCCTTCATTTCTGACTGTGTCAAACTGGTGAGGTATCCCTTGGGATCGATACTGGTTGCGCTTCCCGAGTTGGCGACTTCGGCTGACGAGCCCAGCGCAGCCTGATCCAGTCGAACCTTCAAGACCTTATCACGAGCGGCACCAATGTCTGCAAAATTCGTCATCGTCCCGTCGCTAGAACTTTCTCCTCCATCGGGCGCGGCGCCATCGTCGGCAATCGTAGTATCGAATTGGGCGGAGTCTCTTGCACCTGCAATAACACTATCCGGGACAGCGTAGAATCGCTGGCGAAGATTCTGTTTCGCTCGTCGATTCTTGCCCGTCAGGTCACCAACTTCGGGGAGATTGGCCCAATCCTCCTCAGAGACCGCGGCGAGTGATCTCTTCAAGTCGGCAAATTGCTGCTGAATCTTCGGGTTCTTCCGTTCGTAATCTTCGCGTTCTTGTTGTTCTCGAGCTTCCCTGTAGGTGGCGAACGATTCAAGTCGGTATTCTATCCAAACAACGGGGAACTGGCCCGATGAACAAGTTGTTTTGTAGGACAACAGAGCCGGGAGGGGGAACATAACTAACCTTCGAGCTTTACGTCGCCGATCCATCTTCTCATCCACCTCTTGGTAAATGCGATCCGCCTCATCGTCTTCCTGGTCGAACTGTCCGTATGCAAACAGACCGACCTCGTTGTCGGGATCCTGGAATCGCTCATCATCCTCCTCTGCCTTGTCCTCTTTGCCTCCCTTCTCGCGAGATTTCTCTCCATATGCCGTAGGCGCAGCAGCTCAAGAAGCGCCGCTCGTTTCGTCAGCGCGGCCTGAATCTGTTCGGGCGTGGGACCTTCGCGTGCGGGTCCCAAATCGGATCGCGTGGTGAAACCGGTCGCACCACGACCCAGACCGGCAACATAATTCTCAGGCGCCTGCTGGCTGAGAAAATCCTTCCGTCCAGACGCCATGATGAGGCACGGAAAGCAAGCTTGAAGCTCGAAGCGTAGAGGTCGCAGGCGAAAGAGAGAGATGGAGGCGGGCCCTCGTAGAAAAGTAGGCCCGAGGTCCGATAATCTTATCGCAACAAGAAAAAAAGTTGCCCACAGTTTGACTTGCGCCCGCGGGGACTTGTGAAACTTCTTGCTCTTTGACAACCATCAACACCTGCTGCTTCGAGTGGATTCTTCGGTGAATTGCTATTTCTAGCAAGTCATTCCATTCAAGATGCCCAAGGTCCAAAAGGGAAAGCGCAATAATGCGCATGCGGACGCCGCCGCAAAGACCAAGGCTGCCCACAGTATCTTCAAGATGAACACAGATATCGGTCAGCACGTGTTGAAGAACCCTGGTATTGCCGAGCAGTACGTACCCTCCTCTCTATGCAGTATGTGAATGGTCTCAAGCTAACTCTATTCCCACAGAATTGTCCACAAGTCCGATCTCAAGCAAAGCGACGTGAGTAGTGGTTGTGGAGGTTGAAAAATGCACTGCGCTAACATTTCCCTTGTTAGATCGTCCTCGAAATCGGTCCCGGTACTGGTAACTTGACTGCGAAGATTCTGGAAAAGGCCAAGAAGGTCATTGCGGTGGAGTTGGATCCTCGAATGGCTGCCGAAGTCACCAAGCGTTTCCAGGGAACTCCTGCACAGAAGCGTCTGGAGGTTATTCTTGGAGATGTGATGAAGACGGAGCTTCCATACTTTGACGTCTGCATCAGTAATACCCCTTACCAGGTGAGTTGGCAATATTATGGACTATAGCTATTGCTATACACTCGAGTGGGTGTTTTGTTTTCTATACTAACTCCTCCCAGATCTCTTCCCCGCTCACATTCAAGCTCCTCGCCACAACACCAGCTCCTCGTACTTGTGTTCTCATGTACGTTTTCAAAACATATCCATCTCATCCTCGCGGATGCTATTCAATTATTTATCTAGCACAAACTAATGTACACTTCGCCCTCTCTAGGTTCCAGCGTGAATTTGCTCTGCGTCTATTCGCCAAACCCGGCGACAAGCTTTACAGTCGACTTTCCGTCAACGCCCAAATGTGGGCCAAGATCGATCACATCATGAAAGTTGGCAAGAACAACTTCAAGCCCCCGCCATTGGTCGAGTCCAGCGTCATCCGCATGGTTCCCAAGGTCCCGCGGCCGCAGATCAACTATGAGGAATGGGACGGCCTGTTGCGCATTGCCTTTGTGCGAAAGAACAAGACACTACGGGCTAGTTTCATCGGTACGCCCAGTATCATGAACATGCTCGAGCAGAATTACCGCACATGGTGCGCTCAGCACGATATTCCAGTGGAGGATGGCCCCGTCGAAGACGCCGAAGGCGATGTGATGGATATGGGTCAGGAGCAGGAAGAACGAGGCGAGGAGGAGCCTGCTGATGAGGTCATGGAAATGGAGGACGATGACGATGTCCCCGATTTCTTCAAAGAAGAGGCAAACGCCCGTATCCAACAAGCACTCAACAAGCCTCAGCGCAAGAAGCGAGGAAAGGTCTCAGAATTGGTGCGCGAGAAGGTACGCCAGGTGCTGGAGGATGAGACCGGCCTGGCTGAGAAGCGTGCCCGAATGTGCGACGAGAATGAGTTTTTGAAGTTGCTCTGGGCGTTCAACCAAAAGGGCATCCACTTCAACTGATCCAGAAACCCGGATGTCTCTTTCGTTCGAAACTCCCCCACATATTCCCCCCCCGGGCCATCAAAAATCGAAGGAGGTCCGGAATAGAATGATGAATTATGATTACTATCAATAAAAGATACCATTTTCAGGAGGCTCGTTCCCAGTCGGTCGAAGATGAGCGCGAGAGTCCTGAAACAAGCTCTGCCAGATGAAAGCTTCGCTCAGTAAGAGCTCGATATCTTTCTCGGTCCAGTCCTTCGTAGGTAATGCTTGGAGGAACATCATAACCTCCTGTGTACATATATTAGCTTCTGAGTGAATGATTTCGGAACAATGCAAGTACAAATTCTTACCTGGAAATCCATCTTGACCAATTGATCTGTCCATTTAACCAAGAATGCAGCACAAACATAAAGGTGGAATCGAGAGAAGCCCTGCTCCTCGGCCTGCAAAGAGTATCAGCATCAGGAAAATAGTAGTCAGGGGAAAGCATAACTCCAAAACATACCATGTACGTATCCCACATGCGAATCGTATTTCTTATGCTCATTTCCCGCATGAGCAAACAATTCATCCACCGGAAACTAAATTGCATGAATTCCACACCCTCTTGTTCCAGATGATTGGCCAGGGCCGAGTCAATGCGCTTCGTCAGATCCCGCAATGCTCTAACCTGTCGGTGAATTCCAGGCTGGGCGTAGATATAATTGTCCTGGATGCCGTCAAGCAATTTTGTCAGGCACCAGAACGTATCAGCTTCCACCGCGTCCAAAACACTGCGAGGTAATTGACCCGGATCCATTCCCTCTTCAACATTGAGATCGGTAATGTATACTCCTAGGAAGACCTGCCAGAATGGAGTGACTAGGTCGTTGATACCCTGCACGTAGCCACTCGCCGGGTGCCGAATGGCCCACACGTAGAGGATGCGTTCTAGGGATCGTTGTGTAGCCTCGTAGCCATAGAGAGGGATATGAGGGCTAGTGCGAGGAACGTCAATACTAATTTGGTGCCAGACAGCCTCGTCCAATCCTCTTCCACGCCCCGTACTGGTGGCAGGAGGGTTCGAGGCAGTTCCGCTGCCACGTTCAAATGCCTGTCGTACGCCATCGAGATATTCCTTGCGCTTTCTCTCGAGTGTTGATATGCGCCGTTCACTATTCGTTGGGAGGTACCCAAGCAATAGCTGCCAGGTCATTGGCCGAACCTCTTCCGGAACTCCAGACCATGCCAGGTCCCGTAACTCGGTGAGAGACACGGTACTGGCCTGTAGGATGCGCTTGAACTTGTTGATGCGCGTAATATGACTGGAATGTATCTCCCTCTCTTTTGGCGAGGCATTGGTGGGCGGAGGCGAGTGATTGATAAGGTTCAGCGCGTTTGCAGGATCTACCACTCCTATGTCAGCACTACCACAACACCAGTTTCTCTTGAGCGGTTCAGATGCTAACCTTGCAGAATATCCTTATACTGTGGACGGAGAATTTTGCCTTCACCCTTGCGCGCCGTTGGGTACATTGGAGTCCCTCGTTCTTCGGCGATATCGGCGCTATTGGCACGTTGTCTATTGGCAGCGGCCAGGCCAAATCCAAGAGAGGTGGGGTTTCCTCCCATTGCTCCTCCAGAATCCGAGTTCTGGGCCTTAAAAGTTGCCGCCTTCTTTCTGCGCATACTGGCGAGACTTGGAAGGCCGAATTCATCTTCGTCATCATCGTACACAATTTCGTCGTCATCGTCATCATCGTCGTCGTCCTCTTCCGCGGGATCTCGACTCCATTCATCTACACCTTGTGTCATGATTCCAGGGTATGCCTGCCGGGGAGGCGAGGCGACCACGTTTCCTGATCGATTCGCCAGATGCGACGCGGGGTACGGGGCATTTCCCGTCGGCCGAGGCGGTGTCTTGGTTCGCTGATGAGAAGACGGGCCTCTATAGGAAGAAATCAACGGTCAGGAATTATTGATTCAGTGAGAAACAGGACAATTGGCGCTGTTTGGTGGTCCCAGTGAGGGTACTGACTGAACAATGCTGGCGTGGGAGTATGAAGCACCGACAACGGTGTTTTGGCCGTAGACCCTTGACGAACCCTGGTTCAGGGATGCATTCCGACCAGCCCAGAAAGGTGACTCGGCGCGTCTTTAGAGAAAAGTCAGTTTAGTCCCACGAGCTAACAGAATAGACAAGGTAAGCGGAGAGGCCATGCAATACGTACTCGGAGTTATCTGCGACCACCAGCTTGAGTTAGCTATGGGTGAGATCGGAAGGAAATTGCGGGGAGAAAGCGTATACACACCAACTTGAACCATTTCCTGGCGGTATCATTAACCCTCAATTCGACAATACCATCTTGGGGGAGCATTGTGAGCTGCTTACCTGCTGGGCCTTTTTGTTCGCCATCGCTGCTGTTGCTGCTGTGATGGTCGACCTGGGTGGTCTCAGCGGGTTTCGAATGCGGGGCGGCCAAGGATATGAGTCGTGTTCTTTCCTCCAGCCGGGCCCATAAAGCAAGTCAAACTTAGAAATGCATTGCAAAACAGGACACGAGTCTCAAATAGAGCTGTAGGGTCCGAAGTGAGAAGTGACTGAAATGTAGAGAGGCTTATGGTACTTGTTGACGTCGGCACTGGTGATCTGTCGCAGCCACTTTCCTCAGGAAACGGGATATGCCCCTGACCGCCTTGGATTCCGCCTACCTAAAATGAACAGGCATTCTTTAGCTATGAGAGCAGTAGCGAAGCTATTTAGAGATAAAATTGTTGTCGTAGGTAGTCTCTGAGATCAAAGAGGAATAGTGATTTCAGAGCAATCGACTCCTGGTCAGAAATAAGCTGCGTACGCCCGTTGCACTACTTGGCAGCTAAGCCGGCCGTTTGGCGACGGAGCCGTGCGTATGTAAGCCACTTACTCGTCTGCTTTCCCTCCCTTCCCTTCGTGACGAACTTCGTCTTCTCTCGTCCCCCACGTATTCTAGGCGTTCCCAAGACCCTGAGTTCCTCACTACCAGCTGTCATCATCGGTCTTCACTCGTCTCTCATTCCATTGCTTTTCTACCCAAATCACTAATCCCTCAGCGCCATGGCTGAACCAGAGGAACTCGAGGATGATCTCTTCGCGGATCTGTAAGAATTCGTGCTCATCTCTCAGTTTGATGACTGCTTGGCTAATTTATGTCTTTCAGTTACGATGCTGACGACTCAACAAATCGCGCAACTTCTGCCGTCGAGGCTCCGAAGCCCGCAGCGCCTGCCCCAGCAGCAGTCCCTGCGCAACCTGCTTACGAGTCCGCCGTCCCGAGTTATGACCCTTCGCCTGCGGATTCATACGCTACACACGCTCCCTTCCAGCAGGACTATAGCTCAGGTGCTTATAATGGCACGGAGCATGCCCACGCTCAGCCCCCGGCGGCGGCACCCCCCGCGGACCATGAAGAGCCCAGGTCAGGAACGGGTATCAAGGAAGACGGGTAAGTCAATTTACCCCCGTACGATGCTTACATCACCTCTTGCTTTGTCAATTACTGGTGTGTCTCGGTGGCGTTGGTTGCTATTCACGGCGCACAATGCGGCTTCTGGGGGCATGGTGTGGCTACGCATTGCTATGGTGCGCCCTCTTAAATGATCATGGGAAGAGGTCCTGTCGCTGGAAAATGCAATTGCACATATGTGATGATGAGGGAACATGAACGGCCAAGTCATATGCTCTCGGTGGGCGGGTGGGATACTGGGATACCGCGGGTTGTCCCAAGGTCATCGGGCATCACTACTGGGAAACTTTCCTTTGTTCTCCATCTACCTTCTCGAGTCATCATCAGCGGTTCCTGTCAGACAATGGAGATCAGAGGCAGAAGCGGTCTCAGAAGGTGCTTCTGGATCAATGAGCTCGCTTCCCGAGGCAGAGAACATCAAGCTGCAAGAAAAGCAAGAAGAAGAAACCCACGTGAGACAGATCGGCCTCTGTCACAGACCTTTGTTGCGAGCCACCATATAGTACAGCGGATACTATATAGCTTCTTGTCGATACAGTTGATAGAGCAGAGCAAGAAGTAGCAACGCTGGCTGATGGAGGGCTATCAGAACTCATGCTCCATGGGGACTTTCTGTTAGACGAGCCAAAGGTTATCCAATTTGGAGTCGGACAGAAAGCAGGCAGAAATCAGTCAGAGACAGAGACAGAGACAGAGAGATACAGTGAACAATTCACTTCTTCGCCAGAAACCACTTCTCGCTACTGCAGTCTTCCGTCTGGTTCAATATCTTCCAGGGGCCCATATCCCATCCCACAAACATCCCCAGATCAAGCAGATCAAGAGATGGAATATTGCGATCACCTCGGGAGTCAAAGCTCATGTAAACCATATTGGTGCACTTTCATTGGGTTACATCAAGCTACATGATACATGAAGCTTTCCAAGTTGTACGGATTCGCCGTATACCTGCAAGATGGGACATTCGTGGACAGTACAGGGACTGGAAGCCTTCATGAAGGCCTTGCAGATTCAGGATTCCTCCCAGCTTAATGAGCTCATCCCCAGACAGTTCAGCATTAGCTGTATTCGTGAATAGCAGCCTAGCGCCACCCAGCTCCCTAGCCAGAGCACTCAGACAGCACTCAGACACATTGACATTGACATTGACATTGACCCACACATTCTCCCCTTCCATCTTCATTTTTCCCACAAGATGCTTCGCTGTTATGATTCATCATGCTTGCTATTCTCGCGACACATTTATCTTGCCAGCAGACAAATGCTAATACAAGCTTGGTTAGGAAAATGTTTATTGGCGGATTGAACTGGGAGACCACAGATCGTATGTATACATGTCCTTGGGAGACCCTCGATATCTATCATCAGGAGTAAAGATTATGATTCTAATACCTCGGGACTATTCTCTAGAATCTCTCCGCGACTACTTCTCCCAGTTCGGCGAGGTCCAGGAATGCACGGTGATGCGTGATAGCGCCACCGGTCGCTCTCGTGGCTTCGGTTTCCTCACTTTCCGCGATGCCAAGACGGTCAACACGGTCATGGTGAAGGAGCATTACCTGGATGGCAAGATTGTAAGTCCCAAGCGAGAAGATGTCCTTGTGAAGCATAAAAAGAACAAGAAAGGAGCAAGAGAACTTCGTTTTTGTCTTTTACCAGCACAAAAAACAACTTCCACCTCTATCTATGACTCTCTAAATTCCCACCAACTAAACTAACCATGTCCCTCAAGATCGATCCCAAGCGCGCCATTCCCCGCGATGAACAAGAAAAAGACAAGCAAGATCTTCGTTGGCGGCGTCAGCCAAGAAGCCACAGAACAAGACTTCAAGCAATTCTTCACACAATTCGGGCGCGTCATCGACGCAACACTCATGATCGACAAAGACACCGGCCGCCCCCGTGGTTTCGGCTTCGTAACCTTCGACAGCGAAGCCGCCGTCGAAAACGCCCTCTCCCGCCCTCTCGAAATCCTCGGCAAACCCATCGAAGTCAAGAAAGCCCAACCCCGCGGTAACCTCCGCGACGAAAACCGCGGCGGCCGCGGCGGCCGCGAGAACTTCCGCGATATGAATCAGGGCGGAGACGCCGGCCAGCAACAGGGTGGTGGTGGACAGCAGGGTATGGCGGGTGGTATGACGCCGCAAATGATGGCGCAGTATTGGCAGCGCATGCAGCAATACTTTGCCATGATGCAGCAGCAGATGGCCATGGGTGGGGGGAATATGAATATGGGCGCCATGAACCCGGCCATGATGCAGCAAATGCAACAGATGCAAATGAAGCAGATGGCTGCGGCTATGGGTGGTGGTGCTGGTGGGCCCCAGCAGCAGCCGCAGCAGCAGCAAGCTGGCGGTATGAGTCCCAACCCTGCCTCCCCGGGCGCTCAACAGGCCATGCCGAATATGATGAATCCGGCCATGATGCAGGCCATGCAGGGTCAGCCCCAGGCTGGGCAGCAGGGCCAACAGGGTCCCGGTGGAGCAGGAGCCGGTGATGGCGCCGGCCAGGGCGCGGGATATAACCGGCAACAAGCCGGGGGACCGGGCTACAATGCGCAGGAACAGCTCGCGTTTGAGCAGCAGAAGTACGAGCAGCAGCAGGTGCGCCGCGCTATGGATACCAGCCGTGGGTTTTCGCCGTATCAGCAGGGTGGGCCGACTTCGTGGGAGGGTATGTATGACGAGGTTCCTCAGCCGAATATTCCCACCGGTCCGCAGGGGATGGTTCGGGGCGGTAGTATGGGTCGTGGTATGTTGATGAACATCCGCTCTACTATCAGATCTGTCTAACTAACATCTTCTTTCTCTCCTTCTTTCTATACTCAGGTACACCCCCCCAACCTCAAGGCGCAGCCCCCGCCAACGCTCCGACAGGCCCCCGCAACGCAGGCAGACCCGGCGCGAACTACCGCGGCGGCGGTCGTGGCGGGCACCGTGGATTCCATCCTTACTCTCGGTAAACTTGAACTCGGGTGTATCAGGTCTACATCTGTTCATCTGGTCATCTAGTCCCGGGCAAGTGGGGTTTTATTCATGTTTCCATGTTTCTTCTATGCTATGTCTTCTATCCTCTATCCGCTTCTGCTTCTGCTTCTGCCTCCCACTTTCCACTCCACCTGTTAAGTTACCCTTATTCTTAAACCCAACCCCCGGGCCTGCCATATTCTCAAAACTTCGTGCGCTGGACTCTGGACTCTGAACTGCGACTGCTACAGTACTCATTCTTATCTGCTCTTATTTCCTGTTCCTGCTCGGTCCTGGTCAGAGGTATGTCCTAGACAAGGCTAGGCTAGGCTTATGGGGCGCGGCTATCTGGGCTTTTGGTTCTTGTTTCTCTGTTTCTTCTATTTGTTTCCCCCTGTCTCGCCAGCGGGGATTTTCGAGAAATGGTGGTGGTGGTTTACCTCTTTTTTCTTCTTGTTCTTGTGTAGAGTTATCAAAATGGGATGTATCTCTTTTTTTTCTCGTTGCTGGGGTATGTCATACTGTCATACATAGGCCATGTTGTTTGCGTATCGTAGAATGAAGTACATTATTCTTTTTCAATGAAGTACAGTCTCGAAGAGGGGGTCCCTTCTCTAGTATTCGAGGGCGCAGTGGATGGAGATCCTTCTATCGTTCAACTCTCGATAATGCTCTATAGCCGGCACATAGAAAGAGTTTGAGAGACTTGACATGATGAAAATCGAGATCTACGGATCTACAGATCTTCATGTCTTCAGCATTACACTACACTGCTAAGGGCACGATTCACTGTTGCTCAAAATTATAGAGATAGAGCGATAAGATGGATAATAAAAAATGATGATATGCATATAATCAGATCTATAACATGTACAAGAAACCAAATGAGAAAAAAGAAAAAAAACGTTTTTCACCAAGCTAGAAATCGGACAAGAAAAAAAGTCGCTGAAAAATGATTCAGAGAGGAACGAAGGTGGGGGGTTCAGGTCAAGTCAGGTCAGGTCAGATCGGTGAGCAAGATCACGATAGACGACCAGAACAGATTGAGTCAGAGGATAGGAGTTAGAAAGAGAGTAAGAGAGAGTGGGAATATGGTAAAATGTCAAAGACAGGGCGGAGATTGTTCGGGTTCAGATGGTGAGGATGGAAAGGTGTTTTGGGCACAACACAAAACACCAAGCACAATCCGAGACAAGAGGAATCGTCCGCCATGAAACACGCTAAATGGAATCAGACAGAATGAATGTCCCGTGGCCTTTTCCGGGGGTATGCACGGAAGAAAAAAAAAGAGGAAGGAGGTGAAAGTGGCAGCGTCGTGACGTTAGTAGGCCATGCCGTAACCGGGGGCGGTTGGCTTCCGGCCCTCTAGCGAAGACCGGGATTCTTGGCTGTGGCTGCGGTCATGAGCGACACCATAGTCGGCATACACCAGGCGGTCGTTGCTACCATTTGAGTTGGATCGGTGAAGTGGGTGGTCCCGGTACGGCTCGTAGGGTGCGTTGAAGTTGAACTTGCTCATCTGGGTAAAGTCGCGCCTGGGCGGGTGGTCGATCAGAAGGGACTCGCGTGCATCGAGTGGAGTGAGATCGTCCAGATCCTTGTTGGCGTTTTCTAGAGGTAAGAGGATTAGCAAATGCATAGATGATCGAACTTGTTGCTGGGGCAAGCTGCACATACCGGCTTCGCGGAGCTTCCTGGCGTGGGGGTTCTCCCGAATGCAAATGATGAGAGCGTTGATTGCAATCAGGATGGCGAGAACGCCGGTCAGACCGGATTGAACGACAATGAGTACAATACCAGTCACGGTCTTGGTGGTCTGAGAGAGACCAAGTTCCTCGACAAAGACCAGCACACAGGCGACGGAGAGGACTCGCACGATTTGAATCGTCATGTTGATTCCCATCGAGGACTTGGTCGCATAGGGCCGGTTCCACAGTAGCAAACCCAACATGCAGCATTCAATAACCAGCTGGCCAATGGTCTGGACCATGCCGTGGCCTTCGGCACCAGCAATAATGCATCCCTTGGCAAGGGCGTACACAATCACCGGGATGAACAGCCACCACAGATCTTTCTTGTAGCTGTCGTAGAACAGACTGTACTTGCGCCAGGTTTCCTTGTTCTCGTACAGGCCAGTGGTGTCACCCTCGGCCTTTTTGTACTTGCGAGCCAGGTAAACGATACGCCAGGCGAAGAAGGCCAGAAGGGCAGTGAATACGGCCAAGGTCACGGCAGCTAGCACCCTGGCAGCCCACGAGTCACCATTTCGCAGTTGGTACACACAGTACAGAACCCAGATGCTGTACAGGACGAGAATCATGTTGGTGATGGTGCGTGCCATGATTCCCCAGTAATCGTCCCGGAAGTCGGAGAGCTTCTTGGGGAAGTTGCCGTAGAGCGCCCACAATTCCAGGATAACCTTGAGCAGAAGGATACCGACGACAATGACAGCAACAACGATGGCGAAGACCAGTAAAACGGTCATGAAGATGTTTGCCGAGGGGATCATGACCTCCTCTCCGTAGCACTTGAGGGTAGAGAAATTCAAGGAACCGCAGTCAGTAAGTCCCGAGGAGCTGCTGGAGGTGGAGTTGGAGCTCGAGCTGTTGTTGGAGGATTCCGATACCTCCATCGACCGCGCCAATAAACTTGCTGTGTGATATACAAAATCCAGGCCACGCTTGGAAGAGGAGTTTCCATTCGACGCCGACGCGGTGCTCAGGCCGGTGAGGTAGATATAGCTGTTGTGGGTCGTGTTTCCACCGGTAGCCTTTCGGAAGGCATCAATTGAGTTCTGCATGCTGGACCACGGGATCAACCCAGTGCTCCAGGCAAAGTTCTTGGTGAAACTCTTGTACACGGCCGGATGGTTAACACTCAACATGCCATTCATGGCCATGGAGCCAAACCATCCCATCACGTCACCGGCCGATGGGGAGGAGGAGGGTGCACCAGTGCTTCCAGCGCTACCAAGAGCAGAGAGACCACTCAAGGCCAGCGCACCCGCTGCGATACCAGCCGACGCCCACGCGACACCCTTGACGCTGGCGGATTTGCCATTGGAAAGTTGAGACTCTACACAGGCCACGTCCTTGCCATTCGAAGTAAGAGTCAGCTTGGCCTGGCCATCCAAATCGGGGATGCTGAATGCGATTGAGGGAATCTGGCTCGCATATTCGTCGGGGACGTTCATTTCACCACTGGCGGCGAAGTGACCCGATGGGACTGAAGAGGAGAAGGAATTAGCATTTTGTATGAAATGACTTTGGATCGAACTTGACAGGGAAATAGGCGGCATATAATCATATAGAGTGGAAAGGTTTTCCTTACCAGGACAGAGCTCCGAAACGTGGATCTCACTACCACACGGGTTGAACGTTTTTGCAAAAACTTGCGTGCCATATGCCGTCACCGTCAGGGTAGCAGTAACATTTTGTTCCTTCGAGTTGGTACCAGCCACATCGAAGACCACTAGTTTGGTTGATTTAGTATAGGAGACATCGAGTTTTTGCACTTCAATGTCCGAGTCCTGCATGCACAGATTGAATCCCGAGGTGCTCAGGGTGTCCGTGGCCAGGGCCTGGGGTAGCACAACACCCAGGCCCAGCAGGGCCCAGATGGTGGTCCGCATTTCTTCACCAGGGTCGATCTGGAGCAGAGGCCGAGTTCGCACAGATTATCAGGCGATCTTAGTTGAGATCGCGCGGGAGGACATGAACGAAGTCGAAACGAGAGGATTAAGGCGCGTATTCGAAGTATCGAAGCGGGGGACCCGAGATTATTGTCGCGCGAAAGACTCAGCAGGGTCAACCTACGAGAAAGGGAAGAAAGAAAGTGAAAATAAAAAAACTAGACGAAATTGAAATGGTCGAGTTATAGCGAGAGCAGATTGGTGGATCAGGTCGAGACGAGCGAGAGACTGGAATGGGATCCAACAAGGTTGAGGTAAAAAGAAAAATGAAAATAGCAATGGACAAGAGGTCTAGACGCAAGAAAGTCTCGACCTTGGGAGAAGCGAGTGTCAGTTTGAGGTGAAGAGGGCAGAAGAAGAGACAGAGACAGACTGAGGAAGAGGACGAGGAAGAGGAGTTGGAGGGGGTCCAAGTTGCCCCTGAAGCAGGGCTGATTGGTCGTGGCACGTTTCAGAGTCTAGACTTTTCTCCTTCTCTGCCAAAGCTTCCTCGTTCTAATTTTACCTTTTCATATATACCCCCTCTATTCCTACGCTCGATGATCGTCCGTGAATTTTGCTTTTAGACACTTACAGTTCAAAGGATAGGGTACGCTCAGTACAGTTCCATCTCCCACTTTTGAGTCCCTATCGCCATCGTTCCAGGAGGTAAACAGTGACCAAGCTCAACCATCCACCAACCCTGGATTGGGCCTAGCTCCAGCGGGCCGGACTCGAGCTTCCACGGTTGTGAACGTGTGTGCCGCTTGGACTACTCCGATCCTGGTAAGGTCGACTCTTAGAAGGTGCCAGTGTTATTAACTAATAATGTTAAACCAGAGCAATAATAATATTACGGGCCAAAAGGGCTCCAGTCCAGCGCCACGCTCAGCCACACCGACCAGTGCGACGGGACAATAATAACAATAATAGATAGTCCAGGAGAACCGGAGAACAGAGACCAGGAGAAGAGCTCCCGACTTCTTCACTGGATACTACTCCGGGACCAGATACAGTACAGGATTTGGTCTCGAAAGATACTTACCGGTTCTCCCGCAACACGCAAGGTACGGTACCTGCGTCGTCAGCAGTCAGCACTCAGTTACTACCGTACAAGTAACCTAGTCTAGGCCTCCAACCTTGAACCTGAAACTGGGGACAGCTCATCAACCAATCTCAAGTGCAACACGCAATTATACCGTACGATGTACTCCGTACTCCATTTCCATACGTACATACCAGAGACACGCAGCATCTGGACTCTTCCTGCATTTCTACACAGGATTCGCCACACACACCCACTCAGTGTTCTGGACATCGAAGAGGTGTCGATCGCTACGCTGAGCGCCTGTTCTAGACGCTCCAGTGGATCGGTCCTGGCAAGTTGCACCCGATCTAGGGCGAGACCCTTTCCTGAGGATTCTACCAGCAAAGCCCCCCAATTATCCTTAATCCTACAGAAGTAACCTCCGACCGGGTGGTAACTCGTAAAAAGTTTGAGCAAATCATTTCCACCATCTGGCTGTTCTGGTCTTGTAAAGCAAAAAAACCTCAGACTCTAAAACTCCATGATCCATCCCATCCTGCCCCTCCAGTGGCCCCAAGCGCTATCAACCTGAGACATGACCAAGCACCTGTCAATTTCCTTGCCCCAGAAAAAAATGTGATGGGCTGCTATTTATATGAATCGAATCCTCCAGTACCAACCAGAGAAAATACGGAGTAGCTGGTTCGTTACTCCATAGTGAACAGTCATACATATGTACTCTGTGTCTCGCAGCAACCAATGTCTTGATTTGCTCGTCACACAACTATGGTAATTATATGTAGTGTAGGTAGTACACCTAGTACATACTGTAGTAAGGAAGAATAATTTGTGACCAGTGACCTCATGCTGTATGTAGCATATCCAACCACCAATATGCAGTAAGTATGCTAGTATGCAGTGTACAGTACAGTCAGTACCTATCCATCGGGTCGCCGGGGCGCTTGTCAGCCCGTTCACCGTCGTGGGCCATTCCCCTCATCTGGTATGTGGCGTCCATACGTGATCTCATTCAATGCAGATCATCCAAAAATATAACAACGTACAACTTGATGAGTCTTGGGTCTGCCCCTACAATAACCTTGTAAATGGAAATACTATCCTTGTGGGTTGACTCTCCTGCCCCCACACACACACAAGTACGACATCCCCGTTTTTAGGGCATCTCCGCCTATCTGTGACCCGGGTTTATCTGATGTTACATCGCTCAATCTTGGATGTAGATTTCTGGAATTGATACAGCACGCGCTCTTTATCTAAACCCTTTCAATCATGGAGTTCTTTGACCGTACAAGGAAAGAGTCGGTGATCTTGATATAGCAAGGGTAAGCAACGTTCTCAATGTATAGAGGCCGAATAAGGACATCGTAACATAATTGTACTGTGCTGTTTTCTTAACTCTTGATATACTACTCCGTGGAAATAATCCAGAATTATCCATGACTGAAGATTCATAAGAAAGTACCTAGGAAGATAGCCTTTACCATGATCTAGAAATGTCACTGAATTATCATTCCCCATTAACACTGTAAGGATATCATGAAGAGTTATTTCATAGATGTAGTCGCCAATGCTGAAATCTGATACAAATTAGGAAAATATGGTGCATACCCCGTGCGAGGAATTTGATTAAAGAATCTATTGATGTCTATGCATGATTCCCCGACTATTGATATAGGGTTTATATAATATGCAGGGTCTGGTCCAGAATACTTGTTAGAGTATGTATCGCCGCGTACTCCAATTAACGTTGGGTCGATAGGTCGTGGAGAGGATGGCATTAATGATTTCTTCTGCTTTGATTCTTGAATTTCCCAGGCCACCACCTCTGGTCTCGATGAATGTGGAAGAAAATTGCTGAGGCCACTAATTCTAGTATCTACTTCCATTTCTCTTCCGACGGCTTTCCTCCTATTTTGAGAACACACCGCCTTCATACTTATCTCCCTGAGAACGGCGCAGGGAGACAGTGACGCAAGATACGATATAGAATCATAGATCTATCTCCCTGGCAAACGAATCTATGTTTCTAAGCTTTGTTGTTGGCTCTATTTCATCAGATGTTATAGTAATCCTTCGATTGGTTTATATTGCCATATTTTTGTCTCCCTTCATCACAGCTCGCTTAACTCAGTTGGTAGAGTGCGTGACTAGTAATCACGAAGTCGCTAGTTCAAATCTGGCAGTGAGCATTTTTTGGAGATTTTCATCTCCAGTCTTTTTGGAGAAATGATGAAATCAAAGATTTTAATTAATATTCATTTTGGCTCTTCGATGTTTCTTTTTTCATTACACTCTCGCCATGATATGCAGGTACCCGTTTATGTTGGACGACGCCTTTACTGTCTGCCAGTCTACTGTTGTCACAGTGAAGTATAACCCGCATCGAGAGATATATATCAACCACACAATACTAGTAATATAATCCACATTAGATAATCTACCAACTCTTGAAACTGCTCACTTTCGTCCAGCTTGGGCTTGCGACTCCCGCATTGCAGCCCTTGCACTCCGACTTCCTCCCAACTTGGGCCCCTTGGGCGCTTCAGTCTTACTAACCGTCTTCGTAGTGCGTGTCCTCCGACGTGATTGAATCGCATCCAAAAAGTCTCGTCGGAATTGCTCTGCAATACGCTCATCCGCAGCCTGGTCATCCGCCTGGAGTTCTTCCTCTGGCTCGTCATAGACATCCACTAGTAGAACAGATGGTTAGCGGGTGACCACACTGTTTGATCAAGTGTGATATAGCTAGGTAAGACTCACATTTGCTTTCTCGCAAGATTTCCTCCACCAGCCGGTCGCGCTCGACATCTGTGCTGGTGCGGCGCTTGCGGTTGCGCCATGACTTCTTGGGTGATCCAACACGCTCGGTCGGCTCACCAGGCTGGAGCGAGTCTTCGTCACCGGCAAGCCGGCGCGTTGCGGCTTCGGTACGGGCAATATTCTGCAGCTTCGTCTCCTGTCCGAGATCGATCTCGTGCAGCTTGCCCAGTGACGCGGGCAGGCGTTCGTGTTGCTGTCCTTGTGTAGCTGGCGCGCCAGATGTTTCTTGCGAACCCGACTGATCGGCCGGTGAGCCGTCTGGTAGCGGGCTACGGTTGTAGCGCTTAGCCATCTCGGCGTCTATATATGCCATCCTTATCTTGTTAGTCCACGTTGTTCCAATGCTGGCGCAAGAGGGTGGTGTAGTTCGTACATGTGTCTGTCCACATCCTCCGCCTGTCCAGTGTACATTTGGAAACGGTCCCCCATGGCCTGAACCTTTTCCTTCTCCTGGTCATCTGTGGTGACCAGCGCCGTTTGACGACTGTCGTCCTTGCCCGATGGTCGTGTGGCGGAGAATGCAATGCCTCCCTTACGAGTCGTCTTTGGTCGGCGTAGGCGCACTACCCCGGTCGCGTGTGTCGAGTCATCAGAATCATCTGGTAAGTTGGATCCAGGAGCTACAGTAGCTTTGTCGGTGCTTTCAGCGACAGTTTCGGTGGCGAGACTGGTTGTTTCTTCGGGATCATCTTGGCGTCGTCGGGCGAACTTGCGTCGCTTCGCAGGGCGAAAGAGATTTTCAGGCGCAACATCGACTTCAGTATCCATAGTGTGTACAATACAAATGCCAATGCAGAGGTGGGAGTGGAGTGAAAGAGGAAAAGAAGAAGAGCGCGCAGGGTGAGGTCATCTGCCCAGCTCAAAGCGGCAGCCAGTCAGTTTCTCTCCGCCAAAATGCCAAAGCTGCTTGCTGAACTCTCCCGCACCCAAAAAGAAACCCGCCCTTCTCTCCCCTTACCACCGCTTTGAGTCCCACGTGCATGGTCTGGCCTTGAATTGTCAACACCGGCCGATTGAACAATTCGCTCGGGCCTGCCGTGATCTTTCATCTCACACCCCTTTGCGCTATCACCATGAATCCTTCCAACCCGCCTCAAGCTGCCGAGTATGGTGGAGGTATGTGCTTTTCGCGCGATGCGACTGACCCCGATCGCCTCGCGCTCTTCCATAAGCTCCTCAATTCAATCATGATCGGCCTATTCTACCTCCAGCAGATGCTAACCTAACTTCTCGACGCGTTACAGATGAAGTCTCCGCCATTGTCCTCGACCCGGGCTACTCCACCACTCGCGCTGGCTTCGCCGGTGAAGATGCTCCCAAATCCCTGATTCCAACATACTACGGCAAATACAGCGCCGACGGCCAAGAGAAGCTCATCTACGGTGATGATATCTTTGTGACTCCACGGCCCGGTCTGTCCATCCACAACCCCATCGGCAAGGATGGCATCGTCGAAGATTGGGATATGGCCGAGAAGGTCTGGGAGTACTCCTTTACCTCGCGACTCACGGGTGCGAAGCCTGGTAACCCCTTTCACAATGGTCTGAACGACATCCCCGCCGAAGAGCTCCCTACAGAGATGGAGGTTGAATTGGAAGAGAAGCCCCTCGCGGATAGCCCGCTGCTCATGACCGAGCCCGCATGGAATCCGGCCAAAGCTCGTGAGAAGACCATCGAAATTGCGATGGAGAAATGGGGCACGCCTGCATTTTACCTGGCGCGTAATGGTGTCCTCGCGGCGTACGTATCTGCCTGCCTTGTAATCGGGCATAAACTAACTCGTCTTATCCATCATCCAGCTTCGCATCCGGCAAAGCCTCTGGTCTGGTCGTCGACATTGGCGCCTCCAACATCTCCATCACCCCAGTGCACGACGGTATGATCCTCAAACGCGGTGTACAGCACTCCCCTCTCGGTGGCGACTACATCTCGTCTCAAATTCGCGCCCTGTTTCAAAAGAACTCCCCGCAACCCATCACCGTCACCCCCCACTACCTGATCAGCTCCAAGACTGCCGTCGAAGCTGGCCAGCCACCCCAGGCCAAGTACAGGACCTTCGCCGCCGACAAGGCCCCCGACGCGTCCTACCGGGCCCTCCTCGAGGAGCGCACCTTGTCCGAGTTCAAAGAGTGCGTCGTCCAGGTCTGGCCAGGACCCAACAGGCTCTCCGCGACCGCACCCAGCGGTGCACCAAACGAAGAATTGGCCCGCTCGCATCCCCCGCGCCCCTTCGAATTCCCAGACGGCTACAACCAAGTCTTCGGCATCGACCGCTTCCGCGTCGTCGAATCCCTCTTCGACGTCAAGGCTGCCATCCCGGATCCCGACTCGCCCGTCCCCGCCCCAACACAGGCGCAGACCATCCCAGAACTGATCAAGGCTTCCCTGGGCGGCGTCGACGTCGATATCCGTCCTCACCTCCTAGCCAACGTTGTCGTCACGGGTGGATCTAGCCTTTTGTACGGATTCACGGATCGTCTGAACCACGAGTTGATGCAGCTCTTCCCTGGTCCGCGCGTGCGTATCTCCGCTCCCGGAAATACCGCGGAGCGTCGCTTTGGCTCGTGGATTGGTGGTAGTATCCTGGCTAGTCTGGGTACTTTCCATCAGATGTGGATCTCGAAGAAGGAATATGAGGAGCATGGCGCGAACATTGTTGAGAAACGATGCAAATAAGTTTGGGGTTACTACTTATTTATGCTGGTACACCTCGTTTTTCCTGCTTCTTTCTCGTACCATTCCATCTAATCTGGATTGAATTGGATCTCTTTCGGCCTTTGTTTTTGGCCACGGGCTCATGTGTTTATGAAGGTGGGCCATGCCATGCATGCCATGCATGCCATTCTTATCTGTTCTGTTATGCTCTGTTTTGATTATGGGCGTTATAACCGTCTGGCGCGCTTGCCGGTGCTTTTCTACGTACGAATACAAATGCGGATTTCCAGAGGCTCGACGTTATTAGAGTCTGAAAATTGAGTACTAGAATTTTTTTTATCCCCCCATCTATTGTATTATCTTGCTTGACTCGCTGCTAGCTACTGGATTCTTTGGGACGACTTGAACGCTAAGAAAGAATGGGAATGGTAATGATATTGCACCGTGCGCGATTGGGTATATAAACTAAACTAGGAATAAATGTAATGACAAACGAGCCAGCGTCGAAGGTGTCTATTGTTGGACCCCTTGAAAATATGGTGATGCTGGTATTGATCCTGATGCTGGTTGATTCGGGGGTGTCGAGATGACCTCGAGGACCCAACCCTAGGGACCAAATCCGACGGCCAAGAAAGGAAAATAGTGAATAGGTATGTATCACCTTCTCCCATCCTATGGTGGGTAGTTATAATGATAGACCATCATAAAAAAAAGAGCTTCAAGCTTGCGCACCAACAGTCCGCGGCCTATACTCAGTCCGAGCCGCAGTCGCAGTCCCAACCCCAACAGAAGAAATACTCGCCGGCGTGCGAGGAGACACAGGAACAGACACAGGAACAGGTACAGCAGGCAACGCAGTAATAATCGACCCCGTGTCACCACGCTCCCCAACATCAACATCATCACCAATACCCATACTCACCCGCGCACCAAAACTCTTCTCCAATTCCTCGTCAATAGCGATGGACAGCACATGAACCCGGGGCGATGTCTCCGGTCGTTGTTTGAAGGTGTACGTGCTCAAAAACTCTGGTTCCTGCGTCCAGGACATTTGTCTTTCGAGATTCGTGCTGGACAGTCCTGGTCCTGTTCCGTTCCCGGCTCTGCCTCCGGCTCCAGCTCCGGTGCTAGAGCCGTGTAGGTTCTCGGAGGATTTGGTGCGGAAGATGCTGCTTGGCCAGTCTTTGGTTTTTGCTAGGGTTGTGCCGCAGCAGGTTGCTGTTTTGGCAATGTTATCCCATGCTTCGACGACGCGGTCTGTTTTGAGGAAGTGAGAGATTTGGTCTTTCATTGTGTCGAGGTTGTCTGGTTGTGGGTTCTTTTGGTGGGAGGGTTGTGGGCGTGTTGGTGGTTTGGCCATTGAATGTTGGGTTCGGGGTCGGTTGGTGGCCCATAGTGCTTTGAGTTGTTCTATTGAGGCGCTGCGGGTTTTGAGAGTTTGTGCTGGCGCTGTTGAGGGTCTGTTGGGGGTGTTGGTGTTGATGTTGATATTGGTTTTGTTGCTGACAGATCGTTTGGGGATGAAAGGTCGTGAGAGTTTCCTGGTAAGTCGGGATGGTGTGCGTGGTGGGGATGGATTGTCGGTATTGCTGGGGGTTGCTCCTACGAGAGCGCTGCATGATCTTGCACGGCTGAGCATCCTGGGCACAATGCTGTTTCGTCTGGAAGGCTTGGGTCCGCTGGGATCTGTACGGCTCTGCTCTGCGACGAGGGTGTCGTCGAGATTCCGCGAGGCAGGTCGGGGCTTGGGTCTTGATAATGGATCGCGAGGGAGCGGCTTTTCGGATGCTCGTCGTCCTGGAGTTCCTGGTCCAGGACTCCTTGCAAAGAGCCTTTGTCGGACTGACATGGACCGAGTAGGGGCTCTACTGGCCGTTTTGATGAGTGAGTGCTGCAAAGGTTAGCCTAATGATCATACCTCTGAACGGGACTGATCAAACTCACCACGTCCTTTCGACTCGCCAAACCCACACGCCTCTGCATTTCAGTAACCGCAAAAGCAAGCTGACCGAGTGCCTTTTGCAGCGCGGCTCCACGTCGACGCAGCTTAGACAACGCCACGACCCAACCCTCCATATTCTCCATCATAGCCTGATAGAAGGCGCCAAGACTATCCGTCTCAAAACACCCCTCATTCCCAAGTTGCTGCAAATAATGCCACAAAGCACCCATAGCCTCTTTGCCCTTTCGCAAATCTTTCAGTGCATCTGTAATTGCGAGCGTGAATCGCTCAACGGCATGCTCGATTTGGTCATTGTAGGAGACCAGTGCCAGTCGGAAATTGCGATCCTCGAGCATCTCGTCGAAGATAGCGAGATTGCCGAGCGGGAGGCTGAGGTACTGAATTCGAGTGCGTACGTCCAGATGGACGATGAGAAAGTCTTCCGTTGTTCGTTGGAGGAAGCCGTCCAGCTCGTCGACGTGACCTTGGAGAATTTGCATTACGGCAGCGGGGGATTTGGCTTGTCGTTTGGCTAGTAGGTGTACACCGAATACCATCTGGGAGACCAGCTTCCAGAATGGATGGTATCTATAGATGCGTCAGTCAGTTCTTATAGGAAGGTACTTGGACTCTGCTGCTCACTTTTCAACCGTCCGCTGCCGCCATTTCCTCCCACACAATCGCTCATACTCATCATTTTCCAATAGATCCCGCCGACGTGTCTGGGCATCGAGTTCCACGACCCACTGACTGGCCCCGCTCTGGGTAGCTTCGGCTAGAGACTCTTCAAAGGGACCCTGCAGTTGAGAGATTGGATGCACTGGAGATGAAGAGGCGGAGGAACTTGGTCGTGCATCGGAATCGGTGTTGGTCGAGCATACCGGCTGCTCTTCGCGGTCGAGACTGGCACCCGCTGGTGCATTCTCGGGGGTTTCCACCACTTCAGCCATGAATAATGAATATCCGTCTTGATTTCCAGAGATAAGGAATCCTTGGTAGAATTCCCCCGCTCGGAATGTTCGCAATGCCCCAAGCTCAGTTCGCCAATGTAATTCCCGTATATGCGCGGGCACGCCTAAAGTTCCCAGGTATATAGAATGACTGGTTGTCAGATTATACCCCGATTCACGTCTCGGATCAATTGAATGCAGAACAATGGCAATCCAAGTCAAATTGACTCAACACCAATGCGCAACCTCCCAATCCAATCTGATGCCCGCATCCATCGGAGGGGGAAGTAGTCGAATATAAAAAATCGCGATCGGGTCCAGCTCAGCTGAAAGGGGTGCTGTTCATAGTGCAGCGGCAGTGGCCGGTTCTCCAAGGTGAAACACGCAGGCGAGTGCGGCAGGCTGGTCGCGATGGCTGGAATATGAATCAAAAATCGGTCGTCTGGACTGCCCTAGACTGTCGCAAATGTCTCCGTCTCTTCAGGATCGTTAGAAAGGAGGTCAATTTCCCAGGATTGGTGGGGAGAAAGGGAACGACAATAAGACATACGTGAGGGATGGGTACGTTGGTCGAGTGATTGTTTGCGCGACCGGTGGCGGGGGAGAGAAAAGAGGAGATGAAAGGAGACGGAGGGATTGGAATAATAATCGATTGGTCAGGCCAGATTGGACAGATTAATTAGAATGGATCGAATTGGATCGATTGGATTAATTCCAGTCGGTAAGACCTGCACGGTCAACGGGTTCGTTGGGCTGTCTTTGTTCTTTGTTCTTTGGAAGTTTGGAAATTTGGAAGGAGGAATACTTCAGTCCGTACGGAGTCCTTGATGGGTAATTGTACGGAGTACTCCGTACAGGAGAAGACACAGGGCGGCACGTTGGAATCGGAGGAAATGCCGTTTCGGTGCCAACGTGGATTTTCTCTTGACTCTTGTACTCTTTGGCGTTATTCCAAGTGGAGTCCAGTCCTGACACGAACCTGAGAAGCGGAGTCGACAAGGAGATTTGACGGTCCACTGTCCACTGTCCAATGTCCAATGTCCATGGGCAATGCACTTTAATTTAAGAAGCGGCCCAGTGGGCGTTTTAACAACTGGGCCAAAGCGGCAGTTAACCTCGAAAGGACTTTCGAGTACTGACAGTCTTTACGGTTCTTCCCGTTCGAGGAAAGGCATAGCCACGAGTTTGTTCCTGTCGCAGGCCGATCGCCATTTCACGGGCTCTCCACTGAAGAAACCCAGAAAGTGGGTTCGCGGCGTCTAGACTGTGCTGGACCAGGGGAGGATCCAGTCACTGCGATGACGATCGGCGGGGCTAAACTGTTCACACAGTGTAGGACACCAGTCGGTACATGTGTAATTACAGAGTCGAAGAGAAATGGCAGATGTCCATGTACAGCCCCAGTCTCGGAGATTTGGTCTATTTTTGGATTTGTGGATGATTACGTCGATACCGGCTAACGGTAGTTAGTTATACATATGGACTTCATATCGAATCAGTCATCGATTCACCCTCCGCAAAGATGGGATCCCAAAAGTTCGTCGGCAGCGATAAATCCAGAAACTCGCCAAATAACGTGTCAATGTCTGCAAACCCATGCATCGTACTGTCCAGCTCAGTCATCGTATTCGTCCCGGGCACCAGTGGAGGACTTTCTATGCCCGCCTCACGATCTCCAGTGGTTGTGCCTGGTGCTAGCGCCGTGTCCACCGCAATGGCTCCGTGACTGGGCTCTGTCCCCGTGGTACGAGCGATCATAGACGAGTGATGATCATGGTTGATAGTGTCCAAGCTGCCGTCTACAGCGATACCGCGGATAGTCTGGCCATGTACAGCCTCTGGCTCAGGCTCAGGCTCAGGCGCTGGCGTGGGCCGTCGCGACCGCTCAGAGTCGATCTGCTGCAACGCTTTTCGTCCCAGGCGAGCCATCGCCTCGGCAGAATACCACTCCGCACTGAGATCCTCCAGCAACGCACAACTAGTCTCCAGACTAGCCTTGGCCCGATCAAAATGCGTGATCAATTTGCTGGAGCGTAGCTGTCGATACGAAACGCCCATCGACAGAGACAGGGCGTATGACACGATCGGCAATGGTGGGAGATTTCCCGCGCACTCGGACGCGACAATGGAGTGGATTCGTATCGCGGCGAGTCCCTGTCGTATCGATGAGAGTTTGGTGTTGTCCAGGGTTTCGGCCAGTTTATACCGGCAGGATAGAATTGCGACGCAATGGTAGTATAGTTCCAGAAAGCCTGCCAATGAGTGATATAATAGTTAGTGTCGGCTATTCAGTCAGGGTTGGAAAAACGAACCAAGTGTAACAAAATCCAAATCCCCCTGCCCAGCCTCACCCACAATATCCTCAAATGCAGGAAACCCTTCCTCCCACCCGCTAGTCACCCCCGCCGAGGGTCGATAAAATGATATCACAGTAGCCAACAACTCCGAAACCGCAAACCATACTTTAAACGCAGCCCGGGACCCCAGCTGCACCTGTAAACCAGGCTTCTCAATCCCAATATCCCGATCCGCCAAAATCACCGGCCGACCCCCAAGACTAGCATGCATCTTATCCAACGTCCACAAACACCAAAACAATTCCGACAACGTATCCCCGCATTCCCGGCCCGGCCGGTCCAAATGTAAACCCACCGTTTGAGCTTGGTGGATCGCCTCGCAGAGATGCAGGGATGCTGCCTCGGCGCCTTCATACCCTTCGCAGTGTAGCGACATCAGGGCTAGCACGCGGATGCGCGTGTATCGATCGGGTTCGAGTCCTGCGTCCATGGCGGCGGCGAGGCCTTTGTAGATTTCGGTGCAGAATTGTCGGGGTGATACTAGGTTTGTGTTTTCTGTTAGGCGGAGGTGAGCGCGTGCGGTGGGGTCTTTGGCTGCGACGAGGCAGATTGCTCTTTCGAGGAATGGTGAGGGTGTGGAGAGCTGGTGTTGATCTTGTTTTTGGTTGTGGTGGGAGTGGGAGGGGAAGGTGGTTTGGTCTACTAGAGGTATGATCTGGTTGACCTTGGAGAAATACAAAGCTGTGAGTGGTTCCCTCGTCGTGGTGGGAAGTCGACTGCATGCTTGTACTGCCGATGTATATCGCTGGTGCAGCACGGTAGCTGCTGTCTGGTCATCGAGAGCACCAGCTTCAGAGGGAATCGTTGAAAGAGCGTCTGTATTCGCGGCTGGGCGTTTCGCCTGTGAATCATCCGCGTTGTCGGGAGAACTAATCCAGAGGCCGATACGATCTCGCAGTGGATTACCAATTGGCTCGTCGAGTCGTTCGCGAATGACTGCTTCGGGATTCAGATCACCCACGAATCGCTCCGTGTTTGATAAAGCTGGCAAAGACGGGCCCGTAGACGCAGTTTGTGTCCGTGAAGGACCACGTAAACGTGATCGCGGACGATCAGAAAAGCTCAAGCCATGACTATGGCTGCTAGTAGATTGAGTCGCGTCCACACCTCGAATCTTACGTGGTGGTTTATGTTCTTCGACCTCTGAGCCTGCAGTGAGGTGTCGGCATCGTTTCTATGGGTGTTCTTAGTAACTGAAAGACCCGGTGGGTGATACTGGGTGTAGCGTGACGTAGACTTACTTTCCGGCGCTGACAGGCCGGACACGCTTTCAAGGCCCGAGTCCGATTCCGCGACTGCGGCGTATCGGCGAGCCAAGTGAGCTCCATTCGGGAGGTGGTTGAGCTTGGCTTTCGGGCCGTGCTGAAGGGAAGCGGGCGCGGGTTTATCGGTTCGGTTGGTGGAGCTGTTAGTCTTGGCCGAGAACTGGTACAGTATTTACTGACGTATGTACTCCTGGTGTACACCATACGTCTTGATAGGTATACATTTCTTGATAAGTATACATTTATTGGCCATGACTTACATATTATCGAGTATCTGGAGACTATACCAGCAGACACCCATATCTACCACAATATATGGGTAAATCACGCCGCAGTCAATGTTGAACAGCTCATTTTAAACAGACACCCAAAAGACCCCAAGCGCCATCAAATACATAATCAGATGAATACAAGCAGAAAATGCCACATAATACAATTAGTGATAATGAAGCAATGCTGACTTGATCGCAGCATCCTCTCCACATCATACAGCTTTCTTAGTCTCCTCTTCCTTCTCCGCCGCAACGAGTGCTTCAAGAGCATCATCATCGTCAAACTCGTCCTCTACAGGACCAGACTTGACAGCATTCCCCTTCACCGTCTCATCTTCCTTCTCTACCAGCGACGAAGACACATTCGCCAAAGCAGCCGAATTCTCCTTGTCTGCAGCCGGCGACACGATCTCCTTCTTACTCGGAACGAGACTCCAGTCAATAATTCCATCTTGACCATACCGCTCCGCCAGCCAGTCATTACATTTCTTGAAATGACCATTGTCGAACTGCATCAGAAACAGGTACCATTAGCAAATGTAGCCCTTCCGTCCCACCAGAAACCATACGGACGCCAGAGAAAAACACTTACAAATCCATGATGCGCACTCAACGGACTCGGATGCACAGATTGCAAAACACAATGCTTCGCCTTGTTAATCTTAGCAACCCTCGTCCCCGCAGGCTTCCCCCATGCCAAAAAGACAACTCCATTGCCCCGAACCCGCGCTACAAGGTCAATCGCCTTCTGCGTGAACTTCTCCCACCCCTTGCCGGAGTGACTGTTGGCCTGGTGTGCACGCACTGTCAGACAAGTGTTGATCATGAGAACTCCCCGCTCGGCCCAAGGAGTGAGGAGACCCCCGTTATTGGGAGGGGGGACGAAGTCGGGATAGTTCTTTTTGATTCCCTTGTAGATGTTGACTAGGGAAGGGGGTGCGCGGGTGGGCGGGCGGACGGAGAAGCAGAGTCCGTGGGCTTGGTTGTCGTTGTGGTATGGGTCTTGGCCGATGATGACGACTTTGACGGTGTGGAGAGGAGTGTGTCGGGACCTGGGGGATATCATTAGCAACCGAAAATAGCGTTTATGTGGTTCTGAATGGGTTCGATCTGACTTACCAGGAATACACGTCCTCCTCGGGTGGAAAGACCTTGACTTTACCTTCCTTCTCTTTCTTCAAAAACCGCTTGAGATTCAAAAACTCTGGCGTCACCACTTCATCCTTCAAATGCGCAAGCCAACTCTCGTCCAGAGTATCAATCTCTAGCTGTAACAGCTCCTTCTGCTCCGGCGTTAGGCCAGCCACCCATTTCTCCTTATTGAACGAGGTAGACCGCGGTGCTGGAGCTGTGCCATTTGTTCCTGAGCTAGTTGTCTGTGTGCTGAGGGCCTTGGGCTTTGGAACTCCAAAGAAAGCCGTGATGCTTCCACCCTTGGGCTTCTTGCTATCGGCCGCTGGGCCAGAGAGATGGTCCGCGTTTCGTTTAAGTGCGGGACTGACCATGGCGAAGAGTGGTGGGAGGGAATATCGGCGAGGAAGACGGAGGATAGGAAGCATGCAATTTTGTCGTTCACAGTCTTGATAGAAGGGAAAAAGGGGGTGGAGGATGACTCGAGATTCCCTAGGATCCTGGTGGCCCGTTCTTAAAGTTCGGGGGGAGCCGCAATGATCGACGCGTTGCGCGAAACGCGTCGTGGATAAGATAAGCAGGCGACCTGACAGGACCAAAGAAATTGGAGCTGTCACATTTCTTTTTTTTGTAGGAATACGAGAAGTGCGTGATCAAATGACAAGAGAATGATTTGCTGAGCTACTGGCGAAACATGCGTCTTTAGATGAGACTACAAGTGAATTTAAAATTTAGAACACGGGTTTGCGAAAGCTGAGATTCTCAACGGACATCACGAATTTTTCCATTTCAGATTGTGATGATACAAGTAACTATAGCAAAGGAGAATCAAGTTCAATTTCCACACGAGGTCACGTTCACAGCTCATCGTGAATCTCCTCCTTCTTGTCAGAGGCCGCAGGAGTCTCGGCAGCCTCAGTGGAGGAAGCCGAGGGAACGGCAGTGACATCGCCGCCCTCAGTGGGCTTCTTGCCACCGGCCAGACCGTCAATCTCGTACTTGCCGTTCCGCTTGATGAAGTCAACCAGGTCCTCAACGGTGCGGGAGCCATTGTACTCGACGGGCTCGTCCTTCTTGCCGGCGGGGAACAGCTTGATGGTAGGGAAGCCAGTGATGGAGTCGGGCACATCGTTGGCGGTAGCATCAATCTTAGCGACGACAACCTTGTCCTTGAACTCGGCAACGTCAGCGTACAGGGCAGCGAGCTCCTCGTACTTGGGAGCCAGAGCCTTGCAGTGTCCACACCAGGGGGCGTAGAACTCCAGCAGGACATCCTTGTCGTTGTCAATGACAACCTCCTGATAGTTCTTGCCAACGACAACGGTCACAGAGCCCTCCTGCTCCTCGGGGATGGGCTCGGACTTGATGCTGGGGTCAACCTTGCCGTCCAGAACGTTCTTGATGAACTTGCCAATCTCCTTGGCGTCGAGCTTCTTGGACTGGTCGTAGGGGTACTTGGCGTTCTTGTCGGTCTCCTGAATGGCGAAGGCGGGGAACTTCTCGGGCTCCAGGTTCAGGTTGCCCGCGTGAGCACCGAACGCCTTGGCGTCCAGAGTGACAATGTTGATCTCGCCACGGTGCTTCTCAGCGATGGGGCGGAACTCCTCAGCGAACTGCTCACGCTCCTCAGCGGTCTCGGCGAAGATGTAGGCGAGAGGGATACCAGCCGCCATATACTTGGAGTAGGTCTCGGGGCCGAGCTCACCAACGAGGGGAGTGCTGGCAATCTTGACCCACTTCAGGATGGCCTCCTCATCGAGCTTGCCATCGTACACGGCCGTCTTCTCATCGAAATCCTTGTAGAGAACGATCGAGGGCTGCTTGGCACCCTCGGTCTTGGCGAGAGCGGCGTCGTTGGAGGCACCGAAGAGGTAGTTGTCCCGCTGGGACTCAGCGAACGCGGTGAAGCTCTTGTTGGCGGTCTTGTCGTCGGAACCGATGTAGCCGACGATGACGATCTTGTCCATGGTCTTGAAATCCTCCAGGGTCTCCTCAGTCAGGATGGAAACCGCGGGCATCGACTGCTTGGTCATGTATGAGACGATCCTGAAGAGAGAAACCGTCGGTCAGTAGGTGATCCTCAAGTGCGGAATGGTACAATGACGAATCTACTTACGAGTCAGTCTGACGGGCACCACCATAAGCCTTGTGCGAGTCGGGGCCACGGAAGACCTTCAGGGTCGGGTAGCCATCGACCTCGTAGGTTCGGCACAGCTCCTCCTCAACTGTGCAGTCCACCTTGACGAGAGGAATGTTCTTGTCCTTCAGCTCAGTGGCAGCCTCCTCGTACTTGGGGGCCAGAGCCTTGCAATGACCGCACCAGGGAGCGTAGAACTCAGCCAGGACCAGCTCGTGCTCCTTGACGAAGTCGTTGAAGGTCTCACCGGTCAGCACGAGGACATTGGAGTCCGCAGCATCTGGGGCAGCCTCGGCAGCGGGCTCTGAGGCCGAAACGGCCGCAGAGGCACCCAGCAGGCTCAGAATGAGAGGGGCGAAGGACCGCATGATGATTCAAGTGGTTATCCAAAAAGCCGTGATCACCTAGTGGAGTCAAGCGCGTGGGGATTAGCTGATGTTTTTGGTGTTTATGGGGGAACGGGAGTAAATCGGGCGAACTTTTATCAGGAACAACAGTAGTCAAGGGAGATTTATGGGGAGGGTATCGAAGGAGTAGACAAAGGTGATGCTTACCCAAACGGCTGGTATACAAAGAGAGAATGGGGGTGAAAGGGTTCTGGGGAGAGCAAGAGGTACGGTGTGTATTTAATGTTTGGGCTCGGATGGGGGCCGGGTCGTAGAGGACAGTTTGTTCTTTGCGGCTGCGGAGAGTGGAGAGTTGCAGAACAGCCAAGTGGAGCTCTCCCCTCAGCAGTTGCTATGCAGGGCGCCCAAAAGCAAGGGGACCCTTTTTTGGAGTACCCGCCACGTCCTGGGTACTTGACAGGATGGTGAGGTGTCTTAATAGTCCTCCGGTTCATTCCCGAGTAATTTTTATTTTATTTTATTTTATTTTTTTTTCCATAAGTGTCTTTTCCTCGAGGCCATCGTTGTATGTCTATGAATCTGAAGCCCCAAGCCTTGGGTATTTAGAGACGTATAGCAGTTTATAGTTTCTCGATCCTTGGTCGAGGCCCTGGGGGGACGAGGCGCATGACTGCTGCTGCTATAGATAGTTAACTTGTGTTTGACTGTACACTCTCCTGTACAGGAGACGGCGGAATAAATCATACGATTGGCCCGTCACTACTTACTTTCAGAGCAGACTCCTACATCCAGTACAGAACGACAAAAAATAACTACATACCTAAACTCAAGGCAAAACAGCGGGTACCGTAGGGATAACCTTAGACCTAGCCATCCGCTACACTCCAATTTATCCCTTATGTGTGATATCTATTCTATTGTTAATTGGTTACACTACCTCCTAATACCGCCCAATCTTCCACTCGATCGACAGGTACCTCGTACATGCATGATACTTCCCGTCTCCCCGGATCGAATACGGCAATACGAGCGCAGACTATTGCTATAATTGCTTCTGGCCACGTTACCCGCGAGCTCTGCACGACGCTCGTGGGTTACACGCCGGGACCTGAGGAATTGTCAACACCGTGGCCTTTGACCCTTGGCGAAGATACTTCTTGATTGAAGAAATAGTTGATATCGTACCCTTTCTGTAGATGTATGTATATCTCGTAAATAATTCGTATTTCCAATGATGATCATAACGTTCAATAATTACAGTTCATCTGCATGCAGAAGCAACCCTCCCGATCTACTGGCTCAGCTCCGAATGCAAATTCTACACGTACACTCTCATAGTTGTCTATACTTCTCAAAGCTAGTTGAAGGTCACAAAAGCAAAATCAAAATCTACAATCCAGGCACCGCATGCACCACAGGCCCCGCTACGTCGGACGACTCCTCCGCGTCAGCGGAGAGGGCCCCGTATCCCGCTGTTTCAGATAGGCGGTCCAGTTCGGCACCGAGCTCGAGCGCATCCCGCTTGCCACGATCCACATCGACCAGCAGCATCAATGGCAGTGGGAGGAAGATGAGAATGGCCAGGAAGACAAAGGCTGGTCGAATCTGGCCGTAGCGGTCGGTAATTGCTCCGACAATGGCCGGTCCAAAGATGCTTGATCCCTTATCGGTGATCGCGTACAAAGCGTAGAAAGCTGCCTCGTAGCCCGGCGGGATGAGCTCGGCGAAGAAGCTTCGACAGTACGAGGAGAGGCCACCAATCACCAATCCATACACCGCGCCCAGCGGGAACATCTCCCAGGGCTGTTGAAGGCCAAATCCCATTCGCTGCACAGAAGGAATAAAGCCGAGAATCCCATAGATCGGAATGATCTCAAACAGAATGATGCATGCAATGATGGTCTGCGACGTCCGAAGGCCGAGCACGCCCGACACGTAGCTCCATGAGAAGGCGCCAAACACCCCGGCAACCATGACAATCACATTGATCAGTCCGAGTGCAGCGGGTTTCATGTCAAGCTCGGTTTTGGCAAACAGCACCGCCGTACCACTAACGGTGGCAATGCCGTCGCTGAGCAGGAACCATGCTACCAGAAAGATTAGAATGTCCGTCAGGCGTCGTGCGCGCATAGCTGTTTTGGCAAGGGACTTCCACGAGTAGGTCAGATATGCTGCCCATGAGTCCAAAGGCTTGCCATCGCTCGCTAGAAGTGGCGGACCTGGGCGGGCGCGAAGCCAGAATGTTGCCGGAATGGTGAAGACAAACCACCACAGCCCGATTAGGAACAGTGCCAGACGTAGGGAAAACGTGGTTTGGTGAAAGATCACCACAACAAGAATAGCCATCATCTGCAGAATCACAGCGCCGATATAGCCTATTCCTATTCCGTAGGAGGAAATCTTGGTAGACACGCGGAGCTCCACTGAGGTCATGATATCCAATCGACTCTCGGCTTCCGCTAAGCCAGAGGTAAGGAGTGGGGTGGAGGCGTCAGGTCGAGGCAGAGTTCCATTTTCGAATGTATCACCATTCTCTCTAGATGGGCTAGCAGCATCCAATGCTTCTTGGACATCCAGGCTTTTCTCCAAGACCAACGGATGGTGGCGAACAAGGACTGGTAAGAACGAGTTGAGAAGGACAAAGGACGCACCAAAGCAGGTATTCGCAACGATGGCCAGGAGTCCTCCGAGAAGATAGACTGAAGGGACTACCGCGAGGAGTAACATCGTTGCAGTGGCGCCGATAAACGCAAACGTGATTAGCAACTTCTTTCGATAGCTTCCGTGGTCAGCGGCGCCAGACATGGATATGATGAGAATCGCTTGGACCAGGACGCTGAGGGAAAAGGTATATAAGGCAAAGCTTGCCGTGTTGATCTCGGCACCAAGGAAGTAGACGATACACTGGCCAGCATCAGAGCCTTGGATATGATATCCATCAGGGTGGTCCTTCGATGGCTTCCATGTCGGCGTACAGGGGGTAGTCTTGTCGGATAGGAGAACGCCGCGGTCCCGCGCCAGCTGTTCCAGTGTAATCGGAAGAAATGAGCCTGTTCAGGATAAGTATTGAATGAGGAGACCAAGCCAGTCGAGCCGATTCATTCATTGAGTGGTACGTACCCATAGCACAGACAGGGAAGACCTCGGCTGCCCAGCCATAACAATACCAGCCCGCAAGCTCTCGCTTACTTGTTGGCCGTGGGTCATCACCGAGATAGTTTGGAAGCAGGCCCTCAGTCTCACCTGCTTCACCGTCTCCCACTTCATTCAAGCTCATCGTTGGTAGTGTAGACCTAAAGATCTAGACCCGTGGAGTTCTTGGGGCGGAGGGGAGCTTTGGTAGTTAGCGCTGGATGGTGAGGTCATGGGGCAGCATTCCGGGTATATAACCCGTAATTACCGCGTCATATCATAAACAAGGCGGGCGGAACTGCCGCTGCACAATGTAGGGGATACCAGCTCCTGACAATACCAGGCACTCAGGCAGCTACGGGCTTGGCGGTGCGTGCGCATCGCGCTTTCACCATCGCTTTGGGCGACTCGGCATTCACCACTTTTGGCATCCTCCTCTCACCTCACGATCTCGACCTCTTCTGTCCTCACGACCTTCGCAAATTTCTAACGGTCCCCGCGACAACTTTGACTCCTCCGCTGATTCCACGACTTCCTTCTCACCGTTGATACGTATCGGAGATTGTGCAGCCGTCGGCGCAATTCGAACAGCCTTCTCCTCCCCTCCTTCAGAGCGTCCAACTTTTCCCCTCGACATCTTTCACTTTCTCGGCCTTTAAACTTTGATCAAGTACCTCTCGCCCTCTTCGCCTCACGACTATCCAATTCGGACTCTGGTCGTGCGCCCGGCTCCCCTTGATTATGACCGGGGCCATTGTTTTGGACGGCCAGTGATACGCATGGCACTGGGTTAAGAAATACTTCCTTCTGACCTGGTCTTGAACCTTCATTTACCTGCTTCCAACCGGTGCCGGCTGGTTTCGAGCCTTGGAGCCCGCGGCTCAGCTGTGTCGCTCGGGTTGGTGCCGTGCAGAAGGTCCAGGAGGGGAAGGTAATCCCTGGGAGCCGAAACCCGTGCCTAACCAGACATGCCCGGCGTCATCATGGACAATGCCAATGTCGAGGGAACTCCGCGGAGGCCTGGTCTCAACGAGGCTACCAATGGTGCCCTGGGTTCTATGGGGTCTAACGAAAAGTTTGGTCAACGGCCAGCCCTCGCGAACGGGCCGGTTCATGTGAATGGCGCAGGACGTGAAGCCGACAACTCGAACCAACTTTCCAAGACGACGCAGCGGGTCGAAAAGCTTGCTCCGACACCATTCGAGATTCCTCATATCACGCAAGGTTTCTTCCCATTCGGAACACTCGTCAATCGAGCCGTGCAAAACTGTTGGAATGAGTTATCAGAATTAATTTCGGAATTGGCGACCATCCAAGTCCCCGCAGATCACTCAACTGCACCTGGCGCAATCGGCAAGTCCCCCGGGAACCAGTCTGCGCAAAACATGCACAAGAAGCTCAAGATTTTGGAATGGGGACAAGCCAAGAGAGCGGAGTTTATCAAACTTCTCGTCCTTTCAGATTGGAGCCGACAAGCGGCAGAAGTCAGTCGGCTTATTGATATCCAAGGATTCATTCGCACTCGACACCAGGCGTACACGAATGCGATGAATTTCGTGGGTGTAATGAAACAAGATCTTGTTCGAGCACAGGTGGCTAATCCGGATCTGAAAACGGCACTCGAGGTTCTCGCCAAGGGCAGGGTAACCTCTCTACCAGATGTGAGTTTTGAATTCAATGACCGGTTTTGTTTTCAAACGGAGTTAAGACATGCTAACTATTCCGTCACAGTTTGGCTACAAGCCCCCAAAACCGCTCTCTGCACGCGCAACTCTCAAAAAATTGCACAAGATCAACCGGATCATCAGTGCGAGGCTAATATTGCAAGACCAAGTACCACATGCCTTACGACAGTATCGCGTCCACGATGGCCGAGTGACCTTCACAGTAGCTGGAGAATTTGAACTTGATCTTTCCGTTGCGCAGGAGGCGAAGACCTCCCAATTCTTTTTCGTTGACATTCGATTCCTCTTCACTCCCTCTTCACCGATTCCCAAAGGCCGCATTCTCAACGAACTAGAGGTTGAGGTCAACCGAATACTTTTTAGCGATGGCCTGCTTGGATGCTTCAAGTTCCTGCATGGCTTGGTCCTCACAAACAAGGTCAACACTCTCTTTAGACAAGCTCAAGAGCTCGCACGAGGACTATGGGCGAACTTATTACGCATTGAGCTACTCCATCGCACCCTTGTCGTTCAGTACTGGCCATCGAGGGCAGGACCCAAGAGCTGGATTGAGATCGGCGTTCGAAGGGGTAGCGTTGACGCGAAGATCAAGGTCCCACACCTTAATCTTCGCTGGATGCGCGATGGCCAACAGGCAAACGGCGTTGATATCAAGTTCGATACGGACGCACTCTCCATGGAGCGCACCCTTCGAAGCGTGATCGCACTACATACATCGCATGTGCTCTCCTCTGCATACACCGTCTTGAGAAAACATCTTCTGTTTACCAATCATGTTCTCTCACTCCGGGGCCAGCTTTCCTCGTCAGAGCCCAGCGATTGTTATCTTGACCTGCAGCTGACGACCACTCGACACCTGCGGGTCTCTATCGAGCCTCAGTCTGGAACCGTCACGCTCGCCGGTACACCAAGTGTGGTGGAGCGCTCAGAGGGTGAGCGAGCTCCGGGCAAGTCAGCAGTGGAGGAGCTATTATCTCGGATCGCTCGCATTCGCTGTGCCACTGCAGCGGAGGAGATCGAATCTGGCACCAAGGCACTTGGGCTGGAGAGTGTCAATCACAGGGCAGTGGGAATTGACATTCGCAAGCTGTTCCCACCTAATACCGTCCGCTCCGCCTTCTTTACACATCAAACATGGGATCGTCGCTGGATTGCCGCCGCAACGAGCAGCATGGATGGCGACCAATGGTGGCTGGTGCAACTTCGGCCAGAGTCTCGGCGCTCAGCGCTGCCGTACACTGTTACTGAGGGCGCTTCAAGTCCCGCGTTAGCGCATGCTGTCAGCAGCACTCTGATGGGAGCGGGGCGTCGATTCGATTACACTGCGTGCGCAGAGCTAGTATACGGTCTAACCGGTATGCTCGCGATTTACGCCAATGCTCGATGCTTGACAGACTTGCCCGGTGTGCGTTTCCAACCGCCTCTGGAGAAACTACAGCTCGAATCAGACCTGCAGGTTCCCGATCTCTACATCGACTATCAACCATCCGCGCTCCCTGCAGCGTTTCAAATACCTTTACCTGCTTCGCATTTGCAGAAGGGCTCTTTCTTGGGGAACACGATTCGACTTTCGTTCGAAGGTGTCGATCGAAAAAGCAATTCGGCAGTTTTGGTGGCGCACGGTACCTTACAACGGCGCATCAAGTCACTCGGTCTTCTCATCTCGCAAGTGGATCCCGAGCTTCTCGTGCAGGACAAGGGAGGTGGTTTCTCGCTTCGCCTGGTCGTGCCAGCAGGGCAAGCTGCTGTGATCGGACTCTTCGAGCGCTTGCAACGACTTGACTGCGTGATCTATATCCTCCAAAAGCTGATCCAGAAGGGCATGGAGCCACGGTCGTTGTCTCTCTCTGGATTTACTTTCCTCTATGGCCCGGGGAAAAAGCTGCAGGCCAGATTTGGGATCGACGTCTCAGGACCTTCACTGTCGACTTACATCGATATCCCCCAGGTCCTCTCACAGACCACTCCGATCTTCCGCCTCTGCCTGAGGCTCAGCTTCGACAGCCCCAGCCCCCACCGCCGGATCCAAGAGGCCTTGGCCGTTGTGCTTAACCACCGCTTTGCGGAGGTCGGTATTGATCCTATTCTTGTCTTGATGGCCGATACGTTCCCCCTCCTTCGTAGCCTGGATCAAATCATCACGAAACCAGGCCAGTCGGAGTCCTCCTTGGTCCATTTCACCGTGCGGAGTCCCACCGTCTTCCAGATTCACTATCCCCGGTTAAGATATCGGTTCCGACTGTCCGCTCATTTGCGACATAGCCGGACTGAATGGCTACTCGAGGACGCGAACCACCCGCCTCCAGTGGAGCCTAGCCCAGTCTCGGCCGCAGTCCGAGAAAACATCTACAATGCTAGGGGTGATGGGTGGCAAGGTCTCGGAGACGGTGCCAGGGCATCTATCCAACGCATTGGAGATCTTCTTTCTAAACTGCACGAGTGTCTGGGCACTTGTCAGCCTGTCCCCGAGCCTGCTCCGGAAAGCACAAACGGGAATGCGAAACCTACCTTGAAGCCCTCGCAAGAGAAACCGGCACCGCCACCACAGGCCAAAGCCAAAACGCCCTCACCGAAGAAGAAAAAGGCGATGGGAAACAACGATGTCATCACGATTGATTAAAGCTATGCGTGGTATGAACAAGGGGTTTGTTCTCTGCGAGTGCCAACCCCGACAAGGCCTGTTGTTTTAGATCTATTGGGGGCCGATGACTGTCTGCCTGCCCTTCACGCAATGTGTTCCTAGATTTTTCAATGTGAAACGCATTATCTACGGCTGCTTCAATTAACCGTAGACACTCTAGTTGTAAATTTCTACACAGCGATTTGATTCACGCATTCCAGCCCTGACAAGCTTCCCGGCGAGTTCCCTAACGACGTTATTAGGACGATTATGGATTGCCTCGGAGATATATACTCACAAGACATCTGTATTATCAAATGCCCGACATTTCTAGTTTCATTGGCTTAATAGTTCTTAGACACCAATTGTAATTGTATGCGTAAACGCCCAACTGCAGTCTTGCCTCGTTGTATCTAGTTCAAGGTTCATCTCAACCCTTTCAAGAATAACATTAATACCGCTCCTCCTTAACCCGCCCACGATTCCTCAACACATCAAACTCAATCCACTTTACAGCTTGCACGTCACCCTGTGGTAACAATCGTCCTGGGTTCATCACATGACATCCCTCGTAAGTCATGCAGAACGGGGCGGCTTCAGCATCGGCGAGGACCAACGCCGTCGGCAGTGGATATAATTGCACTGCAGACGCATGGTCCCATAGCACGGGTCGCAATTGAAGGGGGAAGGGAGACATTGTGCCTTGGTCGAGGATTGTTTTGACTAATTTGCGAGCCATCGATGCTGCGGGTGATGTACCGTTTGATTTGGTGCCGCTGGGTTGTTCGAGTTCAGGTGCGACGGAGACGGCGTCGTTTGTGGCTTCGTCTAGTGTTTCTTGCATGGCATCGTTGGACTCATCTTCGTCTGGTCGAGTGTTAATTGCTGTGCGTCGAAGTCTACCGGAAATATCATCGCGGAAGATTGCAATGTCGTGTACTGGTCCAAACCATGAAAGACGTGCGGGATTCGACGTCCACAGTGCATCGCCTGCTGGCTCGGAGGTCTGGCTCCTGTCCAGCTCGGAATTGGCCGTGTCAAAAGCGCGGCGAATGCGAGATGTGAATAGTTCTGGAATGGGCTGTCGGGGAATGGTGGTTGCTGCACCGGTCGAGAATGAGGATGCCCATGGATCGTTGTCGCCGGGGACAAAGACAAAGGTCGAATGTTGGAGGAGCGCCGGGAAGTCGGAGAGAACCACTGCGAGTGAGTCGAAGTACTCTTTATACTCGATGCTGCCGGCTCGGCCTCCGCCGTTGATAATTGCTTTTTGCACAAAGTTGCCAATCAAGATGAATGTCTGAGGCCGCTCAGAGAGGGCAAGGTCATTATACGTGCTGAAGACCTTTCGCAGCGCATCCAGCGTTTTCATGTTGTCCAGATTGACCTCGTTCAGGATGGCAACCTTGAGTCGCGCTGTAGACTCTGTAGATTCTGGGACACCGCGTAGGCATTTCTCTTGAAGTCTCCTCATACGTGCGCCCTGCGCGCGTTCACTGCCCGTCCCTAAGAAATCTACCCATCCGAATCCACCGCTGGAGCTGACATCACCGCTGGCTTGTCGCGAGCCTGTCCCAAGGGAGATATCTCTTCGCTCACAGGGAGGCCCGCAAATCGATACTCCAACAAAATGACCTCCGATGGCTCCTCCAACTCCATGGTTACCGCCCAGGAGAGAGCCCTGGACCATTTCTTCCTCCTCATAGATACCGTCTACAAGCACAATCATCCCCGGGGCAAACCATGCGCCATCTTCAGGAATCATCCGAGCATGGCTGAGGTCCAATGCTACAGTTCCCGTCAAATCCACCAATGACAAGTCTCCAGTAGGTGAAATCGAAAGCAAGCCAAGAAGAAGATGTGAAGTGCCACTTCGTCCGAGCAAGTTAGCGATTGGAGTCAACTTGTATGACTGTTGCATTCCAAGGTTTGATGATGACCGTTGAAGGGATGGCATACCAGCAACTCCCAAAGAGCTCTGGAAAGACTCATTTCGTAGAAGGCGTTGATATACCAGGTTATAACGGTCTCTGAAAAGCGCAGATTTGCGTGATGGTGGTGGGAACAACGTGGGTTTCGACTTGAGGGCCTCAAAGTATTTCTTGTCGACGTTGTAGGTCAAGCGTGGAAGATCAAATGCGTCGACTACCTTCAGCCAGTGCCGCGGATGAAATGACAACTTTGACTCGTCTTCATCCATGTCCCCGGCTCTCATCGTGAGCGATCCTTGCGAGTGGTCATTGCTGGTGTCCATCCTCCCGGCGTCCACGCCGAGGCTGGAAGTCCTTCCAGGGCCGTCTTGAGAATTGCCTTTTCCTGCAACCACTCGCCCACCACTCATACCGCTCTCGAGTGTTTGCAGGATGACCTTCAAGGAGGCACCCTTGCCTTCTTCCACGATCACACCACCTCCAGCTCTTTTCCAGATCTTGGCCACTTCGTCTAGGGCCTTCTCTGCCAATCCTTCCTCGCGCCATCCTGAGCCACAATTCTTGCCAATGAAAACAGCGAGAGTTTGCAGTGCCGATGAGGATATTGTGAGATTGTGCTTGCGAGTGAATGTGCGGAATGCCACAGGTCGAAGAGTCGCAGGTGGAAGCAGGATAGGTAGGATGGAAGTCTTTGTAGGAGGCGCATGGCCTCGTGGCAGGCGAAATGGACGGGCAGGTGTTGCAAATGCCGGCGAGGATGAGGGAATCGGGTCTTCAGCTCCAGCTCCCATTCTGAAGCGATCTGGATGTCTCGGGGTGGACGTCGGATCCATCTTGTTGTCGGGTTCTCGCTCGAGGGAGCGGTGGTACTGCGATCGAGTGAAATGTACTAGATGCAGATGCAGCAATTGGCTATTAAATGGCGTATCAAGTAGAAATCCTCGTACAAAATGACAGCGGGGACATAATTCGAGTCGTCGGAGGTTTGGCAGACCACAAATGAAGAAAGTGGACGACGCGTGACACGCGCCGCGACCGCGCCGCAAAGTGTCAGCTTATCGCCCTATCGCTTTTCCTTGCAGCTCTTCTCAACTTTCCAACTTCGCATCTTCTCTGCTCTTCAACACCCTGCCTTGGCCTTTCTCTTAATTCTTCCTTTCTATCTCTCTTTCATCTCCTCCAGCTCTCTCTCACTTAACATACACTACGCCATGGCTGAAGCCGAACAGCCCACGACGGCCGATCAGATCGAAGCCACCACTACCGACAAGCGCGCCCAGCTGGACGATTTGATCACACGAGCTGCCGCAAAAGATGCGACCAAAGACCACAATGCTGCCTCTGAGCTCTACTCACAGGCGACTGAGCTTCAGGCTGAATTGAACGGTGAAATGTCGCCCGACAATGCCGACCTGCTCTATGCGTACGGAAAATCCCTCTACAATGTTGCTGTGAGCAAGAGTGACGTGCTGGGGTCCAAGGTGGCTGGAGAGCCCCAGGCATCTAGCAATGCCCCTACGGCGAAAGATTCGTCCGCTGCTACCGGTGGGAGCCTGGTTAAGGACGCAATCTCGAGCTCCATGAACCAGAATGCTGCTGCGCCAAAGAAAGAAGTCAGCGCACAATTAGAAGCCGCCCCATCGAAGCCCTTCTTCCAATTCACCGGCGACGAGAACTTTGTCGACTCCGAAGACGAAGATGGAGAGGAGAACGGAGAGGCCGAGGAAGAAGAAGAGGAAGAAGATGACTTTGCAAATGCTTTTGAGGTCCTCGACCTGGCGCGCATCCTCTATCTCAAGAAGCTAGAGGCTGTGGAGGAAAGCAGTACGGACAAGGGCAAAGGCAAGGGCAGGCCTGTCGATCTCCCTGCGGACCTAAAACACATCAAGGAGCGCCTCGCCGACACCTACGATCTTCAGGCCGAAATCTCACTCGAAGGAGAGAGGTTCTCCGATGCCGTGACGGACTTGCGCACAGCTCTCGACCTTCGCAATACTCTGTTCCCATTCGAGGATCCTTCCGTCGCAGAGTGCCACTACAAACTCTCGCTTGCCCTGGAATTCGCGTCGGTCCAGCAGCATGGAGAAGAGGATGACGGGCAAGAGAAGACAGTAGATGAGGAAATGCGCAGCGAGGCTACGACTCAAATGGAGAGCGCGATCGAAAGCTGCAAGGTTCGCATGGCCTCGGAGCAGAAGAAGCTGGAGGCCGACAAAGACATGGACGAAGACAAGGTGACGGCTGCGAAGCGAAAGATTTCCAACGTCAAGGAGATTATCGCGGATATGGAGCAAAGAGTAAGTGCTTTTTTCCTCTGTGAAGGCGCTTATTCGAATGCACGAGTTTACTAACCCTCATTCTGTAGCTTATCGATCTGCGCCGATCACCAGTCTCCATCGAGCAAAAGGAGCAAGAAAACGAGGCCATGCTCAAGGGCATCCTTGGGCAAATTGTCGGTCAATCGGCTACGGATCAGAAAGCTCGCCTCGACGCCGTCAGCAAAGAAGCTACTGATCTTTCATCGCTTGTCCGACGCAAGCCTGCTGCTGCCCAATCCTCGCAACAGAGCTCATCTAAGCGGCCTGCGGAGGATGGCACTGCCGATGGCGAGTCGAAGCGCGCCCGCGTTGAAGATGCTTGAAAGGTCTTCGACCTTGAATGCTTGGTTTTATTTTTCTTTTTTATTTCCCGGCGTTGGTGGAGCACCCTGGTGATACTTTACCTGATGTCCTTTTGCGCCTCACGAACCGAGACTACCTATTTGGTCTAAAAAATATTGAACCACGTCATTTGAATTTGCACTATTCATGGCCATAATAATGTGCATCGCCGACAATATTGCACTAAGAATAATAAGTATATTAAGTATTAAAGTCAACAAAGGGGTATGTATGCCACGCCGCGCAGTATGAGAAACCCAATCCAAAAGCAGGCATTAATCAAGTTAGTCATAATCATAATCATATTCCATCCTCATCGCATTAGTCTTCCTCCTCGCGAGGTCTCTTCGCCTCGTGCATCACGAAATCCCAAACATTGCAGTTGCAGGCCGTCGCTCAATCTTTCGGCTGCGACGCCTATTCGCCAACCCAGGACTCCATATCCCCGCAAACAAGTCCTCACACTCGTCTTCATCCTGACTATCAAATTCCGCATCCGCAGAATTCGAATCATCCGATGCATCTCCATAACCCACGTCAGTCCCGACCCCATCCAGACTCGATATGCCCATATCGAGAGAGGAATCCCAGCACGAGGACGAAGTAATCTTCATCGTTTCCAGTATAAACTTGCCCACCTTGTACCGCTGCGACTCTTCCTCCGCCGCGACGTATTTCCACCCTAGCACGCTCCCGCAGAATGCGCAGCTCACATCGCTCACTGTGTGTGCGCCTGTCACCAGCTGTCTCGGCACGGGGTGCTGGAGTACCGTGTTGGGCAGGGATGCCGTTGGTGAGGAAGATCCACTAACGGATACTGCGCTGGCGACGGGTTCAGCGGATACGAGGTATGCACGGCCGTGGCGGCCTGTGAAGCCTTTGCTGATGATTTGGGATGTTAGGCAGAGGTGGGCGCTACAGCCGGTGCAGCGAAGGTAGGAGAGGTGTCCGTCTAGGTACTTCTCAGTCGAGGTGGGGGAGGAGCCCGAGCTGGACTGGGGAGACCGAGTTGTGGTCTGCTTGCTGGGGAAGGAGGGGATGAGGAACTTGGGGAAGAGGAGAGAGCGTCTGGATGTTTCTTTGGACATGGTTTTCGAGAACCCTGGGTTCAGTCTTGTAGACCGAGGAGAGGGGAGGGAGAAGCTAGGGATGGAGGGGTGTGTTTATAGTTTTATACATCGGAAAGTGCTGAGGTCACCAGGTTTATCTTATCGGCGGGGAAAGATACATCCACCGATGGATGATCTCATGATAACAGACTAGGCCATAGGGTCCGAGTTATATGATATTACATTATATTTAGACGAGTCCACAGGCGAGTCGTATGAATGGGCTACATGGATATTCGACTTGGGTGTAAATTACACATCAAAGATGAAAGGAATAAGTTCTCAACGAGAGGAACCCGAGGCTGAAAACAGGGCGGGATATACCTCTACAGAACAAACCACAGAGAATATCAAGACTCAACAAGGGATCCGCGCAAATTATCCGCTTCATTTGATCAGACTGTCGCTGGAAACAACAATTATTAATCGCAAGAGAAGAAAAAAAAAACATCCACTGGTTAACGACGAGCGTAGCCCTGAATTGCGCACTAGACGTGACCGTGGCACAATCATCCGCATTTGATGCTCGAACTCAACTACATTCCAGATGCAGTAACAAAAAGAAAACAAAAAAGAGAGACAGAAGAGAAGAGAAGAAAAAGAAGAAAAAAAGATATCCCTCCAAAGGGCAACCTCAGCATGAAGACTATGGAATATGATCATATCCTCGACCCGGGAAGCCCGTCGACTACACTTCAGCAACCAAGAAAAGCCATTCCGTGCTTAGTGCTGGTCCTGCTGCGCCGGATGTCCCCTTGATCCACGGATCCAGGGTAGTCAGATTGAACCCGCACCATCCGAGGCTGCGGACAAGCTCCATCTCATCGGCATGCTGGGAGCGCCGGACGCAGGCGACGATCTGCGAGCAATCGAAGGCGTCGGTTCCCGCCAGTTCGAAAAGTGCAATTAGACTGCCCCAGAGATATATCTGTTAGTGACCAAGCAAGCAAACATATCATAACAAAGGGTGATTTCTTACCCAGATTTCAGGCCGTGCCCGATGGTGCCGTCCTCGAGAAAGACGAACAGGGTGCGCTCGTCGCCCTCGCCCACTACGAAGCCACGGTATATTGCGTCGCCGCTGTAGTCCCACACCTCGATCCATTTCTGGATCGATCCTTGGTGGTCCCCGATACGGTGTTGACTGTGCTGTTGACTTGGCTGAGTCTGTTGGAACGTACCCATTCCCAGTGACTCCTGTCCGACGTCGATCCTCTCACCAAGGAAGGTCGCGGATAGTGTGTCACAGAAGAGCCTCTCACACTCTTCCGGAATGGTGTGCGTCGCCTCCCCCTTGGCTTTAGACTCGGGCCAGTTGTTCCCTGTCCAGCTGAGTGTTCCGCTGGACGCGGAATACTCGAGGGGAGGTCTTGAGGTGGTTGTTTTAGACCCTGAGGGGACCTCAGGGATACCACTGTGCTCCTTTATGAGAGAGAAGACGGGACTGTTAGCGGGAAGAGATGACGAGAAGAAAGTGATGTTGATGATGTCTTGACTCACCGGCGCCCAGAGTAGTGTAGTAGTGGAAGCCGTGGACCTTGGTGCTGCAAGACTCGACGGTGTAGCAGCTGGCGGTGACCGTCGACTCCTGAGCGAGAAACCGCGACATTTGATTGTAATTACTACTGTGATTACTCATGTATTTCGCCATGGCTGATTTCGTCGTCGTGGATGATGGGAGAGTGGTCTTGGAAGAGTTCGGAATGAGAAGACTGAGATTTGGATTCGATTCCGAAATTGAGTTCGATTGCGGAGACGAGGCTTGAATTGTAGGATGTGGAGTGGAACATGTACGATGGTATGGAGGATGAGGGTGAGGAAGTGGAGAGGGAGGAGGAAAGTCGAATGAATAATCGAGGGGGTTTCTCCCCAGTCACCTGATTCTGGCCTCACCGTTTCCAGCGATTGGGCACTGGCCGACCCGTGCCCTGTGCTTACTCTCTGGAACTTTACGTTTGTGTCTTGGCTTTGTATTTGGTTTCTGTGTCTCAGTGCCTTTGTTAAACTCCTATATTTGGCTCTAGGACGTCGTTTTTCAAGATGGATCGAGACAGTTCTCGGATCTACAGATGTAAATGTAAAAAAGCAATCTGGTTGCATTGGAACTATCTCCCTAAAATAATAGATTGATAAATTTCCTAGAAGCGAAGCCACACTCGAAGTTGACGAAACGCGGAATGGGAAAGGTATTCAATGATAAGTGAGGCTATTCTTCTAGAAATACATGACATGAATGATCCTGGAAATGCAATCCTCCCCGCCGAGGCCATGCATGATGTAGACGAAAGAAATATAGAAGTAGCGGAGGCCATATGCAAAGGGGACGAACGAAAGCAGGAAAAACGGCAAGCCAGATCGCTGGAAAGACAACAAGGTAAAAGGGCGTATACATCAAGAGAAAAGAAAAAGAAAAGCACCACCCAGAGTTCCCCATAAACGCCAGGTTGCCAGGGAAACCCATCAGACGGCCGCCATCATGATCATCACAACTCGCGATAGTCACTCGGTCGCACCCGACGATTCCTCGCCTGGTGTCGTTGAGGGTTCACCGGCTGTCGGAAATACGGCGAGTCCTCCTCACGGGAGTACGGCCCGCTAAAGGTAGTTCGTTGCTGATTGGCAAAGTTGTTCATCGCTGGGTTCTGGAAGCCGGGGTTCTGGTTGGGCATTGCGCCACCCATTCCACCCATGGGAAACATCATCGACGGATCGTTGAACATGTTCGGAAAACCATTGTTCTGGTTGCCATACATGTTGCCCTGCATTTGGGGGAAGGGCATGTTCATCGGGTTCCAGCCGGGTCCCATCGCATTCGGGAACCCGTTCGGCATGCCCATCGGGTTCATGAAGGGCATGGCGTCGTTGCCGAAACCGCCGTTTGGAAAGGAAGGCATCATGTTGCTAAAGTCTCCAAAGGGCATTTGCGGATTGAACGGCATCGTTGGGTTAGGGAGGTTAGCCGGGGCTTCTTTGGGATTGCTAGCCGTGGTGGAGACGGTGGTAGGAACGGTGCTAGCACCGGCCATTTCGGGTTGGTCCTCCTCACTTTTCTGCTTTTTGGACACATTAACGGACTCGGCAATGTCCGTCTTCTCTGGTTCGTCCTCAGCAGGCCTCTTCTTAGATTGAGTGGATGCGTCATCTCCTTGCTGGGATGGAGAACGCTCCTTCAATTCCGTATCCTTGGAGAAATCCTGCTCAGCAGCAGCGGTGCCGTTCACTGATAGTCCATTCTGTGCCGTGGAAATGGTGGGTTGCTTTTCCTTCTCTTTTTTAGCCTCGGCCTTTTCTGCCTCGTAAGCTTTGATTTTGGAAGCTGTCTCGTCATCAGGCGTAAGGTTATCAAGTAAGACCCCCTCCGTAGAGCAACCAGGGCAGACAAAGTCACTTTCAATCAAGGCATTGGAGATACAATCATTGCAATATGTCCTGTGACAACATGGGGTCTGTGTAGGTTCTAAGAACATCCTCTTGTCAATCGGGCATTCCAGACCTCGAGCCTGCAGCACCTTGCTCTCCTCTGCTGCGGCAGCCTCGGCCGCGGCCGCTGCCGAAGCCTTCGCTTTTTCTTGGTATAACTCCCATGCTGCTTTATCTGGCCGTGCAACGACAAAGTCTCCATCGGCATTCACCATGACTCCCGTGTTCCTTGAGTCATCGTTGGACCCGTCTGGTGCTAAGGAGTCGGGTTTCTCGACCTTGGTCTGCAATGATCGGGGGATACCTGTGGATCGCTTGACCCTATATTTGCCGTCGAATTTGGGGTCGTTGTTCGTCGGGCATGCTTGAATCCAGTGACCTAGTCGCAAATAATTAGTGATGAGCCTGAGAAGTACATAACGGTATGGACAGGGATTCAATAAAACATACCTTTCTCTCGGCAACGGTAGCATAGATACCCCGGTGGAGGAGGGTGATCAGGAACGTTGACAGGTTTTCCTCTGCCACGGCCGAACGGAACGGGTGTCGCACTAGGTTAGATCGTCAGCATGGGTCATCTTGCCGTAATCCAGGGTAGAAACTCACTTGGCCATCTCTTGTTGCTGCTCCTTCCACTGGCTAGCTTGCAAATTGAAGAGCGCATTAATCTTCTCCTCTTCTGTCTGCGCATTGTTAAGCTCCAGCACATTGTTGGTCACTGATCCTCCCATCCCCGGCACAGCTCGATTGGTCGACGGTTCGGTGCGGGAGGCGTTGCGAGCATTGACGGGCATTTTACCAGAGACATATCGAGCGGCACCACCCTTGCCGGGGCGCGCGGCGGGGAGTCGACGAGCAATGACGGAGGTGGACCGGGGGATAATAGTGGTATCGTCATCGTATTCTATGGCTGGTGGTTAGATTTGATATTCAAGGTCTCGCGCAGTTTGAACTGGACTGGTCTTTTGTGTCACCTACCTTCTCCCGTATCCTCGACGTAAATTTCCAGCTCAAAGTCAGACCCATCGCCCAATCTACTCTGGTTGATGATCTCACGCTTGAGTTCAAAGACGGAAATACCAGTGCCATCGAAAGTGACCCGCGAGGGCTCTTTCTGGGACTTGAATTTGAAATGAACTGACGATGACATTGTATTGAAATATGTGTGCGAACGCAAGCAAGGAGACGGAGAACAAAAGGGAAAACTTCCAGGGACTGATTTCTTAGATTCAGATCGAACCCTTGGGCCTAGAAAGAGTAACTCTCAATCCCAGAGGCACAAGTTGAGAGAGGAGGGAGAGTCAAAAGGAGCAAGAGAAGTACGGGGGGATCGAAGAGGGGGGGGGGAATACTGCCAAGGGAGAAGAGGGCAAGGTAAGGCAGCAATGGAGAGTATCAGAGTATCCGGGATGAAACACCGCGAGCGTGGACACACAGAGGATGTGTCTCGGGGGGAGGTTGGTTCTTTTTTCTTTCTTTCTTTCTTTCTTTCTTTCTTTCTTTCTTTCTTTATGGGCAGAAGTGGATGGGTCGATAGGCTCCAGGTCTATCGGAAACTTCGAGATGAGAGACTGAGTATGAATCTTTCTCTTGAATGCTGAAAGGTGAGTGGTCACACTGCATACAAATGAAGATCAAACACTGATGGATACAATGATCGAAGACAGACAAGGCATAACACAAGGAAAACTGTCGCCAGGCAAGAGACACCAGCAGGAAGAGCGATTCCAATCCTTCAAGTTCTCTCTTGAACAGCCACCTCCGTCACTTGGGAAGAGGACGTTTGATCTCACCACGGGGGAACACGAGTTGAGAGAGCGCTGAGGAAGGGAGTTCCGCGTGTCGGTCGCGTGTTCTCAGGGACTCGGCTACTCGGGAGGCAGATCCCATCCACAGAGGTGATGAATCTGAAGTAGAAGAGACTCTGTAACGATCCAAGTGAATCGGGGGGATGGTGTTAGTAAGGTCGACGATGCGAGCAGGTCGGATGAGGTTGGAGGGAGACGAGAGGAGGTGGAGAGGAGGTGGTGAGGTGGTGTGAGGTGAAGTGGCGACCGGAAAAGTTCACCTGACGCCGCCAGTGTCACCGCCCTGCTTATGTCATCGAGAGGCCCCCGACCCGACTCTGGCTGGAAGATGCCAGTTCCGGAAGTCTTGAAGAAATACATACCCTCAATTACTTCCATCTAATTGTTACAGTAGGTATTTAATTCATATGATTGATTGATTTAATGGGTTACACGCAGAGTCTGGTCTATATGTTCATTCAACGTAAAATTCTATCTATACGAAAGCCAACCCTGGCTATTCAGGCCGTCACAAAGGGACAGGCCCAGGTCGTACCTATTAGCTTAGAGATCGGCCTCAAATTGGCGTACCAAAAAACCCTCGGCTTGGAGGTGATCCTTGACCTGGCTCACAGTATACTCTGCACGGTGGAACTAGAGAATGACAAAAAATGTTAGCCAATATCTTCAAACTTGCCAAAAGCCTGATACTCTTTGGTGGGGAACTTACCATGCCTGCACCCAATGCCGCATCGGTCGTCGTCTTGCTAAAGACTTCTGCAAAGTGACCCGGTACTCCAGCGCCACTGGAGGCAATGACGGGAATCTTGACGGCAGCCTTGACGTCGTTAATTAGCTCCAAGTCAAAGCCGCTGTTGCTGCCGTCCTTGTCGATGCAGTTGAGCAGGATTTCACCCGCACCCATCGCCTCCACTGCCTGCACCAATTGCCGCACATCCATGTCGCGAGTCTCCCGGCCACCCTTGACCGTGCACTGGTACCAGCAGTAGCTCTGGCCGGCAGCATTAGGATAGGCGGTCTTCAACGTGTGGTGAGTGGTGTCCTCTGGTCGATCGACGTAGACCCGCTTAGGATCGACGCTCACTACCACGGCCTGTTTGCCGTAGGCATTCGAGATTGTCTCGATGGCAGTGCGTCCGCTCAGCCCAGATTTGTAGTAGTCTTCAGCGGCAAAGACCGCGTCTGAGCCAATGCTGACCTTGTCGGCACCGGACTTGAAGTACATCGTCGCGACGTCCAGCGCAGGAATAGCGGTGCCGTCAGTGTCGACGGTGTCTTTGATGCCTCCACCAATAGTCAAGGGCACAAAGACGGTCTCTGATGTCCTCCGGAGAATCTCCAGCATGGGTGTGTCTGCCACAGGGCAGTTGCGGAAGGATGTGATGTTCAGGAACGTGACTTCGTCTGCTCCTTGCTCGTAATACTTCTTGGCCATGTCGACGGGCTTTCCGAGGTTACGAACCTGGCCACCTGCATCTACTCCACTCTTTTCACGGACGTCATATTGATCGCCCTTGGTCACGACGAGATCTCCGTTATCGTTTGCTCGCACATCAAGACAGGCAATGACTCGGCGCGTCAGTCCATTTTCCTTACCAGCCAGCAATTCTTGAGGAAGAGATTGGAATTGATCACCGGTCAAGAAAGCGCGGATGGCTCGTAGTCCGGCCACTCCGCTCTTCTCAGGGTGGAATTGAGTACCGAAAACATTTCCTCGGCTGATGGCACCAATGAATTCCTCCTCGCCATATGTGGCTGTCGCAATCGACCAGCCGTCCGCCTCGAGCACTCCGGGCTGGTAAGGCGCGGCATATGAGTGAACGTAGTAGTATTTGCTGGTTGGCCTCAATCCATATAAGCTCTGCTTTTTCGTCTCGATCTCCGTGTTCATCGCCGAGTTCCAACCAATGTGTGGTACGCTCTTGGACTTGTCGTCGAACTTTTGAATGCGCATAGGAACGACACCTAGGCCGGGAACGTCGGGATCTTCTTCGGAGCCTTGGAACAACGCCTGCAGACCGACACAGATTCCCATGAAAGGCTTTCCGGCTTCAATGTGCTCGCGAATGGGGCCCAGGAACCCGCCCTGGTCCAGTTGCGAGAGGCAGTGGCCGAAGTGGCCGACACCAGGGAGGATCAGTTTCTGCCATACACCAGGAAATTGTCAGTGTCCGGACCGTCAAAAAATTGAGTAATTGAGTGCCAATCCTGGGTCAGTGGTCTGCTATCGCTTCTGATATTCACATACATCGGCGTTCTTCACATCTTCGGGAGTCTTGACCCATTCCACCTCATATCCGACTTGGTTGATCGCATTGACCAACGAGCGAATGTTCCCCGCGACATAGTCCAAAAGGTGAACGGTCGGCATTTTGAAAGAAGACTCTGTAGTCACAACGGCGACGTACAGCGTATGAGGGGCGAGTCTCGAGTCTTTTTAAGGCTGGCGGGGGAAGATCGGAGTCATAGGCCCCTCCAAAATTCACCGGCTGAGTCATACGCCCTTCGTTTTTCTGAGGGGCAGAAAGTGCTACATGTAAAACGACGTGGGGAAAGACTGTTGGGCCTAACCACTTTCGGTTAGTCAGGTCCGGCAGATGAGCACTGGGCATCTCACATAGTTAGTTACTGTGTAGTATGTGTCATCTACAGGGGGGAAAACTATACTGTCGGAATTGGTTGACGTTGTATCCGCGACTAGAGGTCTCCTCGTATCTCCTTCTGCCCCACCACGCAAGATGTCGAGTCATACAGGTGCGCTCTTAATTTCACCAAAGGGGGTTGAAAGGCTAATTCGAAATGTGGAGCACAAGCTGGTTGTGGTCTCGTTTTTGCCGATGCGCTTTGCGTGATAATCATCTCAATATTTACCTCCCGATCTTCTTCCTGGGCTGGGCTTCCAATATCCAACTTGGTATTGTGTCGCTTTCTACACCATACTGGGTCAACTTTCGTCTTGTGTCCCAACATCACCTCAATGTATATTGTCCTTGGCACTCTATTTCATCTCGTCGTCGTTATCGTAATCATTGAGGAGATCCAAACTTCATTCATGACTCACTCAGAGCCCTGCAAGTAAACTAGACCATTTGACGGCTGGAAGGTGAATTAGCATTCAAGAATCAATCATACGATACTGGAATAATAAATCTTACAGGGCTGAACTGCCGCAACCGCACACCCGCCGCCTTGAGAATCGCAGCGCTCTAGAAGTCAGGATGTTAGCAAGGAAACTTGGCCTGAGGGGCTGCTTTCGGTGCAGAGTTACCTCCGTGTCCATGTTGTAGCCGTGCGAGTACACAACCTCGGAGATGCCAACCTGGGTAATTTTGACGGTACACGTCAGGCATGGACACCTGTGCTCATACATCATACATTAGCATCGAAATCATCAAGACCGCTGCTAGGTGAAAACTTACGTGTCACAATAGAGAATTGCACCTTCGCGGATACGTTCTCGGCCAGCTTCCAGCAGAGCATTCTCCTCCGCATGGAGACAAAGACAGGTAGATAGACAGACTCCACCGCCATCACCACGATTGCATCGGGGACCTATTGAATGTTCAGCCGGGGACAGTCCACTGGTCGTGCACCACGAAAAGCAGGAGAGAAAGGGGGTTCAAGCATCGTACATCCACCTTCATTGCAGTTGGGTAGGTGTCGAGGCGTTCCATTATAGCCAGTACTGATGACCCGGCATTCTCGAACGAGGACACAGCCCACTCGGCGTTTCATGCAATTGCTTCTTTGCGCGGCAAGGGACGCAAGTTGCATGAAGTATTGATCCCAGTTTGGTCGCAGACGCTTTTCGTCGGCCAGGGCCAGAGTTTTAAGAGAGCCGTGGAGCACATCCAGAGAGGAAGAGGAGTTGAAAAGACGCAACTGGGCTCTATCTGTGAGATAGACTCGCCCAATGTCCTTTTCATATAAGTGATGGTCGTTCCATAAGACGAACTTCTCCAAATCAGGCGGGTCTAATTGTCTTCGCCAGCACCTGCACCGTACGATCATTATGAGCCTGTCTGCTTTCTACCACCCTCTTCATCAAAGTAATCAATCCTGGGGGTTTGGACCACGAACCGGTCCGAGAATCGTTTCCAGCGAAGACTGACAGGAGCATCAACGCTCACCAAGAGGAAGAAGGGCCGCAGCAGGAACCGGTCGAGGGTCAAGACGTCTGCAATATCGGTGGTCACCCACTTCTCTTGCCATCTTTTGGTCACAAAATCCAACATGGCCTCCGAGGTATCGAATACTAGGTCGGACTGAGCATCTCGGTCTTTCCGGTCTCGGGTCTTTCTGATCTCCGAGGCTTGGAATCGTAGGTCGTCCTCGGGCTCATCGGTGATATGCTGGGTGGGTTTGGTGGCCAGCTCGAGCAGCTGAAACCCTTCATGCTCGATCAAATACTCGGCAATTGCATGCTTGCCAGCACAAATGGCTACAGAGATTTTAGTTAATTCACGTGTCGTCGCGAGGAGGAGGAGGAGGAGGAGGAGGAGGAGGAGGAGGGGGGGGGAGGTATTCTGCTGACCTCCGCATAGGCCGATAAGCATTCTAGCAATTACTAACCAGCAGACCACAAGACCACAGGAAAGAACAAGGTCGAGGAAGGGCCAAAAGGGACTGGAGAGTTTTGCGGTGAGCTCGTGAGTGCTCAACGAGGGAGTTGAGTTGTTTCCACGAGGGGCTGGTCACGCGGTTTTTTTTATTTTCTTATTTCCTCTTTCCTTTTTCTTGGGACGCGCGACGATTACATCACCCCCACTTTCCCCTCCCGTTCCACTCCACTTCTTCCTTCCAACTCAGACTCGAGCTGATATACTCCGCACCAGCATCAGCAAAGGACGAGACTCTGATCTCAATATTTCTAACCCTCTGGCCCTGGGCCTGTGATACCTTACCCCTTGACTCAACTCGAGATGCAGTACGCGCCATATGCGTCCGATATCGAGCTGCCGTTCTATACGGCGCTCGCCTCACATAAGATCAACCATGACAAGCTGGATGACTCCGCCCGATCCGTGCTGGGGCTCTATGAGATCCGCTCCACCGACGCTGACAACGCGAGTTGTCGAATCCAGATCCATGGAAATGCCCTTGTGAATACTGAGTACGTCCCTCGCGAATCCTACGCATGTATTCCCGATACATGCATGATATGTGTAGTTTATAGTCGTCGTCCGAGCTAACAAGATGGACGCAGAGCACCGGCGGGTTTTTACCGCGCAGAAGGCATGATCAAAAATGTCAACACGATCGAGGATTATCGTAACATGGATAAACAGCGGATGATCCTCCAAGCGGGGAAAACGGTACGAGCGTGTCAGGTTACCCTTAGTGATCTCAGCCAAGTAATTAACCTACCGATACACAGATCTGGGATGCTATTAACGACGGCACTATCTACTCCTGTCCGTCTTTGCTATCGTCGTTTATCATTCTCTCCTTTGCCGATTTGAAGAAATACAAATTCTATTACTGGTTTGCGTTCCCTGCCGTCCATTCCGATCCGTCTTGGGTCCCCGTGACCTCAGCCGAGTCCCGTCAGGCACATGACGGGAGCGCACCTCCAGGAGAAAACCTGGCTTCTCAAGACAGCGCTGCTCTTGTGGACGCAGTGCAAACGTGGAGTTATGGAGTCGATAGTCGACAGCGCGGATTTTTCCTAGCCCGCAAGCTGCGCACAGCTTCTGGCAACTCATCCGGGGGCTCCTGGAGAATCGCCTCGCTGTCGGAATACGAGAACGGCTTCTTCACAGGGGCGGCGTCTGAGGATCGGTATGTCTGCTTTGCAGATCCTTCCAATTACGAGAACGCTCCCGGCTGGATGCTTCGCAATCTGTTGGTCCTTGTGAAGCAACGATGGGGTCTAGATCGGGTGCAGATTCTACGGTATCGCGACGTCCAGTCAAAGCGAGATCAGGGTCGCAGCATGGTCATTCGTCTTGAGTCGAAACTCGTTGGAGATGAAGCTAGCTCGACTGCCAAATCTCAGCAAATATCTGGTCAAATTCCTAAGATCACTGGCTGGGAGCGTAATCCAGCCGGCAAGTTGGCGGGCAGGATTGTCAACCTAACGGAATATATGGATCCCACCAGGTACAGTTGTTACTGCTGGGGTAAGACCGCTTTAGCAAGTACTGATCTTCATTTTTCATCACATACAGGCTAGCAGACCAGTCGGTTGACCTCAATCTTAAACTCATGAAATGGCGCATTAGCCCGTCACTGAATCTTGAGAAGATCAAGCACACCAAATGTCTTTTGCTTGGCGCTGGCACTCTCGGGAGCTATGTTGCCCGCAACCTGTTGGTATGTAGTGCTGTCTTGCTTACTTGTTGGTTTTGAAATATTGAGACTGACGACTACGACTACCACAATTATAGGGATGGGGAGTGAAGCAAATCACGTTTGTAGACAACGGCACTGTTTCATTCTCTAACCCTGTCCGCCAGCCTCTCTTTACATTTGCCGACTGCTTGAATGGCGGTGCACCAAAAGCTCATCGGGCTTCAGAAGCCTTGAAGGATATTTACCCTGGGGTCGAAACATCCGGACACCTTCTTTCTGTGCCCATGGCTGGCCACCCTATTCTGGATGAGGACGCTACGCGGGCAGAATTCGAAGCCCTCCAAAAGCTTATTGACAAGCACGATGCCATTTTCCTTCTGATGGACACGCGAGAATCACGATGGCTACCCACGGTGATGGGAAAAGCAGCAGGGAAGATTGTAATGAATGCGGCATTGGGTTTCGATTCCTTCGTTGTCATGCGTCATGGAATCTCTGAAACAGGAGATGCTCCGGCGGATCTAGGATGCTACTTCTGTAATGATGTTGTAGCACCAGCGAATGTAAGAGGTTGCCCAAGTTTCCTTTGCGCTGATGTCAGGCTGACCACCAGAAAAGTCGATCAAAGATCAGACTCTCGATCAACAATGTACCGTCACCCGCCCAGGGGTTGCTGCAATAGCCTCTGCACTCCTAGTGGAACTGCTCGTCTCGATCATTCAGCATCCGCAGGGTGCCGCAGCGCCAGCGCCAGCGACCCGCAGTGATGATCGAGGGGACCATCCGCTAGGGCTTGTGCCACATCAAATTCGAGGGTTCCTTGCAACGTTTGAAAATATGACCGTCACCGGCAAGAGTTACTCGTGCTGTAGCGCTTGTTCGGACAAGGTCACCAGCGCATATCAAGAGCAAGGCTGGGACTTCGTCCGAAAGGCCCTGAACGAGCGAGGGTATGTGGAGGAATTGAGCGGACTCAAAGAGGTGCGTGGACCCCATAGAGTACAACTCGAGTCTCTGATTTTGGCCTCTAACAAATGATCATCAGGTCCAAGAGAAAGCCGAGGCAGCCTTGGCCGATGTCGAGTGGGACGAAGCCTCGGAGAATGACGAGATCGAGATGCTGTAGATAGCAAGAAACCATCATTCTAAACCGTTTCTGGCGTCATGGAGGACAATTGACTCAGTTTTTATTCACGACTTGCGGTCAAGCCCCACGAAAAAGGCTTCTTTGGATTCCTATCAATTGACTTTTGATTAGCTGACAGTCGATGGAGTTGGGGAGACACGGACCAGGCGTACACTGCGTGATGATTCAGGCTTAAGTCGATGAACCCTTTGAAACATATCTTTGAGCTGCTTCTCCAACTCTTTATCTTCTGCTCCTTGGTAGAATTTACAGACAAAATGCCCGCCTGCTTTCAGGACCTTCGAGCTGAACTGTAACGCAGCATTACAGAGGTCCTGTTGTTCCGGAAGGAAGCTATTAGTTCAAGGCCTGCGCAGGGTGGACAGGTGTGCTATAAGTAGCAAGCACCTGGTCTGGAGAAACTCACCATACTCCCTGCGTGATCTCTGAAAGTGTTTCCGCTGGTGTTCATCATCCTGTGATAGGGATTACTTAGACTTCGTTTCCAGAAACCGGATGTCTGATACCAGGGAGCAGACATATCGCTGAGAACCACATCCACCGTCATTTCTCGGGTCTTATCATCGTCGGATTGCGCTGCGCCGGGGTCTGCATTGCTGGCAGGCTCGAGCAGGCTAGGACTGGCGTCGTCGATGGCCCCAGGCTGTCGGGGTCGACCCCGATTCGGGTTGCGTAAGAAATCTTGGATATATTCCTGGATTTCAGGTGCAAGGAAATTCCCTTGAATGGTGGAAACGCCCTTTGGCGGTTGTGCAGGAATAATGTCCACGCCGAGCACGCGACCATTTGGCTGTGTCCGGCTTACGGCTACCTAGACGATTGAATTAGAATATTTGAATACGCGAGTTGATGAATGTTTTGGAAGGCCAACCTGGGACCATGATCCTGGTGCATAGCCCTGGTTGAAATTGACGTGTTAGCTTCGGTCTTTTTCCCCCTGATCAGTTCTGGAGCCGAGGAAGGGCGAAGCATACCAAGTCGACAACGGTTTGTCCGCGTCGGAATATCCGATATTTCTCATCTATCTGCTTTCGTCAGAGTTTCTTCCATCTCGACGTATAGCATGTACTTTCTAGAGAATGATTCTGAAAGTCACACTGCTCCGTACCTGTAACAACTTGAACGCAGCTCTGCTTTTCAGGCCTTGCACTGCTGCCTCTCTAGTAAATTGATCCCTCTGCTGGCGGGCCTGCCATCGTTTAGATGATGCTTTTCGGATCTGATTCAACAGTCCGGAGGCCCCAATGGCTCTAGGCCGGATGGAGAAGAATGCAAACATGACGTTGACGCCTAAAGATGATCTCATGGAGAAGAACCGCAGACGAGGCAAAAGGAAATGTTCTGCCGGCAGAACGCGAACACAACGCGACTCCGCCTTTCATCTACTCTTGTAGCGTATAAAACAAGACGTACTACCGAGTACATATATAGAGTATGAGCTTTACCTTCGTATCAAGGGTTTACGAAATCCGTATGGATGGACCGATGGCTGAATCCTGAAGGTCGAACTATAGTCTATATTCTCAACTCGGCAGAAGACAGCCGTCGTCTCACGTTGATGGCTGGGTGCATCGTCAAACTACAGGCCAACCAGTCCGCACTCCCATGATGTTTATTAAGTATTTAAGACAGGAAATCTTAGTCCAAACTTAAGACTGGCTAACCCTATCGCATGCGATCTCGCTTCAGAGGTGAAAATGCCCTAGCTGCACCAAAGCCTCCCCCACGAGCCAGCCGATCCCCAGCCAATGCAGTAGATAGAGGTGCCGCAAGTACCGACTGTCGCCCGCCACCAAGAGTCAACTTTCGAGGCTTCCGGAGGCCAAGAAGGTCATCCTCATCCTCATCTTCAAACAAACTGCGCTCTCGCTGAGCCCCAAGTTTCCGCCTCTTGGTCTTCGCCTGTCCTTGCTCTACGGGGCCATCATACTGCGGTTCCTCGGCAGCCTCAGGAGAAGCCTTCCCGACGGGGCGGCTCGCTGGCTCTTTCGGTTCTCGTGTAACTTTGGATTTGACCGGGTTTCCCGCTCGTGCCTTTGGCTTCGCTTTTTTCGCTTTAGGAGCAGGTTGGGCCGATTCCTCACCGGGTGACGAATTCCCGTCATTTTGATGAACGGCACTGGGCTTACGCAGTGCAGTATGACTTTTCTCGACTTCATATTCCTCCACGTCGGAGCTTATTGGAGCATCACGAGGCGCAGGACCCGTGCGGTTCAGGAATGGGGTGATGGAAAATGCTGACTTGTCGCCCGGCAGCGCGGATTGTCTCTTTGGCTTCTCTTGCACACGCACAGCTCCTGGCGTTGCGATTGTCATGCCCACGGAGTGAGAATCTTCGCTGGGTCCCGGACGCTGAAGCGGAACTCTTCGCGACCCTGATTCATCGCCAACTGTTTCATTGCCTGTACGGATGTTGCTGCGCCGTTGAAGGTCATCCTGCGCCTCCCGAAGCTTATCCTTAGCCGAGCGGAGTTGCTTTCGTAGCGTTTCAATCTTTCCCTCCAATACTGATCGTTCCTTTTCCCATCCTACATTCTGCTGCTGATCGCCTCGTTCACGCTGTTGATTTGCTCGTTGCTCTCTTGCGAGTCCATTTTGAAGCTCTTCAATTTGGGATGATAGGTTGGTAATCTGGGTAGCTTGGTCAGAGCTCTTCGCTCGCGTTCGCTCGTGAGAATTTCTCTCATTTTCAATTTGAAGTTCAAGCGAGTTAAGTTGCCGCTCCATCGCCTGCTTTTCAGCCACCATGGCCTGGTGGGAGGTATTCTGGGTCTGTAACCGCTCTAGTGTGGACTTGGCATTGGATAACTCTCGTGAAAGCTGCATTTTCTCTGTCTGTAGCGTTTTGTAGCTGGTCGATGTATCGTTTAATGCTGAAAGCTCTTCCTACTATAGATCAGATATTTGACTCAACAGCTACAACGACTCTTATAAGGCAGGTACTCACCTTTAGCCTCTGAATCTCATTTGACGTTGCTTGGACGGTCTGGTCTAAGAAATCAATTTCCTGGAAAGCTTCATCCAATTGAAGATGCGCTTCAGACTCGGCCTGTGTCAATCCCAGTATCCGGTCGTTGGCTTGGTCGAGCTTCGTTTGTAGGGCATCGCGATCGAATTGAAGAAGCAGATACTCCATACGTCGCACGCGATCTCGCTCGGTGTCCAATAGACGTGCCGAGTCCGCAATTGCCTTTTCATATTCCTTCTCGAGGCGCACTGTTTTGATAGACATCTCGCACTGATTTGGTTAGTCTTGAGCGCGAATAAAGCAAGGTCAAATACATACATCCAGCGGAGAAACTTCTGGAGCACCTGCCATGGTGACTCTGGAGGGTCGGAAATCGAGAGTGTCAGTCGTTGGTGATTTATCAAATTCGACAGCTCGTCTCCAGTCGCAAAACCAGCCGCGCTCTAGCGAACGGAGAAGACGCGTCGGTGTTTAGAATGGATCATTGAGCGGGGGGCTTACATAAGCTTCGCGGGATGGGGACACCTTTCAGGTCGACCGAGCGGATCGGGACAGGCTGCGTGGGCTCTCCTTCCAAGCTCCCATCTTCTTCCACCACGCTCCTCTTGTCATGCCAAAATGAAGCTCTGGTCTACGCTACTCCTCTCTTTTTCGGTCATTTCCGGCGTGCTTGCCGCGAAACCCCCTCAAGACACATTCCAAAAATACCAGTCCCTCTCACGCTCGGGTCCGGTTGATCTAGACAATGCCGCCTTCGAGGAGCTGACGAATGCCCCTCGAGATTACTATGCGGCCGTCATTTTGACGGCAATGGATGTTCGCTATGGCTGCGCTATGTGCCGTGAATTTGAACCGGAATGGAACCTCATTGCCAAGAGCTGGAACAAGGGTAACAAGCCGGATGACCTGAAGGTCGTCTTTGGCACTCTGGACTTCGATCAGGGCAAGACTGTATTCCAAAAGGTGAGTAGCTTTGATCAAGATTGTTTCCATAGCACTAAGGATGAACTCAATGGCTAATTGAACCCTTGTTAAATCAAAATAGCTCCTGCTCCAGACTGCCCCCGTCATTCTACTCTTCCCTCCTACCGTTGGACCTTTCGCCAAGTTAGAATCCGAGCCCGCGAGATTCGACTTTACAGGGTAAGTGAGAACCTACGGTCAATCGTGTGGGAACTATACACTAATTTATTCTCGCGATCACAGACCTATGTCTGCCGATCAGCTCTACTCATGGATCAACCGCCACCTTCCTGATGGCCCCAAGCCTCCATTGGTTCGGCCCGTCAACTATATGCGCATTGTCTCGGCGATTACCATCCTCATGGGTGCCGTCACTCTTTTCACAGTGCTCTCGCCCTACGTAGTTCCCATCGTGCAGAACCGCAACCTCTGGGCTGCCGTCAGCCTGATCGCCATTCTGCTGTTCACCAGCGGCCAGATGTTCAATCACATCCGGAAGGTCCCTTACATGACCGGAGATGGCAATGGTGGCATCAGCTATTTTGCCGGTGGATTCCAGAATCAGTTTGGCTTGGAGACACAGATTGTGGCTGCCATCTGTAAGTCGAGCCCTTCTTATCTGTAGATCATCCGTCGCCATAGTTGATTCCTAACTTTGGTTTTATTCAGATGCCGTCCTCTCATTCGCTACCATTGCTCTTGCACTCAAGGTCCCGCGCATGGAGGATGTCAAGGGACAGCAAGTGGCTGTCTTGATCTGGGCCGGCGTCCTGTTCGGGACGTACAGCTTCCTGCTCAGTGTGTTCAAGACCAAGAATGGTGGATATCCATTCTATCTCCCACCATTTTAGAAGTGACTCGAGCGATATTCGGGGCCTTGTCACCGTGGAGCAATTCTCGCGACTGATGGTCAAACTCTTGTAATTCTACAATTGGCCAAGCAGACCAAGGCCGCGCAGCAGGGATCTGGGCTGGCTTCCTGTTTCGACAAGGAAAAGTACCATGACCAGACCAGTGGCCTTCAGACCTCTTCTTGTCGCCGGCGACAAACTGTATTCCATATTTGTACACCGTAGATCGAAGAGCACGTTGTATAGGCGGTTTGCCTGTCTCTAAATCCTCTTTCGTTTTCGAATTTGATCAATTGCAGACCTTTCATATCTCCGAGAGAAATTCTGTACTCCCCTGCGCCACTATTCAGTGTTGTGGTATGTAGTTCCTACATTTCGTCCAACCACAGGCGTCTCAGCAGAACCAATGTGTACGAATTCTTTCAATGAAATAGAACACTCATAATGTCTATTCGCCTTTGCTAGGACAATTCAAGGATCAAATGGGGAGTTTAGATGTTTGGGCATCTCGTCATCATACGCTCCCCTTCAATCTGCACCTGTTGACCGCCCTCGAGCAACTGAGCCACTCTCCAACCACTAGCTACAACAGCTCTCTAGCTATTTAAGCTCACGCTCACCCGGTGAGAGAGTCTGAAAGGGAAAGATTGAAATAGCAGTATCTTTCTCTTTTTCTTCTGCGCGCGACGAAAAATAAACGATACGGTGGACAAGCCGTCATGTCACAACCCACCGAGGCCCGCATGGGCAGCATGCTGGCATCATCTACCACAGGCACAATGTTCTTGATCATGATTCAGCTGGCGTCAAGAATTTTCACTTTTGCCTCAAATCAGTTGATACTACGAACACTGTCTCCAATTGTATTGGGAATCGCTGCTCAACTGGAGCTCTACCAAGTTACGATCTTGTATTTCTCGAGGGAAAGCATCCGCCTGGCCATCCAAAGACAGCCCCTGACACCACTATCAGCATCATCACCAGACAGCAAGAAATTTCCAAAAACGGACGCAGCCACTTCTTTGGACCAGTTGGAAGTTTCGTCCCAGTCAGTGGTGAATTTGTCCTATTTGAGCCTATGCCTTGGACTTCCTTTCACGATACTGGTGACCTCGCTGTATCAGTATCTTGCCCCAACGCAAGCAGGAGATACCCCTTTTTTCCGAACAAGTGTGGCTGTGACAGGTCTAGCTTCGCTCCTGGAGCTTTGCATAGAACCTTTCTTTGCGGTTATCCAGCAGCGCATGTGGTATGAGAAGCGAGCAGCTGTGGAAATGCCAGCGGCATTTCTCCGCAGCCTCGTAACATGCTCGAGCTTTCTATTTGCCTCTCGAATCAACCATCCTGTCGGTGCTATGCCTTTTGCTCTGGGTCATCTGAGCTATTCTATTGCTCTTATCTGTGGCTATTGCTGGACCATGCTTAGGGGTGCCAACGAGAGGCGATTCACATTTCTTCTCTCTAAGATACGATCCAGGTAAGGCTATCCGCTGGTACACGAGTCAAGAGACCATCATTAAAATAACCTAGGGACTCTTCGAAATATTTTTGGGGTCGGTTCCCCCCGTGCTCTGATGTCGCTGGCTGCCAGTGTCTTTCTACAATCTTTAGTAAAGCATCTTCTCACTCAAGGTGACGCAATGATGCTCGCTGCCATGTCTACCTTGGAAGATCAAGGAATATACTCTTTGGCGGCAAATTATGGAGGACTTATTGCCCGCATAATATTCCAGCCCCTGGAAGAAAGTAGTCGAAATCTGTTCTCGACCCTTCTCAGCCCCGACGAGCGAGGCAAACGGAACGAGACTCAGGTTCGTGCCGCGAAAAAGCATTTGATCGACATTCTACGCGCGTATCAACTACTTTCCGTTCTCATCTTCCCACTGGGCCCTTTAATGGTTCCACAGGTGCTTCGTATTTTGGGCGGCCGACAGTGGGCCTCGACCAAAGTGGGCGATCTGCTATCGCTCTATTGTTACTACATCCCATTCTTGGCTTTTAATGGCATCACTGAGGCATTCGTGTCATCTGCAGCTAACCCACGGGAGATCCGCAACCAAACCGTCTGGATGGGGGTGTTTTCTACCTGCTACGCCCTGGCGGCCTACTTGTTCTTGGAAGTTGGTTCTATGGGTGCATATGGACTTGTCCTGGCCAATATCGTCAACATGGCAGTCCGAACTCTGTGGAGTTATAGCTTCATTCGAACCTACCTGCACGGGCATGGAGATGACATACGTGTCAGTGAAGTGAGCATGCGCCCGGTCACTTATGCCATTGGAGCCGTTGCAACTACGATCGTGGCTAAGCAGGGGATGTTGGAACCAAAAGGGGGTATCATGCCAGCAATTTTGTTCAGTGGTGTCTATGGGCTTTTAGTGTAAGTCAAAATCCAACCGCCCTGCGCTTGTGGAAGGCGAATACTGAAGATAACAAATGATAGGCTCTATATGGAGAAGCGATATGTGGCAGAGCAGTTGGCGAAGTTGCGGCAAGTTATATCTTCCCGCTCGAAAAGGACGAAATCCGAATAGATCTTGCAATCGAGTTTTCAGTATCCACCCTCAGTCATCGAATGTAATCTTGGTTGCCTTCTTGTCGGTGCCGATATCCTTGAAGAATGCACCATAAGCGTCGTGCTGCTTCTTCTTAACAGTGGTGCCAAACTTCAGCAGGTCCTCTGGAACATTCTGCTTAGCAGCCTTTAGGACGTTGATGAGGCTGTTCACGTCAGTAAACGAATTCAAAAGGAACATAAATAACGCATAGATTCCATCTCTCTCCATTGGTATGTGTGACTTACCCGCCAGAAAGTGCCTTGTCTTGTTCGGTGAACAATGTGATAGCATGTCCTTCCGCTCCAGCTCGTCCGGTTCGTCCGATACGATGCACGTAGTCCTCCACCGTCAGAGGGAAGGTAACGTTGATAACTAGCATCACTGCAGGAATATCCAGACCTCGGGCTGCCACATCAGTGGCAACGAGGACGGTAGCAGTACCGCTCTTGAAGGCCTCAAGGTTGCGGAATCGATCGGACTGGTTCAAGTCACCGTGAATTCCAGCCACCTTAAAACCCTTCATCTTGATCAAGCGTTCAATCCGCATAGCCTCCTTTTTGTAGAGACAGAACACCAAGACCTTCTCCGGGTTCTTGCCTTTTTTGGGACCGGTTAAGTAATTGGATGAGTCGGCCTTCCTTCTCCCGGCCATCCATAACCTCTACCTCTTGCTTGATCCTGGTGTTGGCTCGGGGATCTGCAGAAGGGTCACCACCAATGGTCACGGTAACCGGGGAGTTCATGAAGGTGGCAGCGAGGTCCCGAACCGATCGCGGCCAAGTCGCCGTGAACATGACTGTTTGTCTCCTCGAAACCGGCATGGGCTCGATGATATCCTTGATATCCTGCTCAAACCCCTTGTCCAGCATACGGTCAGCCTCGTCCAAGACGAGATATTTGACCTTGCTGAGGTTGACCGACTCGTCATTCTGGAGGTCCTTCAGACGCCCGGGGGTTGCGACAACGATTGCGGCCGTCTTCAGTGCCACACGTTGCTCATCCTTCCCAACACCTCCGTAGATACATGTAACGTCAGCCTTGGCCACATGAGAAAACTTGACGAGCTGGTCATGGATTTGCATCGCAAGCTCGCGGGTGGGCGAGATGATCACGGCAGAAGGGTGATAGGGCTTCCTGCTCCGCTTAGAATCCAACAGCTTCTTGAGGCAGGGCAAACCAAAGCCAAGGGTCTTGCCACTGCCAGTCTCCGCAATACCGATCACATCACGACCAGCGAAAAGAAGGGGCCAGGTCGCGGCTTGAATCGGCGTCGGGGCAGGGAATGCCTTCAATGGAGCATAGAGATTCTCGTCACAGGGGGGAGGTAATCAAACGAAATGATCGGGCGAAGTTCAGGCGCAGACTCTGTGGACGAATCGGTGATCTTGATGACCTTTTCCTCGAGGTACTGATCGATCTGAGACTGTGGCAGATCCGTGAGCGCCGAAGCCTGCGAGTACCCAGTCGGCTCATCAGATGAACTGCCATTCACTTTGTCCACACCATTCTTCTCATCTTTCTTCTCCTTCTTCTCTTTCTTTTCCTTTCCTCCCGAGTGTTTATCGTCCGACTTGGATTTTTTCGTTGGTCGCAGCTCTGTTGGCTCGGCATGGTGGCTTCTTTTGGCCATGGTGAAGCGCTGTGGCAGGAGTCTGGAACAATCGCAAGACGGTGAACTCGATTTCAAAATATGACACTTTGCAGACCGTGTCCGTAGTAACGAACGAGAAGTCCTTACGAGTGCTGATTGTCGAATGCGCAAACTCCGGGCGGAATGAAAATTCCAGAGAAAAAAAGTAATGCCGGTGGTCACCGCTAGCTCCGCCTTATTTCCTTATCTACTATCTATGCACGTGATTTTGTATGGAAAGCATTCGCCAAGGCCGTAAAACCTTAAAGAAGTTGTACAGGAACTGTAATGGTACAGTAGGAGTACTAAGTAGTAAGTTAGAACCCGACTGTTCGTCTTTAGACTCTTTGCCAGTTCCCGTAACTGGTTTAAGCATTACTACATTATATAATCCCGACGGAGTGCTGTGGACCACCTTCTTGCATAGAGGCATTTGGCCCCTCCCTCTACTCCGACGGACTTACATTCCCTCTTTTTCACCAACGAAAGATGTATGCCCCTCGAAAGCGCCAAAAGGTATCCTCGGCTTGCGAGAGATGCCATCAGCGGAAATTAGGGGTGCGTCATCTTTATGATGCCGAGAAGAAGTCCCAAGATAGATACTAACTCTCTCATCCTGGTGTCACCAGTGTGATCCCACCCGACCATGTCATTTATGCCACCGCGCGGGGGTGCCGTGTATCCCTCGACATAGGTCCGGTGCGGCATTGCCGTCCACTTTGGACAGTCAACATCCCAGCGGGGCATATTCATCGAAGACCCCAAGTCAGGAGGAGGCGGTGATTCTCCCTGAAACCAGTATCATGGATGTGAGCACGAGAGTAAGTTTGGGGCGAGACCCTTTGCCTTCTTGTCAATTGTGACATTAAACAGCGATCTGACATTCTTCGAGTTGGGCTTAGGGCAAAAATTAGTTATCGGTGTGGAATATGACACTTCGGCTTTACCGGGAGGCAAGAGAGTGCCAATCTCAGTTTCCCCCCGAAATATCCCGTGGCGAGATGCTATTGGGATATCCTTGCCCTCAAAGCAGTCTCTAGACTATCTCGTGGATATGTTCTTCTCGACTGTTGACTGGTTCATGATGGTACTTGAATATCTATATTATGACACGAAATGCACCAAATTGATACATCTTTGGCCAGGTCTTTCACGAAGAGGATTTCCGACAGCGATACGAAGAATTGATGACGTCGACCTATGTGCCATCGCTAGAAGAGAACAACGATCTTTGGATCACATTACTTGTCCTGGGTCTGGGAGCTCATTACTCATCGCTCGCGAAAAAAGAGCCTCGCGAGCAAGCCCAGATGCAGCAGCTCTCTAGGGATATTCTCAAACAGGTTGAACCACAATTTTTGAGAATCATCGGCTCGGCGGATGAAGAGACGGTACAGATATGCGTTCTATTAGGGAGCTTTTATCTTTTCAATGGTCGTCCGACTGCTGGGCTTGGAATCCTTGGGAGCGGCATCAAGATTGCTCAGGTTCTTCGGTTACATCGAGAAGACGCACTCATGGAGATCTCACCGGCTCGCTTGGAATCTCGTAGGCGTTCATGGCTGGCACTGGAAGTTTTTGATAAGTCTGTTTTTGACTATTCTACCGCACAAAGCAACCCTTGCTCACGTCAAAGCTTTTGTTAGATATGCGGCAATCGCATTTGGACGGCCTTGCAGTATCGACGATTCAGACTGCGATATTGATACGGTATCAGATATCAAGACTAACACAAAACAACCACCTCGACAGGCGGCGCAACTAGACTACCATCGATGGAAGTTTAGACTATATCGTATTGTGGGTCCATTCTTGGGACGAAGACTACAAACAAATCGGCTTGCATCAGTCCAGAGCATCCATGCACAACTTCTATCGTGGCAAACACAATTGCCTGAGAACTTGCGGTTGCAGAGCTACAAGGACAAGGGTACAACGCAGGCCCCGTCCCTGTTGCAGATGCAAGCCCTCGCTCTTCAGTTAACATATGACAACATTCAAATCATTCTCCATCGCAGCCTTGCTTTTGGTTCGGGTCCTCAAGTCTCCAATACCGATCGCTCGATTGATGACCTACCGAGGTCTGCTCTATCCCGAAAGCAACTTTTCGAGTCCGCGCTTCGGACATCTGAGTTGAATGACTATAGCCACGTGCTGCACGCATGTGGGAAAACTCATGCCGCCATGCATGTCGGAATATGCCTTTTCACGGCCGGTGTGGTTCTATGCGCTTTTGCGATTTCAGAGCCCCTGTCAGCTACCAGTGAAGCGGCAAAAAACGGTGTTATGAACATTTTACGTTTCCAACACGATCCTCTTTTGAATGAACACCTTCTTTCGACACAGAGTGTGAAAATACTCGAAGATTTGGTGGCTGTCCTATTGCGCTCCGAGAACTCTCTCATCCGAGGTGACAAGACGACAGCCTCTCAGACCATGCCACAGACCGCGAGTGAAGAGGAAATTCAATCTCGCGAGCAGGACACAATTACACAAGAACCAAGGCTGTTCGGAGACAGTCGGCTCGATGATAACTCCCTCAACTTCCTGGGAGGATTATCAAATTTGCAACCCGAAGGTGACTAGATCCTTGAACACTCCTCTTATGAACCATCTTTATTAATTTTCTATGTCTATGAATATAGAACCTTCTACGTCTCCTCCAATGGAGGCTAGAGATGGGGCTTTCGATGTAACAAATTTCTCATTTGGCTCCGAACTGGATTTGCTTTCGATGGACCCCGCGGCCGGAGTGACATGGACGGGAGGCAACCCATATTTTATTGACCCTAGCTTCGCTGATGCTAGTCAGCTGTGGTTATGGTCTAGTAACCCCGACCTGCAACCATTTTTAGACTAAAAGCACAAGCAATTAGGAAACTACCACCCTTCTGCAAAGCAGAGCGAATGTTACTATTAGGAACTCACCAGTTATTCTATGACTTTCGATGACAATCAATGTTCGCTAACAACACGAATGTATTTAAAGGCCTATATAAACGGACTGCTGCGCTAATATGTACAGAAGGGTTCCAAAAACTTGGGATATTTAGTGAAGTAATGAACTCGAATTTGGGAATTTAAAACATCCCGATACCGTGACTGGAAGTCAATAGAACCATTTTGACTCTCACATGCTCCTCTTTGGAAATGTCCGCTCGAACAATAGAGCTGCTCGAGGATCTCCACGTCACTATACAACCATACAAGATATATGAGAATACAAAATAATCTATAATCATTTCGTCCTGTCTCTACAGTAAGTTTTCACTCTAATTTCTCAAAAGTCGATGATCACTAATATTTCAAAATTGTCGTGACCATAGCAAAAGCCATAATTGCCCCGTAAGGTCCCTGGGTCAATAGTGGATCACTTTAGGATACAATGGAAATCCAACTTACCGGTAACTCTCTCTAGGTCCATGGTAGCAGACGAAGCAGCACTACGTTGTCCGTTGAGAGCTTGAGTGGATAAAGGACGGAGATATCCGTCGGACTTGGTAATCAGAACCTTAACCGGAATCATTGGCGTCATATTCTAGAATCAGTATGTCCGAACGGAGACTTTTCGAGAAATTGATATAGCAATAGTGGAATTCGGCATAACTACAGTACGTACTCGAAATGACGGCATTATTGAGACTCCGAGCCCTATATAGGATGGATGTGCATCGGACACTTTTACTATCACGATTTGTCCGACTTGGATGACGATCGCTCCACTTGATCTGCTTTTTGATATTGCCACGTGCAGCTTAGTATTACCATCTACAGCTTATGATCCTACCATTAAGATTTGATCATTTGGTTGGTTCGTGACTTTCGTTTGAGGACTACGGTCGCGGCTGGGTGTAGGGCAAAACTCCGACGGAGTTGGGTCTCACGCCCGCTAATCAACGCTTCCATTTGTTCTACTAGGTCTTTGGACCAATTGACAGGGCTTGTTACTGTCTACTTCGCCGGGTCAAGTGTCCTTGATATTCTATATTCACGGTGCGGAAACTCTCATGTATATAAGATAATCCTCGCCCCCCGTCGAAACAAGGATGTAGAAGAACAACAATCTCATACTTGAACAAAGATCCGACAAGCGTCCGATACTCATTACTTTAAAATCCATCATGGCTCCTACGCGCAAGGCTCTCATTGCGGTCACCTCGGCCCATGTCACTCTCTACCCAGATGGAAAAGAGACGGGTAAATTGAATTCCTTTTACATTTATCTGCTATTTCACTACTAAGATCCCCAATAGGCCTTTTCATTACTGAAGCCCTGCACCCTTTCCAGGTCTTTCGCAAGGCCGGCTTTGAGGTCGATCTTGTCTCCGAGACAGGGACCTATCAGCCGGATTGGCTTTCAGAGCAGAAAGACTGGCTGAACGATGCGGATCGTGCCGTGTGGGAAGACCACTCGAGTGAATTCCGTTCGAAATTGGACACCATGTTGAAGCCAAGCGATATCGATCCAGACAACGTGAGTCAACCTCACAGCTCTTACAAGGACGCCCCGCTGACACGTTGGGCCTAGTATGGACTTTTCTTTGCCTCGGGAGGACATGCTTCTCTGATCGATTATCCGGAAGCTAAAGGATTGCAGACGATCGCGTCTAAGATCTTCACTGCTGGCGGTATTGTATCTGCCGTGTGCGGATCACCCCAGGATATAATGACGACCATGCACTAACATTATCTCGATCTTAATATCGTTTTAGATGCCATGGTGGTGCTATCTTTCCGGGAATCATTGACCCCGCCACTGGAAAATCCATCATTGCGAACCGCCGAGTGACTGGATTTACTAACCGTGGCGAGGAGGAGCACGGGATTCTAGATGTTATCAAGGGATGGAACAAACGGACCATTGAGGCTTCTGCAGCTTCTTGTGGAGCAACCTGTAAGGAATTCCAAAAGGGTTGAGATTTAGAATCAAAGACTGACACTGACTTACCAAGATATTTCTCCTCCTGGCCCATGGGACGCCTTCTCGATTTCAGATGGGCAAATTGTGACTGGTGCTAATCCGGCCAGTGCTCATGTGACAGCAGAGAGTGCAGTCAAAGCTTTCGATGCCCTCTAACTACCAGAAGCACCAAAGCCTCGCTGGGAATACTCGATCCGTGGCAGACAAGGTCAAGAAAGAGAATCCATTTGTCGGCTCGGTGTTAGCTAGAAGACATTACCTTTCAATCAGATGCCAGGCTTTAGAATTCCGTACCAAAATTCCAGTGTTCCGATAACTACCTAAAACTCTCGCTAGGATGACAGGCGAAATCAATCTGTCAAACGGTCACCTACCTGCGTAGCGAATAGAGCGTTGGCACTAAGGTTGCATTAACAAGCTAACCCGGAGGTTCTCTTACTAAAACGAAAACGAAATGTGGAAAAACTACATAAAGAAATAGGGAAGCGATGACTTCTGAAAGTAGATTTTCATGATTCGCATAATGACAATAAAACAGTGCCCCCATTCAAACACACATTCTCATAATATCTAGGTTGGGGAATCGGATTCGGTCAGGGAATGATGGCAAGTTAACGAGTGTCGATTCGTATGGACTTGCTAGTCCAGGCTGTAGGAGTTAATGATCTCTGCCAAACGAGAAGCTTCCTCGGAATAGTTGATGGCCTTGGCGGACGAGACCTGGTATCGAACCCTAACTCGCTGTCAGCTTAGTTGGCCCCTTGAAGTCAGTGCGTCTGCTTACCGTTGCTGCTCGCCAAATGTATCAATCTTAGCTCGGCACCGGAAGCTCCATGTTCGGCAGTTTGCCTCATGGAAGACTGCCTGGAATGCCTCATTGTCATCTTCACGAAGTTGCATGAGGTTATCCGCAGAAGTGCCCATGATCAGCCGTCCAGTGTCGTCGAAACAGCTGAGCCAGAGCTGGCCCGTATGATCGCTCACACTGATCGGCATGATGTACCGATATTCCGGTCGGGGATGGGTCTTGTCGCACATTTCACATCGCCACTGGCCAGCATCCAACTCTGTCACCTTTTTATTGCAACCTTCGGAGAGGCAGGCGGGGTAGCACCAGGTAGATTCCTGCCGGATGAATACGACCGTTGCTTTGAGAGAGAAGTAGTCCACTTGGTCAGACATGCCCAACTGTTCCTCACGAACCTGGGCAATGGTTTTGAAGGGATCCGACTTCATGTTTGAGTTAGTGGCACCAGAAAGTGAGGCGTGGGAAGTGAACGCCTCTGTTCTTCCCTGTGCATCATACCAGCCCTTCAGTCGGTGAGCTTCTCCAATGTCGGGGTCAACGGCCATTGAACCGGAACTCAGCAAGCTCAAACTCCGCCCACCAAAGTCGGAGACCTTGACTCCTTTGAAGGCAACAACTGATTCTGGGGGGACATTGAAGTTGACTGCGCTCGCACCCCAAATGGTCAAGCGGACAGAGTATCCAGTGTTGTCAACCAAGTTAAGCTCACGCTTATCATAGGGTTTGCCAGTTCCCTTGGACACAATCTGAGATGTTTCGCCGACATCCTTCAAGATTCCAATGACATCGGTGGTAGTATCCTTCTCTACCGACTGCAGATCGCCGATTGTGGTAAAATTGAAGCGGATTTGCGGCACATCATTTTGATCCTCGGCCTATGACCCATGTGAGCTGATTTTCCATGATATGTTGCTTGGGTGCTGAGCGGCATTGGGCTCTTACCTTCTCTACCAACGTGTCCCTCTCAAACGTAAGTTCATAGTCATTGTTGAGGTTCGTAAACTGCTTCTTGGCAATCTGAACTCGACAAGGGCTGGAAATGTAGTACACGCTGCCTTCCTGAAACAGATCATACAGCATGTCGCACTGATCATTGAATCCGGTCGCACGAATTTCACCGCTATCATCAAGCAAGTTCACACTGAACAATTTCCCTTCGCCATTCTTGTTGTGCCAGGTCTTGATATTTGACTTGCTCGTGCACCGAGCTTTGATCGTCCACTTGTTGGAATAGGGAGAGATGGCCTCGATTGGGTAGATGGTGGCATGGGCGGAAGAAGAGGGACCTCGTGTGGGTTGCGCTCGATTGGACTGCTGTGCCGGTGCGCTGGGAGGCTTGGATCCATAGAACCCATTGCTGGAAATTGTCGTTGGCTGAGGCTTCTCCTCATCTTCGGCCTTGATTTCTAGCGGCTTGGGCTCTCCGATCTTCTCTGCCTCGCCGAGTTCCTTCAAGACCTCCAGGTCCAAGATGATGAGGATTCTGGTTGTAGACGATCAGCCAACTGAAAAGGGTCCCTGAGTATCAATGGGCTCACACTCACTTTTTACCCTTAACCGAATTCGCTTGAAAGGACTTGAGGCGAACAAAACATCCCTTTCGCAGATGTCCATCGGTCACCACGTGGTTGGCTTCTGCGAGAACACGATATTTCAGCAAAGCTGCGATGATGCTGGAGGCAGATAGGGGCAAACTTACGGGTGGCAAGCATTGTTTGGACATAATTAGCAATGTCGCTGAAGACGGCCCGATAACGTTCTGGGTGGTTTGGTTGCGGCGGTAGAGGCTTGACTTGTACACACTGAACGATCGGCTCACGCACCTGGGGCTTGGTCTCATCGAAGATAGCCCTATCCAAAATTAGCTCTTGCTCATTAGGACGAGATATACACGCTCGGAGGCCTGTAATGTTCTCGCTGACTCAAAGGACTTACCCGAGAGCCCCAACGGTAATCTGTGAAGCTGCATCCGACGCCATGGTCGCTATCAAAGGTCTTGATAAGCTCTGTTGGCAGAAGGATCGTGTCAAATGGCTAGATGGGAGCACCACAGGGTATATGGGGATGGTTGCACTGCGATGAAGTGATCGCAGGTTGGGTGAACCGCGACGCGTTCTGAACGAGCCAGAAAATAACGCGTAAAGTGGCAAGTCACGTGAGTGCTCCGTCCAGCTCCAATCCAGCCTGGACCAGGTAACGTTACCCCACGTCATTATGTAATTGGCCTGCCCCACGCCAGCAGCTCTTGCTTGGTCTCTTGTCTTGCTTTGCCTTTATCGCTTGTACACCTTCAATCCTCTATCTTCCTCCTTCTCCGCTCCTGAAATCTACGTGATTTCCTACTCTTGACTTTCTGTGTCTTGGTCATTGGCCCTTCAAAATGGCCTGTGTCCATTCAGGCGCTTCAGGTTGGTGAGATCGGGCGGAGTGCAGACCCTCATGATTGCGATCAGCTAATTATAGGAGCTAGATCTCAGCCCGCCAGGGCCTACTCAGGCTGTGTACCGAGAGGATTGCACCCAGTGCTTCGATTCTATTGTATGTATCCTCAGCCTCCGCAATCTGGCTTCCTGGTATCTAGCCTGGTATTGACGGTTTCAAGGACGATGACGCTGGTCTCAATGTCTGCCTTCATTGCTTCAACGGAGGCTGTGCTGGGGACAGAGACCACGCCTTGCTTCACTTCAAACGCTATGGGCATGCCCTAGCTCTGAACATTCGACGAACTCAGAAGCAAGTGCAGGTAATGTTAAATTCCGTCTTCCTGCCCTGTCCTTCTCTCACACAAGGACTTACCTTCTCTTTCTACAACTGTAGCGCGACGAGCCTCCCCCCAAAATCTCGAAACTTGCGATTGCCGCCGAGACGGAAGAAGACCGTTATGATGTTGTGACCTCGGTAGTGTGCTATGCATGCCCTCAGGAAAATGTGGACAAATCAACTGGAAACCTACCCGCGGTGATCGAGGGCATCATGACCGCAATGACCTTCTCGAAACGAGAGGAAGTCAAGGCCTGGGAGCAAGAGTTTGTATCTTGCGAGCATACTTTGTGTTTAACTCAGGAAGATGTTGCAGACTCGGAATCTAAAGGTACCGCCCATGCTGACGCTGGAACATGCAAGAATACTTATCGAACTCGGCAGATTCTAGCCAGTGTACAGCCTGCGACTTGCAAGAAAACCTCTGGCTTTGCTTGGAATGTGGTAATACCGCGTGTGGGCGTAGCCAGTTGGGGGGGGCTCGGGGAAACTCCCATGCGCTTGCCCACGCTGAGGCAACATCCCACGCTGTTGCCGTCAAACTAGGGTCTATCACTGCAGAAGGGTCGGCTGACATCTACTGTTACAAATGCAATGAGGAACGGACGGATCCAGAACTTGTCAATCACCTTGCTCATTGGGGAATCTACCTGGCTGGACGCGAAAAGACAGAGAAAAGCTTGATGGAGATGCAGGTTGAGCATAACTTGCAATGGGATTTCTCCATGACCACCGAGGATGGTCGTGAGCTCGTGCCAGTTTATGGTCCTGGATTTACTGGGTTGGCCAACCTCGGAAACAGCTGCTATCTTTCCAGTGTGATGCAGTGCATTTTTTCCACTTCGGGCTTTCAGAGTCGATACTACCACCCATCTGAAGAACCGCCAGTCTGCCAGGTCCCAGCACAAGACATAGAGACCCAGTTGAGGAAGCTTGCAGATGGCTTACTCTCTGGCCGGTACTCGCGACCAGACCCCCGTGTCATTGCATCCGCTCCCGCGTCGGAAGGCCCTTCCTCTTCTCCCCATCAAAAAGGGTTGGTACCAGCTATGTTCAAATATCTCATTGGACAGGGCCACCCGGAATTTGCCACTATGAGACAACAGGATGCATTCGAATTTTTGTTGCATCTATTCAAATCCGTTAGCCTTTCGAAACACACAGATGGCCAGGTCAACCCTGTGGAAAACTTTCGATTCGAGGTTGAGCAGCGCCTGCAATGCCTTGGATGCAAGAAGGTCCGGTACAAAGTGGATGAACAGGACAATATTTCTGTCGCAGTACCTGCGCACCGCATTGCAGGAGAGAAGGATCAGTTTGAATCGGTGACATTGTCCGAGTGCTTGGACATCTTCACTGCGGAAGAAATCGTTGAACTTACTTGTCCGGCATGCGAGAGCCAAGCCGGGTTTTCCAAGAAAACCACCTTCAAGACTCTACCTCAAGAGCTTGCTGTCAATGCCCGCCGCTTTGAGCTGGTCAAGTGGGTACCAACAAAGCTGGACATCCCCGTAGTCGTCAGCGATGAGCCAATTGACTTTGATCCATATCTGGCTGGAGCGCATGATCCAAATGAGGAGCCCCTTCCGGAGATTCAGGAAAGCGCGAAGTTTGTGGCCAACCCGGAGATTCTAGATCAACTTCTGGGTATGGGTTTCCCCACACCTCGGTGTGAAAAGGCCCTCCATGCAACCGGCAACTCTGATGTGGAAGCTGCTATGAATTGGCTCTTTGCCCACATGGAAGACCCGGATATTGACGAACCTCTTGTGTTGGATCAATCTGCCGGTGGTGCAAAGGCAATGGAACAGGATGAGTCCAAAATTTCCCAACTAGGTGAGATGGGGATTGATGCCTCACGTGCTCGAAGAGCTCTTGCTGCGACCGATGGAGATGTCAACCGAGCTGTGGATTGGGTGTTCACACATCCTGATGATGACGACGATGATATGGATGGTCAGAACGACACTGCCGGTCAAACGCATCAAGGCCCGTTCGGGTATGATACCTTGCCAGCTCGGTATCAATTACGGTCATTTGTCTGTCATAAAGGATCATCTGTACACGCAGGGTAAGTTTGTTTCCTCATGTCAATCGACAGTTGGTTCATGTTCTAACATGCTGCAGTCATTACGTGGCCTTCATCCGTAAGTCGCTGGCAAGCGAAGACTCTCCACCATGGATACTATTCAATGATGAAAAGGTTGTGGAGTGTGAGAAGATTGATGATATGAAGAAGACCGCCTATCTATATTTTTTGACTCGTGTCTAGGCAGTTCTTGGATCAGTTCCTCGCACTCTGCTATTATGGGCCTGTTCCGTACCTCTTAAACAGACCAGGACATTGCTGTTAAGACATTCATAGATCAAGATTCTTACTTAGCTGCCTTAATCCAATCAGCGTTTTAACCTAGCCCTCGCAAGCACCACTAAATCTCCGTCGAGCCCAGGATGAAAAGGTCATAATTATAGTCAAGGCCTATATATTTATAAAATTCTTCATAACCAAGCAGCCGGCTGAACAGGGTGAATAGGGTGTATCTATAAGCTAGAGAATTACATATTGTATTTAAATTTATCCTCGAGGATAGGCTGTGGTATAACGTTGTCATGCTAAAGTTAAGCGTGGTCAGAAGCTATTTTTCACCCTATTTCTGATCACCTTACGCTTCTGATGCCTCATAGTTATAGTATAGCGGTCATCTTGATTGTGTCAGCACTAGTAGGAACTATTTACTCGTCTTTCTAGTGAAAGTAGGGAAAGCTGCCTACGTTATTTGTAAAAAGAGATCTTTCCACACATCTTTTGGGAGACCTTTCTATATGTCTTCGGGGATGGTTTAGTTCTATATAGGGAACCAATCAAAAACTATCGCTTTCCGGTAACGCTTCGGGCCAGTTTAGGCCTTGCTAAGTATGTTATATAAACCTTACTTTCTTTAATAATAGGTCTACTCTACGATAGGCCCTTCTAGAAGGTTTCTATTTAGCAGATGATATATATATACTACGTTATGTAGTTAAGAGAGGCTTAAGGATAAAAGGCCCATAAAATAGGGCCCTTTAGAAGATCCTTAAGAATTAATTAATATTTTAACCTATATAAAAAAGAGATTAATTCGTAGCTAAACCGTTACTATATCGACTATCTCTATTTATTTTAATTTAACTACCTTCTACCTAGCCTATTACCTTTCTATCCTTATAACTTTTAATTCTTTACCTAAGGGTTACCTAGAAGAATAGCTAAATTACCTTATTAACTAATTAAACTAACTCCTATTAAGGAACGAACCTTAACCCCTATATCTTCTAATTAAAATAGCTAAGATTCTGCTACTTCTTTAGTAAGATCTATACTAAATCCGATTCCTACTTTATTAACCTTAATTTAATCTAGTTAACTAGTTACCTAGCTAATTCGCTACTTACTAATCTACCTAGCCCTTCTCTTTAGTTAATCACTTCTCTACTATTACTAATTTCGTATTCATATAACCGTAACTAGCCCTACGCCCTTAACGAAGTTTCTTCTCTTAGTTTAATAGTATTCTTCTTATCGATATATTAGTTCTCTTTAAAGGTAGTAGTACTACGATTCCTATAGTTTTATCTATAGAAATATAGGTACTACGGTTTTACTATCTCCTAAACTTCTAACCGGTAGTTGTGAGCAAGTGATATGCTGCGCAGGTAGGTAAAGAGGAAGAAGGTTAATGATGATTGAAAGAGATCGATTGATCTTTCTTCCTCTTGATTGAATAGGAAGGATAAGTTCAATTCGGCTTAGAATAGATCAAGATGAGAGAAAAGTGAGGTAGGACTGAAGCTTGGTTGATTGTATTAAATCGTCTTGTTCTTGCTTGATGTATTAAACATGATTGTTGAACATGATAATAAGATCTTGGTAGAGAAAATAGGGCATATTTATAATCAATATTTTATGTAAACTTATCAAACTTCTTTCTTGCATATGATTAATCTAGATAGATCTAGACGCATTCTAGAAATATAGTGATCTTATATAGATAGATCTAGATATATAGTGATTTTATATAGTAGCCGTTTGATATACAGTTGCTTGATTATACGATGTAATTCAATCGTAATGATAATATAGATCGTATGACTATAATATGTCTGTTTATGCCTGATTATCCGATTAGATAATAATGATATAATAGTATAAAGCTTATACAGATTCAGAACACCGTTCTAGCCTTAGTATAGGCCTTATAAATCTAGCTTGATATACTACCTAATAGCTTAGGCATCTTGCCCGATATCTGATACTTATGAATCTAGCTTGATATACTACCTCACGGCTTAGGTATCTTACCTGATATCTGATACTTATGAATCTAGCTTGATATACTACCTAACGGCTTAGGTATCTTGCCCGATATCTAACACTCCCCCGTAATCTTTATACTATAGTACAAATAGCAATAGAGTATAGAGATTAGTAGAGTAGATAGGATCGATATATATATATACTACTATAAGATAGCTAGATATATATCTTCCTAAATCTCCCGGAGGTTAGCTAGATTCTTTAGGTTTTCAAATATCTCTCTTCTGAGGTTTTTAGTCAGGAAATCTACTAATTGTAGTTTAGTAGGGATATATTAAATATCGACCCTTTTTTGTTTGACCTAATCTCTGATATAGTGATATTATATATCAATATGCTTTGTCCTTTTATGAAATTCAGGGTTTTCGGCTAGCTTAATAGCTACCTTATTATCCACTAATATAGTAGGCTTACTAGGCATATAGCCTAGGCCTAATCTATCGTTTAGATAGTTAAATAGGTTAGCTAGATAGATAGCTTCCTGTATAGCTTCTTTTATAGCTATATATTCGGCCTGGTAGGTTATCAGATATCAGGCAAGATGCCTAAGCCGTCAGGTAGTATATCAAGCTAGATTCATAAGTGTCAGATATCGGGCAAGATGCCTAAGCTATTAGGTAGTATATCAAGCTAGATTCATAAGTGTCAGATATCGGGCAAGATGCCTAAGCTATTAGGTAGTATATCAAGCTAGATTCATAAGTATCAGATATCGGGCAAGATGCCTAAGCTATTAGGTAGTATATCAAGCTAGATTCATAAGTATCAGATATCGGGCAAGATGCCTAAGCTATTAGGTAGTATATCAAGCTAGATTCATAAGTGTCAGATATCGGGCAAGATGCCTAAGCTATTAGGTAGTATATCAAGCTAGATTCATAAGTATCAGATATCGGGCAAGATGCCTAAGCTATTAGGTAGTATATCAAGCTAGATTCATAAGTATCAGATATCGGGCAAGATGCCTAAGCTATTAGGTAGTATATCAAGCTAGATTTATAAGGCCTATACTAAGGCTAGAACGGTGTTCTGAATCTGTATAAGCTTTATACTATTATATCATTATTATCTAATCGGATAATCAGGCATAAACAGACATATTATAGTCATACGATCTATATTATCATTACGATTGAATTACATCGTATAATCAAGTAACTATATATCAAACGGCTACTATATAAAATCACTATATATCTAGATCTATCTATATAATATTATTATATATATCTAGATCTATCTGTATAAGATTACTATATATCTAGAATATATCTAGATCTATCTAGATTAATTATATACAAGAAATAAGTTTGATAAGTTTATATAAAATATTAATTATAAATATACCCTACTTTATCTACTAAGATCTTATTATTATATTTAATAATAATATTTATAAGTATTTTTTCGATTTGGGCCGCCGACGCCCGAAACGGCAGCTCCCCAATCCCGGTTTAGCGCCCGCCCAATGCGGTTTAGCCGCAGCGCTATTCCGTAACAGTCACCCTCGTGTCCTCACCGCCTCGCAACCCGCTGCTCCGAATGTATAAATCCGTGGTGTGTCGCTCCATGATCACCACCCTCTTCCACCTCTTCTCTCCCCTTTCCAACAGTTGGAAGATGCATCCGGTTGGGGCGACGGTCTCGGTCGGCTGACCCAGCGCCGCTTGACTAGAGGAATTTTCTGGCAACACTGCCTCCTGCTCCACCAACTCCATCCAATAGGGCATGCGAAGCCGTGCTCTTCCCCGTCCCCTGTTTCGACCTGCTTGCTCCCTTTGATACTTAGCAGGCTACGGCGCTTTTGTCGAAAATAGCGCCTATTCACTGCACGATCAACGGCTATTAGACTCGCCAAAAACGAATGTTGCCTCTACAACCTACGACAACTTAGCAGGACGCTCTTAGTTCCAGTATACAGTTGCGTGGTCCTCCGTGACAACGGACATTTACCACGATCAAGAAAGGGATTGAGAAAAACACCACCAAATCTGAGATTAGCTAGCTAGGATGACGTGGCCCTTCGCTAAGGGAATCATCCCCCTTTACTCTGTCAACCATAGCCCGCATAGTTTCTCGGACACTCAAGCTGCCTCGCCATCTTCTGTCTGCCCCAGTGATCTATGCGCTATTTCTGCGATTAGACACGAGGCTTGCATGCTCCGCTACGAATGGTCAGCTGGCTGACCTCCCGCTGAAGTGCGACTTCGAGTGGGCTGGTCGTGAACGTCCCGTAGGTCGCATATGGCCAGAAGCCAGCCAGCGGGATGTTCGATCATAGCCCAAACCGGCGTCTCACAGCCAAAGCGGCGGTGCTTGCTAATCGCTTCCTTGCTTGGTTATCCTGACGTGAACCTTACATATAAGCCGGCCTAGAGTAGGCTATACATGCTGCGTCCGCGATGACGAGAGCCTACCAGCCAATCGTGAAAATGCCGGAGGCAATTTTTCGCTCATGGTCTTGGACCACAGTCCTCCGGCGTTGCATTTGGGGCGGAGCTGAAGGAGGACACCCGGCCTGCCTTGGAGAGTTCCATCATGCTTGATGATCATATAGGCACTAAGCAAATCAGAGAGAACCACGACCCTTGTTACTTCCTGTTTTTCACGACCGCCCAGGGTACCAGGGGCTCATCTCCAATCATTGCCAGAAGGCGTCCGTGTCTTAGACGATATGAAGCGAGACAGACTCTTGCCTCAGCTCGTCTTTCCACCGTCTTGTTTGTCCTGCGGAGAAGGCGGCCAGCCCAGTGCTGCTCACTGACCGGAATGCCTGTTTGGGGCTCGGCTCTCTTCGGAGTAGCCTCGCCTAAGGTCTTGCTAGGACTAGTTTCATCTTTAAAATCAAAGCCTTTTCCACCATATGCCAGTCCAGTAGTCAAACGATATCAGTTCTTCCTCGGTTCACTTTGCATCTCGACCTCTCTCCTCTGAGATTATAGCGGTAACTCTTAATAACATACAATTCTACCATGGCCCGTCAAGGCCAGCAAGACCACCATATTTTGCTTTTAACAGCAACAAAAGCGCTTCTAATACCCTGCTGTCGGGAGAGGAAGCTGCATTCTCATACGTACCGGACTCTTCGGTGGCAGACAACTCGACAATCATCCCGAATTGCTTTCTTCCACCGGCTGCTAATACAAAAGACACAATGCATCAAAACGCAGTCGGATCGCCTAATCTGTTTGATATTGAACTGGCGAGCTCCTAGGGGGAGCCAACACTATCGAGTACACAGGATAGCGGTGACGGAAATGCCTGTCCTTTACTACAGAAATTTGACTGCCATCACCAAGAGTGTTCAGACGAAAAGACAATTAGCGACAGTAAGTCCAAGCTTTTAGCTGCTCTCCATTCCTGCGTACTATCGCTCGTGAGGGTTTGACCCTATACGGTTGAGATGAGAGCCATAGCTGTGTTGTCGATAAGGTCGTGTCCCAAACTTTTTTAGAGTCAGGACCGTCTCATATATACGTTGTTTTGTTGTCAACGGGCCTTTATCGCAATATCTTCGGCTTGGAGACAGATCCCACGGGGTGCTTCGTTCTACAGTCTCCCCCACAATTGTGGCATAGGCAAATTGGCGCTTGAAGAAGCTCCAAAACTTCGGATGGTTATTCCAAGAAGTTAGGAATTCCCCGTCAATAACCTCCCGAAGATTCTCCGAGGATGCATGACATCGCTAGCAGTGCACGCGAAGAATCTTGATATAGTATAGAATCAAGGGCGTTGATTCCGTTAAGCTCTTTGACATTAAACTGGTCAGCGGTATTTCTCCAGGTTTTCACCGTTCTTTACAACGTAGTATGGCATTCTACTATCCTCTCTACTGCGGAGTCTATGATTTATAACTTAATATACCATCTGTACTAAGCTTGCTAGTTACTATCTTAGTATAGTATTATAACTATATAATCTAGTTCTTATAAATATTACCTCGAGTACGCTACTGTTATAGTTCAAACATCAAGCACGTAGAATACATATACCAGACCTGACTTTCACACTTCCTACGTTGGGTTGGTTGTATCGGCTGGTGATGAGCAGTTCAAGTTTCAAGTTTCAAATAAATTACTATTTTATGTACTCTGTGGTACTATATCATGAGTCAGCCAGAGTCAAGCGCAATAACGTAGTTCACGGCCGATCGGGCCACACGGTCGTGCGGGCCACCCCAAAACACCATACTAAATGGTATATTTTGATTCCGCTATATTTCAACCACCAATTGCTTAGTTTAGCTAATCTTATGGGATATACTCTAATATCCGTGCAGGAATAATATATATACATTTTCTAAGCCTTTTAGGGGTATTTAGCTACTTTACCATAAAATACAGCGTATTTTTGACGTTTTAGATCCAAATACATATATATCTCTCTTAATCCTTAGTTCTATCCTTTTCTACTGTATAAGTAGGTTATTTATACTCTCTAGTTTATGTATACTCAATAATTAATGTTGAATCCAAAAGGTTGTTGAGATATGAAGTTGTAATTTATCACATTTAGTATGGTGTTTTGGGGTGGCCCGCACGACCATGTGGCCCGATCGGCCGTGAACTACGACTAGTTAGTTATAAGTAGTATTTGTAATTATGTGAAATTAATGCGGTATCAATAGCCGCCCCGCACCCCATCAAAAAAAGTTCCCAGTCTTGAGAGATCCCACTGAACACTAGCCTTCCTCTGGCCCGATTTCGCTCAAATTTTCAAAGATATAACTTGAGCTATCATTCATAAAACGACCAAATTTTCAGTACTCCGGTACTATACATGAACGTTACCTAGCTACGCAGTAGGGTTGGGGACTCCGCAGTGTGCCTGTTTGCCAGGGCGGTCAGATTAAGTTTGATACCCCTTTTCGCCCCTCTCCGCCAAACCCGCCCTAACCAATCACCCGGCCATGCTGTACCTAATCAACGACGCTCTTGCTCGAAGTGGGTTTTCTCTCAGGACAGTCTTGACTTAGTTGAACTAGTTTATATTCCGATCAACTCTCACCTTACCGCAATGTGGTTCTGCTTTCTTGTTTCGTAGTTCTAGTTTTTAGCGCCATGGACTCTCTCCTGAATCATCTTCCCGCAGTCTCTCTTTCCTCCTCTCCTTTCCCTTCTGGCTGAGTTCCTCGTCCGACGTGAGAAGCATTGCGCTCTCTACCACATTCATTTGGGAACCACATTCAGTTACCGTCTTTACCTTCTCTCTTCCTTTCTTAGCTACAGCCCAATTACGACGGCTTGCCGCTTATCTCCGGTGAGTAGAGAGCATCAGCGAAATGGGATCTTACGAGATGGTTCTGACTTGCTTGGGTCTGCAGACGCCTTGATATATCAACCCTCCGCTCCGACTTGACGTTGGCTTGCATCTATCGACATGAAGTTCACTTCGGTTGCCATTGCCCTGGCGGCTGCCGGACTCGCCGCAGCTGGACACCACCACGGCCGCCATGTCCACCACCACCAGCGTGACCTTAAGGATGTCGTTTACGAATTCGTCATGGAGAACGGCCAAGGTATCCCTGCCAGCAAGGCATGTGACCTTATTGATCAGAACGTTCTGAAGGTTGCGGATGGTGTTATGCCTGCTGGCGCTTGCGTCTCGTCAAGCGCCGTGCCGTCGTCGACTTCGACTGCTACACCTACGCCCACTTCTACTGCCACTCCAACCACCGCGGCTGCTGAGCTTCTTCAGCAGACCGCGTCCATCTCGACTCTGGCTCCGACGACTTCGAGCTCTACCCCAACCCCTACGCCGTCGGCGGTCTCGTCTTCGTCTTCGAGCAGTACTCCGGCGTCTTCTGGGTCTACTACCGGTGGCGGTGTTACCATCAAGAACAACTCCCCACACACCATCTACATGTGGATCTTTGATTCGCCCGTTACGCCCCTAATGGAGACCCTCGCCGCTGGTCAAGAATTGGGCCATGACTGGAGAATCAACCCTGACGGTGGCGGTGTTTCGATCAAGGTCTCTACTGTTCCTGACATCTCCAATGTTGTCCAGTACGAGTATACCGTGGCCGGCGACACGATTTTCTGGGATTTGTCCCTCATCAACATGAACCTCTTGGCCATTGTCGGAAATATCTTGCCCGCTCTTGGCTTCCAGGTTACCTCTCCGGAATCATCCTGCATGTCCGTCGTTTGCCAGGCTGGCATTATCCAATGTCCTGCCGCCTACCTCTTTCCCAGCGATGATCATGCTACTCACGGCTGCCCGGTCAACACCAACATGGTCTTCGACATCGGCCTGTAAAGTCTTTATTTTGTCGTTTTGATACGCCCTTGTTGATTTACCCTGGGGTTGTTCATATCATTCTTGCTATATTCAGCCAGCTCTTGGTGTGTTGCGTGCAAGCGCGTGGCCTTCGAGGGACTTCTTATTTGTTTTATACTTTGAACTAGATACGTCTTTGCTTTCCGATCTCGATAGCCTAGGAAGTGTTCCATTGGCTTCAGTTGTACATAGCTTGGATCACTGTACTTTCCATTTCTATCTTCACGGGTCGTGTGGATGCTCTACACCAACCCTTAACGAGGTCGCGTCACGATCGCATAGTCTTCGGTAAAACTTACAACGTAGTTGAGTGCCGCTCTCACAGACCACAAAGTTTACAGACCGGGACTTCGAGAAGGATGCGGGCGATTTCGAGACGCAAGTTTGTGCTTGCCAGACTATACGAGTAAACATCAAAGCCGGTCCTAATGAGCGCCTCCAACAGTCTAGTGCGCCCATGGGTACCCGCCAAGAACCCATGGGCGGGTAAAGACTACGACTGCTCTGTTCCTGTGCCACTCCACATAGGAGAAGTCTCGCTAAAATTGAAGAGGAAAAGGAGCACTTGCGCGTTTTGCGTCCTTCGAGCCACGGTTTGTAACATTGTACGAATCGTGGCCAAGGAGCACGGAGAGGTGTCGCGCTCTAAAATCGGCTCGCTTTCTGCCCCGCTTTTTTCTCACCCTGTCTCAACCATCCCGCCATTCTACCATCTCTAGTCCAGAATACTGCGCCTGGCATAGCTACGCTTGCAAAGTCAGTACTGGTATTTCATGCACGAAACTCAAGCGAAAACTGGCAAGGCGAAACGCGAGAACTTCACAGTTTTCTGCGCTTACCACATTTAGAACTGGCTAATTGAAGTAATTCAGACGATCCATTGATAGAGCTATGGGTTACAGGAAGGAAAATCATGGCCTAGCATACGATGAGCTCCGTGAATGAAAGGGAAATCGTGGCCCGGCATATGATGAGCTCCGTCAGGTGAGAGTGAATGAATGTGATGAGAATTGCGCTCCTTTCGCTCTCCTAGTTATGAGTTATGACTGATCAAGTCGATGCATCTGAAGTCCCTGAACGACTGACGACGTCGGTTGGTGTCCGCGCATCCAAGCTTCCTATCAAAACATAAAGCTCTCGGGTCCTTGGTCAACAGAAGCTTGGTGCTCACAGAAATTGACCCTTTTTGGGACTTGGTCAGGGATGCTACTGTACCATTAATGAGTCTCTCGAAGTAAAATGGTGCGTAGGGGTTCTGTGTTTGTTTGACGGACCACCTCGCAAGTTTTAGAAGAACGGCTAAAGCTTCAGCGGCTATCATTCGTGAATCCGGATCCACCTCCAGCAAAGTTCGGGAACATCTGTCTAACCGTGAGTCCGGGCTCTTGACGGAGTAGCTTACAGCTTCAGCATCAGCGAGACCGCCTATGTTGAAGTAGGGACGTTAGGGACGTGAACTTGACCCAAACATTGGATGAACGAAAAAGGTGTCGCAGGCTAGTAGCCACGGCCATTCCCGCCGTGCCGACCCCAAAATGTGCGAGCTATACTCTCCGGGACGCAGATAATACCAAGGGCGTCTCACCTCTGTCGGCTTTCCTGACCGAATCACTTCGTTCCGTGATCGCGTACGAAAACAACTCTGCTCCGACACAAGTCTTCAGGTGAAGTCGGCAGGACTGGATGGTCTCACAGGACTGAAGGGTCCCGCAGGACTGAATGGTCTATGAATATATGCAGGATGTGAAGATTCTCTTTCTACTTCTGCCACATCTTCTAGTTCTGCCACACCATCTAGTTTGAAATGCATCATATGCCTTGTGCTCTGTCTCTGTACGTACAAGAGTAAATGTCTAGGCGTCTACTTAGCAAAACTGGATAGCGCCACTGTAGAATGGGGTCGCAGAACTAGAGTGTCGCGGCACAAGGGAGTGTCGCAGCACTAGATGGCGTGTCGCGACACATTCTAGTGTCGCAGCCGGGAAGGCTAACACCACAAAGCTTACACAAATTGAGGCCATCTATATCATCGGATAAAAGGGGAGGGAGGCAACGAGACCTGGCGTTTATGGAAGGGGTAGGCCAGGAGCTGGTAATGGCAAGCAGGAGACAGCTCCATGCACTCTTTGCGCATGGTTCAGGAGTGCTGACTTTGACACCAGCTTTTCCCCACAAATAGTGCACTCAGAGAGCATGTCATTTGGGAACGGCTTGATATGCTTGTTGACGAAGTGTCGGCTGAGGGACCCAGGATTCTTGTATATCCTCAGGCGTTCACTTTCTGGCGGTCTAAGATTGCCAAGGGAAATAAAGCAGATCGTTTGTCTCTCCTTGGGGGATTTGACGCAAACTGACGCGATGGCCTGTGAAAACGTGTCGTCACCCTTATCTAAGGACGTTGACTTCGCCTTTTAGGGATGGCAGACAGTCCGACCGCTTGAGAAATCCGTCACGTGCCCACAAAACGCCTAAGAAGGCATTCAGTACATAGTTATGCGACCCACAAAGTGAATCTAATGTCATTGGATGGCATCTTTGATAAAGTATTTCAGACCGAGTGGTTTATAGCTTTGGGCTTCCAGCGAGACCGACTATGCGGGAGGTGGGGATATCGACTTGCACCAATTATTGGATGAACAAAAGGATGTCGCATGTTTATGGCCACGGCCCATTCCCGCTATGCCGAGCCTAAAATGCGCGAACTACATACAATCTCCGAGACACAGAAAGCACGAGTCTGATCCTCCTATACAGTATCGCAAACGTAGATTCATCTCTGTTGGCTCTCCCGACCGAACATCAAAAGCATCACACTGGAACGCCATTTGATGTAGCTTGGCTACTTCACAGCAGTGAATAGCATCCATCTAAGTCTTCAGACGATGTTTCTCATGCGCATGTCTCCTCAAGCCCATTTCATGTTCGACCGGCTTGTTGCAGTAGTTGCAGTGGCGATCATCCAAATGCGTGGCTCTGAAATGACGCAAAAGATGCTTGTGGCGAGAATAATGTTTCATTCGACGTTCATCCGATTCGCCTATATTTCCGTAGTATTGGAAGCACCCCAATGGTTTAATGGCTTTTTGAATATGAGTCTCTGCCTTTCGCAGTGCTTCTTCTGATGGTGCCGATAGCGATTGGTTTGTTGCGGAACTGGGAGCTGGAACGCTGGTCGCTGCAATATCCTTCCTAGCAGGCGGCAACCTCCCTGGATACCGTCGGCCTCGACGAGGACCACCCTCTCGCACGTCACAATATATGCGAACAGCATCTATAGCCTTATTCTGCCGCGTCCACTCTGCCTCTAAAGACAGCGATGTCGGATATGTCGTCAATTTTCTAAGCAAGAAGATCTGCTGGTGTAGCATATTTTCCTCCGTCCGCAATATCTCCTTCGTTTCTTCATCGTGAAGCGCACTGCCGGCCAGTTGCCGCTAGATGTCAATAACAGCCTAATAGCTATCAAATTCCTCTCGTACACGCTTCCGAAGATCGTAAAGCAACCGGTTGCGCGTGTTCGTGACGTTTTTCTTCAATTGATGGAGCCGGTCTAGCCTTTTACGGCTCTTTTTGCCGCCGTCCTTAAGCTTTTTGGCGAGACTATCCCGCTTCTAGATGGCTTCCTGTAGCTCGGGAATGTCTTCCACACTAGCCTTCTGCTCTTCTGTAAGTTCACGAGGTCGTTGAGTGTCGATCCATCTCCCCATTCGAGTGACCGCCCGAATCATTGCAGAGTCAGCCTCTAGGCCTCGCATTAAGGCCTATATGTCTGTGCCAATTCGGCGCAAGGCATCGTCGTAGAAGAGCATGCCGAGTAAAAACGTATAAGGACTCAACATGAGCGACGGATCGTAGATAATCTCTAGAATCAGGAAAGTGTTTCTATTATTGTTAGAATGTGCGCAATATAATTCCGCAAAACAAGCTAAAGTAGGCTATTAGGTTATAGAGGCACTGTTGCATCCTCTGAAGACCGATATAGAAGCGCTTCTCTATGGTGCGAAGAACCGTTTCCTGGAGAGGAACAAGATCTTCTATATACATCGGCGTCTTCTTTTCTTCGGTGTCTAGGCCTTTCTACTTCACAATCCTTCGGATACTCTATTTAGTGTCACTCGTAAGTCATGTATCGTGAAAAGCATACTCATTCTCACCTTTCGCATTCGCCGGCCCAGCTTAGCATCTATTAGATATCTATTGACTTATTCATAATAACGGAGAAACATCTTCTAATTCGTGTCCAGTGTACTGGCCTTTTTGATTCGTTTTAACCGTCGCCCATTCTTGCCGCGCCGGAGCTTCAAGCACCAGCGAAGGAATAGAGTGAACTCCCTCTTTCCAGCAGCTCGAAGAGCAATATTCGGGTCGGCTTACTTGGATTAGGAGATAGCCGGTCCTTTTTATACTGCTACAGTATATTTTGTTAGGCAATCATCAGCTCCTAATTTCACTTCCCTTGTAGTAGTTTAACGCACCTTTCCCAGCGTTCACGCATCCGCGCTATAATTTCCTTGGTTCGCATAGCCATCGTCCTCACTATCCGATGATGTATCATCCGACTGGATATCTGGATCCGTCGAATAACCATCTCTATCAGTATCACTAGAGCCGGAGCTAGAACCGTAACTAGGCTGATTGGCCTGTTCTATGATCGTGCTGACGTCCTTTGACCGTTTCCTTAATCTCATTTTGTTTGATCGCACCTGCTGGCGAGCACAAATTCCCCCATATTCATCATCAGATTCACTGCTGGAATTGCTTGATGACGCTGGGGTGCGCCCGCGTTTACCAACGTATGAACCCCGAGAACAGCCTTCGTGGAATGACGGTGAAGAGGATTCCGGGCTTGATATTTCGGTTTCCGAGTCGGAGTTACTTGCTTCTGACTCTATGCGAGATGATGAAGAGCTCAGGCTCTCATCGGCACGGCGACCCCGATGTCTCACCATCTTTCTTTGTCAGTGGCATGATCAATACAGAAAAAGGGAGCAAGCTACATACTACGCAAGGGAGAGGTAGTGATACGGAAGAACCGAGGCTGCAGGAGGGCCTTCGCTGTTCAAAAGAGTATGAAATGTACTGTATGTCAAAGTGACCAAAGCATAATGAAGAGCAACATAGTTCCAACTTCGACCGCGTCGGGGCGCAATTTATAGCGCGACTGACACAGCGCCAAAATCCATTATTTTTTTATCCACTCGAGGTACACTCAAGGTAGCTGGATAGGGGGCTGGAGAAGGTGAGACGAGGGTGATGGGTGGAAAGACCTGCGATGGGATGTGCGAACCGCCCACGAACAGACTCATGAACGATACGCCGGTGGCGTTGGGACGGGTCGCGCTTGCATTAGTGGGTGCGTGGGCGAGTCCCCGCCGCGGTCGTGGCATGAAGCCCAGGGGCCGACGCCGCCATTTTTGGCGTCATTCGACGCCGATTCTGGCAGCTTGGGACCAAATCGAAATTTACATATAGTAATAAGACGATTTAATATAATTAACTAAGCTTTAGTCCTACCTTACTTTTCTCTTATCTTTATAATCCTAAAGCCGAATTAAATTTATCCTTCCTATTTAATTAAGAGGAAGAAAGATTAATCTATCTTATTTAATCTTCTTCCTCTCTACCTACCTATATAGTATTACTTACTTATACGTTATAAGCCCGAATTAATTCTACTTTAATTTAGCTTATACTACCTTTTAATCTTCTATCTTTAATAAAGAATCCCTTACTTTTAAGAGAAACTTCTCTCTCTTAAAGAGAAGTAAAAAGCTCCTCTAATTTCTTATTTTTAAAAATTTATACTCGATTTTTACTAGTTATGTCTACTTCTCTATACAAAATACTAAGAAATCTCGACTTTCTTAATAAAAATAATTATTTTTTAAATATTTAATTAAATTTCTTTAACTTAAAATAATTAATAAATATAATATTAATCCTTTTAGGGATAAAGAAAACTATATTATATAGTCTATCCGAATCGAAGCTATTCTTAATTTAGAAAGATTAATTAATACTATTTAATTCGATTATATTAAGCTTCCTACTATTTAGTAAGTCTAGATTCCTAATTAGTACTAGTCTTATAAAAAAGTAATTACTCTACTACCTAATTAAAGATTGCCTAATTATAGAAATACTATAATTTAGTTAGGAAGAAGAAGACCTAGAAGATTATCTAGCTCTACTATCTCTAAGATAAGCTAAAATAAGCTAGCTATACTATCTAATTAATTTAAAACTATAGATTAGATAAATTATAATACCCTATTATCTATTAGATTATTATATAAAGATAGCCTACTTTTCTAGCTAGAAGATACTAAATTAGCTTATTAAGTATAGATAGTCTTAGCTACTTAATATTAGCTAAATAGATTTACTACTAAATTCCTTATATTAAAGAAAAATTTTAATAGCTAATTAAGTAATTTCGATAGTATATATAACTATTTTACTACTAAACAATTTGGGTTTACCAAATAGCTGCCACTTTCGGCGTCAGTCGACGCCTTTTTCGGCCGTCATTTGGTAACACGTGACCTCGATCTTCCAACACGTCCCCGTCCGGCTACCACCACGCACCAGGCAGACCCACTCGCGGGCACCCTAGTAATTCAGTTGTCTCCGTCTAAAGGTCCCTCTCCTCGTCTTGACGCTCTGCGAAGGCGCTAAAAATGGCCTTACTACACCCTATTAAACGGGCCAGGTCATAGGCTAAGTCATAATGGTGCAAACCTGCCTACCGTGGCCTGTTTCCTTTATATTCTTTATTCTTCTACCCTTCCTGCTCTCTCTATCGCGAGTGTATCCCCCCGAGCCTACTAGAGGCCCTTTCCTTTATATTCTTCGTTCTTCTGCTCTTCTTTCTTTCTTCTGTCTTTCCTACTCCCCTAACCTTGACCGTGTTCCCTTATAAACTAGTTACTCGTTTATCTTTTAGTGTGCTCCTAGCTACTTAACCGTATCGTGCTTCTGTGGTCTTAGTCTACCCCCGTACTCTCCGTACCTTCGCCGTTCTTGCCCTTTTAATAATCTTAACGATAAAGCGCTCTCGGCCCCGACGAAGTGGAATACTGCGAAAAGCCTATAGCGAGGATAATATAACTACGACTACTATAAGCGACTCTAATAAGTAGGGCGATGCTTTATACGAGACGGATCTGACGGAGCCGGACGATGCCCTAAGCTCACGAAAACGTCTCCGGTCGGATAAGAACTACTCTTCCTTCGAGCTAGAGCTCCCTAGTAACCTTAGGGAACTCTATAATAATCCTCTAGATAATAATAGAGTTGATCTGTCTAAGATTCCTAAGGATTTTAATAAAGTACTAGGCACTATTAAACGACGAGAGCGGATTAAGGGCCGGTAGAAACGGTTAGTGATAGTAGAGATCTACCTTATTTCTATCTACTAATATAAGATTAGGTACTATACTAGCTAGCAGATAAATAAGCCTAATAAGCTAAAATAGCGGGAGCCTAAGGAGGCGCTATACTAGGCGTCGAATAATGATATATATTAGTTCCTAGGCTAGTATCTTAAACTCGAGCGCGGTAAGGAAGGTCGGCGGTTAAAACGTATTAATAAAGCTAGCTTATTAAATACGGATTGGAAAAACCTCCGCGGCTACTACTAAAAGCTTACTAAGATTAAAATTAACGACGAGGATAGCTTAGATATATATAGGGTTAGTATTATAAACCTAGATTCCTAAATCTAGTTAGTTAGTTATCTTTTTAATAGCTAATTTATAGGGTATAAAGTACTTAGTCTAAGAGTATAGGTTAGATATATAGCCTAGAAAGAAGATACTAGTTTATATTAAGGATATTAGCCTGTTTAATAAAACGATTTTATTAATATAGGAGAAAAGGTTCTATCTAGGCTTCTAACGTATCTAAGTATATCTATTTAATTCCCTAGCTCTCTTTACCGTGTACTAAAGAAACGCCTTATTAAGTCTATAGTTTAAGGACCTATAGATCTCCCTTTAGAAGGATCCTTATAGAGGCCTACCCGTCCCTATAATTAAACTTACTCCTGAAGGGACTAAAAAGTTCCTCGGTCTAACTAAATTATACGTTAAGATAATTTCTTTCTCTCCCTCTCTTAATTCCCTAACTACCCCTAGATCTATAATATCTCTTAAGATCCTTCTTGTCGTCTCTAGAATTTCTAGCTTAGGTTATCTAGCTAACTGATTAGTAGAACTACTTTTGTACTTCCTAAGATCGTTTACGGGCCCTCTCTAGTAATATACCCGTATATATTACTTTTCAGTATCCTGTTTTATACGCGTGTATTCCGGAATTCGAGGCTAACCTTAAAGGCTTAGCTACGGAAATTATTTATTAGTAAAGGCTATAAGTAGCTCCTTATGCCCTTAGACCCGAATAAGTCTAATTAGTATATCTTCTATAAGATAGAGTTAGTTAATAGTACTCTGACTATTTAGCAGACTATACCGATATCTAAGTCGGCTATATCTACTTTGCTAGTTACCTTTAGGGAGATCCGCGGGTAGAAAGAGGCGTTCTATACCTATTAGTTCCGTTATAGAAGTAGTAAAGTACTTAACGAGAGTAGTGAGTACTTCTATATAGGCCTCTAATTCTTCTCTTCTTTCTATTCCGTTAGTAGCTAATATAGTCTATAGAGTAGGTATGAGATATTTAGTGTGAGATATAGGGCAAGATGCCTAAACCGTCATGCAGCATATCAAGCCAGATTCATAAGGCCTATACAAGATAGCTGAATCTCTATAAGCTTTATGCTATACCATCATCACTACGGTCAATGACATCAAGTAAGACGTATACAACAGTATACGATCTACATCATCACTACGGTCAATGACACGATCTACATCATCACTACAGTCAATGACATCGTACAATCAAGCAACCACCGATCAAACAGCTACTGCATGATATCACTATGCATCTAGATCTGTCTGCATGAGATCATCATGCATCATCTAGAACGATCACATGCAAGAGACAAGTTGATTATAAATATGCCCTGCTTTCTCTACCAAGATAAAAAATAAAAAAATACATACAAGCAAGATTTAATACAATCAACCAAGCTTTAGTCCTACTTTACCTTTCTCTCATCTTATAATTCTAAGCCGAATTGAACTTATCCTTCCTATTCAATCAAGAGGAAGAAAGATCAATCGATCTTATTTAATCATCCTTAATTTATCTTCCTCTTTACCCAACCTGCGCAGCATCGCTTGCTCACAGGTTATGAGCCCGAATTGATCCTACTTCAATTCGGCTTATACCACTTCTTCAATCTTCTATCTTCAACGAAGAATCCCTTACTTTTAAGAGAAACTTCTCTCTCTTAAAGAGAAACAAAAAGCTCCTCCGACTTCTTATTTTCAAAAATTTATACTCGATTTTTACCGGTCGCGTCTACTTCTCTATACAAAACGCTAAGAAATCTCAACTTTCTTGACAAAAACAATCATTTTTCAAATATTCAATCAAGTTTTTGGAACTCAAAATGATCAACAAACATAATATCGATCCTCTTAAAGGAGAAGGAAATTATGTTGCCTGGTCTATCCGAATCAAGGCAATTCTTGATCAAGAGAGACTGATTGATGCAATCTAACATGATTACACAAAGCTTCCTGCTATTTAGCAAGGCCAGATTCCTAATCAACACTGGTCTTATGAAAAAGCAATTACTCTACCACCTAATCAAAGATCGCCTGATTGCAGAAATACTGCAATTTAGTCAGGAAGAAGATCTGGTAGACCTACAAGATCTACTAGCCCTGCTAAGATAGGCCAAAATAAGCTAGTTATCCTATCTGATAAATTCAAAACTATTGATCAGATCAATCGAGACGCTTTATTATCTATAAAGCTATCATACAAAGATAGCCTACTCTTTTAGCTAGGAGATACTATATCGGCCTACTAAGCATAGGTTACTTTAGCTACCTAATATCGGCTAAAAGGATTTACTACCGAATTCCTTGTGTTAAAGAGCCTATTCAATAGCTAATTAGGCGATTTCGATAGTATGTATGACTATCTTACTGAGATAAGGCGCCTGCTAATCGAATTAGCAAGCCTAGGAATCGATTTCCCTAAGCAAATCGTCTTCGTATAGGTCTTAAATAATCTAGATCAAAGTTATGCACCGATCGTTCAAAATATCATTCAATCTCTTTGCAGAGACTCTGATTCTTATACGATTAAATCGTTATTCGCCAATCTGATTAACGAATCGCGTGGTCATATTTAATCAAGCGAACAAATCTTTATAGCTAATAGCCATCAGCCTAATCAACAGAACAAATATCAGGCTCATCGCAAGCCTAATCATCAGGTAAAGCACTATTCAAAAAATCGTCAGGCTAATCAAAATCGTCGAATTAGCAAAAAACCATAGAAAAAATTGTCAAATTCTAGCAAATACTGTACGTATTGTAATATGCGAAGCTATACAGTAGCAGATTGCTGGTATCTGCATCCTTCTAGCAGACTAGCTAATTAGATACCTAGGGTAAATTGGCCTAGATCTAATCAAAATAATCAAAGATTTAATCAACAAAAGAAGATGATCACAGTAATGCTTAATAAGCAATCTGACGAGGAAGAAATCCACGTTACTAGTTATGTGACTGATTACCCCGTAGAAGCTGAAGAAACCTCGGCTAGCAACCTACTGCCTACTAGCCTATTAGCTAATAATCCAATTGATCTTGACGGTGATATCTGTTATACACCGATTAGTCGAATTGACTATGATATACCCATAACAGAGGCCCAGCTAATTAGGTATAGCCTACTAATCTTTAATAATCAAAACCTAATGAGAGACTACTTAAATCTGAGTAATAAATCTATAGTGAATATACTAAGAAGTCTCTCGTATGAAACCGATCAGGTAATTTATCTACCTATCAAAACAAACCAAGAAACTAATTCTGATATTACTATAGAAAGTATATATAATCTAATAAATTCAGATCTTTCTACTACAAAAGTGATTTTCATTATTGATATAGCTACTACTATATATGCAGTATCTAAATTGGATTTGTTTGATAGTATATATAAAACTAATAAAACTATTATATAGGGAAATACACAAAGATTATCTATCGATCTTGCTAGAGATATTATCTTCCAGACAAATACTAATCTAGTCTATAAATTGACTAATGTGCTCTATGTCCCATAATTGGGAATTAATATATTAAGCATATATGTACTGAAAAATTCAGTATCTCTATTTAATAGAGAAAAGGCCACTATTTTCGATCAATATCGAAATATTATGCTGATTGGGCATAAGCAAGATAATCTATATCGAACTACCCTATATATAATATATACAAAGCCACATAAGGAAGATTCTAGCTAATCAAAATCAAAAGATCTATCTAATATAATTTATCAAGATTAATCTATCTAAAGTACTAGTAATATTACTAGTTTAAAACTTTGGCATAATAGATTAGGCTATATAGGCCTAATACTACTTCAAAGGCTATTAAGCCAGGCAAATATATCTCTATCTAATTCAGAGATAAGAGATTATATATAAAATATATACGAAATATGTATATAGTCAAAATATAACAGGAAGATTAATAAATCTTCTACTTCTGCTGCCGAATACGGTATAGGCGAAAGAATACATAGCGATATTAGAGGGCCTATTAGCCCTAAGACCTATAATAGCTATCGCTACTACATCACGTTTCTTGACAAAGCATCAAGATATCTATATATATCTCTACTTCGATCAAAAGACGAAGCTATTAAGAAATTTACCTTATATAAGCAATTAGTTAAAAACTAGCTTAATAAGAAGATCAAAGAGATATTTACCGATAATAGTACTAAATACGTGAATGATAACTTCTATATATTATTAGGAAGATACGGTATTATACACCGAACTACGCCTATCTATACAAAAGAGCTAAATAGCCTAATTGAGCGTATAAACCTAACACTTATAAATAAGGTCAGATGTTTATTAATCCAATCAGGATTAAAAGATGATATATAGGGAGAAGCCTTATTAGCTGCTACCTATCTATACAATATAACCCTATATAGTACTCTAGGGTTCAAATCACCCTATAAGATATATCATAAGCGCTTACCTGCTATCAGGCATATAAAGACCTAGGGATCTATTACCTACTATTATACAAACAAAAACCTGCCTAGCAAGCTATCGCTAAGAAAATCTATAGCTATTGTTATTAGCTATAGTGAACAGAAGCACTATAAGCTATATAACCTAAAGCAGAAGAAGACAGTCTAGTCAAGAGACCCTACTATCTTAGAAGGTAGATTCCTGGTAAATTAATCTGATCTAGCTAATCAGGAACCAGGAACTAAGAAAAGATCTGCTAAACAAGCAGCAAACCCTATCAAAAAGAAGATTACTAGTAAATCTACTAGTAAATTTACTAGCCTATCTACTAGCAAATCAGCTAGTAAAGAAACTAGCAAATCAGCTAGTAAAGAAACTAGCAAATTAGCTAGTAAGCCTACTAAGCGAAAAGCTAGTAAGGAAGCTGCTATTACAGCAGATCCGTCTTATAAGATAGAGATCCAAATCCTATCTTTAAAATCTACTAAAGATAGCGAAGATATATATACTATATTAGATACGCTACTAAGAGATTTTATAAAGACTATTATTAACGATCAGCCTACCGATTATATATTATCGGCAGTAACTAATAAAGAACCCTCTACCTTTGACCAAGCTATGTAATTAGCTAAAAGGAATAAGTAGTATAGGGCCTATCAGGACGAAAATCAAAGCCTGATAGATCAGGCAACCTATAAAATCGTTGATATACCCCCTAGTATAACACCTATTAGGGGTAGATAGGTATTCAAAAAGAAGCCTATAAAAAATACCACAGGCATCCAGGCTAATTATATTACAAATACGAACAAAACGATTCGCTATAAGGCTAGATAGGTTATACAAGGATTTAATCAACGATTAGGTGTTGATTTCCTAGAAACCTTCTCTACTACTACCAGAACAGAAACCTGGCATATAATATTGATCATCGCGATGAACAAAAATTGGTATATCAGGTAATACGACGTTAAAAACGCATTCGTACACGCCGATATCGATAGTGATATATATACTATCTTACTAACTAGCCTATATAGGCTAAAAGACTATCAAAATAAGTGCTGCTATCTAAAGAAGGCCCTATATAGCCTAAAGCAAGCACTAAGGCTTTAGTCTGAATTCTTTACAAAGGCTATCGCGAACCTCGGATTCGATAGAGTTCCTATCGACGAGAGAATATATATAAATGAC